CTTGTCGAGCCATGCCAATTGCCTCCTCCAGGTCGCCCATGGCTCCAATGCGTTCATACCGACGCTGAAGCAGGTTTCCGAGGTTATTCAAGCAGGCTGCGTGGTCCGGGTGGTCGTCGGGCGTGGCGGCCACTGCTCGTCGAGCCACGCCAATTGTCTCCTCCAGGTCGCCCATGGCTCCAGTGCGTTCATATCGACTCGCGACCATAACCCCCAAGTTATTGATCCGACCGAGTTTGTCAGGATCGTCTTCTTGTGTCAAATCCACGGCTGCCTGCGCACTGACAACGGCCAGGTCGATGTCGCTCCTGCTGTTTGTACGTTCGTACGACAAGTACACTTGGATGGCAAGTTTTGACAGGGCGGCTGCCATATCCTCCTCGCCAATGCCCAGTTGTCGCAGTGCGTGTTGGATGTCCATGTTTTCGTGTTGGTCTGGAGTAGGATATTGGGTTGTTGAGCTTTGGAATTGCTGGAGATTGGACGTCAAATAATGCCGTCTCCGGCACGCAGATCCTACTGTGGGGGCGGCTGCGACGGTGGGCTGTACAGCTTGGAACGCAGGCCGACCAATAATGCAAAGTTGGCGGGCGGCTGTAAAGAATGGCTGCCTGCAACGTCACGTTAGGCAGCTGGGTCATGCTCAGCTTCGGAGGCCTCTCCACATGCATATCGCCCTGTCCCATAAGTATCATTCCTCCTCGTGCATCCTGAGGTTATACTGCTGTCTTCCTCTTCGCTCTGCATCTTTATCGTGATTCATGAAAACATGTCATTGAACATTCTTGTTCCGCAATTCCTTCTGCCGCACAGCTCTGTCCGGCTGGCGCGCTTCACCACAAGCATTGATTATCCCCACCAAAACTATCACGACCCTTCCTACGCCGAAACACCAAAGCCCGCCGTTTCCCCCCGCGAGTCTTACATCGGATTAGATCGTAGAAGCAGCAATACGAGCTTTGGATCTGCCCTCACATCTCTCATGTCGGCGGGATTTTCAAAGCGTGCTAAGACTCAAGTTCAAGTCAAGGCAGACTGCGTCACCACCTACACGCTCGAAAACTCCGACGAATGGTTCAGTGAGGCGATGGGCATGTCAGCTACTAGGTCCTGGGTCGAGAGAGCGGTAGACAGGGGCCACGACATCTATATGATCGTAGGATTCCACACAGTCACGAACGCCTGTATTACCCACGGATTCATCCGTGAAAGGGGCGCTGGTGGCCAAATCAACGTCCCTGTCGGTCTCTCGCTTGCCGCCGTTGGCGCCATCGTGCCTCTTGGGAACATCATTGATCCTTCCGCCGGAGGGAACAGTCATCGCCTTGACGATACGCGGTCGTTTTTCATGGCGCCAGGCGAACAAATCTGCGCTTTTCAGTACCGCAAAGTCCGGCATCGATGGCTTTCCAGCAACAGCATCGATACCTCCCGGCTGTCCAAATCACCTCGGTGGTCATCTGTTGAGAGGGGAAGGGATGAAGAAGATGGAGAAGACGACATCATCGAAGTAGAAGCGATACCCGTTGAGGAACTTGAGGGAAGGTGGCAGAGGCAAGAGGTGCTGGGTGGCGAGATTCTGTTGATCCGGATGGAGGAAGGAAGAGAAGAATAGGTTTTAGATGAAAGGGTGATGGATTGATTAAGTATGTCCTCTCTCATAATGAGAATGTGAAGCAAAGCTCAAGCACTTCAACCACTCTCGAAACGGGGCTCCACAATTGTGTGATGTCCCTCGAACGCTTTCAGCAGTCGACATACTACTTCACTGACCCTGAGTAGCTTGAAAATGGCCTCGTGCCCGTGTTCGGCAGCCCACAACGGTGGCGTCCGACCATATTTATCTTCAGCGTCGACATCGACCTTGCCCGTGTCAAGCAGCAGTTGGACAGCCTCGCGCCCTTTTTCGACAGCCCACAACAGCGGCGTCCGGCTAGAGTCATCTCTCGGGTTGTCATCGACTTCGTCATCGACATTGGAGGCCCGATGATGGTGGCTAAGTAGAGTGGGGGCTAGCGCGGCAAGGCCTGCACCAGGCAAACCCGCCCTGCCAGGCAGCAGTGTGGTCCCTCCCACGCTGAGTTATTGTATTGTTTCAGGTTTGATGTGGCATTTTTGATTGGCGATTTCGCAGACCGTGCTAAGGATTGGAGTTGATTGGGTACGCAACGGGCCGTGCTGCATGTGGCTTGCTGCATCCTTGTCTCTCTGTTAGGTGGCGGGCGGGCGGCCGAACCCCAACCCGATAAAACAGCGCACTCCACTCTCCAAGCTACGGTGGCATGCCTCCACCACTGACTACAATCAGACCATCCATAGTCATATTATTCTTGAAATTTAGAATTCTGGTTTTCTTGCGGCATTCATAAGCCCAGAGGCATGTCAAAGATGGCTCTACATAGAGCCGCAAAAAAAGGCGACCTTGATTTGGTGCAAAAAAAAATACAGGATGGTGAGGATATAAACGGACGGGACGAAAGTGGTCGATCGGCGTTATCATGGGCTGCGGGGGAAGGGAATAGAGGTATAGTAGCATATTTGCTCGAAGAGGACGGCATTGACGTGAACATCAGGGATAACAACGGCCGGACGGCACTCTCATGGGCTGCGGATAAAGGGCAGGAATATATGGTGGAGCAACTGCTCGAAAAGGACAGCATCGACGTGAACATCAGGGATCACGACGGCCGGACGGCACTCTCATGGGCTGTCGAGGAAGGGAAGGAAGATGTGGTGAGGCAACTTTCTCAGAATGGACGGCATCGACCTGAACATCAAGGATAAACACGACCGAACAGCGCTCTGGTATGCTACCGAGAAAGGCTTCGTAGCGGCGGTACGCTTGTTTGATGGGAAAGATACAACTACGTTGCAAACCGTGCTAAGGAGCAAAGAGCATCACATCATTAAGCTGCTGCTCAATGAATCCGTTGGTATGGATAGAGCATATCACGGCGGAAGATTGGCGCCCGGCTTACGCACAAGAAAGATCGGACGTTATGCTTCTGATGGAAGGTCAGGGACGGGAGAAATCTGTGCACCGCATTGCCGAAGGAGATATTCAACACCGGGTAGATTACGGGTTGGTTGATGCCAAGATAAAAAGACGTCTCTTGTGAGTTGCTCCTTTCCCTTCGTTCATGAAGTCAGTAGCTGACCACACAAGAATGATTCCGAGATTTTCACTCTGGGAGAATACATTGTTACCCCTATGGGGAATCACGTTTACCCTTCGACATGGCGAAGTGAGTTACACCCATCAGCAGATCGAGGGATCTAGCATTCGTTTCTGCGTCGCTGTCTGGTTCCCAGCTATGCATAGTCCGAAGGGCCACGATGATCCGAAGGGGGCAATAGCGTGGACGATGATACCCCCAAGCAACAAAACCGAGGGCCAATGGAAGTCAGCAGATCACTTCAGCATGTTGCCGTGTAGCCACATCCCCCGAGATGGTATGGAGTTTTCTGAGCAGTTCATATCCTACCTCAAGGGTATGTGGCTTAAAGAATGTGATAGAGCTGAGGACGCTCTAGCGGAACTTGTGAGTTTCTTTGAGTGCCGGAAGCAATTCTAGGCACAGTCACAAACGTGACTGTCTTCGGTTAACTAATCAACGAGCTACGCGATGCAGAGGAGTGAACAGCTCGAACAAAAAGGAAAACGTCGTGACTTTATCCTCATTCTGGAAAAAGAAGCCAAGGCTTTCACAATTCTCCATGCCGCCTTACGGAACCAGTTCTCCGCTGCTAGAGAGTTTGGGAATGTGATCAAGGCCTACCACGATGTTCGCTTTCTGGGAGAGCTGCAAAGAAAGACGACTCTGAAGATGAGATCAAGCATCGGATCAAGCAATTGGATCAAAGAACTAGAGATCTTTTGCAGTTTGTGGGCATACTCATAGTACCACCATTTCGGATAACTTATTCAGCTGACGCTTGTAGGAATTCGCCTGGGTCTCAATTAACGAAGCGCATAGGTCGACAAGCATTGCAGCAAGTATGAAGCGTCTCAGCTGGATCACTGTAAGGTTTCACTGTGCTCAATACTTCGCTGGATCTACTATGATTAGTTCATCTTCCAGCCTGCAATGTTTGCTTCGGTAAGGCACCGACACAGGTTCGGGATTAGAGTTCTACAACCGCTAATAGCATGAACTCAAAATAGAGCCTCTTCGGTATGAACATTGATTTGTTAAAGGACAACCCCGATTGGCGGTGGTACGTCCTGTTTGGAGGAACATTTTTGATGATCACTTTTGTCGGATGGCTCATCTTCAGAATCAATCCTGTTTGTGCCAGGCTCGAAGACGGTAGAGGTGCTTTTGTGCTTACAAATGATACAGCATATCGAAGGACGAGTTGAGCAGGAGGCCGAAAGATTAGTGCGGTGGTTGGAACGGAAGAGGACAAGCAAAGACGTTGAGCGAGTTTGAACACACAAATCGGATCGCAACATGACGCCTTGGATGGGAGGTGGAGGAATGGCTACATAGCTAGGGTTGTTGGCCAGAACCTGACTTTTTTTTAAGCTAACCTACCTAGTGTTTAGATTCGTATTAGATTCCTTGATTAGAATGCCGTAGGTTTCTTTGTTGAACCACTCCCATTGTTTAACCATCTTAAAGAACAGCTGGCTTCTCCTTCTTCAGCAACCATGCCTCATATCCCATCTACTTCAGAAGTACAAAGAGTCAGGCGCCGATCTCTTCAAGGATAAAAATGCCTTCATCGCCCTGTTCGAGGCGTTTCAGAATTTGTTGAAGGATCTTCGGTTTCGCCTGTGTACTTCGCGGTCGACGCACTTGATGAGTGCGCGCAGGGGCGATTGGACCTCATCCGCCTCATTCCGACTTCTCCTCAACCTCTCGTACCAACTCCCCAGACCCGTTGCAGGATGTGGCCGCTAGCACATCCTTGCAGCGCTGCTGATCTCGTTCGCTCCCCTTATCGATCTTGGTCATCATGTTGTTAGTTACTAAATCCAGCCAGTCACAACCGAACATCAACCCTTGCCTTACTGAGCTCTTGAAAGACGCAGAGACGTTTGTGTTCAGTCACAGATCGATCAGTGCCACAGCCTGTTTGACCTCGCCATTTGCTCGGTAGGCTCCTGCGAGCTCGTGCTGCGACGCGAGCCGCGTAGGGTGGGCTTCGGCGAAATGGCGATTTTTCTCCATTGGCAAGCCTCTTCCAAACTCCTAGCAGCTTCTTTGATCCGTCCATCTACTTTCAAACACCGTCCAACCCAGAACAACAGATCAGATCTCTCCCCTATGTCGAGCTCTTTGCTGTGCTGCAATACCCTGAAAGCATGCGGAAGGTACTCTCTCCACACGTTGCGATTAGCATAGTCGTCAGATGGGAAAGCTGTTACAGTATGTCGAATCGCCTTTTCAACCGTTGTTGCCGTCAGGCCTTTTCGCTGAACCCAGATTTGCGTTGCCAAGTGCACCAGACTGTGCATGTCAAACACCTTGCTATTCCCCCGCCAAGTCAGAAAGGCGTACGCGCATAACGTCCCGATTGCGCTGACAAGCTGCTTTGCGGACTCGAAGCCAGGGAACAGCGACTGAGGTATTCCTTTGGGCTCGATGCACGATATAGACAAGAAGAAGAATAAGAAAGCTACGGTACTTATCCCATTGGCTAAGCCAACTCACCTCGCTCAAGTTCCTCTTCTAATACCGCCTGCTGAAGATGTTTGACCCCGATCCCGAGCCAACGATGGCCGTGCCTGAACAGCTGCGGAGCTTCTGGGGATAATATGGACAGAAAAACGAGCGGCGTGGATACAAGAGGCGCAGGGGACAGTGTTGAGGCTGGGGAGCATCGCGAAGGGTCCCGACGCTATGCGTTAACACAGGAGTCATTATATTACGTAACCGAGGCAAGACTTTAGAGAGCATCCACAGTATCTACAACAACCCGCCCATGAAGACGCTCATACTCGTCAAGCGCCTTCGTCTCCGCCAGGTTCTCATAAGGCTCCCATGTCTCCTCTTCGCCCTTTCACCTTACAAGCAGTTCCCAGCCGCCATCATCCCGCCTGTTCTTCCCGCAAATTTTCTTCACCTCCCACTCCTCGGTGGTTTTGAGCTTGGTTTGATACCTCACTTGAATAGCCCCTGCACTGCGCCCCGGGAACTGCCTGGCGATCGCGGACCAAGAAAGTCCCTGCCCCTTCAGCTGAAGAATCACCGCGTCGTCCGCTGACGTATACCTCGCCCTCCTTGACGTTGAAGCCGGCCTGCCCTTGCACTTCGTGGTTCCGTTGTTCTTTTGTCTCGCTGGGCGATGCCTCCTCGCGGTAGTCCCCCGATTCTCCGTTCCATAGTACCCCGCTCCGTGTTCTACGGGTGGATCCCAGGTGAACTGCACCATGAAAGTGGGTGGTGAACCGTCCATTGTAACGCGCTTGAGCACTGCGTCTCTGAGGAGCCATTCCTCAGATGTTGCGTGTTCTACGCATAGATCCCAGGTGAACTGCACCATGAAAGTGGGTGGTGAACCGTCCATTGTAACGCGCTTGAGCACTGCGTCTCTGAGGAGCCATTCCTCAGATGTTGCGTGTTCTACGCATAGATCCCAGGTGAACTGCACCATGAAAGTGGATGGCGAACCGTCCATTGTAACACGCTTAAGGACCGCATCTCCTAGGGCAATTCCTCAAACGATGCAACGGGGGTTCTGTCCATCTCAATGTCCCTTTCCGGCGACGATGGTGGATGGGCAGCGCCGCGCTGGCGCCTAGGGCGTCGGGACGATCTCTGAGCCCCTCTCGAAGTGTCGCCGTAGGACAGACGGGTCTGCTGCTGAGATGCTGTTCCGCCGGTTGCAATGCTCATACTGTTCACCCTACGGCGTTTGCGCCGCGGCGGCTGGACAACATCATCCTCGCTGTGTTCAGCGTCGCTGCACACACTAGGACGGTAGTCCTCCTCGTCGGCATCATGGTGTCGGCGGCGGCCGAGGCCGCGCTGCGAGGCCATTCCACCAGCCGTTACGTCACAGTGGCTGGTAGTGGGCTGCGGGCTGGCCTGATCTCGGCTGGCGGGTGGCTGCATGGGCGGCTGCATGGGTGGGCCGGCATCGACCAGCTCACAGTCGTTATTCCCTTCGTCGTCCGGCAGCGTGGGTGGGCCCTCTTCATCGTTTTTATCTCCTCTATCGTCCGGAGCGAGAGGTGATGTTGTTCTGGGTCATTCGCTTGATCGTTGTCATCACGGTGATCACGGTGATCACGATGTTGAGAGAGGCCGCAGCTACCGGACCTTTGTTGTGGATCAACCCCACGACCGGAGGCGGCACCGCTTGGGCTCTGGGGCTGAAGGCGTGGCTCGGCATCCGCCGGTTCGAGCTCGCTGGTGCTTTCGTCGTCCGGCAGTGTGGGTGTGTGTGCCCGGCTTTCCACCACTTGCGGCGGCGTGGCAGGACGCATCCCATTGGTAGGATGGTGGTCCACTTCGAGTTGGTTGTCGGGCGGCTGCAGCTGCAGGGGCAGTCCAGCATCGGCCGGCTCAGGCTCGTCACCCTCAATACCCTCGTCGTCTACCGTGGCCTGAGAGGACTCGGCATTTCGACGCCGACGGTAAAATACAGACAAGTGCGGGTGCCTGTCACATCCGTCACCCCGACGACAGGACGACTCTGGTCCACACGGGAGCGCATGGTGGGATGCCAGGGATGCCAGCTCCATAGGCGAGGCATGCGATTCATTGCCTAGGCCGGCAATGCTGGTAACCAAGGGCTCCGGCGTGTTGTTATCGTCGGAAGCAGCGTCGACACCTTTGCCTGCTCAGACATGTCAATATGTTGGCCTGCCGGGAAGTGTGAGATCTACGCACATACCTGTACTAGTAACACGGCCGGATTCACCCTTGTTGCGCGCATCTGGGAGAAGCCCGTCAAGCCACTCAAAAGATGTGTCGGGTTGGCCATGGAAATCATTAAACTCGTCATCGCTTAGGATCAGGATGGCATCAGCCTGCGACCCCCCAACGCTACCGCCTTGAGGATCGTGCGTATCCTGCGGCAGCGGCGGGTGCAAAGGAACACCAAAGATCGCTGCAGAGCGGCCCCCTTCTCGAACCCGAGGACCACGGCTCGCAGGCTCGTAAAAGATCTGGTTGTCGAGGCAGATTGCCATCGCGCTCCAAGCGGGGTGACCGCGCTGTTGAAGCGGAGAGAAGACGTCAAAAGCTGTAAGGAGAACAGCTCCCAGAGGCATTGGGCGGACAAGCTGGCCATCTTCGTACTGCTGGGGCGCCGGGGAACGAGCGCAATATATTTGCATGCGCGGAGAAAGGCAGGCGGACTCGACCTCAGAATCAGTAAGGAACCTGGACTGGGCCCTCCACTCTCCCCTCCTCTCCGCTAGCCAACGGGCTCGCAAGAAACGTGCTCGGTCGTGAAACACCTTGTCGTATGCGGTTCCCGGGGGATGCTGGGTTCGAAAGTGACGGGTGGCGGAAAGGGGGGGAGGAGGGAAGAGGCATCGGCTCACCGGTCCCTCGTAACTCTGCCAATCATGCAATTGCCGAGACAGCAAGGAGAGGCCTGGGAAAAGGGGAGCGGCCGCAGGATATCGTATCGCCACGAATCACGGCCCTTGACTGAGGTCGCATGGTCCACGGCGACGCAGAGGTCGCCCAGAGTGGCTTAGCCGAAGCAGCGTTGGCGCGTGTTCTCCTGCGACGCACTCCCAGGTCCGTTCGCATCTGCCTCCCACCTCTTTGTTCCGCCTCTGGCGCCGCCCATGGTAAGGCAGAATCTCGTCGTTTCCACCGACCAGTTCCTCCTCGGGCCCGATCTGCCTCGCCGTCGCAAAAGCGAAGGCGGGAAGGCCACGTCATCTTTCAGGGGCCGCATCGGCCGGCATCCTTGTCAGCGGGCCTTGCAAACCCTGTCCGCCCCAGCCCAGATCCAGCAGCGTGTGGCCCAGAAATAGATCGCAGTCGGGTCAGGAGGCCAACTCGCCGCCTCCGGTACCAGCAGCCTGCATGTCTCGCCGCAGCCGCGCTGGCATTCGGTCCGATTGTGGCCAAGGGAGGTTCTCCAATCTGCAGACGGAGACGCCTGAATGCGCCAAGCGAGAAGAGGCCTCCCGGTGTCTCGGCATTCGACGCAATCGATACCTGCGGCATTTTTGTGACTGGTCAGGATGCGAAAGCCTTGCGAAGTGCACGGGGGAACGGGTGACCTACCTAGGAGACATGGGTGCCGATCCTACGGGCGAAAGAAGGTATCCTGGCAGGCAGGGCAATGGGGAATGAACGAGGTAAGACGCCGCTCAAGAGGAAATCCAAGCGGTTCAGCGGCTCTGAAGGGAGAGGAAGCTCGAGGTCGAGCTAAAGTCGAGGCTGCTGGGGCCGAGTCAAAAGTTGCAATGGACGAAATGCACCGTAAAGGCTGGAACATCTCGGCCGAGGGCTCGGTAGAATGAACTGCAAAACCAGTATCGCTTTGCGAGGCGGGCGATGGCATGCAGCTGGGGGACGCCAAAAATGGCAAAGACAATGCATCTACGGGTATCAGAGCGCCGGCGGGATTGGCTGGCGAGCTGCAGGATGAAGGGGCCCCAGGGGAAAAGCGAAGGAAATGAGGAGGCAGGGACCGAGCGAAGGCGATGTGGGAGGGAGGAAAGTCGAGAGTACAAAGAAGGGACGTCGAAGAGGAGGGGCTCTATTTATGCGGCCGGCGCGGCGGGGCCGTGCGAGGACACGAATCTGACGGAGCGCCATACCCGATCCAGAAGGCCGCTATTTCTTGATGCAGCGACAGCGAGTTCTCGATTACAACACCAACCGAAACCACCGTCGCCCTGAAAACTAGCAAAAAAATCACCTGCAAGACATGGTATACCACACCATTTTCCTTCGCAGGGTATTGACGCTTCTATGCAGCCAGAAGGCGCCGCTCGGTCCGGTCAAGACCGGAAAGGTGGTGACCCGTTCCAGACACCCACCAGAACAGCCATTACCCCCACAGAAGCAACCGACTTTCCCTACGATGATCAACTGTCCAGTTACCTACGCGCGTACGGCTACGCCCCGCCTTCCGACTACAAGACCCAAGGGTTGACGTCTCTGTTGATGGACCCGACAAGCAAATTAAGTGGGAGAATGATTCAGTTGAACCTAGGGCGCCTGGTTGGATTGACCACGGCTGTGGTACAGCCTGGCTGATCTGAGGGATGGAACTGCGCAAGCTGCTTCGCCTTATGGAAATCGATTTTAGAAGCCCTTAAGTACAAGGTACTAGTGTATTGACTGCCTATTGTCAATAGCCCGCGACTACTATTGAGGCAAGATATGCTAGCAACGATGGCGTCCTTGACCCAAGGTCTCACTAGCAATTCCAAAAAAGGCGTGAGCGAGAGACAATGGTGACCATGATATCCTGGGACACTTGAACTCCGAGGAAGAATCCCATCAAAGTGACCAACTTACGAACTTGGGAACCCCTCGACACATTGACTGCAAAGCGGAGCACCACAGAACTCGGTGACTTGGACGATCCCTCCAGGGCGACACCACTGGTATATAGGCGAGTTCCACGACCTCAATTCCTAATTCCTCTGAGACCGTGGCCTACCTGTCAAGGCCCTGCGGCTTGGAGGCGAAGAACTCCATTAGTTCAACCGGGTTTCGAGCCATTTCGACTCCTGGCTAAACTCACTACATTGGACTAGGTACGGATGCGTCGGTTTCAACAGACCCGGATTCAAGGTTTTCGTAGCTACTGACCTCTACAGGAGTTCAGGAGTTCAGTGATGAACTTGTTGCCGGTCAGCATAACCGACCAGCCGCCGATGCTCAGTGAAAACCAATGTATATAATCTTCCAAGCTCCTAGCCCCTTAGGTACCCTGGTTGTGTGCCCTGCATTTTAGCCTACGGCTGGCTAGCTAGAAGAGAACATTTGACAGGGCCTCATCAAGGAGTAAGTCGATATCAAGGTCTCAGTATTAAGTATACTCCCTATTGCACCAGTTGTGATCTGAGACACGGTTCATGTACCCGATTTGCTTACCCACTGTGGAGTCTCCTTGCAAGTTTGAAGTGCAGATTGCATGGCGAAATGCCAGATCACATGCAAAGCACAACACGGAGTGGCAAGACGCGTTGCTTGCGTCTCCACTCGCGCGTCAACGCGTGCTGAAGAACGGTGTCCAGAACGGGCCATTCGGATGACGTCACGACAAGCCAGAGGGTGAGCACCCTTCAGCTGTTGTAGAGGTGTATGCATCTCAAAACTCATGAAAGCTGATGATCGGTCGCAGCGATTGACATCTGCAGTGTGAAATCAAGCATGCGGAAGCATGCGGGTGTACCCGTCCTGCTCCTGCAGCCCTGAAGATCACTGCATCTGCCGGGTCCGTCCTGCGGGGCTGCAGAGCCGCTCCTGCCAGCACTGCTCAGCAGCGACTCTGCCCGGTGGACCTATCCCCGCAAAACGTGGGGTTGTGCACGGTCCATCGCGCAACTACGTGTTTATCCCCTCAGTCGCGTTCCTGGTGGCAATTCCTCTTTCCTTACCAACACTCAGCATCGTGGAACAGCCCTTGCAAGTTACAAACTACGACTTCGAGACTTTTTCATGCGTGCTTGCCTCAAAAGCACACTTGGTTACATTCTGCGTCGAGGACTGAGGTCCTTTGTCTGCCTCTTGATCCATTCACTCCCACAACGCAAGAGCGCCCCGCCTCGCTTTCGTCAAAGCGATGGAGAGCGTTGGCAGCGCTCCTTCCTTCCTTGAGGAGGATGGCAATCCCACCTTAAAGCAGTCGGATTCGATGGCGGCAATCGCCATCCATCAACATTTACAAGAAATCGAATCGAGCTTTTCAGCTCCTGCTTCGCCAATCCCTGCCTCTAAGAATGGCGAGGATACAGGTCCAAGCACATTCAGTACCCCAGCAATGACGGCTGCCACAGCCCAGGTCGTTTCTCGGTTCCTGTCCCAGTCCTTACAGAGCCAGCAGGCTCAGGACCACGAGAATGCTGCCGAAAATGAGCAGCAAACACATGTACGATACAGTATCCCCCACCATACTTCTTTGCAGGGTGTTGACGCGTCTATGCAGTCAGAAGGCGCCGCTCGGCCCAGTGACGACGGAGACGGTGACCCGTTCCGGACACCGACGAGAGCTACCACGGTCCCCACCCCGACCGAAACCACCGTCGCACGTCACGTGCATGATGTCCAAGTTCCAGAGTCACTGGCTTCCGAGTATAGGAACAGAGTAGGGCCCATGACTTCGGGACGACTTAGCATTCTAGACGCTCCGAGCGTGAGCAGCAAGAGTTTCAGTCTCAGAGAGCATAGTAGCACAATGGACCGCCTTAGCAAGGAGAATTTTGACCTCAAGCTCAAGGTCATGTTCTTAAGCGACCGTCTAGACAAACTCTCGGAGGAAAGTGTTAAGCACATGATATCCGAGAACGTGGACCTCCGGACCAACCTTGCTGTGCTGCAACAGGACAACAAGGTCTTGCGCCGCCGCGTCAAAGAACTTCAGAAGAGACTCAAAGAGGAGCGTGGCCGGCCTGGAACTGCAAAGAGTTCTCAGTCTGACGACAGTCAGCAATCGCGAGACCGAGAGCAAGAGATAATCTTCCTCCGAGAGCAGCTCAAAGAACATGTCACCGAGATTGAGAGGTTGAAAACAGACAATTTGAATCGGGAAGCTGAAAAAAGGCGCATGTCTGAACAGCTCCGCATCCTTGGCCAGAAGGCCGGGGACCACATGGGCCAGGCCCTCGAGCGTGCCGACGAAGCCGAAGTTTACAAGGACCTTTTGGAGCAGGAGACTGCTCGTCGAGAGCAGGCAGACGAAGACAACCGACGTCTTCGCCAGGAGAGCGAGCAACTCCGTCACGAGAATGCTGAGCTCCGCCGTGAAGTTAGCGCTCAGACGTCTATGCTTACGTCCAGAAACCGCGAGAAAGAACGTCTGTACCAAGAAATTGAGGACCTCAAGATGGCTCAGCGTCGAGGCGACCCGGCCCCTTCCACCATTGATAGCATACTTGAGCGATCAGCTTCTCGTGCGGGAGTTCCCGAGCGGTCTCAGTCGCGCGCTAGCGGCACACGGGTGACAGGGACCACTCTCGACGACGCCGAGCGCGATGAATTTGAAAACAGGGTCGCGGAACTACGAGACAAGAACAATCACCTGAAACTTCAAAACCAAGATCTCCAGCGCGAATTAGATGCCTGTCAGCAGGATTTCGAAACGGCCGTAGAAGGCAAGATGCGGGCCGAGGAGCTGATCGCCGGGCTCCAGGATGAACTGGAGAATACAACCAAAGACATGATGGCTCTTCAGGCAGAGAGGGACGAAGCCCTACAGGAGCATGCCAACCTAGAGGGCGAGTTCCGGGCGCTGCAGAAAGAGGCCCAAGATGAAATCAATGCCCTCGAGGCCGATGTTGATAAGCGTGACGCCGAGATTGAGCGGCTTCAGGTCGAGTTGGCTGAGCATGTCGAGAATTTTGAGGCGCTGAAGGCAGAGATGGTCAAGCTCAGCGATGCCATCGTCGGCCTTGAGGATGAACAGGAAGCAAAACAGCGCACGCTCGACAAGCTGGATCAAGACCTCAACGATGCGCATAAAGAAGTTGAAGACCTCCGGGCACAGTTAACCAAGGCTAACGAGAAGGCCAACCTCTTGACAGTCCAGCAGGAGTCAAGTCAAACAGAGATTGCCTTCCTCAGAGAGGAACAAGAGAGCGACAAGATTCGGATTGGGGACTTGGAGGCTGCCGTCGTCACTGCAGAACAGTCGCTGCGAGATGCGAAGGATCGTATCAGAGAGCTAGAGCAGAGGCTCACTACGGAGCGGACTCAACGAGAGATTGTGGCCAACCGCGAAAAAGAAGAGGTGCAACAGACAGTCAATGAGCTTAACCGGGAGCTTTCGGCCGCCATGGACGAGGTTAGAAGCCTGCGCAAGGCTCTCTCTGATCGGGGGGTTGAGGCGGCCAAGTGGAAGGAGAGGCTTATCGAACTCGAGAACAATCTACGTGAAGCACTCGGTGACTTGAACGGCACTAGGTCAAGCCTGCTCAAGGTATGTTGCTGGAGTTGTTGGATAGGTTAGATGAGAAGACTAACTCGTTTTACAGTCTATCGCACAGCTGCAGCGAGATCTAGAGAATGCGGTGCGCGATCTCGAAGCAACCAAGAGCTCTCTCGCCGAAAAGGACCGCATCATCAAGCAAAGGGATGCTCTCCTCGAGTCCCATGCGCTCGAATCCCGTAGACTGGGCGAGATGCTGGACAAAGAGAGGCAAGCCCATCGCAACGTGAGGCATCAGTTTGAGACATTTGAAAAGACGCACCAACATGTCGCGCGCACAGTCAATTCACAGGACGCCCGCATCATGGAGCTTGAGGCAGCTAAAGCCCAGGACAAGAGGCGTCTAGCGCAGCTTGAAGCCGCCACAAAGGAGCAGCTGACAGAGAGAAACAACCTACTTCTGACATTGTGGACCCGCCTCTCGGCTCTCTGCGGCACTGATTGGGCGCACAACAATAGCCTTATCAATGGCCGCGCTTTGCCAAGTCTTGAATCAATCTCAACCATGCTCCCGGGGTTCAGCAAGAACCTATTAGCCGCCGTCAAACAGGTCGAGACTATGGTTGGCAGCTTTCAGAGCAAGATCAAGAATGTGGAGACCAATCTCTGGCGCGAGTACCAGAATCTCGAGAATCTTCTGGACCAACGAATCAAGAAACTCAACCGGCTGGAGAGCATTATGCGGAATGCCCTTGCTAACAACACCCTGGATTCCCACAGCCCGGCCGAGCTATTATCCCGTATGACGCGGTTGGAAGAAGCTTGTCGTCAGCTGCAAGTTGAGAACCATACGCTGCGCACCGCGGCCGAGGTGCGTGCTCGCTCTGCAGAGCTTGATCCCATTGCCGGAGGCAGCCCATCACCGTCGGTGCCTACAGGCCCCAAGGGAAAGAACATCTCGTCAAAAACAAGCTCGACGCCGCTGTCACAGTCCCGGACCGCCGGCGCTAGCGCCACCACCAGCATGGTGACCAATACCAGCTCCAGTGCTACGGACCGCACGTGGCTGGCCCGCCTTCGTGATCTGGAAGATAAAGTCATGGCCGAGCGGGAGGGCCGTATCTTGGACAGAGACGAGGCGCTGCGGAGGATCCAGGCAGCAGAAAAAGAAAATCAGGCACTGAGAGAGAAATTGGAGAAGGAAAAACAGCGCCCGGGGCGGTAGGTTGCCCCGACGCAACAAGAAGAATCTTCAAAGGAACGGGTTTGGGGGGTGTACCTCCATCGAAAACGAGACCAAAAAGAAATCTCGGAGGAATTAAGGAAGAAGGTCTGGAAGGAGTTTCTACATCGGCGGAGGGACACGGAGGCAGAGCCTGCGGGGCAGGCGGAAGAGATGGAGAATTAATGAAGAAAATTGGGACGAGGGAGGCTCGATTGCATTTTGCTAAGGCGTTGGTTAGGGTTGATATTTTGCATGGCGATAAAGGACTGGAGCACGGGCGTTATGGCGGGGATGGGTTTTGCTTTGGCGTTTGGTTTTGCTTTGGCGTTTTGGACAGATTCTGCTTGTGTTTGGATTGGCTTTCTTGCGATGGTTCGGTGTGGTGTGGTTCGGTCTGGTTTTCATTTGGTGTTGTTCTGCTTTGGTCCGGTTGGTCTGGTTACGCCTGGTTCGGTTGGCCATCTCATGTATTATTATGGATACCACGCTGCTGCAGGACGACGAGATCGGCGTGCCCCTCGGCACTCTCGCTCGGGCGATTCAGAGCTGGGTGTGGCTACACTATGGAGCTCTCGCTAAGGCGATTGAGCTGGGTGTGGCCATACTATGGTGCTCTCGCTAAGGCGATTGAGCTCTGGGTGTGGCCATGCTGCGGCACGACGATCTCGTTGTACTGCCAGCGCTCTCGCGCGGGTGGAGGGCTGAGTGTGGTTGTCGGGCAGAGTATATTATAGCAATGAAGAGAGAGTCACCTGTCACAACGAATTGCCCCGAATGCTATGGTTCAGTAACTACTCGATGCAAGAAACTTCTCCATGGCCAACTTGGATGGTAACAGTGTAGGCTGACGACACAGTGACAGTGCTGTGTAAGTCGGATTCCCCTTCCTACTTCCACCCTCAACGGGCAATAGTACCATAGTCAAGTGGTACGGAGTAGTCATCTTTACAGTCACCTCCGACCGTAGGTTAGACACGTATTGATGATCTCTTGCATTTCACCTGTTGTCTACCAAGCATGCTGGAGCATGATTCTGTAAGTTACGCGGTTACACGGGTGTTACCGGAAGCTGCTGAAGCAATTAAAGGGAAGGCAGATCACTGCATGTGATGTTGCTTGCTGGCAAGAAGAACTCCTCGCCTGGCGTTGGCCAAGCATGAGTGCAGTGCCTGATCACCGATGGGTGGGTTGTGTAGACACCTTAACAAAGCCAGTTTTTCCTGGGAGTGATGGGTACTGCATCTTCAGTTGTGAGAGTTATGTTACCGGTACCTACGGTCCGTCTTGAGTTTGCATTTCGTGATCCACGGCACCGACGTACTTTCTCAGTCGTTGATTTGGTGGCGGGGAATTCCACTGCGGACCGCAAGGATGGTTCCCGTCTAGGAAAGAGCATTCCGGCATGGCGGCACACACGGCGGTGTCCCTAACCAAGGACAGTCGCACCTCTGCTCTGTAGCGTGATACTGACGTTCATTTAGCTAGAAGGAGGCCTGATATCTCTGCCATCGCCGACTTCCGAATCCACCTGGCCAGACTCGGACGGAGGAGGCTCGGGTCCCGTCCTCAACAAAGGGGATCGAATTTGGCAGTTGCACAGAACGCTAACGTTGACATTTAAGTGGGTCCGATGTTTCCCCAATCTGCTCAGGGGCACAGGCTTGGCGGTGCGCTTGAGCATGAGACTCCATGTGGGGATGCGCAAAAATGCTCCGTACTGTTCTGTAATTACATAGGGGAACTGGTATGGAATGCACGATGGAAATGACAGATCTGGGAGTATCGTGTCCTGTCCATCCGGCATTTTGCAGTATTGGAACGTTGGTAGGCGTGTAGGGTCTACAGTCTGCAGCTTTGACTTACAGATACTTGGCATCTCAGCAGGATTTGGTGAAGATTCCCAGTAATCAATGTATTGAATTGCGGATACGGAGGTATTGTTGTACGGTACATGATATTCCCAACGGGTTCTTCCGCCCTCCGAATTTCCTAGCGTGCTGGGGCTGCAAGGTAAAAGGGGCAATTTTGCGACTTGCTTCTGGTCTTTGGGCTTGGGTTGCAGCAGATGATGCCTCGGTTACACAAACGTTAGACATTCCACCTGCAGAGCCAAAACCACAAACACATGCTCGTTTTCTTTGTCCTCTCTTCAGCAGCGGATAACTTGTTGCCATGAATTGTATTGTTGCCATTCACTTGGCAGATCCGAAGAGATTTGGAGGCTCCTTCCTAAGAGTTCCAGACTGGTTCCTCATGATCCCTCCGAGTTCGTCAGTGGGGTTCACACAATAAGACATCGCTAAATTGGATTACAATCCAACAGCCAATCCCAGAAGGCGGCGGCAACGGCACAGGAACCACTCAGCACAGACGCACACTCTTTACACGCTAACCCTAGTGCAGTTACGCGCTCGACGGTGGTGTCCCGGTGTCCGACAGTGCAGCGCATTACTCTTGTGCATACCAATCCTTATCCGTACACAAACCGCTGAGATCAATCCCGGCCCAGGCTTGTGAATGGCGCCAAGGGTGTGCCGCTGTTTGTGTCACGCACCGCTGCCGATTTCTTTTGCCAGTGTACAAGTACCGTAGTACATATGAATAGTTTTGTACCTGTACCAGAAAACGAACGTGGTTGGGAGCCGATCATGCCAATGCCTCCACACGACGCGGCCAACCGCCGAAGCGGCAGACACAAGCCCGACACCGACCTGGTCATCGAAACGCCGTTGCCGTTGCCGCCATCGCCACCGCGAATAAGGCTTCGGGACAGAAACGGGGACAGAAACGGGGACAGGGACAGGGACCGCGCCGCCCGTCCGCAGACACCCCCCGATTGTCCGCCGCCCACATTCGAGATTGACAGCGCCTCATCTGGGGGCCGCTCTCTGCTGCTTTCCGACGGCCCGGCAACGAGAACCGCCGCCGACGTCGAGACCTTTCTCCAAGGCCTCGCACCCGTCAGCATCCCCATCGACATGTCCAGCGCCGAACACGGCCAACACGATCATCCAGAGCCCCGCCACCGCAACCAGCGAGATTCTCACGACCTTTCCCTTTCGCCCCGCCAAGTGACGCGCGACTCGCTCGTTGCCAATATGCTTCTGTCCCTTGACCGTCTATCATTGGGACGGATCGACACATTTGGAGCATCATCGAGGACGCCTTTCGACGAGCCAGCCCCCTATCCGCCCATCGCAACCGATGACGCGCGTGCCATGACATTTCATTCGAGGCCGAGTCGCGGCGCCGGCCACAGCTACTCATACAGCTCGGATCTCGAAGGCACCGAGATATCCTCGCGGGGACGCCGCAGCAATAGCAGCTCGGGATATCAGCAGGGTTTAGGCCGCATCAACAGCATGCGTGAGACCTCGCAACGGAGCCCCGGGCGGGCACTGCACTCGAGAGGCGGCAAGGGGAGCAAGAACGGCAGCACAAGCAGCACTGATGCCGCCGGATATGTTCAAGTGCTGGGCAGCCAGCGCTGGACCAGGGGGTTTGCGAGAAGATCATCCAGCTTTGACGGCGAGCCGCGCCCATCGGCCAACCCGTGGCACGTCGAATTCTCCAGCTCCTTCTTCAATGACGGATATGACGCGGCTCCCACGCCAAACATACCGGGCGGGCCCCGGAAGCTCACTAGCGCGCCGTCGTTGCCGGTTCTGCCACCACCGGAACCAAAGACTGAGCCGAAATCGCCAGCGAAGAGCGCTGTTGTTGAACGGCGGCGAAGTACCCGCTCCTCGAGGAGCGCAACCGTCGGCCGCAAGTCCGAGCCAAAGTTCAATCCCGCCAGAGACGCCCCGCCCCTTCCCGTCCTCGACCTCGACTCGGCGCCCGCACCTCATGTTGGGTACGAAAAGACCAAGGATTCCAGCCTCGTACCGCCGACGCCCGCCGCCCCCCAAGCCAAAGAAAAGCATGGCTTCTTCAGGAGAATGTTTAGCTCGTCCAAGTCGGTTATTTCAGGCAGTTCGTCTTCGCCGCAGGTCTCGTCTTCAGCCGAACTGCCCATGAGCAGGTCGCCGTTTGCCTCCCAACCCAAGTCATCGGCGCCACCGTCTCGTGAATCGCACCACTCGACTACACATACGTTACAGAAGAAAACGTCGTCCTTCTTCCGAAGGCGGAAGTATTCCATCACGGACACGGAGCTTCCACCGGTGCCAAACATACCTGCCGCGCCAGCAGCAAAACTTCCTCTGGGTCGACTCGAAACCGCGCCTGCTGTGAAGCCGGAACCCAGCCCCATTACCAGTCTTCGGCGGGCAATGGATCCTTTCCTGCAGGGTAGCCCGGCCTCCACAGCCGTTCCGACGCCTATCGATACCGTGTTACCCTCGATTGAGGCACCGCAGGATTCCCCTCATCCTGATACGGCCGCACGACGCGACGGTGATGAAACCACCCGCACTACGAGAGGTTTCTCGCCGGACTATGAGCCGAGTCCAAAAGCAGTCATCCGCAAGGTCGAATCTGAGCCCGCCAATGAGGCTGGGGCAGCACCCCTTGCGACACCAACGCGACAAGCTCCCGAGGACCTGGCTGAATCGCCGCCCAAGTCTTTCCTCCGAGACAACAGCGACAGTGAAGATAGTCCGGTGCAGCACCGCAAAGTCCCACGGTCCGATGCCCGGGACAAGAGCCTCAGGCCGACGCCGGAGCCAGACAGGATAGCAAGATCACCGTCGCCAGTCGTGTCCAAATCGAAGAGCGTGCCGAATCTCACCAAGGCAGCACGGCAAGACTCCAAACGCCCAGCGCCTAGCCGTACAGAATCAGCTGGCCTTGGATCCGAGACCATGTACAAGCCCAGCCTGCCGAGCTTGAGAATCGACAGCGCTGAACCGAGTCCCGATGACATGGGAATGGGAGAGCTCGGCAGTCATTCGGGCAAATCCATTGACGAGCCCGAAGTTGTGGTTGGTGAGCCTACCGAAGACGACCGGCAGAAAGCGCAGAAAATATTTGAAGGAATTGAAGATTTCATCCAAAAAGATAGAGCAGCAGCCTGGATGGGTGAAGAAGGTATCGTGCGGCAACGGACCCTGCGCGCGTACATGGAGCTCTACGACTTTGAGAATCAAAGCATCGTAACCAGCCTGCGGCAGGTTTGTCAGCGGCTGCTGCTCCGGGCTGAGACGCAGCAAGTTGACCGGATCCTGGTGGCCTTTGCGAAGCGGTGGTGTGACTGCAACCCGAACCACGGGTTCAAGACGCCGGGTAAGTTCCCCTGTCATGCTGAAATCGGAGGCTTCTAACTTGGGGTAGATGTTATTCATACCATCTGCTACTCAATCATCCTCCTCAACACCGATCTCCACGTAGCCGACATTGAGCACAGGATGACCAGGAGCCAGTTCATCAAGAACACCATGACGACCATCAGGCAAACCCTCCAGGAGTCGGCTCCTGAGGCGTTTGAGCGGCCAAGCATCCTCCCAAGCAAGGGGAATCTCGGCCTCGAAAGCGACCCCCGCTCGTCGGAAGAGCACAACAAGCACAACAGCTTCCGGGCCTCATTCAAGCCGCCTCCGCGACCCGGGTCGACCCTCGGCATCATTTCCGACCAGCCTGCGGCGGACAGCTGCGGTCCCCTGGTCAAAGCACCGTTCGACGGGTCGCTTCGCGCTTGGGAGTCGCAGGTTGAGATTGTCCTAAAGGACATATACGCCTCCATCCGTGACGACCGCTTACCGCTCTTTGGTGCCGAGGCCAGCCCGCTTCATACCCCGAGCGGCTTGTCGGTCATGGGCATGCTCAAACGGTCGCCAAGTGTGCTAAGCAAAGCCCCATCGGAGAGCGTCGCGTCGACCCGCGGTAGGATCCCCGAGGCAGTGAAGGCAAACTCATCGAGGTTCAACTCCAAGAGCCGATCGCGGCCGAGGGGCTTCGGCACTGGCTTCTCATCTAGCAGGACTAGCTTTGAAGATGGGAACTCGGTTTGGAGCCCAACGGACTCCTCGGCGACCTGGAGCAAGGTGTCGCTCGGTCGCACGCACACTTCCATGTCGATGGATTCGTTCGGTTCCTCTTATCCGCGCGGCGATTTCAAGCAGTCTATAGGTTTCGCCAATGCGCTGAGCCAAGCTATTATCCGCGAGGACAGCGCGCTTGAAGTGCCCAAGGACGAGGTCAAGTGCGAGCAGCTGCTGGACGACGAGTCCCTCGAGCTCGCTGGTCCGCCATGGGTCAAGGAGGGCATCGTCACACACAAGCACCATCTCGACGGCATTGACAAGAAGGCCAAGGACCGCAACTGGACCGAAGTCTTTGCCGTCATCCAGAAAGGGCAGCTAAGCCTGTTCTCCTTCTCCCCCAACAAGTCTCTCCGCAACAAACATCGCCGCGGCGGCCTTGGCAACGGCGGGACCCTGCCAAAAGGCGCCGTAGTTGGCGGAGGCAATTGGCAAGACAACGCCACGAACCTTGGCACCTTCTCTCTCCGCCAGACCCTTGCCTCTACGTTGCCCCCGCCGGGCTACTCCCGGTCTCGGCCACACGTCTGGGCGCTTTCTCTCCCTACCGGCGCAGTCCACCTCTTTCAGGTTGGCACGGCGGAGATCAGCAAGGAATTTGTCAGCACGGCCAACTACTGGAGCGCCAGGCTCAGCACGCACCCGCTGGTAGGCGGCATCTCCAACATCGAGTACGGCTGGAGCGACGCCATCATCAACAATGCCCTCGTAAACGCGATCCACGAGAGCGCCGCCGCCAGTGCACCTGCTCCTACCCGGCCCGGTAGCGGTAGCATCAGCATCAGCCACATGAAGAGCCACTCCCGCTCAGGCAGTGCCGCCAACGCTGCGGCAGGCATAATCGGCGGGCGCTCGTCGATGCAATCCGGCCGGTCGATGCGCTCAGCCTCATTCGACTTTGTCCGGCCCGGGTCAGGCTCAAGCGGCGTGCTGGGCCTGTCGTCCTCGCTCCCGCGCCACCCGACCACCGGCAGCAACCTTCCACCTTCCTCCTCTTCAGCCCACCACCACCATCACATAGGCAAGCTGCCAGGCGACAAAATCCACATCACGGACTGGTCGCCGCCGGCGAGTTCGATGCGCCCCAGCAACCTCTCCGAGCGCGAGCAGCTCGAGTCGCTGCTGGCCTATGTGCGGTCCATCGAGGCCGAGCTGCAGGCGCATAACGCCCTGCGCAGCCCTATGCTGCTGGCTTTTTCGCCGCGCAGCGCCAACGCGGCGAAGGCCATGGCTAACTGGGAGCGCAAGAGCGAGTATCTTTTGAGGGAGATTGTCAAGTTCAGGACGTATGTGGATTGCCTCCAGCAGGCGGAGGTCAGGAGGGTGGAGATTTATCGCGAGAGGGAGACGGCGAGGCGCGCGGCGAGGGGTGACGCGGTGAGTGATGAGGAGGGTGAGGGTGAGCGGCAGGTGGAGGGCTTAGATGTGAGGGATCTGGATGGTTTGGTACGCGGCTCTGGTGGTCAGAGAGAGGAGGAAATCGAGGATGAGGTTGGCGGCCATGTGGGGGATCATGGAGAGGGGAGAGGGGGAAGTTGAACGGGACGGTCGATGTTCAGTGCCAGGTTGACGGCATTTTGAGTCAGTGGCAAGCTTGCCATACCTTATATTGATTCACACGAGATGCGGGTTTTTGGGGTGGTATTTATGCTACTGGAGTAGTACTGGTAGTTCTTCGTTTTGGTTTCTTTTGTTTCGTTTGTTCCTCTCTTTCATGGAGCGGTACCGCACGTCTTTAGGACAGCATGACCTTCAGGATAATCTTACTCTTTGAAATAATAGACTTGTGGGCCTGTTATTTGGGCTTGATGTTGAATATCGAGCTAGCAGGTGCTCGCAGCACACCTCGTACCGGTTGCTTTAAGGTTGCTAGATAAGGTACTAGTCAATACGACTTGGGGGCCATGTATTGAACCCAGAGCACCCCTTCCAGGCACCGGCCCCTTTTTGCTGACGATGATACTCCACCCCACTAACCCGGCCAACCACCACGGCCAGTTTATAAGCAGACAGTCGCCTCGTGTCGCCGGTCGGGACTCAGTCCACTCCAGTTCTCTCCAACGTCAGCTCGACGATAAGGGAACGATAAACAGTGCGGGCCCTTGCGGAGCTGTCAGCTTCCAACAGCAATGTCTTCAACGACAACAACTGCAGCGCCCCAAGCGCTCACACCACCATTTGTTGTGCCGTAAAGCTGCGCAAACCGGTTCATCACGACCAGCTTTGAGTCGGGCTCCAGCACTGTTACCGTCCTCGCCTCTGGCCCGACCGACTCCCTGTTTGCAGATTGCCAGCCTTCAGGATGGGATGCGGGCGACAAGAGCCGTTTCCAGTTCAGCCCAGCTGTTTGTCCCAGCGGGTGGACGGCATACCATCTGAGCCAAACCGTGTCCATTGGCATTGGGGAGGAGCCTGAAACTCAAATGAAGACGTTGTTCACGGCTTATTGTTGCTCAAGGTAAGTGACTTCAACCCCCTTTTATTTTCTTTCATCTTCCCGCACGTCCCACACGTCAACTTCAATGAGCATCACGCTTTAGCTTCAACCTGGAGTCAGAGATGACTTGATAAGGTAATTTAGCTGATCGAAATGCCAAATACCACAGCGGCTTCAGTGCCTCTTTCATCAACTACTGGCCAATTTACATACAAGGATATCATTCATCCAACGCATGCGTTCAGACTCAATCACAAACAACCATCACCGTACTGAACCCCCAAGAACCCAGCACCAGCACCACCACCATCACCGCAGCTTCATCACTATCTTCCTTCTCCTCACCACCCCCCAAACCAACATCCCAACGCATAATCCAAACCATCCGCGTCCACGAACCATGGCACATAACCTGGGCAGCCCCGGATCTTCCCTCCCTCACCCCGTGCCCACCAGACCTCCCATGAGCCAGCGTCCAACCCAAGATGATCACCTCGTGGGTGCCCGGCGGACCTGTCGATCCAGGCGCGTACAGCGATCCCCGGGACATGTAACGACGGTGCACACTCCGACTCCTACTCGCCGAGCTATATGGCCGGGGTTATGTTCTACATGGTCGGGTTGCCGCTTATCATCCTGGCTGTGATTGCGACTTGTCTTGGGTGCTGGTGTCATCGACGCCGGCAGAGGCGGAGGCGTGTTGAGAAGTGTAGAGCGGTGAAGGCGGCGGCGGGGAAGGAGGGGGGGAAGGGGGAGAAGGGGACGGAGACGGAGAGGAAGGGTGTGCGTGCGGAGCGGGAAGTCGTGAAGGAACTGGGTTCGACGACTCAGGAGGGGATTGGCGCGGGATAAGAACTTGGCTCTTGATCGTGTAGGGCTCAGCCTTGTCGAGAGAATCAAGGCGCACCGTGTAGGAGTTGGGAGATTCTTATACCAAGCGTGTCTGGGGTAGGGTTTGGGACCGGATTTTATGGAGAAAGGGTCCCTAAGTAGAGAGAACAAGACGCGGAAACTGGCCGTTTATTTTAGTGCATCCATGCCATCAGATAAATTTGCTGCAGCATGTCGAGGCTGCTAGAACCGGGGGAAGTCTGAGTAACTGTCAGATGTCACCATATTTAATCCTACAATTCCTCTGATCTGAGTGTTTGCTCCTGCCATGTCACTCCATGCGTCTTTGATCGCCGGGACCCGCTCACTGTCCGAACCATAACTCCTAGTTTGTACCATGGGAACAAAGCAACAGGCGGAACCAGCCTTCATAATGTATGGTCCCTTGAATGGAAAGGAAAGGGTGGCGCCCGCATCCAGCACTCCTACCCAGAATGAGCTGGATCCTCAGTAGCCACGCGGAATACCCGGTCCAGATCAACTTTCTCCCCTCTGGAGGCCTTTAGCAGCTGTTCCATCACCGCCTCTGAGCCCATGGCCTTCCTCACTGCCACCATTCTGGTATATTCTTCCCCAATAATCCGGCAAACATCCCATATTCTCCTCCGATTCGCCACGCCCATCATAATTCCCGTCATGCCCACCCTGGGACGGGTCAATTCGTCCAGGCTGCAGAGCAACCCTTTCAAGTCCACCCCCTTCATGAGTTCCTGATCTTGTAGTAGCGGAACCACCTCAAGCAGCCACGGCATGCTCACCCGCTTGATGCGATGGCGCCAGAGGCGGGAATCGTGACGAAAGGTGCAATGGACATGCCAGGAGGCGCTGCATAACGACATGAGGCTCTTGTCGTCAAGAAAGTGCGTGATCTTGCACAGCACGTCGTAGGGTAGCTTGCTGAACCGGTCAAATTTGACTTTGGAAGAGAGGTCGTAGCTGAGGAAAGTGCGTGTGAAACCGCCGCTGCGGGAGATATGGTTTCGCAGGACCGTCCTGACTAAGTTGCTGGGCGTGGCGAGCCAGGGCTTGTCGATGTCGTCTGTCTGTTCAACACTGGGGTTGGCCACCAGACACTCGTAACCACGCCGCGATTCCCACAGCAACTGCTGGCAAGTGTCAGCCAGCGGGCCGTAGCTGACAGGCAGGCTCCCGACGCAGCCGTCGCCGAGGATTCGCAGCGCAAAGTAGAGGGCGTCTTTGTCGAGGCAATCCGAACCGGACCCGGAGAAGGGACCTACGCCCAGCACCAGTCGATTGATGTTGAGTCTGTAACCTGTAATATACAGGGCAAAGAGTTCTAGACAGGAAGAGTGCATCGGAAAGCAGAAGGTTTCGGGATTTCTGTCGTAGCAATCTATAGGATTGGGCGAGAACTTGCGTGCTGGGTGGTTTGGGTCGCGCATTCCACGATGGTGCGCCAGCACCCGCATGGTGCCAGATTTATTGACGATACCACGGGCAAGAAAGGACCTATGGGTTCGTGTTAGTGGTTGTGCGGGGCATGGCAGGAGGAAGATCGAGGAGAGAGTACTTCGATGGGCCTGTCGCAGCAGGGTTATAACAGAGACCGAACGCAATCTTGATCCACGTGGTATCCTTGCTTTGAATGACATCCCAGTCATAGTACCGTTCTGGATCTTGCATTGAGTTGAACTGGTCGCTGTCACTGCCGTCTTCAAAGTTATTAATCCCCTGTTGGTTGGTTTCGGATCCCATCTCAACGTCCTCGTCATCCCAGATCAAGTCCTCGCCACTGTAAGCGGACTCAAGTTCGCTCTCATCATCGCCCTCTGACGGTACAGTGATCTGGTCCCAGTCCTGTGATCCTTGTTCAAGCCCATCGCTACCGGTATCGGTGTCTGAAAGAGCAATCGGATCGTGGTCGCTCACAGAGTCGCTTTCCCCGTCATCAGACAGATCGCTGTCAAGGTTATTGTTCATTGAGTCGCCGTTTTCATCACTGCTGTCGCTCGATTCACTCAGCTCATCTTGCTCATCAAAGTCGGATGAAAATTCGAGCCAAGTTCCTTCCCCCAGGCGGTGGTGCACTCTCCTAAACTGGATGCCAAAGAACGGACCGCCGCAAATGGCGCAATATGCGGACCACGAATCCATCGCTCTCGGCGGAATCGACGATGAACAAGGAAGAAAGATCGAAGAGTGATGTGTGTGAGCGAAAAAAAGTACAGCGAAGCACGTGTCGAAGTGGCTGTGCGTTAAAACCAGCATGAGGGAGCTTTGCTGGATGCCTCCAGGCTGCCGCCGAGATGATTGGCAGGTGCAGTGCTGCCTTTAAGCTACGCTGTCAACCCTCCTTAGGCAGTGATGTGTTGGATTTGGGAAACGCGAATCTTTTGGCAGAAACCAATGGATCTCAATAGATATTCGAAGTCAAATTCACAACGGTCACGCGCAAACAGTCAAGATCGGATTGAATTGCGCAGTTTTATCGTACTATTGTATACCCAAATTTCGAGCTGGAACACAATAACACCGGCACATATCATGCAAATGGTTTCATCGTTCTTTGTTCAGGACGGTCTCATCACGATCGCTATCACTTATCACTCCAAAGAAAAGCCAACCGCATTCTACTTCCAGCCCTACCTTATCTACAAAAAAGAAGGCTTTCGTTGTTGACCAGGAACTGACGTCCCTGGAAACAAGGCTATGATCACTCCTGACTATATGAATGCCAGTTCTTCGAAGTCTGCAGAGAACCTGTGATGGAATTGTCAGCCCCTTTCATCAGAAACGGTTCACTTACCAGATAACCTGAAGGTACTTTCTTCACCTGAAAAGCTATGAAACCTAATATTACCAATTCGTCAGCGCCATATTCACGCAAAGCTATCACCTTACCTTCCATGGACTCCCGGGAGCTTCAGGCTCAACTGAGTCAACCCCCCTGAAAAAGGTCAGCAATCCAACTCCAAATTCCAACCTAGGCATCTTCTGACACCACAACCTACATGTAGCAATGCCGCAACCCATCAAGAGAACCCCCAAGCCGATCCATCCATCACATCAACACATATCCAACCTTGCCGCATACGCCGACCCAAACCCCCACCCATCCGGGCCCCTGCCCATACTAAAAAAATTACCCACAGAGCGGGCCAGCCAGCCCGAGGGGTCGCGACGCCACCAGTTTGCCGTTCTTGCCTGGTTCAGCGCCTCGGCATCAAGTTTGTACGCCCCGCCGTCGTACCCCGTGTTAGCAGCGGCCTCGTAGCGTGGATAATATCCTCCCCCGCCCGAATCCTCCGGCTCTGACGACAGCGGCCGCGACCCGTAAAGGTACGGCGCGGCGGCGCTGCGGCCGTCTTGCCGTGTCAGATCCACCTGCTGTTCTTCGAGTAGCCAGTCGAGGGAGGCGTAGTGGCTCGGTGGTTTGTGTGAGAGAGCGTTGAGGGGTGGAGAAAGGGGGGTGTCGTTGGGTTCTGGGTTTGGGTTTGCTGGTTGGGGAGGGGAGGGTGGAGGGGAGGGATAGGGGTTGAAGCCCAAGAGCCAGGTTGCGAACTCGGCTAGGGTAGGGAAGCCTTGGTTGGGAGGGTCATCTGCGTCTTTCTGAGGTTCAGGTTGTGGTGTTGCTTGATTGGGAGGGGGCTTGGGCGGTGAATTGGGCTCGGGAGACGGAGGGGGGGATGGAGGTTTCTCCGGATCTGTCTTGGGGCTCTTTCTTAACGGTTCAGGGTCTTGAACTGGATCGTTGCATTCGTCTGCCTTGCGCTTTTTGGCTAAGGGTTCGAGTTCACGATGTTCATCGAGCGGCCCAAGTTTCTTTCGGATCTCACTCTGCCAGCGGCGGCGGATTATTTTGTTTTCCTCCCGCGCTCGCTTCCGCAATTCCTCGTCACGCCACTCTTTCAGCTGCTCCAGTAACGCGTGAGTCTTCCTGTTCCTCCAGGTGGCGCTGTACGCGTTCAGCTTCGGATCTGTCAGCTCTTGTTGGGCCTTTTTGATTGCCTCCGCAGGGATATAGATGCGTGCCTCCATCATGTGGCGATAGCAAGGAAAGGGGAGCACTCGGGGCTCGTTGTCGAGAGGCGGGTTCAAGTTGTGCCGGAAGCCGTACTTGTGGTACTCCAGCTTCTGCTTGAGTGGCATGTAGTACATGGGGCATCCCTTGAACGAGGGAACGTGGATGCTGTGGCCCCTGCCTTTAGAGATAGTCCGGTCGGGGCAGCCGCAGAGGTAATACTGGTAGAAGTAAGAGCACTTGCACTGGGGGAGGTCCCAGATATACGCCATGTTGAGTCGGATTTAGCTGGACAGTGATCGCGTTGCCCAGTGATGCGTTAGAAGTTCGGATGTATCAGCAGAAGAACAATACTGCAAGACGAGGGGTGATTTGGTCTGATGGGATAGGGCGAGCCTACCTGACTGTTTCTTACCTGTGTTTGCAGACTTGCGTTTATTCGGACGATACTTGCCAGGAATTTAGATCTGGCTGAACAGAGAGAGCTTAGACCGTAGAGACAACTACATGTAGGGGGATGGAAGGGATTTAAGAAGGCTTGATTCTCAAAGGTGAAGCTTGTAGAGGACAATGAACTCCGAAACGCATCCAAGACTGGATTGTATTTAGCCTCCGTGAGCCAACAAAGACCATCGTTCACGGATCTAAATTCTAATTCGAGCAACAGAAGATAACAATAGGACAAAGAACACGAACAACTGGACTGCAAATATCCTACTGTCCATCCTCATGACGCCGCGTCATGCGTATCCCAACTTCCAAAACGTCTCAATGTTCCGTCTGCTATCCTCGTCCACAAATTCGTGTGGCGGTCGAATCGTCACCTTATCTCCATGAACCTCTGCCACCGCCCCAGACACGGTCGGGTCAGCGAGGAACTGGTCTACGCCGCGTATCAAGGTTTCCATGGGCGTGACAATCATGTGCTTGAAGAGATCCTTGTCCGGCGCGATGTTTGTGTCTGGATCTTGTCAGTCCTCACTCTGTCCGTTGAAATCAGGGGTAGGCAACCCCAAGACTTCAATTCGAGTGTCAACCTACCCAGAACTGCAGGCGCCAGAGCATTGATCTGGATTCCCGCCCTCTCAATCACCTTCGCCGTGGACCACACCAGCCCAATCACGCCAAACTTGGAGGCCGCATACAGCGGCGCGATGGGGAACGGGTACAGACCAGCGTTGGAAGCGGTGCATATGATCGAGCCCCTCGACGTCCCGTCTTGAACGTGGGGTTTCTTATCCATGTAATGCACCGCCAGGTTGACCGCTAGCCATCCAAATCAGCTGCTGCTCCCTTATGCGTACAATTCCTGCCCGATTCACCAGTGGAGGAATCAGTTGAATAAAATAAGCAGCAGGGGGAATAAACATACAATAAACCACCCCCAACAAATTCACCTCCACCGTCTTGACACTCGGCTTCCTCGGACCCTCCTCCCCACGCTCCCCACTCCCAGCACCAGACTCGGACTGCAGCTTCACCAGGGTAGTAGCCCCTTGCTCCGAGACGCCTGCATTGGCCACAACCACGTCCAGGGCGTTCCCATGCTCACGATAGACGCGCTCAAACACACGCGCCTGCTCGTCCCATGAAGAGACGTCACACGCATGAAACGAAATGGTTGTCCGGCGGGGGAACTCGGCCGCAAGCGCAGCCGCAACCGCCTCCCCCGTCGCCGCGTTGACGTCGAGGATCGCGATCGAATGTCCCTCCGGCTGACCGGCAAAGTACCGGGTTATGGCAAGCCCTATGCCGCTTGCTCCGCCCGTGATGAGGATGGATTTGGGCTTGGAGTTGGATTTGGAGGACATGGTTGGGCGTTGTTAAGATAAGACTATGTTGCCTATGTTAGTAGAGTGTTATAACCTGCACGAACTCCGGAAGACGTTAGATTAGACAAGGGATGTCGACTGGAGTATGACTCGGGTGCTTGACAATGTCTTTCAGAAGATGAAATGGGATGTAAGTGCCGCTGTGCTGTGCAACCCAGCGGTCTTCCTAACCATGAATAAGGGGCAATGACATCCCCGTGCCAAGACGGGAATAGTGCGCCGGGTCTCCAACTCGGAACCCCGCAGGATCGGAAGCCGGCAGTTGACCTTGCTTGCCCGCATGCGGAGTTGTGCGACCCGACGAGTGCAACATCACCTGTATTTAGTTCTAAAGCAGCGGTTCCCATGTCCGTCTTCCTTGACTCTGCCACTAAATGATGGAAGGTAAAACAAGGCAAAGCGTGCGTTCTATATTGGGGAATCACGGCTCAAGCGAAGCCCAATTCGGGCTGGACGACAGATGATTCCCAAATCAAGCCGTGAAGCATTAAGAGCCATTCCAGCCCATTCCGTCATATCGTGCCCCACCCCGTTCTGTCCATCCCATTGAATTCCTCCCCACGCCTCCAGATGATTCGGAGCAGAACTGAGATGGGCCGGTGAGAGGAGGCAGGGTTCGTAGAAGGCACGGCGTGTAGTACTCCGAAAGAGCAAGCCAAGTCCCATAGAGTGCTGCACACCGCCTAGTGGTTTTTTTCCACTCAGGTGGCTAGAGAAGCTGGTAGTAGAAGGTGCAGTGTAACGGGCTGAGTCCACCAAGGTACCTAACCTGCCTTGACTCCGGTCCATGGAAATCGTTTGGTTTTGCCTCGCAACTTCGCATGAGCTAGCCTTTGCTAGAGAGCCTCACATGACAACCTAGACCCCAACAAGTCAGCACTCAGATTCCAAGCACACAACTCATCACCGCATGCAAACAAAAATGAACAGATCAAAACTCACGCAATCGCTATCAGTCTTCCCCTGCGGAATCCCCATCTCCTCGAAGGTAGCCGGCCCCTGACCCATAGTCTTCCCATCGGGATGTTTCAGATCCGCAGACGACGGTGGCGGTCTCCCACCGCCACCACCAGCACCATGACTCGCAGGATTACCACCACCGGGCCGTTGCTGCTGCTGGCCCGGTGCAGGCCCAGGACTAGGCCGGGCGGCATTCTGCGCCACAGGCGGCGCGCTGGCCCGGCCCGGCCCGCCGCTGTCAACCACATGCGGGAGCGGCCGGCCTGGCCCACCACCACCACCACCACCAACAGGCGGTCTGAGATTCGGAGCACTCCCCGCAGGCGCGGCTATCCTGGCGCCAGCGGCGGGCGGGACAGCGCCGTACCTGTCATATCCTCCTCCTCCGCCTCCCCCGCCGGCTCCGTGACCGTAATCGCTGACTGGCCGGGGTACGGGCGCAGGACGGCCGCTGGGACTGCCTCCCGGGTAGCCGGGCTGGGCGCCACTCAAAGCGTACTGACCGGGTGGCCCCTGTGGGGCAGGCTGGAAGTTAGGGTTTGGTTTCTGCAGGCGGGCGCGGGTGGGGTCGCCCACGGGCATGGTGCCGGCGTGGGTGATGCCGGGGCCGGGGCCGGGACCGGGTTTCGGCCCACCATATCGCGCGTCGTGCGGCGGCGGCGGCGGCTGCTGCTGCCACTGGCCCGTCCGCGCGGGGCTGGGTTGCCTGTAGCCCGATGGCACCTGCGGTTCCCAGCCACCTGGTGCGGGTTGACTTGACACTGGGCGGCCGCGGCTGGCAGCGTTTTGCATTGCGTTGCTGGGGGACAGGGGACGGATGCCAAAGGCGCTTCCAGGACGATCCGCGTGCGGGCCGGCAGCCATGGAGCTGCGTACTGCGGGATTCAGGTGCGGGCCACGCATGTCGTCTTCGGGGTATGGCGCGGTGGACTTTGGCCTGAGGGTGAGCGGCGGCGGGTTGTCATCGATGGGATACGGGGCGGCTGATTTAGGTCGAACCGTGAGGTCACTGTGCTCGATATTCATTGTGAAGGCCGGTGGCCTTGGCGACGGGTCGGGGAAATCGATTCCGCCTGCAAGAGAATCTAATATTAGCTGCACGAACGTTACTGGCTGCCAATTCGGGAGAGACAAACCACCAGGGGCAGCGTTCTGGTCACCTTCGCTCAGCGTCGGCAGGACATCGTTCTGCCGCGCAAATCGCTCTGGCCGCTTGCCGCGCTGAGATCCGTGCTGTGACTTGATACGTGTGAGGGTCGTCGTCTCGTGATCCTGCTTGGTCAGAGTCTTAGACTGGCTAAGGGATTCGAGTCTGTCCTGTGCGTCCTTGTTTCCGTGCTCGGCTGCCAATTCGTACCACTTCCGTGCCTCTCTAACGTCCTTCTGGACGTGGATGCCGATTTCGTGGTAGTAGCCCATGGCAAACTCGCCAGTGGCCAGTCCCGACTGCGCAGCTTCTTGGGCGTATTTGAACGCCAACTGCTCGTTCTTGGGAAAGAGATCCTCGTAACCAAAGAGGAACCACCGACTAACGCCCAGCGCCGCTTCAGGTTGGCCCTGGCGAGCGGCAAGGCCATAATAATGGAGAGAGTATGCGGGGTTGAAGTCGCACCCGAGCTGGCTGAGCTCGTAGGCCTGGCCCATTTTCAGCTGTGCCTTGGCGAAGCATAAGTACGCTGCCTTCTCAATGTATTGGCGCGCAACTGCGACATCATAGGGAAGTATCCGTTCGGGGATGGTGATGTCGGGAAGCTCTCGTGCGATGAGCATGCCGTAGACGTAGGCCCCTTGAGGGGCGTCCTCGTCGGCCGTGTCTGCAGCGTGCTGAATCATTTCGAGCCCGAGCAGGAAATCCCTCTGATGTCCGTGCTGGCCCATGAGATGCATCATTCCCAGCCGATAGTTGGACGCCGAATCACCGAGGTCCACACCAAGCTTGTAGTGCTTGATGGCATTCGGGATGTCGTTTGAGTTCTCGTAGAGCATGCCCATTCGGTACTCGGCCCGTCCGAAGCCGTTTTCGGCCGCCTTTTTGTAGAGCGAATATGCCTCCCTCTTATTTTCCCGGAAACCAAACTTGCCAAACTCGAGCCATTTCCCCTTCATGAAGGTTGCCTCAGGATGGTCCTGCTGCGCTAGATAGTCGATAATGTTGACAGCGTCGACGCGCAATTCGTGCTCCGTCTTGGGCGTCGGCGGCCTCTCTCTGCCCTTGCCCTCCTTTTTCCATTCCCTGGCGTGCGCATCCTGGGCGATCTCAACCCATATGAGGGCGTCGCGGGCCCACGTCACCTGCATCGACACATTGTTGGAGTGGAGAACCAGATTGCGGGCCTGCCATAGGATCTGCTCCTTCTCTTCGTCGCTGGGCGGGATGTTTTCGCCCTTGACCTTGGGGAACGGGGAGAACGAAGGGGCGTCCATGGCTGCGTAGTCGAATGCGCTGGTCTGGAAGGGTTTAAAGCTGCCTCGGAGGATTTTCCACGGTCAGCGCGCCAATCCCCACTAGGTTACGGGGTCCAATCATGTTTCCGGACTTACGACTTGGATTGTCCGCCTTCGTAGCTCTGCGTTGTCGCGCTACCGTCTCGTCTGGGGTCGGCGTCGCGAGCTTCGAGTTCCAAGCGCTGTATATCCTCCTGCATGTTCTGGGGCACCTCGGGCATTACCCTGCAGCAAAACCCGATGGGCGTTAGCCTTCAGCCTCGATCCAGCCTCACCCGTCCCAGCCGAGCCTCATCCAATCGCTCCTTTTGGGGGGCCGCCGGGCGCAGCTGATGGATCAGCGGGGCCTTCCGACCCGGCTGCCGTTGGGAAAATAAGCACGTAACAATGTCCGACGCACTCACCTCTGAGGGGCCGGGGCGACAACTTCTGGCATGTAGTAGTCATCGTAACCCCCGGGAACAAACGTTGCGCCAAACTGTGGCATGTCGAGGAACTCGTCTCCAGGCGGAAGACTTGAGGCTGCATTAATTAATGAGCGGAAATGTCAGCAGGAGATGCCCCAAAGCGGCGAGGCCCCACGAGTGAGCCTCTGTTATGATCTTTTCCCCGCTTGAACCTGTCGCAGGGTGTTGGCGGCTGGCGGGACCGTTCTAAGAAGCGGGACTTGAGATGCAAGGAGGGGCGCCAAGAAAAATGTCGGGTGTTCGTCGAGCTTCGGTTGGTCTCTGCGCCGTTTCTTGTTGGTTAGAGTCCGAGGAGGACCTCAACTTGGGACCGGATGATGGAGCAGATCTTGTGTATTCCTCTTCTCAAACATACAGAGGAATGATAGATCCGGTTCGATCGTAGGAATATATGGGAAGTGCGAGGTCGCCCAGATTTGGCAGTGGCTGTGATGGGAATGTCCTAGACAAATGGCAGGGGACCAGCATGGACAGAAGGGGGCAGGCCGAACAGCAAAGCAGCAGCTTCATCATCAACAGACCCGGTTTTGCCGATAAACGCGGGCTGCCCCGGCTTCGCGAGCCTGGAATGGTTTCGTCCGCGACCTGCGCCACGACCGCGCGACGCTCCACAACGATCTCAGTACAAAATTACCGTAACGATGTGTGTACAGTAATATCCCATCTGCCGGTGTATGTCATCCAACTGAGCTTGTTCAAGCGTAAACTCCGGCAGAGATAAAAGCCCTTGGCATATCTTGTACGAAATCTCTAGGATGTGGAGGGCGTGTGGCTTATATTTTCGATTCGCGCTGCTGCTGCTGCTGCGCCTGCGAGCCCTCGGTCGGCCATTCCCGTAACTAATGTTTGCAGTGAAGGTCGTCCTCTTGCCGGCAAGCCTAGCTGGATGCAGTGGGGTCTTACACCCGCAAATAGAACAAGGCCCCGCCAGCCCAAGAAACTAGAGAACCAAAAGGTAGGGGAATTTTCAGCCTCGCCTCCACGTACCTGATCGTGTAATTAAACAGTTGATTCTGGTGCCGTCGGCGTCAATCTTGGGAGCGGCGTCGTGCCCATGCCGAGTTTGATCAGGACGCGAATGCGCCTTTGCACATGGCGGGCTGTTCCAGGACGTCATTGCGAGTTTGCGACAGCTGTGGTGGGGTTGAAGGATGCAAGGCAGTGGCAGAGGATACAAAACAGCGCGTCAGTTATCGCGTGCAGCACATTGCGGGGCAGCGCCGATCTTGCATTCAGATCTCGAATGGGAATGCCGATTAATGTACTCCGTAGGTTTCGAGACCAGCAGATCCTCAAGTTACTTGGACAATGCTGCGCTTGAGGGGATCTCGTGTAAATCTGAAAACCTTGACCGACACGAAACGCCACTTCTGTGGTTTGCAAATAGTGTAGAAGAAAAGGAAGGAGCTGGTGCGAATGGTCCAAAACGATCCCTTTGTTGGATAACTGTGCGAGATGAGGCAGCTCTGGGCAGCTATCACAACTTATCGGCATCGAAGCAAAATTGCCCGGCCCAAACTAAGGTAACCGTGGATAACCATCTTTCAGTCTGTTAGGGAGTGCAGAAGGCCGACACAGATATTGCTAAATCGAGGGGAAGCCCAAAGGTATCCTTACAGCAAATGCAATTATGCATATAACAGAAATGTATTGTACCTTAGCTGCCTTTGACATCTCGGGATTTGCAACAGCTCTATCCCAATTTCCCAAACGTTGAAACCAAGGCTGGAGTTCGTATGCCAATTTCCCTCTACACTGCAGGGCACGCGACATGGAACCTCAGAAGCCTACCTTACCTACATTAATAATTAGGCTCCTAGGCAGCCCACCAACCAGAAGGTCGCTCTTAACGCTCTGTGTGCATTTGTGTGCGCCTGAGGTTTGAGGCAGATCGCGAGGCAGATTGGACGGTCCAATAGCAAACCGGACTGAAGCTTTGGACTGCACTAACGAACGAAGCAGGTACAGCCAGTGCTGCGTTGTTGACGGCTGCATGTATGCAGCCCATAGCAATGCTTCGTCTTTCACCATGAACTGCCTTGTTGAAGCAGAACAGCTCACAAAACAAGTTGGAGCGCTCGCCTTTCTCCCCGGATCGTCTCACAAGAAGTCAAGCACAATTCAACAAAGAGTTCAATCTTCTCTCTTTTATCGTTGGCATTGTGTGCAGGCTCTTGAAGCTGATAACTTCGATGGAGACGGTCGGAGTTGCCTTGGGCGCCGTGCCCCTTGTAATCGAGCTCTTTAAGCAAGTCATCAACGCCTACCACCTCTTTCTTGAGGGCAACAATCTTGAAAAATCGACGACCCATTTCGCTATGAAGTTGGCCATTGAGAAGCATCGTTTGCTCCGCTGGGGTGAGAGCTTAGGCCTTTGCAACCCGGACTCGATAAGCGCCAAGTTTGGCAGTGGCACGAGTATTTTCAAGGACGAACAGCTGGTCAAAGTCATCGAGCAAACTCTCCATTGCATTCACGACATCTTCTGCGACGTGGGCCCTCTTACAAAAAAGTATGGGGTCGATGTCGTGTCCAGTGAATCTGGCGAATCGAGCAATCCGCAGAATTGTGAGGAACCAGCACCGAGCCAACCGACTAAATTGTTGCGGTCAAGGAAGAGGAAGAGTACCTCACAAGCTGCTATAAATGGGAAGCGGCCGAGGCTCAGCCTAAGCAGATTTCAGTGGGCCATAAGGGACAAGGACGCCTTCGAGAAGCTCCTCTTGGATCTCAAGTACTACAACGATAGTTTACACGCTCTTCATCCGCCCGAAATTGCGATCACTCTGTCGCGAGATACCCTAGGATCACTGATCCAAACGGCGAGTCCCGAAATGCTGGAAAACTTTGGACGCCTCAATTCAGCTGAAGTTTCCTGTCTACCGTACAAGCCAAGGGAGGCGGCGATTTTCCAGAGTCTCCCGCAAACAGCCTCTATTGCTCTGGCGATTCACAAGAAACCGAGCAGCGACTCCTGCTTCCCGAAGGCCTGTGATCAACACGCCAACGGCATAATCCCTTGGAGACAGCTTCATCCTTTGGGGGAACTCTTCGGAGAATGCCGTCGCGCCCTGTGGCAGGACCCCTCAGGTCGAGACTCTCAAGTGACCCTGGTGTTCCTTGAGTCTGTATTAAAGGGTCCCGAAGCTTGCACTTACGATTTCAGAAAATCAGAGCTATATCAGCAAAAGCTCATGCAACTGAGACAACTTGCATCATTGCTTGCCCAAACCGGAAATCCCGAGCTTTTCAGAGTCATGCGGTGCCGCGGGATAACAACAGGCCCGGACCGTCTCGACATCGTCTATGAGCTGCCTCCCGGGGCTTCAGCATCCGGAAGATGTCTGAGTCTCGCGAATATACTACAGGAGCCAAATGTTGAAATAAAATTCAAGTGGAATCCTCGCCCCAGCCGGCTGACACTTGCTCGGGAGCTCTGCTCGGGCATCTTCCACTTCCATTCCTGTTCCTGGAGGCATAAGGACATATCGTCTGAAAATATCATCTTCTTTGAGTCCATTACGGGTTACATCGATATACACCGGCCATATCTCAAGGGATTCAAGAAAGCGCAAATAATAGACGAGACTACGCATCATGGTAGAATCCGTGTGCCGATACGCCAACACCCTTACTACTTGTTTCGGAAGGCGCTTTCGGAGGCAGGGCTTCTGCCCCAGATAAACAATTATTTTCGGTTTCGGCACGAGTATTACTCGCTGGGCTTGGTTCTTTTGGAACTCGGCCTTTGGGAAACTCTCGGGGCTATTTGGAATCCAGCAAAGGCGGCAAATCATGTGCGCCAAGTAGTAGATTACTGCGACAACGAATCCATGGAAGCATGGAAGATAGTCTCTGCAATAATTTCGAGGACAGACGAACGGGGCTTGGAATGTGAGCAGACAAACCGGCAGCCGGATGTTTACGATGGTCTCCCAAGTGCCATCAAGCAATGCTTTGACCACTTCAAATCCGCCATTGAGCAGGAGCAAGTGGTTGAGCCACTGCGGGAGACCAGTCTAGCGAACGACCGAAAAAAGTGCGAAAAGGTGCTTAACCTATGGTTGTCCTGTTACGAGGAGAGGAGTGCCTACATCCACAACACAGCCATCCAGCAAGCAGAAGAATTCTTGGAGGCGACCATGGGACGGAGGTACCAACAGCTTGTCCTGAGATGTCTGAGGTCGGAATTCGAACTTCCATTGTCGGCAGCGGAGGATCAGTGGGTCAGGCATTTCAACTGGATGGTGGTTAGGGAGCTGGAAGCATGCTGCTTGGAGGAGACGAAGAAATTGGACCTTGCGCCGCAGTCACAAGACTCTTTGCATCTAGAAGGGACACGGTCGTAGTATCTGACCAGCTGGAGCTGGCCAGGATGAAGTATGAACCTCCAGCCCCCCCCCCCCTCCCCCCAGGCTATTTAAACCATAGACTAGGTGATTCACCATCTTGTTGAGAATATACGGCTAATAATGGCCATGCCTCGGTTGCAACAAGCAATCGGGTTTCTTGTCTTTAGCAATTCTGTACCCAGCCAGTGCTTCATCAAACCAAGAGACCGCACGGTACGTTACGAGTCTTAAGTTTTCGGGGGTTAACCCAGGTTCCGCCAAGCTTGTCAGGTTTCACGGGACTTGTCCTCACTTACACGAGGACCGAGGATATATCTATCTACGAGTTGTATTCCAGAGCCACTACCTTGCTAAGTCTGTAGTTTACAATCCATTATTTTCCACGAACCATGACCAATCTAGCCACCCCGCCTCCCGTGCTCCTTCACCAAAGAATGCCAGTCTATTGTCAGATATCCACCCAGAGCGCCCCATACGGCAGACTCGGCCCAAGGAACCCCTGGCTGATGAAAGGAGTGACAGCCGAATTGTACAAAAACATCAGGTGAAGGGTTCTGTACCAACAGTTTCTACAATACCCAACGCCTCTCCAGATACAGAGCCGAACCTGAGTCAAGAAAAGAAGGACGAGAGACCCGGGACAACTATCACAAACTCCACAACCCCAAGTTTCGCAGAGGAGTCAGAAAAGCCCCTTACCAGGTGTCACATCTCCGGGCGGTTGCAATCGGGAACCTAGCAACACCGTAGTTAGCCACAACCTCAAATCCCCCGAACGAAGCCTATACTATATACATGTACAAACACTACCAAGTAAAGACTGAACTTACCGCTCATACGCGTACGTACAATCCCTACAAACACAGTGATAACACCACCCGTCAGGGTCGTAATACACGCGCATGGTCCAGCGGAGCCGACCGCACCGGTCACAGCGGGCCGAGTGGTCAAACGAGCGGTCGTAGAGGCTGCTGAGGGGGCAGCCGTCGGCGTAGTCAGGCCCGGCACCGGTGTAGCCACAGACGCCGTCGGCGCGTAGGGTTGCGCGCTCGTCTGTGTACACCTTTGTTGTTCCGCAGGCCTTGCGCAGACCGCTCCTCCGTGATACGTGCGACTTGCCGCAGAACTCGGTCGTTGCGCGCACGTGGCCGCAGCGGGTGTAGCGGATCTGGTAGGTCCAGCACATTGTGTGGGGGAGTATAACGCGCGCAACGCGTGCCGGTGTTGAAAGGTGCAGTGGGCACCGGGGGGAGGGGTCCGGGCTGGATGGAATATGGCCCGGAGAGTAGATGGATGAAGGGAGGACGGCGGGGAATCGGAGCCGAGAAAGGATTACCGCAGGGCGGAATCCGGGGCTGCCGAACCCGCCTGGCTAGGTTGGAGTTGATCGGCTCAGGGGGTGGGGTAAAGATGGTTTAAGATTCGATGGTGAAGGATCAAGATGTTGAGGTCTGATCGGTGCTGTTTGTGGGTTGACACCAGACGACAGACGTAAGACAGTGCCGGGAGTGGGGGGAGAGAGGAAGTGACTGGTAGCATTTTAACTGTTCTTTTTGTCCCCATACTCGACGTGCCGGTCTGTGATGCTCCCACACAGAGTTCTTGCTAACACCAATTCGTCGCTTACATCTTCAATCGCTCAGAGGTGCCGCCCGGTCCAGTTGAGGCCCGCGGCGGGGAGACATGCCGCATGTTTCTACCAATGGCTTCGTTCCCTTCTTAGCGCCTCATTGTTTCTGTAACGGTTCATTCCGGTTGTCTTGGCAGGGTGCCAATCGGGTGCTCTTGCTCGCGGTTCTTTGGGGTTGCTGAGGGCCCCGAGGTTACCTTAGCAGACTGGTTTGTTTCGTGACGTTCCTGGAACCAACCGGCCGAGAAACCAAGCAAATCGGCAGCCATCAGGTCATAAGTGTGTAGGTAGGAGTGTCCTTCCTGAAGGACGGGTCGTCGTGATCTGTAGACCTGCAGGTGCGCCTGGAGGGACGGCTCGTTTGGCTTGCCGCGCGGAACGGCGCGCAGCGGCTGCGACCCCTGGCCTGCTGCAGATTTTCAGGGGAGCCTACTACTAACTATAGGCGGTTAGTGTAGGTAGAAATCCGGTCAGGCCAAGCCTTGGCGCTGACACCTCCGTTGACCTCAAATGGCTTCCATTTTGGCCAGCCTCTGAGCGTGGAAAGCGCGACCGCACCACACGGTGAGGAAGGCGCGAACCGCCGGCAACTACTCGGGTTTCTACGCTTGATTGCAATTCCAGATTTTGAGACTTCGTGGATGGATTTTAGATACGGAGTAATAACCTAGACAGAATCACCGCCAAGATCTCCCCTTCCACTGCACAACTACCATTGGAATCAGTGACGCGCCAACCAGCATGGCCGTGGCAATCCCCGCCGACGGCCTGAACCCGGCCTCCAAAATCATCTGTGGGAACCAGAACGGTCCAATGAACCCCCACATTTGCCGCACGAAGCAGACGAAGACGCCCACATCGGCAGCGCTCTCCCTGTAGCAGTCGACCGCGTACGTCGTCGCGACCGTCGTGACGATCTGGTTCCCCACCGCCGCGATGCCGGCACCGATGATGGGCGTGATGTTCCACGTATCGCCCGCCCGGTCGAGCTGCACGAGGTACACCACCACGCCGCAGATGGCTAGCAGGAGGCCCGGGTAGCCCACCCAGAGGCGGAACTCGGGCTGCGGCGCGTGGTGGCCTTCACTGCCTTCGCTATCGACGGCGGCGCTGTTCTTCTCGTTCTTGCTCTGTCGCCGCCACATCCACCAATCACTCAGGAACCCACCCATCAGCTCGCCAATAAGCGAACCGACGATGAGGCTGATGTTCTGCAGGCCCACCTGCTCTGGGTTGAGACCGAACTTCTCGGGAAACAGCGAGCCCGTCTCAACCGTCATGACTATATTGGCCCATAAGAAGACCATGGCATAGGCGAATGCGGGAATGATGACGCAGGGCCGGGTGACGAACGAGAGGGGTCGGACAAAGTCCCACCAGCTGAGAGGCGTAGGATCAATGCGCCTGACGCTCAGGAGACTTCCGAACGAGCGCCCGTTGACGCTGGCCGAGAGCTGCGGAGTGCATGCGGGGACCGAGTTCCGGATGTAGCGCGATTCGGACAAGAGGAAAAACCCAAGGATAAACTGCACGCCGTTGACCTGAGCGGTTTGGTCAGTACCTCCTACCAAGGCCCGCGATCCGACAGTGCGACTCACAATGGCCATGATCCAGTAGATCCACAGATACCCGACTCTCACCGAGACGAACCCAAAGATCAAGGGCGCAACCGGCACGCCAAGGGTGACCATGATCGTCCACACACCGATGTAGCTCGCCCGCTCCTTTTTGAAAAAGGTCTCGGTGACGACGCCGCTCCCGAGGGCGATGGCTGGCGAGATGAAGAAGCCCGTGATGGCCCGGCAAAACGCCATTGTACTGTACGATGGGCTCACGGCGCAGCCAATGTTGCCGGCTAAGCTGCAAAGCAGAGAGAGCAGAAAGATTGGCCGCCGCCCGAAGCGCTGCGAGATGGGGCCCCATATCAGCGGTGCGCCGCCCAGCACCGCGATGACGAGCGAAAGCATGTACGAGGCACTCTGGATCGACACGCCAAAATCCGCCGCGATCTCGGCGAAGACGGACTGCACTGCGGCCGCTGTGAAGGTGCCCATCATGGCGTGGAACGCGACCAGCACCAGGTTGATAACTTTCTGTTTGGATATCGTCGTCAGTACCCTGTTCAAGGTAAGGGAAAGGACAAGGCCCTACCTTATGTTTCGGCCAGTTGTACGGATCATTGTCCGTCATGTCCGGCACCGGCTCGAGGTCCAAAGTGCCATGGCGTTGCAAGAGATATTGCCGATGCTCTTCGCTCAGGGCATGGATTCCTTCCTACATCTCGGTCAGCTAATTCCAGTCAGTCCCCCAAGCTTCCACAGCAATGCTCACAGTGTACTCAACATTGAGTGTCTCGGCTCCCGATCCCTTTGCCATATTGAAGACCACGCCTGCTCAACCAGAAGACAAGGAAGCTGGCCACGGGAGGGAATGAGGGAACAGTCCGGGGGACCAGCCAAGTCTTGGCCTTGCTTCTTAAGCCAAATTCAACCCCAAGGCCGATCCCTCACTCGCCCGGGCTGTCCCCGGAGTGTTACCCCATACCCACACATATCCACGCTTCCAGATATGGGGCCCCAGAATGTCACAGATGCAGAATGTCTCCGCGCCTTCAATAAAAACCAGAAAGACCGCTGAATTCAGCCAGTGAGGTTGTTGCTCCGGAGCTCTATATATCGCCGCTGGAGACAGGCCCCACATGACATTGGAGACTTCAATCGGACATTTGGCTTCTCTTGGCATCCGGTGCCATCGAGCTGGGACCAGCTCACTAAATGCCAAGCAATCATTCGTCGGACGCTGGCAGACTGCGACATTGATTGTCGTGGGAAGTGGATCGAATGTGTGGGTGGCGGCGAATGTTCGGGTTGTGGGGGAACCGGGAACGTGGGACGGCAGTTGCAATTTGCAAGACACGCGCCAAACCCACGAATGACAGCAATGGAAGTTTGGTTGCTAATTTCTGCCCTTCGGGTTGATGAAACGGCTTTAGCTCGATCCGTGTAAGTGCCAGGGCAGGTTGATTGAAAGACGCTTGCTGGAGACATCACTAGCTTTCACTACTTGGTACCTAGCCAGCTAGGAAAGGATAAGTTTGGGCGCGACACTTGTCAACGGAAGCTAATGCAAATGCAAGCAGATCTGACTACCGTATATTCTTGGGAAGTTGAGCTGACCCTACTGCAAGTGCTAAGGCTAGCAACCAATCCCAGCCTCACTCTATCCTACCTGCTTCAACTTTTGATGCGATGCGATGTCGAAGTAAGCCGTTTGAAGTGGGCGGGATACTGAACAGATGCGTTAGACTCGCAGTAGGGTCGGCTCAATTCCCAAGAATACGGCCCCTTTCGCGACTCAAATGGGCCCCACGAAACGAGGCATCGGAATACCCGTTTTCTCAGACCATACGGTACCACCACATAGGAACCCGGAACAAAGGAGATGATAATGACATTCAATACGCCGTCTTGGCTCAGTCCCTCCCCCACTGCAATCCAACCACCTAACTGGCTAGGGAACAGCTACAGTACATGCCCGGCTTAGCCTAACACCAATGGCTGCAGTGGTACCGGCAAACAACCCGTTTATCTGATTAGAGACCGGAAATTGGAGCAGACATGAACCAAGTCAATCTCACTTGCGCTCAGCACTGACACCACTTTCACTAGAAGTGATCTGGTAGAGCTTCTCGGTAATGGGTACGTTGTTGGTGTCTTCCAACCACCTCAGTAGCATTGGGGCGTAGCTGTCGCTGCTGCTGAGGGTAGAGGTAGTTGACGGGTTGGTTGGCGATCCAGTAGCACTGTTTGAGACTCGAGTTAGTACTTATGCAATATTACGATAACCAATGACCTAGGGAGTTGTGTTAAGAGCAGGCGGGGATAGTAGATATCGATGGCACTCACTGGGTCACGCTTCCCATACAAGGGACAGAAGTGTTGGCTTTTGTAGAGGTGGCGGGCTGGTCGTGATTGGTAGGCATGCTAGGCCGAGTGCTGGCTGTTGATGGACTGAAAGAGTCTTAGAGAATAGGTACAAATTACAATACCTAGGTATTTTTGATGAGCTGCTTTGAATGCTATTGAGAAACATGAAATTCTGGGATGTTTTGAAGATTGGCGACTCAAACTGAGATAGACGTATTTATACACAACTTTCGCCCTTGTCAGATTCATCATGGATGGCTGCTGTACTTTTAACTGGACTTTTCAGTTCTGAAGTGCTGTGCTAGAATGCATTCACGAACGACTTGACCCGAAGTCTTGGCTGATCAACGGTCGGGATGCTCGTTATGTCGGCCTCATGATGCTCTGTTTGTCGGCATGCTCGTTATGTCCGATAACGCGTGGACCTACATGTAGGGTACCGGACTTGGCCTGCATGTGGCTGAACTGATGTTAGTCGCGGAAGAGATACCAAGCCTTACCTTATACACCCAAGAAGTACCTGCCCGTAGTGTCATGAGTCTTATGCGAGACCGACCAATTAGAGGCTTCGTGGGGCGGTAGACACACTCAAGACCTTGGCCACGGAAGCGGTCACAACTGGGCAACGAGCCATTGCAGCGTGCCTTTCGGACGTGGAAGTTTTGGCATGCCTGGCGGGCTCGACGGCGGGGTACCGGGATGGCGGTTGCAGTTGCAGTGCCGTGACCTGAATCACCGTGGACGATATCGACGCCAACATTGCCGTCGTACGAGCAAGGCAGGCTCAAGCGGTCACAATTGCTGCAAGTCACTCGGCGGCCGTCGCATCGGACTTTGCGGGCTCGACGTGATGCACGTGCTGGCAGGCCGGTTGGGTGGAGTGGGCAAGGCACTCATCATCGGTGATAGAATCCGATCATTGTTCCGGTGAAGATGCTCAAGGGCCACAAGGTTATCAACGAGCTCGGCGTATTGGATCTCAATTGGCACCCTCCGACGGGAGCCAATATGTGTACGGTCAGTGCTCGGGCTGATGTGACAGCTTGCCACATGGATGTGATGATTGGATTCGGTCGGGTGCGCGGATCCGCCCATGAGGCATGAGGCTTACTACCAGATTGGTGGGTTCTAAGGTAGCAGGGGAAGGGGGTTGTCTATCATCACTGGCAACATTACAAATCCGCCCTGGCACTTGAGGAGTTGAGGTCTGGTACGGGCGAAGGCACTACTAGTAGTAATGACTGACATTATGTGCGCATCATGGCTCATAAGGGTGCCTAGCCTGCCCGGTTCATTATGGTTCTATGGTCTACATGGGTGCCATCACCGCTTGTCTTGCCTGCACCAGACTCCAATGTCAATGTGAACTGTAATGTGGCCAGTGATGATAGAGGACCTCACCGCCTATCTCTGCATATCTTGGCCTTCCAATTCCAATGCTTGTCTTCCTGCTTCATATCTATCCATGCCGAGGCCTTGTCTTTCTCCCCTTTTCCTTGGACATCCACCGAAGCAAAATACACCCTCTTCGCTTGCCTGATAGCACAACATACGCCTAGGTGTGGTGGGCTGTGTGACCTAGTGTCTTCAGGTTCTCGAACGAGCGCTCTGCGGCTCTGAACTCTGTACTTAGCCATAAGATGCCATGCCAGAACCACTTACCTAAGCCACGAGTAAAGGACTGAAGGATGCCGGTCCCCTTCGTGGTCTTGGCCCGGGCTTCACGGGCTACCTACTTAGGTTCTCCATCTTCAAAAGGTTAGCCACAGCAAAGTAACCGTTGTCTTCTGCCAACTCAATCGCGCGTTCAAGCCCTGTCCCCCGAATAACGTCACCTATTGCGCCTGCATTCAGCAACAGCCGTACCATATCTAGGCGGCCGTGCTCAGCTGCCCCCTCTATTGCGGTGCGGCCATCCTTGACAGAAGGCCAGGCGTTCACATCGGCACCCAGGCTTATAAGCAATTCGGCAAGCTTGAGATCCCCGGCTATGGCAGCGCCCTGTAGCGCCGTGATGCCGTACTCGGGCGAGGGCTCGGCATTTATATCCGCGCCGCGACTAAGCAAAAGGTGAACGATTGTCATCTTTTCAACCCGGGGCGTCAGCAAGGCAGCGGCTTGAAGAGCGGTACGTCCTCGACTGTACGCTGGTGCCTCGTTAACGCTAGCTCCATGATCCAAGAGCATCCTCAGCGCTGTTAGGTCCCCAAGCAGACATGCCAGTTGAGTCGGTGTGCATGTTGTGAACGAGACAACCTTGTCACGCCACATGTGATCGATGATGGGGGTTTCACGAAGGAAGCGAGCAAGAGCTTTATGCCAGCCTCTAGAGACGACTTCGTGAAGTGCCCAGCTTGGTTCGCCGCCAGGCCGGCTGACAGAGGCGCCGGCGTCCAACAGCTTATCGCAAAATTCTTCCACTACTTCGGTTTCTTGGGGTTCGAAAAGCCTTTGACCAAGATATGCTTCCAGGGTTGTCAGGCCTCCAAGCAATGCTGGCGCCGCAGAAGCGTCGGCTCCAAGCCGGAGTAATAGCTGGGCAACTCTGACATGCGAGTCGCCAGTGTTGCCCTCGAGTGCTGCTTGTAATGCTGTTCGCCCGTCTATCGGATGCGCTGGCGCGTTGATATTCGCTCCTTTGCCAACCAGGAATAGAACCATGTCTTCCCGACCACTTCTGGCCGCCATTTGAAGCGGGTTTAACCACACTGAAGGGTACATGGTCCGGTCTTTCTCGCACAGCACAGGGGTGTCGATGTCCAACCCTGACTTTAGGAGGCAGGCTGCTGCGGCGATGTTTCCATTCCTGGCTGATTTCACCAAAGCGTTCATCCTCTGCTTTGAGTCAACCAGGTATGCGGGGAATGCGTCCCAGAAACTCTGGTCTTTGAGTCTTTCGGCAAGGCTCTCGAGAAGTCCTGGCTGTCCACTGGGATCTGCCTTGTGCAGAATAAGCAGCTTCAGGAATAGACGGCATCGTTCATTATCGTCCACGGTCGAAGCAGTGGTGAGTGGTGGAATCGCGAGGGTTGGGCCGTTTGGATCAACCCCGTACTGAAGCAGGGTGGCAGCTGCCAAAATGCGGTCACTTCGTATCGATGCTTCCAGAGCTCGCTCCAGTTGGTGCGTCGTCACTCCTTCCGGTTGACCCTCGATATACGCTCTGAAAGCGTCAGGACCAGAGCTTGCCGCGTCTACCAGATCGGCCAGCAAGGAGCCACCTGCTCCAACCGGCAGATTTTGCTTGAAAAGCTCAAAGATGTCCCGGCGGTTTAACGCTGCCCATTCAAGGACAGTCAGCCCGTGGAAGCGCGATGAGATTTCGGGCACGTGGGCACCATGTGCCAGGAGGCATTTGACCGCCTCGGTCCTTCCATTGAGAGCCGCGTACTCCATGGGAGTAGTCTGACTCCCAAAAGACCGCCGGTTGGGGTCAGCGCCAGCTTCAAGAAGAATCTTGATCGCTTCAATGCTGTTCCTCAACATCGCTGTCTCAAGCGCCGACATGTGGCCAGACTCTGCGTCTGGGGATACTCCTTTCTTGAGGAGAAATCGGACGAGGTCAAGTTGCCCATGCCAGATACACTGACACAAAAGCTTCGCCCCTATGTCCAGCTTGAAGCATGCTTGGTTCGCTTTACACAAGACGCGTTGCGTGAGATCAGCGTCGCCAATGCGTGCTATATTACACAGCAGCACGTTGTCGAACTCGACGCCGTATTCAAGGAGCATGTCAACGACTTGAATATTTTTTGATCCGACGGCCGAGTCCAGGAGCACGTCTGCAAAAGCCTGGACCGTTGGCGTCCGGATCTCAAGAAACCGCTTCAGGAAGCTTGTGTATTTTTGGCCAACGACCCATCGAAGGAAATCGTCCATCATCCGATCAGTCATGTGGTTATTTGATGCCAAGAATGACACCAATGCGAAGATTAGCGGGAGTCCACCAGTAACTGATGACAAAATCCCAAGATTTTTTAGGAATAAGCCTGATATGCCGTCCTCGAGCCGCTCAGGAACATATAGTTGAAGCTGTGAGGCAACATTGGGCAAGTCGACCGCAGCAGGGGCCCACGCCAGGCGAAAAGCGTCGGCGATTGCCATGATTGGGTGAGAGGACGGAGGTGCAAGATGTGGCAGAATGTCTCCATGTACGGCAACAGGTCCTGGCAGAGAGAGGCCTGAAGTATTGCCGCAATTAGCAAGACGGAGTGCAAAAGCTCTAACCGGGTGAGTGAACCGCATTTGTACCTTGTTGTTCAATCACAGAAAGGAGGCAAAAGAAGGGCAGGTTCCTCATGAGATCGAAGCTTCGGCTGGGATCTGAGCGAAACTCCACCGCCGAGGCAAACTGCAAGTGGCCTGGCATGAAGCTGCTCGGGGTGGCAGCTGCTGGTCTCTTTAGTAATGTTGTACAGCCCACCTACACGTCTGCCTTCGTACTTACTGGGCCCAAAGTCAGAATCGACGGCAACAACCCAGTCACTCAGCTCCATCACGGAGTTTTCGAGGTGCCCAATGGATGTATTCCATACAAACGATCCTGGAAAATGGTCTTCCTCAAACACTGGACCTGCCGTGGCTGTCTGAATATCCTCATGCGCGCGGCCAGAAGTGAAGACTGGCAGAGGACCCAGTCCAGATCCTTCAAGCATCTGGTGGGATATCTCTGGAAGAGAGCTGGGCTGCGCCGGACACTCTAAGGGAAAGTCGGCGTCAGGGATGGTGCCCAAGCTTTGGCTATTCACGGGTGTTGGCGACGGAGTTCGGAAGGATATCCTGCCTGCAAGGTGACCCGGCCCTCTCACTTCAAGGTTGGTAAGCAATTTGGTGCCACGTTAGCTAACATTGTATCACCACGCGCAAACTTACATGCCGAAGATTGTGCTGTTGACCGAGATTTAGTCTTTCGGGCACGAGCAATCCCGCGACTAACACGCGCCAGGGGTAATGGCCGGCCATGAAGACACACGACGGTCTGCTTGCCCTGTTCGGTGCGGCGTTGGAATTCATCACCAATGTAGGTCCACTCATCACCTGTCACGTTCTTGAGATGCTGGAAGCGATACTTGTATTGTCTCTCACTATGGAGACTCTTTAGCGACAATGGATCATACTAAGGGAACCGGGGGGAGGCACAAGAACCAAGCCATCGAGGTTAGAGGTACTAACCTTGCTTTGAAGTTATGGGTCAAGCTCATATGCTTCTTCACGTCGGGTAGCTTCTTGTTTTGAGACACATATAATTCGAGGATTTCATCTTTGTGTTTGTCCCAGTCAAGAGGCGCGGGCGGTCGCTCCTCCTCTCGTTGCATGTTGGGCCCCAACAGTTGGGACACGGGTTAGGCAACGATTGAGATTAGGTTCTCAGGTAAAGATTGCTTGAATAACAGTGAGGAAAGTCATCAGAGTCGCATCCCTGGCCTCGGTACATGTACCCTTCGTAACCATCGATGTCGGATTTGGTTCGCTCGGATGTGGACGCCTTATGAAGGCAAACGACCACAGCATCCCCTACACGCATGCCGCTTCAATCACGTGAGTTCCCGCCATCAACACCTTGTCGGGGCTGAGCTGTGTACTTTTGTCGTACTTGTATTCTGCACTGCTGATTGGATGTACAAAAGGACAATGCATGGTCCGTGAATCACGCTTCGTCACTGTTCCCAGGTACCTTAATAATGCCCAATTGGTCTTTTCTTCCTCAGGGACACCGCCGGCGAGTTCCAGGGGCACAGTGCACCACCGCACTGCACTTGGCAAGAATAAGTACAAAGTACTGTACTTATTTGTAGGTAGCCTGTAGGTTTCTAGGTAAAGGGTTCTTGAGAGCATTCAGGTTGATGACTTGAGTGCCAGTCCGCCATCGCAGCCTGAAAGCCCTGGATGGCCAGGGGGAGGGGGGCAGTAAGTTGGCAATCTTTTCCTAAGGTACCTAAGGCTCTATGATCTATCCAAGGCTGGTCCAAGACTGATTCAATGTTTTTATACATGAGCACCCCGACCAACAGGGACACTTCAATGGATCGTTATCGTTCGTCTCGCAGCTTAATCGCTGCTAGCCATCACACTCATCACAGTACTAGTATCAAAAGGCAACGACGAGAAGTTTAGCAACAAAGCAAGCCTCGGTATCTCCGTATAGTACCAGGGCATTACTTTACGCCACATGTCCCGCCTCCAACGTCAGTTTGAGAACTTAAGGGGCAACCAAAAGTACAATGGCAATTACACAAAGACAAAAGCCTGCCCAGTGTATAAATGACTTCATGTCCATCTTTATCTAGACCCGAAAGCCATCTCATTGAACTGTTATTAGCATTCACGTACCCACCAACATCACCCAGAAGGCTCTCTAAGTGAGAACCTACCAACACTCAGCCTAGAACCATGTCTTCGAATCATGCCCACTCCGCCCGCTCTGCCAAAGCTGGCACTTCCGTGCCATATACCGAAGACATAACCCAGCCTGTTCCAATGATGCCTAGGTAGGTACCTAGCTTCCGAATCTCATGCGCAACTGCATGTCAAGTATTGTCCCTCTCAGTGCTGACTGGAGTCTGAGGAAGTGCTGCCAAACGCGCGACCAATCCGCAAACTCCCAGTATAAACAATATCCTCTACGGTCACGACAACTCCACTCCAATGTTGTTGAGATGGTTGGAAGAAGTGAATGACGTGCCCATTAGTGAGAAGATTCACCTGGTTACTTCGCGAGGGAATGGAGACACTGAGTGCAAGTGATGCATGGAAAGATATCAGGAAGGATTCAAGCTGCTTTTCGTTCGTCTCGGCTCACTAGGAGCCTCGACTGTAGCAGGCATTGCAATACAAGAGGATAGCTCCATTTTCTTGACACAGAGGGGGAATTTACTCTCACCCACCTACTGGGACGCCGTATGAACCATAGCATACGTAGCTCGAAGACAAGCCAGATTCTCAAAGAGAGCAATGGAGACTTGCAGTCCTGCTTTATACATTGAGACCTCAACAATGTCAGAGTCACAAGTATGTACGAAGAAGAGTCGACCGTCCTTCCGGCCATCTAACTTGCTCTGAAGTAACCAACCCCGTCTCACCATACCCATTCTTCCATTCCCAAAGACGGGAGACATCAACTTAGCAACCCGACGTCTTGACCGCGGCAGTGGTACACGCAGTCCCCGACGGGCCGCTGCCAATCTTCGTAGGCTCATCGCCGTCGTCGTTGCCCTCGTACAGCCAGCAGGCGGCGCCCTTGAGGAGGCACGAGTTCTGGATGAGGGTGGTGTCGCCGTAGTTGGCGTTGACGCCCGCGACGACCGAGGCCTTGTCGATGACGCGGATGTTGTTGAAGGTCGAGTGGCGCGCGTACTGTGTGTCGCAGTTCCCGCACGAGCGGTACAGTTTTCCGATGTTGCTGGCCAGGAAGTTCTTGACGGCGACCGTCCCCGCCCCGTTGTGCTGGAACACCTTGTCCGAGGCGCCCCGCGCGCCGCCGCCGTTGACGTATGATGTTCCGGAGGTTTGGAGGAAGGTTGCGGCGTCCTCGCATACGTCCGTCCACCAGCTTGGGAAGGGTAAGGGTTAGTACGTTTGGTTGGACCTCATTTTGAGGTGGCCAAGGCCTTGGAGGAAGAAAGGGACTTACACGTTGTTCAGGGTGCAGGTTCCCTTGCAGTGGATGCCCTCGCCATTGTTGGGGCCAATGATGACGTTGCTCAGCGTGGCGCCATTCTCGAGGATGAAGACGGCGTCGTCGTCACCGCCCTCGGCCTGTTCGCTGCAGGTAGACGGGTTGCGGTCGTACTGGACCATCTTGCCGTCAAACGATTGGCCAGCAGCAATGGTCTTGACGGCAGCCAAGTTGGAGGTGGCCGTGGCGGTAGGGAACGAGGTCTGCAGATTGGTGTTGGTTTGCGCAACTGCGAGGGCCGCAGTGGCAAGAATGGTGAGAACTGCGGATGGCATTTTTGGGGAAGTGGCTACTAAGAGTGCTGGAGGAGCGAGAGTGAAGTCCAGAGGAGACGTTGGGCTGGTCGAGAAAGAATCCGGACGACTGAGGGATGCCTTCTTCGTGACGAAGCCATCTTTATAGTTCACCTACACGCCGTCACTACCACTGCTGTGGCTCCGATCAGGCCCTGTTGATCTCCAAATTCGCCCCTGGCCGCTGAATGAGATGTCGTCGGTTTCAAGGCCCACCAACCACGCAAGCCTAGCCCTGGCCCCAGTCGGCATTCCCAGTGCTCCTACTAGTGTGGTCTTGTCCTGCCCATGTGCCGAGTCTTCACCCTAGTTAGGGGGTTCTCCGCATTTACTAGATCATTAATGGTCGACGGTGCTGGGCAGTTGTTGAGAGGTAGCCTCAGGTAGGTACAACACAGAAGTTTCCCTTCCTGCTTTCGACAACATGATACTTTTTGCACGAATGAACGGTCTCCTCATCTCCTGGACATGGGCTAGGACGTCCGTGTTGCCCAACTAACCATCTCAGGGGGACAGGTGATGCTTTCCAACCTTCGCAACTCGGAGACCATGCTGTTAATCTTCCTCGAACATATTCCCCCCTCATCAGTCCCAACCTAGGCCCCCGGAAATCAGCAATTGAAGGCATTACGTACATGGGTGGGAACTTCCCAACATCGTGGCAAGTCGCAGCGTCCATCATGTCCAACTGAAGTCGATGTCCAAGGCCGCGAACGATTCCAGGAAAGGAAATCTCGGCACCAGAAGATCGAAGATGGATGTTTCACGGGGACCGATCCATGCAACGTCTTGGCATCGGAATTACGCAAGGTTGGTGGGATTTCCTCGGCACTGGCTTGCTCCCCCAGTCGAGCAAGGGGAGAGAGACGCGGCCTGCGATCCACCGAGGAGGAAAATCAATTTTTGATGTCGACGAGAAGAAGAGTTATTCCCTGGCGGAAACCGCCTGTGGAAGGGTGATGCCCTAAAGCGTTGTGCTGGATGTGCAAGATTGATTGGTGGAGTTTCCTGCCAAGCTAGCATTTGCGGGCCGGCAAGGCATTGGTCGGTACATACGAAGCTACATGGTCGGTGGCTGCCGTCGAAACGGGTCAGGTCACACTAATGGCGGTCTGGCCAGGCAGTACTTTTGCATCGAACTGTCAGGCAATTCAGCCAAAGACTGGCCATGTAGCAATTGAGTATTGGTTCAATTCAACCATTTTACAGCAAGATTCATCAATTCCGGCTTGTTGATGTTAGCTGCGCGGAAATTTTGATGATAGCGCTGTAGGCTGGCGACAAAACAGTCACGTGATACGGTTGATCAGTCAAACCGGCTGATTCTTATGATTTGTCTGCCTAGGACTCGTTGTGGGCCCTGTGGCTTGTGTGTTCTTAATTCTTAACCACAACGCTTCAAAGTTCAAACCGTTGTGCCACAGACCCGACTCGGTAACACGAAGCCCTTTCATCACGGGTTATGGTATTTCCCCAGAACACAGTCGCTGCTGGACTCGGCTGTGAACTGGCTCCTCAAACCCTTTCTCCTGATATTGATATATTGCTCCCGCAGGTTTTTGGCCTGCAAGCTCCCGCGTTTCTTCTTGAAACGTGGGTGATCCGCCTCCGCTAACTCGGCTCGAGTGTCTAGACTCTAGAGACCCGCTGGACCGAATTCAAATATCAAGTCTCGACATATGACCATCTAGACTCGACACAACCTCCCGTTCTGCGTCTGAACCCCTTGGTCTCCGTCTCTGACCTCCCAGCCCTCGCTGCCCACCGCCGTGGTCGCGTAGAACACCTCGCGAGGATCCCACTTCCTCTTCAGCTCCAGCAGCCGTGGATACTGCGTCCCGTAGAAGTTGCCTTGCCACTCGGGCTCGTCCACATTTGCTTCGTTTAGATACGCGCCGCCAAACTCGCTCACCGGCGCGATCGCCTTGAACGCCGGGATGATTTCCTCCTTCAGCACCCTAGATGCGGCGCCCACTTCTGCTGGCGTGGAGTCCGCCGTGAGCGGCGGCGCGCTGAGGATCAGGAAGCACACGACGTGCCTGAAGGCCGAACTGACGGCGTTGTCGGCGTTGGCCCGGTTCCGCGGCGCCTGGTGGTAGCCCATCAGCCGGTGGCCCGCCTCGCTGTGCCGGCGGATGGTGGCGAACGTGGCGTTGAACTTGGCCGACATGGGGTCTTCGAAGTTGGCCCGCGGGATGAGCCGGTTGCTTGGCACCGCGACACGGCCCGCACCGTTGAGCACGACATTGCTGCCCCAGGTCGCGTCGTAGGCCGGGTAATAGGCGTCGTGGTGGGTGGTGTTTGGGGTGAAGGGGATGCCGAGCTGCGTGAGCTTGTCGAACCAGGGCTTGACGAGCGCGTCGAAGGAGGCTAGCGTGTGGTTTGGCGCAAAGAACGGCTCCATGCTGAAGGTGAACGAGCCGTTGCCTGAGCTGCTCAGCACGAACCAGGAGTAGGTTCCTGCGTCTGTGAAGGGGACGAAGAGCGAAAGGTAGGTGCGCATGGCTTCCCAGAATGCGTCGGCGCTGACTGTGCGGGAGGTGCTGAAGCTGAAGGACGAGGTCACGACGGGGAGTTTGGGGTGGACCCTGATGATTATGGAGGTGACCACGCCGAAAGTGCCGCCACCGCCGCCGCGCAGCGCCCAATAGAGGTCCTGATTCTCTTCGGGCGAGGCGGTTATGAAGCGTCCGTCTGCCGTCACCACCTCGAGAGCCATGACGTGGTCGGCCGCCATGCCGTATAGGCCCGAAAGAGGGGTGTGTCCGCCGCCGGCAATGTATCCCCCGGCGTAGCCGACGCTCTAACACTCGTCGTCAACGTGGCTCTCGCGATCATCGCCGATCCAGACAAAACTTACCTCACAAATGCCTCCTAGTGCGCTTACATTGTTCTTATGCGCCGCCTGGTACACCTCTCGCACGGTCACCCCGGCACCAACCTTCAGGGCAGGGCCGGAATAGCCCGGTATCTCAAGACGCTCATAGTAGGTGATGTCCTTGAGGTTGTGGGTCCAGATACTCAGCGCGCCGGCTCCGCTGGACTTCCCCAGGTAGCAATGACCCGTGTTCTTTATAACTAGCCGCAGGTTGGCGTTACGCGCGAAGTTGATTGCGAGCTGAATCTGGCCGACGTTGCTGATGTTCACAGCATAGATGGGAAAGCCCCCATGCGTGCAGGTGCCATTGTCGGGGTCACCGGTCGGCATGCAAGTCCTGCCTTGGTACAATGGCCAGAAGATGGACGTTGGGTCATTTTCACTGCACAACACCATCAGCACTGCTTTTGGAATTCCAAAGAGCCGGACTTGCTTACTGGGTGTACTGATTGAAGAACGAATCGCGTACAGCCTGGCATTTGTTGGGGTCATAAACGCCCAGGTTGCGGTAGCAAGGCGCAGCCAGAGGCACCGTCTTGATGAGTGCGCCGCCAAGCATCCTGTCGAACATGTCCCATGTTGACTGAGGGGGCCATTGGGCGTCTCCGGGATACGCCTTGCAGGCACCGCTTTTCAGACGGTCCGGGTCTAGAACGCCGGTTCCGTGGTCAAACGCAAATAGGGGTGCCGCCTCCTTGACCTCGTTGGATTCGATAAGTTGTTGAAGCTTATCATCTGTGAGTGAATTCTCTTCGTAAGGGAACAATGGTTGACCATGAGTAGTAGCCCAAACGGTTGCGCTTGAAATGAGAACACTGAGTGTTACACCAAGCGTGGTTGCAAAGAGGCTTCGAGTTTGCGCCATAGTCCGACTGGGGTTGAGCAGCTTGAACAGGCACGCATTATTTCCTCAGAAGCGGTCTGCGATCCATGGCCTGCACACTGTTTATGAAGACATTACCTACCAGTAAGTTCCCTTACCTGCCACATGGTCCAGGCCTAGGTGGATGGCTCTTAATGACAGCGTGCTTGGTCCTAATACCGCTCAATATCCTTGCTCACTGTACGGTTCTACATGAACGACAGGGGTATCACGGCGATCGTTGCCAGAAGCTTGATTAGCTGCTTAGCGGTTAAATCTGACCTCCTCACCAGTACCGATGTAAGGCAGTGCAATTTCTTGATGCTCTATGCCAGCTTTGGAGAGCGGGTTACACTACCTAGGCAACCCCGCAGATAGTATCCAGTACCGAGGTGCTGACGGTATGTCTCCCGCCCCCAGAAGAAGGGAAAGGCTGTGGCAATTTGATTACCTGGTACTTGGCGTTCCTGAGTCTGGCTTACATCCTGCATCAGGAGGGTCAGCCATTTCAAGCCGTCATGGGCTGGGGAAGCAGCTTGTACCCCTTAACACATCGTCAGTTATTGTTGCGAGCGTCGGGCTTCAACATTCACAGTACAGTACATACCAAGCATACTTGCATCCTGAGCACCATTAAGAAGTTCATCCAACCCAAACGTAAGTAGTCCTGGCTTCACTAAACAGATCCAGTCCCATCTAAGGCCTGTCACTTCCATTATACCGGCAGCAGCTCTCTCCACATAGACATCTCTTCTCAAGCCCGCGCCAGTAACTCTTCCCGTAATCCACCGTGATCTCAGTCCCGGCCCCGATGCCCTTGCTCACCAAGATCACCCGCTGGACGCCCAGCCACACAAAATGCTGATACTGCGCATTGGGATTACAGCTGTGGTTCACAAAGCGCGTGAAATTCCCCTGCCAGCCCTGCCAAATATGGTACGGCCTGTGGCTGACGGCGGCACCACCACCACCACCACCACCACCACCACTCTCCTCCAACACATCCAGATCCTCAATGCCGCGCGTCACAAGCCCGACGAACTCGCCAATGGCGGCCCCGCGCTCAAAGCCCACCAGCGCCAGCAGCCCGTTGTTCTGTCCGTCGCGGGTCGCAAACACCTGCACGGGACTCGGCGGCCGCCGCCGCGGCCCGGTGCCAAACAGGGACGGGAAACAGAAGCAGTTGTTGCGCTTGGGGTCGTCCGACTGCGTCTGGGCACAGGCGCGGCACGCGTTTGCGCCCGCCAGGGACACGGCGGCGGCCCGAGGCGGGATCCATCGAGGGTCGTCGCCGCCGGGCCATGCTTGGGCGTCGACGATGGATTCAGTGATGTGCTCAAACCGGAAGCACGGGTCATGCCTGAGATATGTCGAGCGCAGAGGAACCGGGTCCGAGCCGTCCCGGAAGACGACCCAGTCGTGCGGGTGGCCGGTGAAGCGGCGCTCCCGCTCCGAGTCTTGGGTCTTGCCGCTGACGACGGCGAGAAGCTGCCGCCAGGAGGGATGCAGCGTGTCGGCGGCGATCTCGATGCGCGCGCGAAAGGTGCGCAGTCGTTCGATGCTCTTGGCGGTGAAATTTGTGCGGTATTTGCACAGGCGGTAGAGGCCCATGCCCGCGAAGACGAGGGCCGCCCAGCCGGCTGCGTCCTTGATCTGCTTGTAGCCGCGCCAGATGGCCATCTTGTTGCGCAGCTCCTTCTCGGACCAGCCAACGTCCCGACAGGCGGCCATCAGGGCGGCCTTGCGGCACCTTGTTGGCGACATGTTGTTGGGGTCGTTCCAGCGCGACTCACCACTCCTCCACGTCCGCCGCCGCAAAATCACCCTCTACATCACCCTCCAGCTACTCTTCGTCGTCGCCTGCGTTGCCATTTCCCACACCATCGCGGCCATCGGGTTCCCCGTGCTCATCATCCTCCTGATCCCCTTCCGAATCATCTTCGTACCGAGATGGTTCACACTCAGGGAGCTTGAGATCATGGACGATTTCACCGCCACCAACAAGACAGTCCAGGTCAGCTTGGTTGGCAAGCCAGGCCTGCCCGAGCATTCATCCAAGGCCGAAGACTGGGTGCTGGAAAGGAGACGGAGCGAGACGCGCTACGGCATGCCCAGGCAGCGGGCTGGAAGTATTCATCGATAAGTTACCTAAGTATGGTATCAAGCTGAACTGAATGGGCTTGACTTTGGCGTTGTCTATCCGTGGAGGGAGGTGGCTATATCAACCGAGGTCGAGTCTTACCGGGGTTCATTCGATGGTAGAGATAGGAAATATCGGGATGGGAGGTCAAAAAAGAGCCAATGGGGGCGCGGATGTCGGTGACATGTAAGGTGTCAGTGGCTGGTGTAACGTGCCGCGATCTGCTGGACTAGTCTCTCCATCCCTTTAACTCTGAATTGGATGGAATTTAGAACCAGAATCAACTTGAAGAAGCGTCTAGATGTACAGGAAAGTAGGGAACCTGCCCTCAATGTTAGGAATGGAGAAGAGTAAGCCCCGTTACGCCTTGTTTTTGCCCCGGCCAAGGATGTACTTGTACCTCAAACAGCCCTAGTACCATCCACCCTTGTTTTCCCTGCCAGCTCGCCTGCGGCCCGCAAAGTCCATTGAAAAAACGCCGCACTTTAGACAGCCCATTTATTATATATCCCGGTACAGGGGTTAAGGTATTAGTGACTTAGCATCCCAGATCCCGTTGTAACAACTGACCACGCACCACGCACCACTGCTCACAGTCGATACAGTATCCTAGCGGACTGAAGAGCCCTCAAAGGACTCGGATTGTATCGCCGCCCAGTTAAATATAATCACCTCAAACAGCCATCCGCGGAGGGTGCTTGCTGCCCAGGTAGAGCCCAGCAAAGAAAAACGCGACCAACATCCCCACCACGACCGTCACCACGGCCGCAACCGCCTCCATCTCAGGCCTTCTAAACGTTCCGCTGCGCTGCTGCTGCTGCTGCTGCTGCTGCCGCCGCTCTTGCCCCTGACCGCGCTCACAACCGCCTCTTGCATGCCGCCGCCGTTCGGGTTGGATAATACCATGCTCGATCGGACGGTGACCTGGACATAAGACAGCAGACCTCAGGAGCGGTGCGAAACCGATGTCGTCATCATCATCATCCAGACCGAGGTCTTCTTCCTCTTGTCCGTTCCCGTTCAAGTCCAGGTCCAGGTTTCCCACTTGCAAATCGTCCAGGAGGTCCTGCGGATGTTTAAGCCGTTGTTGTTGTCGTCGCCGCCTTTGCCTGGCCCCGGCGCACGACGTCAGGGTGTGGTGGTGGGATTGCATCATGGGTAGCCGGTTCCCCAACGCCATGGCCTCGGCCAGCGTCTCAGCGGACCTCGTCGCCGTAGTCGCCGCCGCCCCGGGGAACTCGCCGTTGATGTTGATGTCGATGTCGTCGAGCAACTTGACGACTCGCGCGGGCGTCCCAAAGGCCACGCTCATGGGCGGCACGTCCCGGCTTACCAGACTGCACGTGCCGATTACAGCCCCGTCGCCGATGGTCACCCCGCCTCTGGACTGTCATGTCAGAATTGAGTGGGAGTACTGAAGACAGAAGGGTGGGAATGGCAGGTTTCAAATTCGAGGGGAGGGGGTAGGTTGATGGTCGACTGAACATGACTACTACACCTATGTAGTGCATGTAGTAGACGCTAAAAAGACTCTGGGAGGGCATATGCACACACCGCAGGATAGAGCACCAGATGGGTCCGCTTACAGGATGGTCACGTTGGCGCCGATCCAGACATTGTTCCCGATTGTAACGGGCTGGCCGATGCTGTGTCTCTTGAGGCGTTCGTCCAGCCGCAGGGGATCTGTGGTTTGCCCATGTTAGCAATGCCTCGCCATATATGGATCCCTCGTGATACTGGCCCTTGGTTTGTGGGAAGCATCACGGTTCGAATGAATCTTTCCCTCACGGGAGCGTCATGGTAGCCGCCACTTACGTTTAACCCCAACAATCACACAATTGGGCCCAATATTGCAGCCCTCGCCAATCACAATGTCAGCGACCGGCGTGTCCATGATCTTGCAATCCCTGTTGATGAACGTAGAACCGCCGACGTGGAGCCGGACGCCATAGTCGATCCAGACTGGCGGCTTGACAAAGGGCGTTTTGGCCTTGAGGCTGGGGTTGGCAAACGTTAGGTCGTGGGTGACTGCGGGACCGTCCTCGCTGCGGTCACGGTCCGGGCGCACAATGCTGTTGAGCACGAGACCTTGAGTTAGAGACTGTGATCCCTCGGTCTGGTCGGTGGACATCCCGGAACGGACCGATGGAGGGGTCTCGGTTGGGATTACTTACTCAAGCCACTTTTGGCTCCGCATCTCCGGATCCGCATCTTCGGGCGTGTTGTTGAATTCCCGGCATGCCTGGGCACACCGGTTCCGCACCGCCCGAAAGTCCGAGTTTCCGGCCGGAAATACGACTTCCGGAACGCACGTCTCGCCGAGGTGCTCGCCAGCCTCCGAGCTGACTAATCTGCTGGGCATGGCTGGCAGTCGGTCGTTCAAGTTCAGCCAGACAAAGGCGTCTGCGGTTGAGTAGTATTAGGTGAGAATTCAGAAGCTGTCAGTCTTGTATCGAATTGGGAGTACTCATGCCGAACCGGATTCATCGAGGTCGCCAATCGGCCCTGTCGACAGCAGTGTGTTCCCCAGCGCTCCGAGTCCAAGTCTTTGATATCCGTATACCACGGCAAGTTGGACACTGAGAGGGGCTACCACGTCGAAAAATTTCTCATCAACTGGTTGCCCAGAGGTCAACGGCGTGCCTGGTGTGACCCCCGGGAACCCTTCCTCTGCCGTCAACCTTTTAGTAATCAGTATGACCTCCAAAGGCCCCTATGCACAGATTGGTCCTGGAAGTTGGATGTTGTGTCTTGTAGATACACCGCGGATTCGCTTGCCCTGCCTTTGTATGTCGGCGATAGAGTATCATTAGCAGAGTTGAGATGCTCCGTCGGATATTGTTCATAGTAACAAATGTGATGGCGGCAATCCTGGGGCAGGTCCGAGTCTAGAGTATGGCCCGGGATGCTTAAGTGAAGAGGGAGAGCGAGGGATCGGATTGCATTGCATTGGCGAGAGGTCGTTTAATCCTGGGCTGAGGGGATCAGCAAATTCGCACCCTGTTCAAGCAACAGGGCCTTGCTCGTAAATGTCCTACGGCTGACTCCCCTGGCACTAGACCAAAAGCCAAGAGCAAAGCATCTGCATCGCACCAGGGACTGTACGCAGGCACACTTGTTCCAGCGCCTATGACACGCATTGGCACCATGTGTCCAAACTTCACTGGGCATAAGGGAAGATCCTCCGCATATGTGGCTGTGAGTCGGAGGGGGGGATCATCCAAATCCCCTCGGCCGCAAAAAGCGAGAAACCAACGCGACCACTTCGGCCCGTCGTGCGACAGCCCCGGCCGTTTGGCCGTTACCTCTTCCGGGAAGGGCGGGCTGCAGATGTAGTGTATGTATTGTATGTACATAAGTTACATACATACATTACATACGCCATGTTTGTTGCCCTGCATGCACGGTGGGGGATGCGGGTCAGCGGCCGCGGTCGGTGTCTTGCTTTTTCGCTTTGGAAGGGGGGCTGAAGTGCAATGCATTCGATACAAAATGATATGTGAGCGAACCTTGTGACTGGTGGCCGGGCTTCCTTCCGAGGCCTTGGACCCCAATCCACCGGTGAACTGTAAGATTGTACCGATTGTGTTTGAAGTGGCCCTCGCCCTGACTGCAATACCGGACAGCTCGGAAGGGCAATGGCAAGTTATCAGCCGATGCTCTCTGCAACGCTGCGGACCCTCACGTTACGTTTGCCCGAGGTTTGTTAGGGCTGCCAACTCGAGAGTCAATCTGCGGGGGACACGGATCGAGGTGTGATTCCGCGGGCCCGCCAATGCCCGTCAACATCCAGGGCCCAGGTCGTCAGTGCTCCACCGGGCCGGATGGTCCGTTGCCATTCCGGCTACCGCGAGCGCCCTATTTGCAGGGGTCCCCGAGGTCCCGCCGTATCGTAACACGTCGGGAAACCACTCATTCAGATCCTGAAAGGTGGTGATTCGTAGCACGACACTGGCCGGGTGTACATACTTAACTTGAACAGAGGTAACGTCTTCTGACCGTCCCTTGACACCCTTTGAGAAGACGCCCTGGCTCCTGGAGTTGGTGATGGCAATTTGAAGCGAAGCGGGCCTGCCCAGGTTGGCGACTGCCAACTGGATGGCAGCACTGAAACCAACATCCCGCGGAAGTGCGATACTCAAGGTACCGTAGTGTAAGGTCGGGTACTGCTTCGTCCCTTTTTCTAAGTGATGAAAATCACAGGCGGTTCATCAATTCGAAGATTCTTTTGGTTGAAGGTGAGTTGAAGAGCCTGACTGCCTCCGTGGTGCGCAAAAAATTACAGATCTGAGGTTCCACCCATTCCTCGTTCCTTCCTACATAACAGTGAGCAACTTGTTAGTGGCAGTGCAGGTGGCATGCGAGCCGCTATACAATTCAATGCTGGTTCGTTCGTTAGCGCAGAACTCCCGACAGGGGTCCTGGTACCAAATTCAAAAACGCCTCTCTCAGCACTGATAAAAGACAAGTCAACGCAGCAAAATAGAGTGTCTAGCAAAGATCTGAATGGCCGTTTTACTCCAATCCTACTTGCAAGAAAAGAGTGGCTGTTTTGAGGTTGAAATTCGAATTTTTGATTGACCCTTGCCTGTAAGTCAGGCGCTACCGAACAAACCAGGGGGGCATTCTAATAACACCCCGGCACTACGAAATGTTCGATTACTAAGGCAGGTATGGAGGAAGTGCCTGATTTACGGCAAGTCCAAAGTTGCCTGATCAGCCGATCTTTCACATCTCGCAAACTCCGCGGCTTCGTTGGACTTTTGGACTCCCTCAATTGCGGCACTACTGTAGCACTGCAAGCACTGCATCATTATCCGTATTTGGTCCCCATTCTTTGGCCGCTCAACTGTTGGTCAAATTGCCAACCAGCCGACCAGCCCGGGCCTGAGGTTTCGGAGTGGGTCGGGTTGGCTCAATCCCACAGCACTGGAAGGCGCGTGTCCCACTGTATCGGCCACTGTTGCGGCTGCAAGCTTCCCCGCAATGTTGGATGAATCGCAGGCCCAACAAGACGGGTCTTGGTCCATCCATCCTCAAAATAATTAGAAGACGCACTCGCTGGAGGAAGCATAAGGTAATGGGAACGTGACATGATGGCCACCATAGGACGCAATCACCAGCCACAACGACCACATACACAGACCGGTTGCCACCGAACCAGTTACCGTACCGTTAACGTTAAGGATCAGCCCGGTGAAGAAACCAAACTGCGGCAGATCTGCAGAGCAGGACTCCCTTACCGGTACTGTACATACGTACGCGGAGAGTGCCTATCTTTAGGTAACATGTCACGCCATACAGGCCGCTGAGCAAGGATGGACGGGTGCACCCGAGGGGAAACCTTGAAACCGGAAAACCCAGACTCGGAGTTGTGTGTTCACTTGACTCACTTGAACAGATCTCACACACTGGCAATCACCGACAGCCCGCAAAAACGTCCGAAACGAAGATCCAGCACATCCCCCACGCCTCGCCAATCGCCTCCGGAGAAGGCTGTGCCGTGGCGGGATGGAAGGGCGGTGGCTGGCTGCAGTTGTCAACAGGACAACAAACGCCCACAACGCCCGCGATATGTGGCTGAGAAGGCGGTGACTGACGGTGGACTAGATACGAAGAATAATGACGAGAATAATGGCCAGGGGGGGGCGGAAAACAAACAGGAAAAGGAAAATGCCGGGGTGCGGATGGGAAAGATTAAGCTATTCGGCTCTCTTTCCGATGCAGATGCAGATGCGAATGCAGATGAAACCGGCAGCGTCGCCTTGTCGGGTGCTTGCCTTGCCCGTACATACACTTATGGTAACGTTATGCAACTCAGAGCTGGCCTCATGGAACTGAAAGCCCAGATTGGCAGGCCCAAACGCCGAGGAGCATCTCACTGTAACAAAGGTCGGGAAGCCTGTTTGGGCTATTATTGCTCTGCCCTGCCTTCACAATGAGGCTTCTCAGATCAACTCGGAAGTCAAGCTCGGAACTCTAACGTCCGAACGAATCCAAAAATGATTCATCAACCCCAACCAGCTGACCTCAACTGCCTGAGTAACAGTATGAAGCCAGCCCGACGGCACCCTTCTTTTACACGAGTCACTGACAGGACCCCCCAGTTACTCCCTGATTTCCCCAGCATGCCCCAATTTGCCCCAATTACAGCTGATCTGGGGCTGTGAACTTCAACTCCACCGAATTATATCAGATATCACTGCCCCTGTTGGTCAAACTTGGGCACGTCATAAATATCGTCCGGATCTAAGCCGCGCCATGTCAGCACCCTCTCATCTCTCCTTCAAAGCAAGTTGAAGTGTGAAACATGAAGCACGAACTGAAAGAGAAGTGAACTTACCCTTCCCAAAGTCCCTAATAAACTCCCTCACCTTCTCCACCCTCTCCTTCACCCCCGCGAGATACTTCTCCAACCCCTCCTTCACCTTATCATTCCTCTCAGCCCCGAACCTCAGCGCCTTCTCAGCCAAGTCAAACCTGCTCACCCTATTAACCAGCATCATATCAAACGGCGTGGTGGTGCTCCCCTCCTCAATATACCCCGCCACATTCATCCTGTCCAACCGCTCCCGACCAAACAGCAGGCCCTGCAGCTCAGTCGGATAGCCATGGTAGTTAAACAGCACCGGCTTGTCCCGCGTGAACAGCTCGGTAAAGCGCTCCGCGCTCAGCGCATGAGGGTGCTTGGTCTCGGGGACCAGGATCATCAGGTCTGCCACGTTGACGACGCGCACGCGGAGTGCCGGGCAGAGAACCCGCAACAGCTCGGCGGCTTTGACTGTTTCGAACGTGGTTTCCACGCCGATGCCTACCAGGACTACGTCCGGGTCTTGGCCCTGGTCAGGGGACGAGGCGAAGCGCCAGATGGAAGCGCCGTCCCGGCAGTGAGCGGCGGCTTCTTCTGCCGAGAGGTAGACCGGCGTGGGTTGTTTGGAGCCGATGACCAGGTTGGTCTTGTTCTTGGAGTGCAGGATGTGATCGACCGTGCTGAGGAAGCAGTTCGCGTCGGGTGGTAGGTAGACCTAGTGGACTGTTAGACAGGAAGCTTTCTTGAGGTATAGATTGATTTGTGCGCTTGGCTTGACGTACCCTAGCGGCTTCAGCCTTGAGGTTGAGCACGGCGCCGATGAAGGAGGGGTTCTGATGCGAGAAGCCGTTGTGCTCCTGGCGCGCCCAGGTGCTGGTCTCGATGTAGTTAATGGACGGCAAATCGCCTCTCCACTTTACCTCGCGCGCAATCTTGACAAACTTGGAGTACTGCACCATCATGGTGTGGATGATGCCCAGGAACGACTCGTAGCTGGGGAACAGCGCGGTCCGCCCCGTCAGCGTGTAGCCCTGCATGAAGCCCTGGCAGTCGTGCTCCGACAGCACCTCGATCACGCGGCCGCCGTTGGCCCGTGAGAATTGGTCCCACTGGAAATTGCGCTGCGTGTGCTGCAGGACCGCATCGAGCTTGTTGCTCTCCAGCTCGTCAGGAGAAAACAGGCGGATGCTGGTGGGATTTTCCTGGAAGACCTTGTCGAGATACTTCCCGGTGACTTGCATGCAACTCTGGGCGGTGCCCTTCTCAACGGAGAACTCGCTCCAGTCGACGGATTTTAGACCGATATATGGGGCGTAGGTCGTCTTGACCTGGCCAAGCTTCTTGTCGTCTGCCTCAGGCAGGATGCTCAAGATCGTGTCGACCGGCTTCCCGTCCTGGATCAGCTCGCTGATCTTGTAGCTCGAGAGCCAGTCCCCCAGCGCCTTGAGTTGGCTGTCACTGCTGTTGGCCTTGGGGAGGGGGACCTGATGAGAGTGAAAAGACCCTTCGATAATCTTTCCGTCGACTTCTTTTGGACCCGTCCAGCCCTGATTCCCTGTTAGCAACGCCTAGAAACAGACTCAGAGGGAGTGACTAGTATGATCTTACCTTTGGCGTCCTCAACACTAGCATTGGCCATCTCGGCTTAGAAATCGCCTCTCCGGAACGCGCAGCCTGCTGAATCTTTCTGACCTCGGCGAGTGCCCACTCCAGGGCAGTATGTAAATCGTCATGGATGTTGTCTAGATCATCCACAATGCAGACTTGGTACCCATACCCGCTGAACAAGCAGACGAGCTCCTTGTCGTCCATGCATCCAAAGATGGTCCGCTCGCTAATCTTGAATCCGTTGAGGTGCAGTATGGGAATGACGGCACCCGACTCGCGCGGGTCAAGATACTTGATTGCATGCCACGCCCTGGTTCCAGTCAGTCAATGGCCGCCACAGGTTAAGCGATTCGGGGAACATACGTCGCAGTCGGCCCAGTTTCGGCCTCACCATCGCCCACAACGCATGTCACAATGAGATCAGGGTTATCCATGACAGCGCCAAACGAGACGGCGAGGGCGTATCCCAGCTCTCCGCCCTCGTGAATAGACCCAGGGGTCTCAGCATTGATATGACTACGACCTTGTTAGCCACCATAACGTTCTGTCAAGGTAAGGCAGACTGTAGTACTAACCTTGGGAATCCCCCGGGCACAGAGAACCTGGTGATCAAGTTCCTCAAACCTTCGCGACTGCGGGGGTACTCTCCGGGGTAAAAGCGCTCGAGTGAGCCCTCCAGCCAAAGAGCGGACAGCGCAGCGGGGGCTCCATGGCCGGGTCCGACAACATAAATCATGTCGAGATTATGATTGCGGATCAGCAGGCTGAGGTGCGACCAGACCAGTATCAAGCCGGGACAAGTGCCCCAGTGGCCTATTCATTCTTAGCAAAAGGATTCACCTCTCACAAAATCCTTGGGCTAGATGATTTTCCACATACCCAGGAGACGTGGCTTGACATGCTCCAAACTCAGATCTGACTCCAGGAGGACATTGTCGCGCAGAAAGATCATTGCTGCAGACTCATGTCAGTCATCGTCTTCGCAGCGAAAAAATGAACCAGGCAAGCCTGATATCCGGGCTCTTACCAGCAGCGATGTAGCATGCAGCGCGGTTGAAGCCACGGAGCGAATTTCGCACATCCTCGGGCAGAGGCTTCCTCTGGAGCCGTACGGCCAGGTCCAGGACGCCATCGGGGAGGTGCGATGGCAAAGCCGGCGGGTTTGAGGTTGGAATCTGTTCGCTGGGCATTTTGAAGCTTCAGCGGATCTTAAGCCACTGATGCAGCGATGAATGCCAAGTCTACCTACTGCCTCAAGTTCGGCAGGTACTTAGGTGCAAGGGTAAGGCAGGGTGTGTATGTTTTAGTTGTGTGGTGGTTGAAGTTCACTGCAGTGGTTTGTAGGTCTTACAAGGGGATGGTGGTACTGGCAGTTTTTCCAGCATTCCATGCCAGGCACACTCTCACTTGGACTTGGCATCAAAATATCTTGTCGTTGAACGCCCTGTTGGGCTCTGGATTAGATGACGGGCAGATTGAAGCTGTGTCTATGACGTAGTTGGCGAAGCCCCACCACCCGTCATCTTGATCTAGCCGTTGAAAGCAGGTACCTCTTACGGATACTTTGTACCTACCTTACATTACCTACCTGGCTTTGTTGGATCACCACAGCATGAGGACCGGTCAAATACACGAATTGCATAACTGCTGAGCATAGGTGGTGCCTTGGGTTATAATGTTTACGTAGCGTAAACAAGGAGTTTAGCTAGACTGCTAGAGGCCGCTTACAAGGAAAGCGGCTCCTTCCATTTAAAGGGGCGGTACACAGTTCGCTATTACCAGAGTACCACAGCGGGAATCTGTAGGGGGGAGCTATCATAGCAGGGGGGGTGGTATCATAGAGAGAAACCTTTGACTATCTCTACAACTAGGATAGCACCTATCTATATGTGACGAATCTCGGTCCCCTACCACTGAAAGGGACTTCTCTGAGACTGAAGGTCTAACTAAAGACGGGGTGAGGTTCGGTAGAGCCAAAGGGTCTACAACAATTGACACAAGCAAGTGTTCACACAGTAGCATAGACAACTGCTTGCATTGCTTACTGAGGAAGCTATCGTGATGCCCGTAGGCCGTAGAGATCGTGAACTATATACAGCTTCCTCCTTCTGGTTATTCCCTGGACGCTTGTGCTCGCCGGCGACCATGGGCGTCCATGGTCGCTCGTGCTCGCTGACGTCCCCTGGCGTCCATGCGTCTTTTGGCACCTGTCCCTGATTGGTACTTGTTCCTGATTGGTACTCCGGTTTACTGCATAGCCCCACCAGTCCAAGTTATATGGTTGGTTCGTGACACTAGGCTACTTTGCTCCTAAGACACTATAGGGCTGGGACCCAACTATATTGTTCCTAGGGCCTTGTATATAGAGTAGTCAGGGCCCTATAAGGTCTTGGAAGCAGGACAGGCCAGTCCGACAGTCGGGACCTCACATACAGAGCACCTAGTATTACCAGGGCCTTACACACAACGCAGGCCAGTCAGGGCCTTGCACACAGTGTAGTAATGCCAGGGCCTTACGTACAGAGCAGTTAGGGCGTTGCAGGGCCCTAGGAGCAGTCGAGGCGTTGTAAGCTCCCTCGCTTCAATCAACGTTGTAGCCTGCAGTCAGTGCAGTAGGTGCAATCCGCTGAAGTCCCTGTAAGAGCCTGGAAGTCGTGGTATCCTAAATTTCTGACCAATCAGATGCGGGAACGGGTGCTATGCTAGTTGGCAGTGCTATGCTAGTTGGCCTGGCAATCATAGTAGCGCCTGGGTATGATAGCTTCCAGCTAGATTTTCCCGCTATGGTACCTTCCTCTTCCTAACTCAAGCAATGAACTCTCAACAAGCCGCTCATTTTGAATCAGGCGTTTACACTCTACTTCTCTAGAGCCATTCATTTATAGTAGTGGGAGGTTCCCAGCTTGTTTTTTAACTTCTTTTCGCGAGGTGATCATGAACGCCGCTTGAACCCTCTATTAATTCCTCGTGGAACCCCCCTCCCGCTGTGTACCTAGGTAATTGAATGAGTCGAGCCACCATGACACCCATCCACTCCCAACTAGGCGAAAGCTCTAAACCCGTCAAAGTTCGCCGCGACCCTTTCCCGTTGCCTACTAGCCAAGCCTCCATCCCGCGCAGCCTGCCCAGCCGCCGCTTCATACGCCAGTCGGTAAACATGCAGCGCCTCGGAGAACAGCGGCCTCTTGTCGCACCAGCCCGTCACGCGGCGGATCTTGTCCGAGCCGGTCCACTGCGGAAAGTCAATCAAGACGGGCGGCCACCGTGACGGATTCTCAATCTCGGCACCCTGACCCTCCGTCGCCTCCGACGCGTACCGCAGCCCAACACGGTACTCACTTGCCAGCGCCCGGCACACCTCGTCGACCGTCTCGTAGCGGCGCGCCGAGATGTTGAACACTTGGCCCGCGACCTCGTCTTTTCGCCGCGGATAGTGCTCGGCCAGAGCCACGTACGCGTCGGCGCAGTCGTCCACGTGCAGCGCGTGCAGGATGTAGTCGGGCCGGGCGGAGGCAGGGATGACGATGGGAGCTCCCTCGGCGGCGGCCTGCGTGGCGACCTGGAAGAAGGCGGCGTAGAAGCTCGAGGACCTGCCGTAGACGTTTGTGGGGCGGAGGAGCACGGGGGCCATGACGTCGCCGTGGTCCGACAGGATGCGGACGGCGTTGTGGGCGCGGTCGGCGAGCGACGCGGGCGCGTTGAGCGGCGAGGCCTCGGTGTGAGGCGCCAGGCCTGGGGTGCCGTGCACGTGGTTTTCTCCCATGCCGTAGTCCTTGCAGCCGCTGGTGAAGAGGACGAGGGGCTTGGGCCCCCCCGCGTCGAGGGTCCTTTGGGCGAGGGTGCGGAGTAATGAGACGGTGTTATTGTAGTGGGGGACGTAGTCGAAGGGCATCTCGGTTGTCGATACTAATACGTCTAGAGTCTTTGGGAGTTGGTCTGCGAGGGCTTGGTGTGAAGACACATCGTCAATGGCCCCCGTCACGGGGATGATCTCGTCAAGGGCCAGCGACGGCGCGTATTTAGCGGAGCGGACGAGCCCGTAGACAACGTATCCGGCGCGGACAAAGGCGCGAGACACGGCGTGGCCTATGTACCCGTTCGCGCCCGTGACGAAGGCCGTCTTCGGGGGCATTGCGCGACTTGAACCGTGTCTGGTGGACTTGGATTCCTTGATACGCCAGTATGGGACAAATCTGCTAGTTGTGTCGTTGGGACGCTTGTTAATGATGAGGAGAGAGATACTAACCTACACCTTTATACCAACTGAAATACTTCAAGAACTAGTACACTGCTACAGTGTTCACTGCTATATGGGACATCGATGATCCGTCCCTGGTCCGTGGTTTGTAAAGCCTCTCCTGCTGTACAGCTTAGAACCGATTGATTATTAATCAAGTCTGTGAATATCCGAATCGTTCAAGGTTGACATGGGAGCCATTACGACGGCACTTGCCCTAGGTTGGCGTTCGAGATAGGGATAGTGCGGTGGGACTTGGAACGTGTTCTCCGCTTGACCATTCCGTTTCTCTCCACATGTATCTAACCTATTGCGCGTACAGTACACCTACAGGCTATTGATGACCACCTCAGTATGCATTGTTTGTCCTCGTTCATAATCGCCCCGAAGACCTCCAGGCTCTTGTCATTGGCGGCTTGAACACCGACCTGGGCATGATTGCCAACCTCATTCCAAACCAACGAGAGCACGAATGTCCTGGCGAATGAATAACTAGGTACCTATCTATCTGGAAATCCTGCGAGGCAGGGACGCGAATCCTGCCATTGCCACGTTATCGAGCTTCTTACAATAGCTAAGCCTGCGGACAAAGATGGAGCCTTCCCAAGAGCTATACATCAGATGTAAGCTAGGTTGTTCTCCAGTACTAGTACAGTTACTAAACCCACACACGACTGGATGCTACACGATGCCCAAGGTACCGGTACCTAGCTGAGGTACCTAGGTAATCACAGCGTCCTCCCCATCTCCTTGATAGGCCACTCCAACCAACCCCGATGCTCCTCATCCAAAATCTCCAGCGCGCGTGACATGAGATGGTCCCCCCACCCCTGAAGCCACCAGTGGCTGTCGTGGTGCTTGAGGAGCACGCAGAAGTGCGCGAAGATGGCGACGGCCTCTTGGGTCGGTGTCCCGCGCAGCAGTGGGACTAGTGAGTCGGACACCATCCACAGCCAGACCATGGCGTCGAGCACGTCGCTGGTGTTGGTGTTGGTGGTGGTGGTGGTGGTGGTGGCGGTGGTGGAGGGGGTGCGAAGGACTAGTTCGAGCTCAACTTCTAGCTCGTCGATTGCGTGCGTGTAGCGTGAGAGGAGGTCGGGGTCGGTTACGCTTGAGGTGATGCGTTCACGGAGTGCGGTTAGGAGGCGGGGGTTGCGCTTGCTGGTGGTTCTCTGTTGCTGAGTAGTGGTGGTGCTGGACTTGTTTTTGACTTCGTTGTCGTCGTGGTCCTCATCCATCTTGTCTCCGTCGTGGTCCCCGCCATACTCCCCGTCGTGGCCGTCGTTTCTGTTGCTCACACCGAGCCGGGCATGGTACCGCTTGTGTCCGTAGGCCAGGAACGGCCCGACCACGGTCTCCATCCCGCGCTCTCCCAGAACATGGTCCCGCAGCGACCGCCCTCCGCTGAGCAGAAAGGTCCAGTCCGGAAAGCCCGACTCGCCGATGAAGAAGGACCCGTCGGGCTGTGAGCGCCGCGGAGAGCCTAGGGCTGATTGTTGCGAGTATTGTCAGTTACCTAGCCAACTGAACCTAAACAAAAGGGGTATAGGGCATAGAACACGCCCTACTTACCAAAAAACATAGTCAGCATGCTAAACACAAACAAACTCGCCGCCTCGTCCTTGTCCACTGGCATGATGCCGCCGTCCATCCCCACATCCACATCCCCATCCCTTCCCCCACCCCCCTCACCATTCCCATCCCCATCCCCATGTCCATTACGCGCAACCGCCATCTGCATCATACACCTCATCGCCGACCGGCTGGCCTTCTGATGCAGCAATATCCCCTGCGCCGTGTACCAGTCGCGGCGGTCGGGCCGGTCCTGGTGATAGGCCAGGTGCAGCGCGCTGACGGCCAGCACGGCGCGCATGACATAGTCGCAGCTCCGCAGGCCCAGCTGCACCACGTCGTCGCGCCAAAAGGACCAGATCACGGGGTCGGCGGTGAGGGTGGAGTAGGTCTTGGTTGTGTAGTTGTGTAGGAGTTCGAGTTCGAGGAGTGGGAGGGGGGAGTCGGTGCTGCTGCTTGTACATGTTGGAGGGGGTGTAGGGATGCTACCTGTACTAGTATTGGGGGTAAGGTTGTTGGTTGAAGGGATGGGTGAGTGTGACTGTGACTTGGCCTTGGATGACCGACCCCTGGGGATATGAGCACTTGCGGACTTGCTGGCGTTACCACTACTGCTACTGGCCGTGCTACCCCTGAGAAAGGGGCATTCCACCCCATGAGCGATGCAGTTGAGGCATGCTGGATGCCTCTCGTCGCACTGCCCATAGGTCAGTTTCTTTGGGGGAAACACAAGACACAGATACACTAGGAGGGGAAGGTAGTATCATGCTGCTCACCTTGATCTTCCGTGCCTTACACTTTGCACATCCAGTGCGGCTCTTCTTGTGGGACCTCCTCCCAGCAGCAGACCCCTGAGTTTGCTTTATGGGTGATTCCGGCAAGCCGGTGTCGGACGGGGAGGGGTTAGCGGTGGGGGGGTTACTTTGCTGGGCGGCCGGCGCCGTGCCTGCCCGCTCAAATGCCGGTTGTGGATCAGACATTGCTACCGGATGGGCCAGAGGAGCCGTGAAGTCGGCGGCTTACGGCAGCACTGTCATAATAATCTTGTCAGCCGATGGGTCCTCCAGTGAGCGGACCCCGTCCATAAATGTAGACATGTCGTTCGAGTTGACAGTTTCTTTGTGAAGGCCGGCGGCAGTCATAGTAAGGTAGTCAGAACCCCTGATGATACAAGCTGTGCGGCTGAAAAGAACTATCGGACAGCTGCGGCTAACTGCCCGTATAGCCCGGGGAATAAGTAAGTACGGGGTCTTACATAGCCTTTTAGGGGGCGCCGGAGCGGAGCGGAGTCGGATTGATAGCCACAGCGCGGGATGAACTGGAAGCGTCATAAACACGTGCTCGAACTTGGGGCGAATAACGTTAAACGTAACTGGAGAAGGCAGATGGCGTCAGGTAGCACTGCTAGCCGTAGCAGAGCGAGAAAATCTAGAACCCAAGAGATCGGTTAACGGGTGGGTGTCCTGCAAATCTCGGTTGGCCGAACTCGTCACCTCAAAGATTGGTCAAGACATCCCTGCCGACCATGCCGCTGGATCACGGATACCTCTCGGGGCACGTTTGGACTTGAACACATTCGCCCGTAGTTCACTCAAACCGGGTCAAAGAAAGGGGTAAACAAACCGCCTGTTATTTAATACCTGATAGGTAGCTGAACGAAAAACGTCCCTATCTTGCTAACAGAATGCATCACCTCGCCAATATCTCATTTGAGGAAGTTCCAGAATATTTGGGGAATATTATGGAGCCTGGGGAATTTTGGCCCTGTTCCACCGTTGATTTTTCACGACAGCAACACCCCATGGTGTGTCCCTACTCGCATTCGGATCTCTATCATTCCCTTTCCGAGGGACCCGACCAATGGCAGCCCATGCCTAGGAGCCCTATTGCCAATCCTGGCTGCCGGGTCGTTCGCGATAGGCTTGGCAGGCTTACAGGATGTTCGTTGATGGATTCGATGCAACGCTGTTGAATGGGCTCTGCCGCGCTCCATGAGCCCCAACACGGGCCCCAGCTACGATGCGAAGCGGAGATTGTAGTGTAAAAGCATCCTCATGCCCCGGCCTTCTCTTCTCTTTATACCTTTCTTCCTTGCCCACCTACTCACCAAAGCTGCTCTCCTGACGCTGTTGGGGGTCGAGTTTTTCTCCCGGGACGTCGTCATACCGAAGAGGCCGGAGTATCCGATTCCGACAGGCTAGGTGGACCGGAGTTTTCGATCAATCCGAGGTGCTCCACTCGGTCGAAGCAGCCCCGATTTACAACCGAACCCGTCGACTCCCCAGTCTCGGTTGTCATCAACTTGTGAGACGATGTCGATGTCGGGACTCCCGCCGGGGTTCATCCCCAGTTACGAGACGTGCCACGAAGTCTCTGCCTACTGCCCTGTCAAGGCCACCACGATAGGCTACGCGCCCGTTAAGGGCCTCAACATCTTCCTCGCCGCAGGCTATGCCCTCGCAGCCGTCATAACCCTCGGCGTGGGAGTATGGAAGCGCACCTGGAGCTTTTCCCTTTCCGTGGCCGCCGGATGCATCCTTGAGTGTGTCGGTATGTCGTCTTCCCCTCTCCATGGGCACCCTACCTTCCTCCCCTATAATGGATTGTGTTTACTAGGTGGATACGGTGCTGGAACTAACACAACTCGATCAGGCTACGTCGGCCGGGCCCTCCTCGCCGACAACCCCTGGAACGGCGACGCGTTCAAGATCCAAATCGTCGCCCTGGTCCTCGCACCAACCCTGATCTGCGTCGGGCTGTACCTAACCCTCAAGCACGCCGTGACCAACCTCAACCGCTCCCTCAGCCGCCTCTCCCCAAAGCTGTACCCGGCCATCTTTGTCCCCGCCGACGTGTCGTGCCTCATCGTCCAGGCCATTGGCGGCGGCGTGGCAGCTGCCGCCGGCCGCGACAGCTACGAGCTGCTGCAGCACGGCAACCGGACTATCATTGCCGGCATCGTGCTGCAGGTTGTGGTCCTGGGCTTCTTTGGCGCCCTGGCGGGGGACTATCTCTTCCGCGCGGCGAGGTATTTTGGCAGCGGGGGTGTGACGGCGCAGCAGGAGCCCGGGGCGATGTTATGGGTGGATAAAAAGTTCAGGATGTTTCTCTACGCTATGGCGGTGGCTTACACGGCGCTGATGATTCGGTGTATCTACCGCATTGCTGAGATGGCTGGGGGCTGGGGCAACCACATCATGCAGGACGAGCCGTCGTTTGTGGTGCTCGAGTCGTTCATGGTGCTGATTGCCTCGCTGCTGCTGGCTGTGTTCGCGCCGGGCATCTTTTTCCCGCAAATGTCGCGCTCGGGGAGGGCTAGGGGGGACAAGGAGGGGGACGCGGGGATGGTGACGGGGACTGATACTCCCGGCACGGAGATGGAGCATCTTTAGATATGACATAGGGGCCTATGTTCGTCATCTAGAGGCTGGAGTAGATACGGTATACAGAAGTTAGACAGTCAATTATAGAGCACGCACCCTATATCTCTCCCAGAACTGAAGCGTTCGATGAGGAGGTAGATAAGGATTCAGAACATGGGTACCTACCTAGTTTGCAAAGCCACCCGCCGATGGGGCAGTCGCTGGAGAGAATAACTTATATGGAGGCTGGACGTGATCGTGTATCAGCTCGGTGTTAGGGGTCCATTAACTTGATGTTCTGCATGTGTTCAAGTCTTGATGGGTGTTGTGCTCTCCCTATGGACCTGGCGGATCGTGCTATCCAGTCAGCTAGGTATATGCAATGCACAAAAATCATCATGGCCAGGCCTCTAAATCCTATCAGGTTAGGTACCTTATACAGAGCGGCTTGAAGATGGACTAACAACAAATCCACATCCAACTACCTAGGTAGCCAACGCTTACTGGCCCCAGCGGCGAGCAAGGTGCCTTACTAGCCATCCCGAGGCCGTTTGATATCTACTATCTACTAACCAGTAACCACAACACAACATAGCATCCCATCCCATGTCGTCCCCGGTTAAACTTCAAAACCCCTGCTCAGCAACCTGGGCCTCAGCGGCAGCAATAGTAGCCGCTGCGTTAGGGTCAACAAAGCCACAGCCGTTCTTTCCGTTCTGGAACTGGGCGGCCTCGGCCGAGCAGACACCGACACCGCTGGCATCGGCACAGCATCCTGACGCGCAGTCCGCGTCGTTGACACACCCTCCCGTGATGAACTGAGCGCCCTGGCCGTTCCCGACGTTCCGGGCCCCTGCGTTGTTCGGCGTGACCTGAGCCATGGCCACCACGGCAACTGCAAGAAGATGAGGTTAGTAGGGTAGTGATTGTGATGGATTGTTGGGTGGCATAGGGAGTGGGCGTGGGAGTGGGAATGGCTGGCTGGCTTACAAGTGAGGACGGTGATGAGAGCGATGCGGACCATTGTGGTTTCTTTGGGCTGAGAGTTGACTCAAAGCAGGAATCTTCTACTCGAAAGCTAGAGAATGGAAGAAGCAGACAACGACACCAGGCCGCACTAGTGAAGCGAATATCGTAGCGGTTGATGGGAAACGGAAGTTGATGGAAGCCGAGGATGGATGTATAGCGACTGATCTTTGAATTAAATAGACATGTCTCTACTGAGACACTACTTCATCGGCACCGTCTGATCACAATGTAGATCGCTTCCTTATACAACACGACCCCATATCTACCGTGACGGATATTGTCCTAAGCCGTGTCAAGACGTGATCAAGTGTTTGGATTGGACGAACTGGGAGCGTTTCGCTTCTGCAAAGCACCAAGATTGTTACCACTAAACCAGTATGAACCATTGCCGACTGAAGTGTTACTTAGGTCGCATGCCGCATGCGTGGCTTTGATCGTTAGGTGATGGTTTGATCGTCCTAGTGCTGTGCCCGGACTTGCTCCGGGTCCTCTTGGAACAATTGCGACGGCGATCACATTTGGGATACATCCCAACCCTCTGATGTGCTAACTATCGAAATAGGACATTGAATGTGAATTTGCGTGTATAGATGAATTCAAAAGTTTTCCGTACTATCAAAGTGGTCGAAGTTCGAGCTGTTCTTCAGGTTGGCTTCGCCATATCATTCGGTAGTGTTCACCCCATTAAGTTCATGACATTCTACCTGGCTCTAGACGTTTATTTCTTGACACACTAAATGCAGGTAAAGATCCATATCAGGCGGGAGTCGGCGAGGAGATACATGAATCTCACAATTTCCCCTTTATAGAGTTGCGTTGGAGTGTCCGAAGGCATGCGCTGGATGCTATTAGAGTGAATTGTAACTGAGATGAGATGAATAGAATGGTCAGCTACCCGGAAACAGGCGCTATTCAACTTCTCAGACTCTCAAGCAGTAGAATTCTAGCTGTCATCACATCCCTCAGTAGTAGGTGCCAGTTGTTTGATGTCTAAAGACAAACAGGTGAGCGAGCAAGCCAAAGGTACCTAAGTCAAGACTCTGAATCAGCAGAAAGCCACCTTTAACACTTTCAATCCTGGAAACGATGTGAAGATAGTGGTATTGATAAGACACATAGGTATGTCACTGCGTTTGTAAGTGTTGACTTCACACCGTTGGGCTCTGGGGACTTCATATTGTGTCGAGCTGGGTAAGATGGGTTGTAGAAGGGTTGCTGGTGGTCCCCTAAGGCAGTAAATCAACATTGGTGCCTTCAGACGCCATTTGACACCGGTAAGATAGTCTGACTATGGATAGCCTACGACAACTGGTCCCTTTCTGAGCTAAACAGAATAGTATGGTACGCTAATAACCTGAACTGTTCGGTGGGATCCAGGGGTTTCTATAGAACAGCAAAGAGATACAAGAAGGACAGTCCATGCCGGGCAGCTACATGTACACTGAAGTACATCAGCCAGCCCTACACGTAGTGTACCTTACCTAAGGAGGTATGTTGCCAGAACACAAGGCTGCCTTATCGGGCCCTACTTTACACCACTGGCATATGTAACACAGCGGTAGGTGGTAGTGGCATGCATATCTTCATATCTTGCTCACGGTACTAGTATCCCTTAGCCATGTACGGTAGCATTGAGAGAACGGTTCCGCATGTGGTATGACGCCGGACTCTAAAAACAGAAAGCAATTCGGCGAATCTACCTTACCTTACACTACTATTACTAGTGTAGAACCCCTCGGCTGTTTGACAGCAGAGCGCTTGTAGGTAGCAGTGGAATTCGAGCAGGCCACTGCAGGGTGCACCATGACTTGTCCATCATGTTGCACGGCAGCTGATGAGGCGTTGTGCGTGCGCTTTCGGCGCCAAGGGGGATGTACCGGATTCGAAGTTGGATTACTGATGAGCTACTGTGATGCCGTGTATCTGATGCTGTGCTGGAAGGGTTGCTGGTCGGATTCAGGTTGTGTTTGGGTTTGGGGACCTGGGAGTTGAGGAGGGTGACTTGGGATGACAGCTATGGTTATGGCCGGGTATATGCATCAAAAATGGGGAATACTTCGGGCTCCGGCAGGCCAGCGCCGAGTACGTGGGAGCGGCTGAGAACTCTGAGTTGCATGATGGAGTTTCCTGAGAATCATCGCGAGTCATCGACGACACTGCTTGCTGCTCCTGTTGTCGACGTCAAGGGGAATGAGGTCCAGTCCTTATTCGGGGCTGCATCGGGACTCGGGTACACGTGTCCCTGAGATAGTCCAGCATACGGACATCTTAAATGGCGATGGTATCTGCAACAGCGGCCCCTGAGCGGTTAGTTTTGACTGATTGCACTTTGCCCCTTTCTGCATGCCAACAAGCAACTGCCCCTGAGCCCCTGAAGCGAGTGGATCCCCGGGTACTGGAAGCACCATTTGTCCAAGTGGAGACTTTGTTGACCCCTCGATAACGATAACTTACCGCTTACTAAAAACTCAATAGCGCCGCGGTTACATCCCGGGCGGGCACGTGCAACCGAGCTGCGACCCCGCATCGATTTGTTTTCCTGTGGAGCAAAGCTCCGCGTCCGGTCGGTGGTGATGTACAGTACCTCTGGAGTTTGGACATCTGTATGCATGAGTGACTTAGGAAGAGAAACGGAAAGAATGGTCTCGAGCGGCAACGGGGGACTGTGAGCCTTCCGAGTTGCCCTTTCTAGCAGACGGAGACTGCAATAAGGCAGTCCGCGAATATATGAGCCAAGGCCAGCCGAGGGTGGAAAGAGAGAACCAATATGCCAAATGTGCGTTAATTATGCTCCTGTCGCCGAAGCCGCAGAAGCCGAGGGTGTTTAGCTGTAGTGTGGTGAAATAAAGGGATTTTAAGTAAGGGACTTCATGTAGTGTAAATGCAAGGGCCATAAACTCGCCGGGATGCACGGAACCATCGATGGAACGTTTCAAGAGCCAAGGGACAACCACTAGCGACACTACATGCGGTGATCGGGTCAGATGCGATGTGAATGGAAGTCGCTGCGAACTGCCTTGTGTGTGTGCTTCGTATTGAAGCTTAGACCGCCTCGAAAAGAAACACGTAACCTCTGAGATGGTGGAGTGGGGCTTGGGGTGTTGATGTGTTGATGAGTCGGATCGCAGGCAAACGTTAGAGGGGAATCCGTACGACAAAGCCTGGGACCGGATGACTTCGAAGTCGCCCGTAGGTCTGGATACACTTATATATTTGTTTGACTCGCAGATAGATGAAGCGGGATATCACCCTCAAGCCGAGTCCCCAATGCTGACTGATTCACAGACCGTCGATCTTTGGAGCTCGACCAGATGGTTTTGAACCTTCGATGTGGAAGTCCAGCTGCGAAGATTGGTAAGGTACTGTGTGCTCCGTATCGTAATTTGTACAGTACTTACAGGTACAAGCATGCATGTACAATAGAGTACATGTTCAGTCAGACAAGTGGTCTTTCGTTCGACTCGCGATCATTCTTGGAAGCACAACTTCAGTCATATGTGAGCAGCCATGTCCAGAGACCCTCCAAAATCCAAATATCCATTAATAACTTGGCTTCATGATGCCACGTCGAAAACTTATAGTGTGCGATGACCGACTGTCAACGAGCCTTCAGGTACTTGTACTGTATGTACAAGTACCTAACCCAGTTACGATCTGCCATCCATTTCCGTTGGATGTCAGCCACGCTAAGCAGGGATCCCATCATAGTGTATCCGTGCAGTCTCGTCACCTGCCCATCGATTGTGCCTTGTGGATGCAGGTCGACAGGTCCGGCCCTGTGGCCACACAGCGATGGCTCAGGGCCAGGTACCAAACTTGATCAACAAATGTACAGTGTAACATCCATCTTTTCTCGAATGCTACCCTGCCCACCGTGATACTTGGGATTCGGAATTTTCCGAGCGTCCAGATACACCTCACTCATGTTGCCTTGGACGGCAGGCGTTGTTGTCAGACGACAGAGGAAGAGGCTGATAGCGTTGCCTTGAGAAAGAGTTCTGAACGAAATTGTCAGCAGCTAAGTATACTAGGTACGTACCCCTTACCCCACCATCGCATTCTGTTAAGTGGGCCCAAAAACACATGATGACGCAATGCGATGGCTGGTTTCGATGAAGTCCGGCCTGCCACAAAGGACCGGAACTCTCTGCCAGACTGCCACCGCCGATCATGGCGCATTTGTGCAGTCCATCCACGATGGCTCGGCTCGTGTATCGGACAACTGACGATCCTGCCGTTTCAGATGTGTCTCCCACAGCGGGAGAGACCCCCGAAGGTTTTATGGCGCCTAAGTTTCCTTTTCCACATGCTGGCATTCTGGGCTTGAGGACTAATTACACCACAGCTGCCATGTCCCAAACAATGTATCATCAACACGACTCCAGAAACGGGTGTTACGCAGGACCCTGCAGTCGTAAATTCAGGACCATGATGTCCCTGTCGACTTCTTACGCCCTTCAACCGCAAAGCAGCGAACACAAGACAAAGGACTGGTTGAGTCCAGGGACTCAAGCATTTCGCTCGCTTCCCTCGTTGATGGAAATGCATGCAACTGGACAACTACATTGTGTACATGTAGTACCGACACAGCTTCGAAAGTTTTGTCGAAGCTCGGATGCTGCCTTGTATGTATCATGTGCTTTCAGGCACCCAACAGTGCCTGCATCTCTGGAACACCAGCAGCCAGGTACCCGCTGTCGGAGCTGCGTGTAGTGCTGAAGGTGGAAGGGGCCATCTCACGTTTGCAGCTGGTTGCATGACACTTGCCCAGCCCCGAGTCAGCAATTGGATGATTGTCGCAATTCTCACATCGTGTACTCCATAAGGTAGCTGACTGAGTTCATTCAACTCCCTGTCCTACCTTCCGCTAAACTCCTCTCGTGGCGTCATCTCGACTCATCTGCTCCTCCAGTGAATTAACCCGAATGCCTTCCAGGTCCCAAATGATGTGGCTGGCTACATATCAGCCGTGTTCAGGATCGGGCAAGCGAGCGACGAGATAAGGAATTGATTAAAACATTGAAGATGCCGCCTTCCTCCATCCAAGAAACAAGGAGGTTGGCCCCTAGGTAAGGTACCTCCCTATCATCGGGTTAGGCATCATCTGCACATGAGTGCCGCTTGCTGTTCCATCACACTGCACAGTAACTCATCAGGCGCCCAAGTTAAGGTAAGCAGCAGGAGCGACCAAGTTTGTGTGACAGCGCCGGGGGATAATCATCTGCCAAGGCCAGGTCCGGCGCAACCTTGCAGTCACCCACCTCCACGGAAGCCTTCGGGTGCGAGGGCGCCTCTCAAGACCATCTTATCCCCTTCAGAACTTATCGCCGTCAAGCTGGTCGACGGTGCTCGAATTCTTGCCACATCCGGCTATTCGAGTGCATCCCCAAACTTCTTATTCAGCATCTCGGCTTTGACGGCTCAGGCACGGGTAATGCCCCGCAGACGCGCTCTTTGCTCAAGCTTCGATTTTGCCACGTTAACGTTGGTTTGCTACGCAATAATCCACCACCATCGACGACCCAAGATCCCAACCCCAGATTTTGTGTTTTCCACGCTCAAATCCCGCCTTGTGCCCTTAGGCGAGTTTGCTCACAGCCTGATCCAACTAACCTATCCATCGCACCTGCATTTTGTCCGATAGGGAAGGCGTTGCATGTGGCCGCATACAGCCCGGCCAGCGCCTTGAGCCATCTCTCGACAGTGGTTGGTCCCACGGACTGGTAGTTCGTCAGCAAGGGCGAGCTCGCGCGAAAGCCAACGAGCCAACTGGAAGCTCCCATGCCGGCCGAAAGCTAGATCACATACTCTCGCCCACAGAAGCTGCATCGCTGAGGAATTCTCGGGCGACAAGACTGACTGCCCTTGCGGCTCAGACGGGCGTTCGAGAGGATAGGGCTGTGCAACTGGGATATCATACTTCTCCCTCTTCAACGTTCGGCAACACATCAAGACCTTGGGTTAATAGCCGTTTTAACTTGCTGATTTCCGTCAGGCATCCAGGGGACCCGTTGCGTTGTGCTTGCGGCTCCGTGGATGGCAGCACCTCGCCACACGGTTTTCTCCTGCCTCCTGTCAAAGAAGAAAGAAACCCGCCCCCCTTGGCAGCCCTTTGGTGCACCACATTGCCTCTTTCCCGGGACCTGCTTCCTCGCACTTCGCGCATTTCAAACCAGCCCTTGAATGCCCGCAAGCCACTTCGCGGCAATCCACGGGAATGTGTTTGCTCTGATCGGCTGCTTCCCAGTTCAGCCTGTGCCTGTGCCGCCCTCAGATCCCCACCACGGGCCCGGAAGACCTGGAAGCACTGGCTCCATTCAACATCGCCATCCCTTATTTTTCGCCTTTTTTCTTTTTTTTTTTTTTCTAACCCTCCTTTTTCGAGAACATCGACAGACCCATCCCACAACCATCGCACAACTCGCCTTTTCCGATCGGCACCCTTCGAATGAACAGCGTCGGCCCCACACCCAGCCGCTGCCGCTTTCTCATCATCCTCCCGCCTCCGACCTCTCCCTTTTCTTCCTAGTCGCAATCATTCCCAAACATCATCCCCGCCGCTCCCCGCACTTACCCCTGCAGCGGGTTCTGTCGTCTCAGCCTCACCAGGCTGCCCACGCATATCAACCCTTGGGACCTCACCTGCGCTCCCGCCCTTGGTTACACTTTTGCATCGTCGTCCCAACAACGCAAGCCTCCACTATGGCTGCAGCGTTTCGCCCAGTCAACACGCCGTTGCTGGCCGCAGAAGCCGTGAGGGAGGACATGTCGACGTCGCCTATGACGCCGAGGCCTAGCACGGCCCCGAGTCAACGTCCGCTGTCTCTCGACGACGCAACGACGCCCACTCGAGCCAGCTTCGGCCACAGCGCACTAGCCTCACAAAAGCCGCTTCCAACCTCCCCGTTTCCCGAGTCGGTACAGGTTCCGGAAACAGGTACAACGACGAACGTCCCCAAGAGGGAGAACTCGCAACACTCGAGGCGATCCAAGGAGTCGGAGGACATGGACATGGATGATTCAGACGGAGATGGCCACGCTGGGGAAGATGGTGCTGCGTCGGACGACGAGAGTGTTAATGCGGACGGAACAAAATCCAAGAAGAAGAAGTCTCAGAGGTTTTACTGCACCGATTATCCACCATGCAACCTCAGTTTCACAAGGAGCGAGCACTTGGCCCGACATATCAGGTAATAGAACAACTACCTTGACCGAGAGGGCTACTCGCCCCCGAAATCCTTTGCTGACGGTGTGGGTAATTCTAGGAAGCACACCGGCGAGCGGCCTTTCCAATGTCACTGCTCCCGACGCTTTTCCCGACTCGACAACCTACGACAGCATGCGCAGACGGTGCACGTAAACGAAGATATCCCAGTTGATTCCCTAGCCGCCACAGGGACACGGTTCCAGCGCCAGATTAGGACAGACAGAGTGCGCCAGCCTGGCAGGGCTAGAGCATCGACCGCTGGAAGTGTTGGGCCTGGCGGACGAGGACACGCGAAATCTCTGTCGACGTCGAGCATTGGTAGCGTGAGCTCAATAGTGTCTGCTTACGGCGTCAACGATGTTCGGCGAAGACCGCCGCCTCTCATAATGGCGGACCCTCGAGCGCGGCTCTCGTTGGAATCGTATCGCAGTGGTGACGGGCAGTACTACCGGCCGCCCTCACCTGGCGATTTCAGTACTCCCACCTCAGCAACTTTCTCCACCGGGCAAAACAGCCCGCGGTGGGGCCCCGTGATGTCACCTGGCGCGTCCCACTCCCGCTCGCACAGCATGTACGCCGGCTCCAGGACCCCCGGCCGCCGCTTGAGCGTGCCTTCCGGGGGCAACCCCTTCCAGTCACCGCACGGCCCCAGCCCTCGCGGCCCGCTGTTCTCCCCTTCGGCCCTCAACTCGTCCAACAGCGGCGCTTATTCCCCATCGCAAAGCAGCCTGCTGACATCGCCGACAACATCGACGTACGCTTGGTCACGGCGAGACTCGACCACTTCGGCTGCCGATGAGGCTTGGCGTCGACGGACTTGGCACCCTGATACGCGCGACTACAATGGATCGAGTAGGTTGAGTCAAGTTATCACACCTTCGCAATTCCCGCCGGACACCGTCTCGCTGCCGGCTCCGAACCCGAGCAATCAACCGCCACAAACACTGCGTCTCCCAGGCATTGAGTCATTTGACGAGTTGCCCAATAGGCCACTCACTCCGCCTCGTCGGAACCCTTCGCCGATGATGGTAGATTCCGACGCCTCGCATCGCCGACTCCTCCTCCCAGGCGGTGATATGACCACGGAGGACAGACGCGGTCTTCCCGCACAGTGGGACACAAACTTGCATCGGGGGCTAACAAGGCTCGACATTAACACGCCCCCCAGAGACAGTGCGGGGGCATGGGCAAACGAGGCAAAGCAGGCCCTTTTTGCGCGTGCCGAACAAGCTCGGGCTGCTCCTCCTCAGCCGGTTGTTAGGTTTGAGCCAGAGGTACAGACAGTGGAGGGCCCCCCAGCTTCGATGGCGCAGGCAATGAACGCTCCCATGCTGGGCCCTCGGCATCAGCACACCATGTCGGCTCCATCTATCAGTGCACCGCGCGATACCAAACGCCACGGGTGGTATCACGGAGCGAGCGCCGTCGGCCCGGCTGGTGAAACGATTCACGAAGGCCGGCCTCATGTTGATCGAATGATCCACCCCAACATAAGCGAGTTCCAGGGGTTTCCGGCTCGGGAGCGGCAACCAGTCATTCACCAGCAAAGTATGCCTGGGATGGAGCCTAGAACAGAGCGGATGGAGCGCATTATGGAAAGATCTCCGAATCCGAACGGGAATCCGGAGTCGCTAAGACGCTTGGAAGCCCTCGTGGCAGTGGCGACCAGCGAAAGCTCCGTGGCAACCGCCTACTAGCTTCGTGAATCAGCGCCACCCCTTGGCCGGCGACTAGATACTCGGCGGGAACTATTACTTGCCAAAGGGCTGCGGAGAGTCGCCTTGCAGCGCCTCAAGCAGCCGACGACTTCTGCCCGGCTCTGCTCTTCCCCCTTGGATGCGCCATCGGCCTATGCCGACTGCTTTAGCGCGGTGCTGCGATTGGGAAGGCTCAATCTAAATATGCTGTTTCCCAGCTCTATTTTGTTACACTTGCTTTGCGGCTGTCTCACGGCCGAACCCTCGCTGTACATGCGGTTTCTTCTTTGATTTTTTATGCCTATGGATACATGATGACCGACCACTCACTCTGCATTTGATACCATTTCTTGGCTTTTACACTCGCTGCATACGACGTCATATCTGTACTCGATCTGTTTTGGCGTGGGGTGGGTTACCTATTATCGGGCGGAACACGATACTCTATTGGAGTTTATGGTGACCTAGATGTTTCTTCTTTCGGTCTTGCCTCTGTCCGGTTTCATCGTTTATGCCACTGTTACGACTTCTTCCTCTCCTCTCTCAACCCTCTATTCTCTTTACTTGTGACGACGAAACGAACCGAAATGAGACGACTGTCGGGTCCAGGCCAACCATACCATCAAAGACGGAAACGGATTGGGATACCCAGCTATTTCAACGTAACTCGGGGAATAAAGCGGCTTATTATGGATGGGTGGATGGACGGACGGACGGTTGGGTGGATGGGATAGGATGCGATGCTTGGACGGTTTCTATGGAGAGGCTGATACCGCTTTTACTGATTCGGTTTGGGTTGCTAGGGGCCTTGCTTCAATATGGGTCAAGTTGATCTTGGGGGTTGGGTCTGAGTCGCTAGGTCATTCTCGTTGACTCGGATTCATTTCATGAGAATGTGAACGTCAAGGAAGAGGTGGCTCGGCAAGGGTGGTTTACGTCTACTACTACGTTGGCAATTCGGGGAAGAATGAGAGTATGGGACGAGCCGACAGGTAGACAGATAGCGGATGTGGTCTGGCTGTCTTGAGTGCTCACCTACCTAACTACCTCCGAGTCAGCTGTGATGCAGTTTGCAGACAGAGATGCACATGCAGAATACCTCCGAATCCAGCTCAGCCTTGCTCGTACTGTCGGATCTCTTACTGCTGCGTTATCGCTTGTTACCTTGCTGTATGTACATTGCGCTACCTTGGGTAATAGCCCGGTTGCACTTGGATGGATGGCGCGGCTGTGCTGTTAGGCATACTTCTGCATTTGTAAGCACACTCTCATATGTAAGGTATGCCTGGTTACTGGTATGGATGGGCTCTCGCCGCCTGGTAAGGCAGCCTATGGTATTGAGTTGTATAGGTAGTATTATGCGACACATTGGGTACCTCCTTGTGGCCTGGACCCTGTTGTTGAGGTTGTGTCCGTTACCGGTCGGGGTGTATATACAGAGTAATAGCAGGGTAGGCAGTGAGATTCAGGTGTTGGCTGGAGTCTGGTGTATGCATGTATGTACCTAGGTACATCGATTCGAGGCACAACGATTACCAGTACCCAGGTGCCCTGACAGTCAATATCGTACATTGTGTTGCATAAGATGCGGGCAGCTGCGGTGTACTGTACTTTACATATATACATACACTATGGTGGCTGGTGGGAGACGGACTTGTCGTGTAGAAATTGAAATGGACGAGTAGAAACAACTCACATGCGGATATCAGACTGATAATGCCTTGGTTCAAGTTGCTTATAAATTGCAGATTGTCAGTGTCTACGGGCCGACTTGATTGTGTTAATGTAAATGAGTGAGTCGGTTGTAACGTTAACCGACAAGTTCCGGGGAGGGAATAACGGTTGACGTTGAAAGGAGGAGGTTGGATCCGAAGGTCCCGAACGGCTGGGCTCAGGCTTTGTTTTGCCAGGTTCAGGGGCTGGTTGATGGTTGATGCTTGGGACGGAATCACGGAAGGGAGTGCGGCTCGGGTGAACTCGACAGGATGGAGCTCTACTGTGATAAGAGGGGCAGCTACAATCGCTCACGGAGAGGAGGTAGTGCAATGTCTATTCATTTGGTGGTCTTCGGTGGTAAATGAGCCAATACTCTTTCCAATACGGATACTTTCGTATCTATGTACGGATTATTTGCCCCTGGGATGACAAGGTACATGAGCAAGCATAGATTCAAGCTTGTACAAATAGCAGCTCGACCTCAAGTACACTCCGCTGTGACGGCTCGGCACTGCCTGATTTCATCTATCAGCGAGAATGAGGCGCGCAGAGGGCGAAGTGTTCGAGCATCCCGCGGTAGGTTGGCTTGAAATTTGTTCAGGCAGGGTCGCTGTTCTCGTGCTGCTCTGGTCCATGGTGTGCCTGGCTACACAGTCATCTCAACTCCGGGCATTTGAATCCGTAACACCGACTTGGTGACACTGCGATTCAAATGGTTCCTCGCCTGCGCCTTCAGGGACCCCAGTCCCACTCAGTGTTTGGAGACCCGTCGCTCTCAAGTTTAAGCCAGGCTGAAAGCGAAATTAACATCTTGCAAAGGCCACTCAAACGTCCAGCATACTCCTAATCTGCTGTGGCGGACGGTCGGTTGAGTTGGAAGTGGCGCTTCGCTCCACGTTCGGGGCAGGCCTTGTCCCGGCGTCTCCTTCGGGCTGGTAGGGCGGCGGCGCGGCATCATCCAACCCAATCTCTTCGTGCCTCTGGGCGGCAGCACGTTCCCCTGCTTGAGGGAACATCAGGCCGGCGGCGAGCTCCGTTCGCCCCCGATCAGATTTACCACTGTACCGCTCAACCTCGGTACGCGAAATCCTGGGACTAGCCGGCGGCGGCGGCGAAACAGGCGTCATCTCCACCGGGCCGCTGGCGATGTCAATACCGTCAGGGTTGCGCGTCGTGGCTTGCCTGTTCCCTTGAACCTCGCGGACGTTGCGGGCCAGACGGTCGCTCATGCTCTCGTTGGCGGCGATGTGCTCGCCATTAATCCGACGCCACCAGGAGGGCTTGTGCACGATGCCCATCTCGCGGTCGAGCGCCTGGTCGCGTACACGGCGCTGCCGCAGCAGCTCCTTGTCCTCGTTGGGGAGCAGCAGTCCAAAGTAGGCTTGGACCAGTACGATGAGCAGCGCGGGGGTGTACGCGCCGGGATAGATGGCGGCGTCGAGCCCGTCGATGTTGAGCGGGCTCCAGGCGAAGTGCCATGCTACTAGGGCTTGGTAGACAGGCACGACGGCGGCGAGCGGGAGGATGATCATGAACCGGGCGGGTGTGTACCGGAGGAAGCCTGATATACGATTGAGGATGCCTCGGTTGCGCGGGCAGTAGTGCTCGATGGAGTGGCGTAGGGAGAAGACGGTGGTTAGCCAGCAGACGGCGAGGAGAAAGGCGGCCGTTTTGAACCGGGCATCTGTAGCAGTTGGTATAGCTTCATCGACGACTTGCTGTGGATATCGTTGGTGCTGGATTGGCTCCCAGTTGCGGGGGACAATCATGAAGAAGTTCTGCACGAATAAAGACCAGTCATTAGCCACTGTCCCGTTCAAGGATGGTCCGCCAGACGACATACCAGCCACAGGAAAAGGTAGAACCACAGCGGCAACCAAAACTCGACCTTTGACCTCCTGTCGCCGTCTCGGAGCGCAAAAGGGTCGGGATCCGTGAACTGCCTCTCCATCCAACTGCCCCAGTGCCTCACAGCTTCCCAGACCACGGCAATGGCGCCGATCTGCATCAGATACCAAAAGAAGCTCGTCAGGATTATGGGCAGCTCGGGCAGAAAGTACCGGTCGACATCAATGCAGGTGAGCAAGCTAATCAGCGCCGTTGCGCACACCCATATCGCCCAGTACCACTGCCATCGCCTTCCAATGGGATAGAAGCGCTTCTCGGCCGGGAGATAGAGCCTTGCATGCTTGTTGAGGCTGACGAGGGTGAGGACCAGCGCAATGCCAAAGACTACCGCATATCCAATTGCAATGGCCGCGCGGTGTTGGATGCCCTTGACGGGGGAGTAGCACCACGTGGCGTTGATGAAGGTGCCGTTCTCGAGGAGCAATGGGGGCGTGTACGGCGGGAAGGTCAAGAGACACCACGAGCCGTTGGACAGGGTGCCGTTGGAGTAGAGCGTGTAATTCCAGAAATTGAGCGTCGTCAGGTTGAAGTGGACATTATCGATGACGGTGTCGCTCGAGTTGCTGCCGCCGGGGAAGGCGACGGCGTCGCGGACTTGGAGAAGAGACATCGCCGCGAACCTTGAACCACGGGAGATGCTATGGGTGGAGAGTAATTCGACTTATCCGGGCCATCGCAGGCGTAGAGTCAGGGCATTTCCGAGCGAAGGGCGATCAACGAGGCAACCTTACTCGGTCCGCCGAGGGGCGAGAAGAAGCCGAAGACAGTGGACCTTGACATTTCTTACCCGCTGCTTCCGGCGCTGGCACAGCGGTCTTAATTAGCGCTTGAAGTGGGGGTATGGGATAATTAAGCTCTGGGTCCCCACTGAGACAAAAGCGGGTCGTCCATTGCTCCATGTGAGCTCTGCCAAGCTTGGATCTCTCTTTTGGGCCTCATCAATTGAAGAAGTGAGTCCGTTGCAACAATTACCAACTGACCACAAGATGGACGTCCACACTCCGCTCACACCTCCAAACAACCCCGACGACAACGAGCCCTCCTACATCGACTACGAAACCTTTCTCGACCCATCCTTCAAACCGTCCACCTTCGCCAACACGCTCGTCCTCGCAACCAACAACCCCAATGACTCCCCTCTCGACCTCTCGACCCCGCTCTCCAGGGTGCTCTTCGACATCCAAGAGATCGATTCACACATCGACCTGCTAACCACCCGCTCCGCTATCCCCTTACTCTCACACACCCAATCGCAGACCGAAGCAAGCACCCGCATCCTCAACACCATCGAAACCCAAATCACGGCCCTCAACGACAGCTACCGCCAGCTCGAGCGCGAAGTCACGCAGAAACACGCCGAGGCCGACGAGGTGCGCACGGTCGCCGCCCGCCTGTGTGAAACCACCCGCCTTGCCCGCGCCGTGTCTCGCGCGCTGCAATTGGGCCGTCAGCTCGAGGCCCAGCATGCCGAGCTGACTGGCTCCTCCTCAACGAGCACTACTACTACTACTACGACGACGACGACGACGTCGTCGCGCGCCCGGGAAGACCACCGCGCGCTGGTGCGGTGCGTGCACACCCTGCTTGCGCTGCGGGAGTTGTTTGCTGGTTCTGCTGTGCCCGAGGCGGAAGGGTATGGGTTAGACAAGGTTACCGTGGTGCGGACGCTGCGCGAGGGGGTGGTGGGACCCCTCGAGCGGGCGGTGCGGGAGACGGCGGAGCGGATTGTCCGGGAGTTTTCGGTCGGGTCGGCGTCGGGGACGGCGACGTTTGCGCAGAGCGAGGAGGCGAGGGCTAGGACTGTGTCGGCTGTTACCGCGTTGTACTTGCTCACGCCGGTTCCTGTTCCGGTTTCTCCAGCTGGGGCTGGGGGTAAGGAGAAAGAGAAGTGGGTGCCCACGCTGATGCTGCAGGCGCTGGAGGGGTATTTGCGGTCTGCCCTGCAGAGCAGTGTGGCGGGCCTGTCGCGCGCGCTGGCGACGCTGCCGAGTTTGGAGCGCACGCTTGCTGAGGTTAGTGCGAGGTGTCAGAATGTGGTGGCGCTGGAGGTGGTGTTGGAGGGGATCAAGGTGCCCCCGCATCCGCTGCTGATTGCGGCGGGGAAGAATCAGCCAGCAGCTGGGGAGAACAACAACATGCTGCAGCCGTTACTGGCGTATCTCGAGACGGGGTCGCTCGCGAGTTACTTCTGGCGCACCATGGCGGGCAGCTTGGCGCCTCGCGTGCAGGAGATTGTGGCCAAGGGGGGTGTTTCTGCCAGGACGCTCAAGACAAACCGCCAGAGCGTGGGCGAGGCCATCAAGGAGTGCGTCGCCCGGGGTTGTAGGTTGCCGAGCGCTGTCGCTGCGGCGGCGAAGGGGAAGGGGAAGGCTACCGAGGGCGAGGCGACGACCAAGAATTGGGAGAGGGAAGTCGCGGTTATGGTGGGAAGTGTGGTCAACAATCTTGGGCGGTGATGGAGGGAGATGCAGGGCTTAGGTATGTGCTGTGGTGCAATCTTTGGCAGGGTGAACTGCTAACCATCGGAAGTTGTACGCGCCTTGCTCGCCGCCTGACCTGTATTTCCAGCCCAGCCAGTGCACCCAGTTTTGAGTTATCTTAGATGGGACGGCAGCGGATATACCCAAAGGGATTGATTAGAGGTTGAGGGCCATGGCATACCCTACATATATCAAGTCTTCCACTCAACAGAGAGAAGGCTTCTTGAGCTGTCACCTAACCTTTCTCTGGTTTGCCTCCGCGGACAATCCTCAACAAAGCGCCACTTGTCGGTACTCGGATGTCTCACGCCCTTTCCGACAAGCCTCGATCATCCATTCATTCCCAATACCGCTTCCATTCCTCCTCGGCCATCCTGATCTGATCCTCCACCCCGGCAGCCTGGACCTTGAGCATGGCCGCCTGGTTGTTCAACTGCGTGGTCTGGCTAAAGTCGGGCTGCAGCCGCATCATTGTCAGCTACGGCCAGGTCGTACGAGGTACATAAACGAGACTCACCACTCCGCTCGGAACTGCAATCGTGTTGGCATCGATTCGATACCCACCTCCAATACCAGCGATCATTATATTGTTGCTCGCCGCGTTGGCCGACACGCGCATGGCATTGACAGCCAGATGCTCCTGCAATTTGGCTTGTTCTCGAAGCTGGGCGGCTTGCTGTTGCAACTGCGTCCTCTTCATTTGCAGTTCCCGCTCCTTGGCTCGTCTTTCGCTAACCTGTTCACGGGATTAGCCTCCATTTCTATGCCGCGACGACGCATGTCATGTACCTTTGCCTGGAGAAGAGCCAGGTCTCCAGCCGCCGCTGCGTGGCTCCAAACCTGGCGCATCCTGGGGGAGTACAACTGGCACGTAAAGCCCGAAGGCATGACGGCGGGAGTCGGGTCGAAGCGGCGAGCCAGCTCAACCCCCTTCTCAGCGTCCGGCTTGACGACCTCAGCATAACACTGCTCGCACACGGTCAGGTCAAAGATCCCCTGCATCGTATGGCACCGGAGGCTCGTCGACGGATACCCCCTCGGACAAAGCCCGTTGCCTCCAGCATGCGGCGGCTGGCCTCCTGCATGTGTGGAAGAATACCCGGCGCCCCCGCCCCTCGGTGCAGGCGGATTTGCCTGCAGCCAGTTCACCAGCTGTGACATGTCCACGCGCCCAGTCATTTGCGCGGTAACCGCACACGCCCCGATCTGCTGCAGCATTGCCCCCGTGCGCGCATCGTCGTACAAATCCGAAGGCACCATCGCGCAGCTACCCTCCCACTGCTGCTGCTGTTGTTGTTGCTGCTGGCCCGGTGGCGGCAGCCCCTGACCCGGCAGCGGCGCGAACGCGGCTGCAATGGCCGGGCAGCACGCCTGCACGTTCAGCACGCACGACGCGCACACCGTCCACCCGGGCAGCGGCTGCGCGCCGGTGTGGGGATCGCGCAGCGTGTACCACGCCGGGCGCCGCGCAACAGCAAGCGGCTGATGTTCTCCCGCCAGCTGGGAGTTGGGACAGTCCCCGTCCTGCGCGCGCGTCGCAGCCACCCGCGCCAGCAGGGTAATGTCGTGCCGCCCGTTTTGGTTCATGGTCAGCAGCACCATGCCGGCGACACGCACCCAATACCGCGACATGTCGCATCGCACGGGGGTGTTGGGCGGATACCCCGTGTGGGGGCCCTTGGTGACGAAGCTGTTGGCGTAGGGGGTGGGACGGATCAGGTTGTGGTAGCAGGTTGGGCAGACGTTGAAGGTTGCGAATTGGGGGTGAGGAAGGCCGATCCAGTCGTGGTGGTTTGCTTGGGGTTGTTGGCGTGGGCAGGGGGTGGGTGATTGAGGGATCGCGGGGGAGGAGAGGGAGTTGAGGTTGAGGCCGAAGAGGCTGCTGAAGCCGGGGCTGGCGCCGCCGCCATTACTGGAGCCGCCTAGCATTTGCGCTGCATCCTGCAGCTCGCGTGTAAAAGTGCTGAGGAGCTTTTTGAAGGGCATGTTGTGGTGTTTGGTCGAACTTGTTAGCAGCGGTTAGTGACCAGGGGAAAGTGAATTTGCCCAGCCTGCTCTCCCGGTGGCTTCTGCCCAGACTTTAAGGGCGCCCAAGACCCATGTATTTGTTGAGCCTCATGTGGGCTTTTCTGGTTCTTAATCTTCAATGTAGGGTTGTAGTGCGTTGAAACTATTGTCTTGTTGCCGGGATTCAGTCTAGGTATCTGCCAATGATGGCGGCCCGCGGGCTGATATCTCTGGTCCAGCTGGATGGGCACCCCTGTCAGCTGAAGAAGTTAGGGCATAATGAGGTTTAGCTGGGCATTAGCTTAGTATAACATTGATAATGGTTGCTTACCTTAGGCTGTAGTTGAACTTCTCGTTAACTGTAAGTTAGGTATAAACTACCAGCACTGTAAGCACAAGCGTTTATCTTCACCTTCGATTACCTACAGAGCTCGTAAATAAGCATGACACCATGACTTATGTAAGTGAGACTCGTGATTCCAGCTCGGAAAGAAAAAGGCCAGATTTTGGATTTAAAATGCGAGGTACGAGCATATTGGTCGAGTGGATAGCAGCGCCACACTTGTACACACCACAGCTTGGATCGGCGTCTCACCAGGAGGCTATGCCATTTGCTTCTGAACTCGGTACCTAGTAGGATTTGCTCTGCCACCATTTGCCATGATCTGTGTCTGCCTTAAGTACTAGCTAGGGTTTATAGACCGGAACCATGGCTTCTTCCTGACTTCAACCAGATTCGCAGCACCCACAGTCTCACACCGATCCACGCCAACATGAACCATCCAGCAGCGGCCTTATCATGGAGAAATGAACCAGCCAGGCTCAAGGCATCAGCCGATCTCAGCATCCATCTGAACCCTCCTGGGCACTCTGGCGATGGCGTACCCGCTACCACTCCTTACACCCTCACCGGCCACGTCCACAGACAAGCCAAGGCCGTCAGCCCTCGAGCATGCGTGTCCATCGCCCTCATCGGCCGCTCGATCGTTCGACTCCGACGAGAAACCGGCTCGTCAGACAACAAAACAACGCACCATTACAAGTCTCAATTCTACCTCCTCGATCACCACCGGCACATCCTCTTTGACGGGCCCTTGCACATCCCTCCCGACAGCCCCCAAGGCCAGTCATGGCCCTTTTCCATCCCCATACCCACGCACACTTCCCCCTCAATCCCCCCCAACCAAGACCCAAAATGCACCTTTTTCCCTTGGACGCCAGGAGCTCCGACCCCGCCGCCGGGACCTCCCCCCCCCAGTTTCCGCACTCACACGGGCACCCCGAGCAGCATGGTAGACGCCTGGGTGGAATATTTTCTGGCAGCCGACCTGACCGAGGAGCACGGCGGCAGCTGCAAGGTCACGGCCAAGGCGAGGCTGCCTGTTACTATCCTCCCGCCTCGCGCTTCCACACCACAATATGGACATGGATTCCGCCTCCCTGCGGGCGTGGACGTGCAAAATGACATGGAGATGATGATATTCCCGCACCGCTCGACTCATACCGTCACAACGCAGCGCCTGCGGCCGGGGATGGAAGAGGCCAGTTTGAGTTTTGCGCAGGGGGTAAAGAAGCTGTTCAAGACGCCGTCGGTGCCGAGGTATACTTTTCAGGTGCTCGTGCAGTTGCCGGAGGGGGTTAGCATCAGTATGGATGCATTGGATGGGCGTGGTGCGGCTGCTGGTGCAACGCCGCATGTGCCGGTTTGGATTAAGGCGGTGCATCGCCCCGGTAATGACGGCGGTGGTAACATGAATGATGCGCAGCTGGAGGGAAAGGAAAAGCAAAGGGGTCCACAGATGAGGACGGTCATACTAACCAGCGTGGAGATCCGTATAATCGCTATAACCGAGGTGGCCGTGGACGGAGCCTTTGTCAGGGACATGGACCGGCAGCAAGAAAGCGAAATCATGCGGCTCACTGTCGACTCGCAACAGACTCAGGGTCGGGGTGTGCTGCCTGTGGATGTTCCGGGGGATGAAAGGGAGGATGGGGAGGGGTTGCCGCTGGATGTTGGGGCGGTGCTGGGTTTGAGGTTGGGACGGGACTGGGTTGAAGCTCTGGGCGAGCGGCGGCCCATGGGGACGAGATGGGGGGTTGCTAGTGAGGGGCTGTGTCCGGATTTTGTGACGTATAATATCAGGAGGGGGTATCGCATGGTGGTGAAGATGGAGTTGGAGCTGGCGAGGGAGAGGGTCAAGGTTAGGTGCGAGCAGGGGGTGGGTGTTGTTAATGGGGAGTAGGTGGTCTGGGGTGGATATGGGGTTGGTACGGGTGGTGTAGGGACAGGTAAAGGGTGTCTTGCTTTGCATATGTCAGGCGTTGCGGCAGGGAATGGGGGACCAAGGATTATGTCGTCTAAGTTGAGTGAAAGAGTCAGAAACGGGGAATATCCAAGTTCTACGTATCGATGTGATAGGGTATCTGAGTTCTGAAAGTACACGGCATCTTGATTCACATACCCGAGATAGTCATCGGCTCAGGGGTATGGTAGAGATAGGGGTATGTCCATGGTGTTTATCAATGTCAATATTGGTAATTCCATGTATTTGTAACAATAGTAGGTAGGTCATAGTAACCTAACCTGGCCAGAAGATGCGCCAGCAAGACGTATGCGAAATGCATCAACAGCAGGCGCCAGTCTTTGGAGGAGGGTGCAATGTAAGGGATAGATAAAGAGCGTTGTTGTCAAGCACTGATCCTCGCCCAGTACCTCACGTAGGTACAAGTACCTGACGGACCGGAGAGTATGTCGAAACCCCTATGCAGGATGCAAGAGATAGTGTCATGTTTCATTGAGCTAGTACTAGCTTGCATCCAGCTCTTCTCCGCCCCCGGCTGTCAACTGCCGGGTACGTCCCCATCTACAACCCCAACTTTCCCCGCACTGCATCTTGATCCATCTGACCTCGCCTGGTTAGCAGTTACACCAACCAAAAGGGAGGTTCAAGCGGTTGTCGAATCTTCGATAGATCCAACGGCAATATAAAAACGACCCTGAACCTCGGCCTGCCCACACCGGCCTGCCAAGCCACAGTCTGTCATCCATTTTGCATGGTCCGACCCGCGGATCCATCCACACCTTGACTTCCACGATGGGCGGAATGCGGGGAACTCCAGCTAGGCATCATGAGGTGGGGAATAAGTGATATTAACCCCTGGGCCCTGGACGAGCTGGGTGCAGATTGAACTTGAACCATGCCAGCATATCTGTGCGGCGTCACGTCTTATGATCTTACCGATATACCCCCTCGAACTCGACCCTCACACTCACCCACCCCCTTCCTAGCCCATCCCCTTAGATCAGATACTCATCCACAATGACCGACTCAACGCCCAACCGACCCTTCAACAAGGCACGTTTCCTCCGTCACAACCCCCTTCCTAACCTCCAGCCCTTCCACTGACCATGCCTGGCCCCGCAGGTAGTAATAGTCGGCGCCGGCCCCTCGGGTCTTCTCCTCGCGCTCCTCCTCTCCCGGCACTCCATCCCCGTGCACATCCTCGACTCCGCAAGCTATCTCGATCAGCAACCGCGCGCAGCACACTACGGCACGCCCGCCATCCCCGAGTTCATCCGTGCTGGTATCATCGACTCCATCCGGGAACGGGGACTAGTGCTCGACACCATGTGCTGGCGGCGGCCCGACGACCATTCCTACATTGCGGGTTTTGACGGGTCGCGGGTGCTGCGGGACGTGGACGGGCATGATCTGCGCACGCACTGCCTTGTGCTGCAGGATTTGGATCAGATTATGCTGGATGAGGTGGTGAAGCTTGGGGGGACGGTGGAGTGGGAGCATAAGGTTGTCGGGGTGGGGCAGGATGAGGGACTCGGGAAGGCATGGGTGGAGGTGGAGTTGAGGGATGAGGGGAGGAAGAGGGTGGAGGGGGATTATGTGGTGGGTTGTGACGGGGCGAATTCGATGGTGAGGAGGTCGTTGTTTGAGGAGGAGTTTCCGGGGAAGACGTGGGATGCGCAGATTATCGCTACGAATGTGAGTGATACACCCTTTGTTTACTCACCTCAGGGGTACCGGGGAGAATGTGGGTGGAGTGAGATTAGGGTGGAATGGCTGACGGCGACAGACGTACTACGACTTTGAGGCAAAGTTCGGGTGGGCGGATGCCAACTTCATCATCCACCCGGAGCACTTCTTTGTAGGTCGCCCTTTTCCCTTTCCCTCCACATCAGTAGACTGACCCGAGATAGATGGCCGCCAGAATAACCAAGGACGGCCTTTACCGCATCACCTACGGCGATACCCCTGGCCTGACCCGCGAAGAGTACCTCGCCCGTCAACCCGCGATCTGGGAGAAGATTCTACCCGGACACCCCAAACCAGACGAGTACAAGATTGTCAACTTCTCCCCCTACCGCATGCACCAACGGTGCGCACCCAAATTCCGCGTCGGCCGCGTCCTTCTCGCCGCCGACGCCGCTCATCTCTGCAACCCCTGGGGCGGGCTGGGGATCACGGGCGGCTTTGTCGACGTTGGCGGCCTGTACGACTGTCTCGCGGGGATATGGGACGGCAAGGCGGATGAGTCGATTCTCGACCTGTACTCGGAGAAGCGCATCGAAAAGTGGAAGACCATCATCGACCCTATCTCGTCTGAGAATTTTAGGAGGGTGTCGGATAACGAGCCTCACACGAGGCTGGAGAGGGATGAGTTTCTGCAGCAGTTGAAGAAGGCGGAGACGGATGATGTGTATTTGAAGGAGCTGCTGCTGGGGTTTATGGAGGTCAGATATGACTTTACGCAGCATTACAGGGACGCGAAAAAGGGGCAATGAGCCTGAGGGCGGTGTAATGTGGCCGAGATATTGGAGGGATAAGGAACCCGTTGGCCGGTGCATAATTATTCCCAGATGCTTCGATAATCTCTCGACAAGTAGTACTGTATGTATAATGACCATTTATTGAAGTGCGAGCCGCTTCTCTTACCTTATCAAGAGGGCAAATGAGCATTCTCCCCAGCACTGTGCAAGTGACGGCCCTACAGCCAGCTTATTCCGCCCACAGGCGTACCAACGGGACTTGTGCCGTCTTGGGGGCTGTGGGCTCGAACTTAGAGATGGTGTGTCCCAAAGAGGAAGGTTGGACACACAAAGACCTAGCAATGTGGCTCAACCATGCAGTTGGTGAAGTTGCTTGGACATCCATCCTCCGTTCTGCTGGACAGGGGGCAGTCTTGATCTTTGCTGCGTGACCATATCAGTTTACCCCCACAGGCCCACAGCCTTACTTGCTATTATTTCGTCTTATTCGACGTATTCTTCACTGGGGTTGGCTCTCTCACTCTGAACTCTTCCTTTCCCACGGCAGTCAATCAACTCTTCCTTTCACACGGCAGTCAGTCTATTGACAATACCCTCAACATGATGCACACCCTTAAACAAGTAGGAGACGACCATCTTGAACCACGAACCAAACACAAACGCTTAACTCAAACCTACCACACAGCCCTCTACCTCCTCCCAATCCTGACGACTTCCCTCACTCTCTGGGCCGTCCTGCACACCTGGCATCTCAACCTCTCACCCACCCTGAACATCCACCACCACCTCCCAGTCCCAGTCCAATCCCATACTAGTAGTACTCACCGCTGGACAACATGCGGCTCGTCCCCCGACGAAGCCCTCTCTCGCAACTGCCGGTTCGACATACTCAGTTTCGCCTGGCAAACCACCGAATGCTACGACGTCGAGCTCATGCAGGATTTCATCCACCACATGAACCTGCACGACCACCACCACTGGCACTTCTACACCCATCCCAACCGCACCGAAGGCGAGACTGTGGATTTTGCTGTCGCCCTTGAGGGCCGGAGGACGCTGTTTGTGGACTGGAAGTACCACGTCACACACTGCACGTTTATGTGGCGTCAGATGCATCGTGCGTATACCGTCAGGGGGTATGTGGATGGGCATTTGGATAACTATGGGCATACGTTGCATTGTCAGGGGGTGTTGCTGGATAGGGAAACGGGGATGGATAGGGTGAGTGTGATTGCGGAGGTGAAGTATCCAGAGTGTAGGAAGATATGGTAGCTTGGAGGTGGGAGAGGGTAAGGCTTGTATCCATTATGGCTGGGCCTATGGAGGCATTTCTTGAGCTACCTAGTAGTTGATTCAAAACTTAATGACCTGTCGGCATGAGGTTCTCATCCAGCCGTCCATACACGGGATGGCTGAGCAACTTGTCCTGCAACAGAAACGAGTGTTCCGTAGTCCACTTGTACAGCCAATCCCAGTCTACACATTTTCTCTCTGCCAGCGAGTCTGGCTTCGGCGCCGGCTTGTTTGGCTCCCAGTGGAACGTCCTTATGGAGGTGTCGCCGTGGCACAGCACCGACTCGAGAAGGCTCCAGACGCAATGTCCTATGGCGAGTTTGTGTGAGGGCTGGTATGAACCTCAGAGCGGAACGTCAAAGGGGACAACTCACGGTAGTGACCCATAGCAGATTTGTCTTCTCGTTGTTCCTGCCAGGTCTTGTTGGAATAGTATTCGGGCTCGAGAAACCAGCGGAGTCGCATCTGTATGCGTCCTGTTAGAAACAGGGGTTCAGGGGGAAAGTAAACAGTGGGCCGAGGTTTACAGCAACGTACCAGACAGTGAAGCTCGTGATATACCGTTAGTGTGACGTAGTAATCGGAATTGTAGGAGCCATCTTCAACCCTGACTGAAGTTCGGTTGCCCATGCTAGCCTGGTAGCGATCCGCCGGAACCCGAGTGTTGAATGCTGTGTGCTTGTCAACACGACTACCCTACTGTGAGCTCACACACAAACAGTTTTTGGAAACATACGCTTGATCAGCTTGTACCATGCATCGTCAACATCAGGACTCGGCTTGCCGTAGACGAGATGATGAGTCCAAGAGTCGTGCGCCCGGCCGGTCTCTTTGATGACGTACTCCTTTTCGTCAGGGTGAGGAACTTGGAGACAGCATCAGTTTCCGTTGTGCTTTTGGAATGTCAGCCTAGGCCGACTTACAACTAGACGCCGGTGCAGGAACTTGAGGACCGTATGACCCTAGGACAGCAAGTTTCGTGATCCAGGAGACACCGAGGGAGTAAACAACAAGTACTATCGTGGCCAGTATTGACGCCCGCAGTGTTGGATGCCATTCAGTCCTAAGGTTTGCCTTCTCGTTTAGGATCAAGAGGCGCATCCTCATCACTTTCCTGTTCACTGGCATGCTGAATGGGTAAGTATTTGGGGAGCATTTTGCGACTTTGGGATTCTGGCAATGTCTTCCAGAGAAGTTCAGTTTGGATGGAAATTGCGCAAAGAAAAGACCAATGTATACGGTCTGCCAAAATCGAAGTCATTCAGTCGCAAACATGACAAGAAGAACCGGGGAGCTCCAGACAGCAAGGCCATAACCAAATTGACAATGTTAGCTCTGGCCAAGCCGTTTTTCCGTGGGAATGGATTGCAAACGTCTCCTTGACTGTCTGCTGACCGATTCTGCATTCACCATCACACATACTGGCTCATCACCAACCGTCGGTTTGTCTGATGTTGCCTGGTGTTTGCACCAACCGTCCCGTTCTTTGCCCGGTGTTGGTGATATCCAGTGGCCGCCCACCCTCCCACGCAGTTTGAACTCCTTGAACCCCACTTCAATTCATCCGGATCCGCATCCTTTAGCTTCCCGGTGAGCCAAAGATTATGTAGCCGGTGAATACGGTGAAGATGCCAAGCCAACATATCACCTCTACTCGCCACATGGACAGCGTCAGATGGGGGCCAGAACGCTTTAGTCAGGCACTAAGACTCCAAAAACTCTGATGCATGACTGAAATCTTGATCTGGAAGGTGCGAAGAACCCTCAAGCATTGGTTTAACCGTACTTCGATGTGAGTTGGCTCAGTGATGTGATGTGAATTCAAAGGAGTCCTATTGCGTGTGCTGTATGTGACAACAATTCGAAGTATGCGAGGCTAATTTGAAATCATTGTTGCCCGGTTATTATGAACCATGAGAGTTTCTTGCGGAAATGTTGGAACTCTCTGACCTGTGCGGTGTGATAGAACTCCAATCTGTTGAACCGTCACATTTGGTAAAGGGGGGATGGAGGGTTGTGAAGTCTGGTAACCCCTGAGCATCTCGAGGGCCGACAGATGATTCAGAAGCAGCACACTGTTTTCCAATTTCAGGCTGGCTCATCCTTTCCAGTTCCTCATGAGACTGACGGGTATAAATACGGTGATACTGCTTTCATCAGTAGAGCAGTGGAATCTGTTCCTCTTGCATTCTTCAACCACCGCTCAACGATATTCCAAAACAGTAGACTCATTTAGTTCACAATTCAACAAGCACTTCGCTCCATCCCACCACCATGCTCTTCAAACACACTATTCTCTCCACCCTCATGGCATTCTCCTCACTGGCTCTTGCTCTGCCGGCTGCCAACCCTGCTGCACTCTCCGTTCGAGATGAGGAGTATGGCGCTGACTACAAGCGCGACGAGCCAGCCATGGATATTTCTGTCTGCAAGCGTGGCGATGTCAAGTACGAGGAATTTGCTTCCGATTCGCAAGACCTTGTTGCAAGTTCTCTAACTGCTTGCCACAGCCAGTCTCTGAGCTGCCTCCGCAAGAAGAGCGCTGTTGCGGACGAGTCCCTGACTGCCAATTGAACGTTTGACCTTTTGCACGGGTACGCTACGATGTCCCTGTTGTTATCCTCCGCATCAATGCATAGAACCTGATGCTGACGCATAAAGCTCGTAAGTTGAACGGTTAGCTGTTAGGGCGAGACATTCAGTCGAAGTGTAGCTCGACATGTTCTGTATTGAGTTGTTCCGAGATGGATTTCTCTTGAATGGATAGGGGTAACTGCGATTAGGGAAACAGTCTAACAAGACTGCCACGTCAAACAAAATTCGCAAAAAGCGTGACTTTGAACGTCTAGCCTCAATCATGCCTCTCTTGGTACATGTATGTAGCAGTACAGTTCCGCCAAACTTACAAGTACCTTAGCAGTGGCTCTGCTTCGAGGGGTAAGAGTGACAATACCGTCCGAGATACCGCGAGATGAATCATACCAGAGGTGATTCACATTCCGCAGGATAAAGCCAGAAGACTGGCTGCTCCATAACTACCAGCGGGCAGAGCCAGCAGAGACTCCAGTCATGCTTGGCTCCCTACCTTAGGTTGCAGTCACCATACCAAGAGCACCAGCAACCACCCAAGCCATAGCCACGGCCCAGTGATTACCATGATATACCTCCCCCCGAGCCGCCGCCGCGCTCACCCTGGTTGTGGTTCCACCTCCATCAAGCGAGTTCGGCCTGACCGTCGACTGCACCGAGCCCGTGACTGTCCGAGTTGACTGCGCCGAAACCCGCGAGGCATGATTCGTTATCGTGGGAGTAACAGTATACCATTCCGTGTTCGTACTTCCCGATCCGAATTCCCAGATCTGGTGGGTGTAGACGGCAGGTTGTTCCCGTTTCGGGGCCGCGGTGGTTGGGGCCGTTCCAGAGGACACGGCTCGGGTGTGGTCTCGAACCCGCCATCGTCGTTGGTCATTCGAAAGCACCCCCCGGGGTTATAGCAGTCGAACCCAGCGGGACAATAAGTTCCTAGGTTAGTCCAGTTGTCGTAGTCAGTGCAGCAATTGCTGCCTGTCGGGATGCAGGTCCACTCCAGCCTGCCCAGGAACCTGCAGCAGATGCTGTTCTCACAAGTGATAGCACGGCCGGAATCTGGTTGGTCTGGTCAGTACATAGTGTACTGCTGGTTGTTGGTGATGGGAGGAAACGGACGATCTGTGCCACATTGCATGATTTCTGCTGCGGCCTGTGTTGCAGCTGCTGCTAACGCGAGGAAAATGGCGAGAAGCCAGGACATAATGAACAGCCGTCGTAGTCGTAACGGTAAAAAGGTGCTCTAGAAAACAAGTCACGGTGGGCAGCTTGGCCGGAACAGAGGAGAGTTGAGACTACTAGTGTCGGTACTTAACTGCCCCGTGTATGAGACATTTGAGATTAATGTTATTTCGGCCGTCGAGTCACCTTGGCTGCCTCGTAGATGGCTTACGCTACTTGGTGATAGCGCTACTAAGGTCTAAAGCCACGCTGCAAGATATCGGCCATCTTGGCAGGGCGTTCAGCCTCGTCAACCTCGTAAAACACTAGGCATCTGTGCCTAATAAGAAGCTTGTAAGCTGAATGGTTAGGGGTTTTGGCGAGGCATTTCAGTGTCGATGATGGCTCGGCCTGCTTTGAATTAAGTCGGCAATGAGGTAGACTCCTTGAAATGGATAGGGGTCGGGAGCTGTGAAACATGACAATAAATACCATTCAAGGAGACACCTCAACAAGACTATACATCCAACAAAATCCACAAAAGGGGTGTCTCTAAGCGTGCAGGCTGGTCTCATTTGTATCTCCTTTACTAGTCGTACATGTAGGTATATACACATAAGTCCTGTAACAAGTACGCCAAATCGACAAGCATCCGAGATATCGTGAAGACGGTGAAGGAATGCTGGGGCATGCCTGAGTCCTTAAAGTGCAAACACCAGCATACCAAGAGCACCAGCAACCGCCCAAGCCATAGCCACGGCTCCGAGATAAAGATCTACCTCCCCCCTGGCCGCCTCACTCACCCTAGTTGTGGTACTCTGTGTTCCACCCCCATCAAGCGAGTTCGGCCTGACCGTCGACTGCGCTGAGTTGCCCCCCCCTGCCGCGCCCGTTACAGTCAAGGTTGCGCCCGGTGCGGAACCAGCAGTAACGGTCACGGTGCCAGTGGGGGTCGCAGCTGGCACTGAAGAAGCTGGCGAGGAGCCTCCGATCCGCGGGGGCGTGCCTCTCGTTGCCGAGAAAGTCTCGATCGCGCCAGTGTCGTTGCCACTGTCTCTATAGCACTTCGTGGTTGAGTAACAGCCCAACCCCGCAGGGCAGAACCACCCGTAGCTGCCCCCGTCGCTTTGAAGGCAGCAGGTGCTGCTTGCCGGAATGCAGGTCCAATCAGACCCCGTGGGGCAGCATATGCGGTTGTCACAAGTGACGACGAGGCCGGCTTCTGGTTGGTCTGGTCAGTACTGTACTGTACATGAGATAGGTTGTATGAGAGGTAGGTAGGTAGGTAGCTAGTTGAACCTCCAACCACGGGGCATTTGCTAGGGTGTTGTGATGGGAGGAGACAGACTGTTTTTGCCGCATTCCATGGAATCTGCTGCGACATGGGCGGTTGCTGCTGCTAAGGCAAGGGCAAAGGCGAGAAGTTGTGGCATTATGAGCAGTCTTTGTAGTGTCCGTAGGTAGTTACGGCAAAAATGCGTAAGTGAAAGTCCGTAGCAAGCTTGACCGGGATTGAATAGAGTTAAGTACTACCTACCTACCTAGCTTGCCCAGGGGCCAGGGGTATGAGATATCCATATTCATGATTGCCTAGTCTCAGCCCTCGATTCCCTTCGGCGGCGGCCTCACGAATGGCTTATACGTAGTGCTACTGAAGGCACGCTGCAAGATATCGGCATCTTGGCAGGCGTTCAGCCTCCGTTCAAGTTCTGTCGTTCTGTCCGGGGGCTGGAACCTCACCCCCCTGTCGTCTCACAGCGCCCAATGAGACATGGCTTGGAGATGGTCAGTGACGAAACGATTGCCATTGGGCCAGAGCTCGGGCGAGGGGCTGGAACATAAGAAACTGCTCAGGCTAGTTGCCAGTGCAGACCATAACCAAAACCCCAAGACTCTTCACTCTCATCCCACCTGCTTGTCCGTGGCTGGTCATAGCAGCTCACCTGCCCGTGGCCGCCTAGCAACTCTGCTCTCGACCAGAACCAGAGATAGGCGGTTTGAATCATCCGAAACGCCATATCGTACAAGTGGGTCGTTCCTCTCACCGTCCCGTACGTGTCGAACAATATCTCCCGCAGAAGCATTGCCGCTGCACTTCTCTAGGACATCAACGGCGTAGCGGTGTCTCTCAGCAGGCATCTCCTTTGTTGAGCTAGGGCGAAATGCGTTCGCAACCTCCAAGGGGCTAAACGAAAACGGCCGCCCAAGCTCCCACCAGCCCCAGAAGAGGGCAAACGTTGCTATTGGGCCAATCAAGCTAACGATGACAGCCAGCACCAGATTGCCACGGTTTGCCGCATACTGCACGCTTGCAAGACGGCTTGTGTATGGGACCGTCCGCCCGGTGGTGTTGGGCTCGATGGAATCCACCGACATGCGCAGAGCGAGCTCGCGGTAGCTGTCGATGATGTCGTCCATTGGGTCCCTAAACAGAAGATAGCATTCTTCTTCATAGGTCACGGTGTCGTTGGGGTAGTAATAGTATAGTTGAGAGAGGAGGCTCTCGTGTCGCAACATCCACGACATCGACCCCTGGAATTCAAGGTCTGCTCGGGAGGTGTACAGCATCCTCCCAATAATTTCCAACGCACGCATTGTGGTCTCACCACCGGGGGATTAGAAGGACCTAGTTGGACAGCCTTCAGCGTTAACAATGGACCAGACTCATGTAGATACAGTACTGTTTGGAGTACGTTGTGATGTAGTGCGTTAACTAACGAGCAAAGGGACCGATATCACAAACAGTTCTTCAACCACCGAGTCATCCCGCCAGGAAGCAGACTGAAATGTTACGTTTCCGTCATTCATCGTCAAGTCGTATTCAACAATGGCGGGGTTGAGCTCGCATCGCTGTGACACCAGACCACCCTGACAGCCACGACTTGCCTTCCTCGTAACATTTATTGAAAGAAGGGAGAGTTCCGTGACGCTTGACTCAAAGACAGTGTGAGCCGAAGGAATCTCGGGATGACCCTCGTGTGTTATGTTGTAAGGCAGGGTTGTAGTAGTACAGTTGGGTTCGAATCCAAATGCCTGCCCGAAAGATTGGCGTAATGTGCTCGTTAGCAGTCATACTGACCTTAGAACCGCTCCGGGGGAGACCAGAATGTCTGGCTTAGCAGGTAACCACAATCCTTACCTGGACAGTAAAAGAGCAATTGTCACATCCTGCTTCAGGGATATGAATTGGCGCTCGTGCCTGATACTCGCGAGTGAGCGTGGAGATCCAGTTTTAGAATGAGAAGACTGAGCGGCCGCGATCCTCTGTGTAACCCGCGGCGTCCGGGTCCACATTGTGCCCGAGTCTCAGTGTGATGTTGCCGGTATTGAGGATTGTTTCGGTTCTGACATGGCTCGATCTCTGCATCAACGGACCGCGTAGTAAGCTTGTTATAGCCACAAGGAGACAGACTACATTTGAACCCAGTTAGTATATCCTTCAGTACCTAGCTGACTGTATGGGCCTATGGGAAAGAACAGCGGACGAACCGGTGCTGACGAATACAGCCCTCCCTCGAGAAAGAGCTATCAGTGCTTCCTTCATCCCGGTGCCTCCAGACCAGTTGTAATGTAGATTGCTCAACTATCAGTGAATACACCATCCTCATCAGCAAAACGACCTTCTACCGCACAACAAGAAAGATGGTAACTCACTGGAACGCCACGAAGTGCCCTAGCCCAATACCCAATAACAACAGCCTCGGCAAAAGCAATAGCAAGGAGAGCATTCGCTATCGTGGACATATAGGCTAGAAGAACCCCGGGCTGCATGTTTTCAGACCACTCAGTGGTTGGCCTGCCGTCGCTTGCAAGCACGATCGCAATGGCGGCAACGGTGCCTGCCACATTGCGCAGCAATCTCCGTTAGTCATTTTCGTATATCTCATCATGAGATATACTAAAACTTAGAAGAACATCTTTCTGCGAGATTACCTATGTTTGCCACTTACACAGAATGCTCAGAAACAGCGCCCCTAATCCAATATATGGGAAGCGGGAAAAGACACCAGGCTGCCATTCTCGTTTCTTTTCTGGGGGACTGCATGTGGCGGTTCTCGGAATCGGAATGAGTCGCGAATGGGAAGTGTCCTTGTTCTCTTCCATGTCCACAAACCAGATACGCTCGGGTTTGCGAATCCAGTTAAGGGTGTACCTCAGGGCTTCGGTCGTGAGAACTTGGCAGATCGCCAGTCAAAGTGCCGAACCGGTTGCAGTTGAGTGCACGGTACTTCTATTCTCGTGTCGTTGTTCTGGGGAAGGGAAAAGTAGTACCTAAGCTGACTGGCGATGAAGCTTGGTTGCTGCAAGACAGCTGGATAAGAGAAAGGCGAGATCCAGGGCCCAGGCTCTGAACAAGATAAAATCAGAGCAATAATAGGTAGCAGACTGATTGGAACAACTGGCATGCGCATGGCTTGGCACAAAAGGACTCAACAATCGAAACCTCTAACTTGAACTCATCCTCATTTTGATTGGAACACGAACATGTCTTGAGATCTGTGGCGTTCAAAGCCAGTGGCTGCATTCGCTCCCAGGTCACTTCCAGTGTGCCAAATGGACAACATGGAACAAGAGTCTGCTGGCCCAGAACAACTGGAAGGTTGCGATGGTGGCTGCCAGACCGGCATGTAAGAGGTTACTCTTGATTTGATATCACCAGAACAGGTTAAGTAACAGAGCAACTCTCTGAACTGCTGTTGGTGGATAAGGTTACGCCACACCGCTGGGCTCGGAAGCTGAGCTGCACCCTTCCGGACCGGAATATGCACCCGAGCTCTCGAGTGCGGCCTTATGAGTTGAGCCTGAAACTCATCAGACACCGCGACTGCCGCTCTGTCACGTCTGGCTGCCGATGAATGATGCAGGGGAAGATCTGACAGCAACATCATGTATAAAGGACAGAGTCAAAGCCGACTGCTCTTAGTAACATAGTCGCAGACTCTGAAAAGCTCCTAGTACAAGCTCACCTTTTCGGCCACGTATAAAACCCCTTCACGGTCCGATGCTGTACTGTCAAGACCTCGGCGTACAGGCTGGTCTCAGACTCTCAGCTCGTCAAGGCCCACATCCAGCACGTCGGCGTCCACATCTCCTGTCTCGACTTTCTTTCTATGCCACCATCAGTTATATATGTTACTGATGTAGAGCCAATTCCTTCTTACTATTGTCACATTGCAAACTACTAGTACAGGAAGTTCACAATAGCCCGAATTATCACTATCACTTGAACCGTTGATCAGGAGAGATGTTAGAGCGATCAGGCGCGGATACAGCACAGGCCGGAGTTACCGCGATGTTTATAGAGATATGGCTATGGTGATAGCATCTACATTGCACTAGTATCTTGTGGCTCTAATTCTTGCCTAATACCTAAAGTGTAAGCCCCCTTCCCTTCCCAGGCGGCACTGTTGGAGTTCGGCCCTTGCTTGTAGTCTGTTAGTGTCCTAGCAATAGTTATGAGTAGACGTTGAATTGGCGGGCCAAGATAAAACCTCCGCACCAGTCGATGGAAAAAGCATGTCATTCAGAGTTGCGATGTATGTTTTTCATATATGGGATAGAATGTTTGGACGAAGAATATTCATGATTACAAATTTACAATATGGCACACACATAGGAACCTTATGTTGCGCCTGAATCTCACACTCCAACGTTAACTCAACCCGACCCCGCACTGGTTAGTTGCAATGCACGCCTCTTCGTGAGTTTACACCTTCTCACAAACTTCAATTCATCTCCCATCAAACCGCTTTCGGCACACCGTTCAATGAACGCCGCGATGGGCAACAGATTCCTATCATCCGATGAAAAGTATGATGATACATATTTCTGGCTGTCGCTTATAAAACTGATGCCGAAACTGAACCTTAAGCTAGGCTCCTTCGCGACGGTCTCTTTTCCGACGTGACGGTCAAATGCGGCGACAGGACTTGGAACCTGCACAAGAACATCCTCTGCACCCGCAGCGTCTGGTTTGAAAGGGCCCTTACCGGCCGCTTCCTGGAAGCTCAGACGGGGGTCATTGAGATCCAAAACTTTACGCCCGACGCGGTTGACTGGGTGATACGCTACATCTACACAGGCGGTACGCATACTCCCGCCCTGACTCCTGCAGAAGTCAGGTGAAACTTGGGAGAAGTATTGAAATCCTCATGCTGACATTCCCTTTCCCGACTGCAAGTCTGCGACATACCCAGCCTCAAACCCTCTCGCGACACCAAAACCCACTTCGTCACCTGCTACGAAGTCTACACAGTCGCCGACTACTTCTCCTTGACACCCCTCGCCACCATCGCGCTCAAGACACTAACCGCCGAATTTGACGCCAAACTCGGCCCCATCCAGCGGCAGTACGAGTCTTCCTCCGACTGGCTTCCCGAACTATTCGAAGCCATCCGCCTCGTCTACGGCTGCGGTGACTCTGCCTCGCCACCACCCATCAACGACCTCTCGCTAACCCCTATCCACCGGGCCTTCCTATCCTTCGTGCACACAGCACGCTTCTACTTCCTGCAAAACACCGAGTTCAACCGCTTCCTCGACGAGGAGGCGCCCGAGTTCGCCCTGGCCCTGTTCCGCGCCATGCGCACCGCGGGGGATTTCCTGGTGTGGCCTCCGGCGCCGCAGTGTTCCTTCTGCGGCATGCGGCCCTCGCGGGGAGACAAGACGTACTACACGCACCTGGCCATAGAGACGCCGAAACTGATGGCATCGTGCTCCACGTGCGCGGTGAAGAAGGATCTACCTTCGCCCATGACGAATTGGTCTTTGAAGAAGAATCCTGTGGAAGGTAGTCCGGCTGCGCCGGGGACGGTGTGGGGTTTGAGTAGTAGTGACAATGCGGCGGGTTGATTGGCGATAGGTGCAGCAGGCATTGTGGGGGGATGGACATGTTGCCTTGAGCGCGGGTAAGAAGAGTGGTGATGGTCTAACTGTAGGTAGGCTACGGATTTACTATCCCCGGCTTTGACAAGCGTTTCAAAGCTCTCGCGTCGTGAGTGGCTTAGAAGGGCAGCGGTTCAAGCAAGACGTAGGTATTTTTGCTACGGACTAACGAGTGCAGCAGAAAATAACATGTTAGACCGGTGCCAGGCTTGAGGAGTTTGCATTCTTTCTGAAATCCAGGCTATAAGCAAACAAATTGTTCCCGGTCTTATCATCGCCAATCGATCTCTGCCTGTGCTCTGTCCGTGTTAGACAGACGTTTCCTCCCCATCAGCCTCAGAGCTCTTGACCCTTCGTTTTCTGATGATTCTCTTCTTCGGTTCAGGTTGTGAGACACCGGAAACAGTGCCCGTTCCAGGAATCTCAGCAGCCGAGGCTGCTGTGGTAGTAGACCCCGACCTTACGTTCTCCTCCACAGAGCCGTCTATGGAAGCCACCTGAGAGGGTTCGGTAGCGTCGGTAAGAGCTTCCCCAGCTTACACAAAGGAGCCCTCCGGTAGGGTCAGTCGACCGACATCTGGAATGCCAGGCTCCTCAGCTGGAGATGAGGCCACGGCTGCTGTCTGCTTGCCAACCCCCTCGTGTTGCTCCATAGGCTGCGATCCGGGGTTCTTGGCTATCTCGTCCTGAGCAGCCTCTAAAGAAGACTGATTGTCGAGTGGCTCATCGTCGTCATCGGACAAAGACACAGGTATGCGCAAGGGTATAGATTCCCTCGGCCGCGGCGGGGGTCGTAGAAGCTGATACACCTTGGAAAAGGGGTTCTGGGTGCTCGAATCGGCCTCATTGTCAGGCTCTCTTCCTTCCTGGGTGTCGTCAATGATCACTTCAGCCATGGCCCGGACTTGTGCTTGATGGTGCTCTTCCATATCCCCGGCCAGGTTCCTAATTGCATAAGCAATAGAGGAATCCTCTGTGATGGCGATGTACTTGGCAAAGGTATCATTCGCCTCACCAATGAGCTTGATCATCGAATTCGTGCCGCTGTCCTTCGGGTTGCCATCTAGATCCCGCATTCGACCGAGAGCCTGCCACGGAATGCGGTGGAGAATAAAGACTTCGTTCCTCCCATATTCATGTATGATATGAAGCCTTCTGCACAGGGTTGGCGCGGAGAAATAATATACATCGGACGGAAGCCGCGACGTAATGACTTGGGTGATGTAGACCGGGGGATCACAGTATTTTGCCCATCTCCGAGCATGCTCCTCGTCGGAAAAGACGGACAAGAACGGACTCTTTTCCCTACAGGACCACTGGATATGGTTGGCGACAGCCCTCTTCAAGCGCTCCTCATTGTCGATAAGCAAGTCGCTGGCTGCTGCACGGAGTTCGCCCGTCTTGCTATCACGACGGGATTGGGAACCGCCGTGAGTTACTCTCCAGAAGACGTGAAACTTCGGGATGGAGTCACGGGATTGTGCGTAGTCCCGGAGATCGAAGGATTGCGACTCTGACATGGTGTTGAGGTGGGCAGCAACGGTTATCTAGGAGAGGGCCCTGACAACTGCTGAAAAGATGACGGGGAGACAACGAAATGCAAAAGAAGCTTGAGAGGTAGTTTGGTAGCTATAAATCTGTGATACCGTGGGTCAAGTGTACAGAGTACAGTAAAAGGCAAGAGTACTGGAAGTGACTCACTTTCTAGGTAGTTAACTTTATCCCGCCGTTTCCGGGACCTGCTGCTGGCACGTGTCAGTGGCTGTGCGCTGTGGTCATTGGTATGTTCAATGGCTCGTCGACGTCCTGAGGCCAATATTGGGCTGCGCCTCGCGAAGTCGCGAGCCAACGGATACACTGCAGCCAATAGACAACCACCACGAACTCCATCACCACTTTGAGCCTACGCGTATTCGGTGCCCAACTGTGGCTTTTTAAACAAATACCAACCGGGGATGACGGGGGCAGCGCCGTACAACCTCGCCTACCGGTAACCTGCCGCTTTCAACTCCTTTCATTTTGGCGTAGAGGGTAGAGGCAACATGTTGTTGCCTAGCCAACAGCGACTCGACCTACCCTCCTTGAGTTACCCGTATGCCGTCCTCTTTCCGAGGAAATTGACATGCTTGAATTGCGGTCTCTGTAGTATACAGCTTTAGGTACGATATCGAATCCTCATCACGCTGCTTCCAAGGTCGAATTAAATCCCTGGAGACCTTCGCGATCTCTGCCTGTCGCTTGAAGCCGATAGCCAGACCGGAACCGACTTGCTGACGCCGACGCAGCTGGGTTTACCCAAAAACGGATGCCAACAATGAAGCCAACGACATGACCGCCATGCAAGGGCCGGAGAGGCACTAAGGCCGGGAACGAAGTAGGAAATAGTAATGCTAGGGAACTGTTCGACAGGCGCGTCATGAGACGGGACCGCGCTCAGAGCTCCCTAACCCAACCTCATTAGGCTAGCCGATACACACCTCTCGAAAGCTTGGGGTTGCCTCCCTCCTGTCTCCGTCGTCCAGCCCTCTCGGGATGGACGACTGACCCCTTCTGCCGTCTTCGAACGCTCCAGCTTCGTCCGTACATCGTTAGCCTCTTATATCAGAAGCGCTGGAGTCCCTTGTTGCGTATCACGCAGGCCCTCCGTCGTCTGCGTAACCCATCTCAAATTCTCGCAATTGCCTCTCACGGGCATATTCCGCATCCTCCCTCCGCTGCCGCTCCCGTTCGAGCGGGATCCATACATTATCCATGTAATCATTGTAGTCATCTTCAATGTCGAACTCGATCATCCCATTAGGATCGGTCCAGATCCTCTGATCGGCCCAGATCATCTCATTAGGATTGGTCCCGACTAGCCGATCGGTCCGGATTTTGGTGATTTGGACCGTCCATCCGCGTTCGCGCAGCATTGCCGCCAGACAACCATTTGGATCATTCCAGTCGTCAACACCGCCGTCATCCCCCGTCTCCTCATCCTCGTCATCACTCGCATCTACGAATCCTCCGCCATCCCATTGTACATCGACTGTGACGTTTTGCAGCGACGGAAGATCCTTGAGCCGCGTGTCGATCAGCTCCAACGAGGCCGCGGAGACGGGAACGCCACTCGTGAATGGAAGGGATAACGTCAGCGTGGTTACGCCGGGACAGGCATCTCGTAAAATGTCCAGGTACTTAACATCGTCTTGATGTAACGAGGTAGGTCGGTAGGGAAGTGTGACACAGACGTGACGAAGGAGTCTGGCTAGGGGCCCGATCTGCCCTAGGAAGAAGGCGAGGGTGGTGTCTCCTGAGTCCTCCTTTGAGTCATCGGGGAAGCGAAAACAGTTATTGGAGTAGAGAAGGGAGACGGCTTCGGCGTAGACTTGTTTGCTGGTGCGGAGAACGGCAGGAGACAGGTCGATATCTTCTCTTAGTCACACTCGTGTTGGCCAGAGATATTCCAGGATCGTGAGGTCGATGATTCCAGGGTGGACGAGGAGCTGTGAATAAATTTTGAGCCTGAGCTCGACTGGCAAAGCGAAGAGGTCCATCGATTGTAAAGTGGAAATAGGGCAGCGTATCTGAAGAGGGTTCGGCCCGGATTCTCTGAGCACGGCGTTGGCAGAATTAAGTTCAGTTGGGCAGCGTCGAGAGATCGAGCGGGGATTTCACGTGGCAAAGTGACAGGTGCCTGAGGTTATCTGAGGAGTTAGACAGCGACGTGAAAATGATATAGGGCAAGTTGTGTAACCAGCTCTTACAAATCCCCGCCCATTCACCGGTCACCCGTGCTTGTACCGCGCTGTACACATCTCGCACTTGCCCATACTCTCACTTGCGCTTGGGAAACAGTAGCCCTAGAAAGGAAAAAGGTGTCTTGGTAGTTTTTTACAGACGTACTCCTAAATAATACCCCTTACAGGTAACCTGCTCCGCGTATGGCACTCGAGAGCACACTCTCCTCTCGTATCTTGAGTTGCATATAAGAGCCGGATTTAGGGATAGATAGTAGGACTCCAAAGCATTGCTCCCGGTAAAACTGCAAGCCCCATGTAGCGTCATGCCGTATTTCCATATCAGGTACGCCATCACGAGGGTCACTGAGCGCAAAGCCCCATAACGGATGATGCAGTACGGAGGTACCTAGACGAGGCGCGTAATCCGCACGTCACCTTTATGTGCTGGGCAACCTAAGTAGGTAGGTGCCCAGCAAATAGCAGCCTATAACAGGTCGAGCTGAGTGATTTATTCAATTCAGCTTCTGTAGTTGTCGCCGCATAACTCATCTCTTACAGCCAGAACCTTTCTAAGACGTCCTTTCTGAGCTGAGGTTCGACAGGTAAGTATGCCTCACGGTGTCAGGCAAGTAGCACACATCCCATCAATGTCTTGGAGCTGCATGCACGGGATGGCAAAGACCAGGCACGCCCCTTTACGGTAGAAGTCCGTGACGGCTTCATTCTCTCGTTGGGGTTGTAGCACTCTGCAGCGTAGGGGTTTTACTTGAACCGATAATAGTTGAATTCGTCTCACAAGAACAGATTACCTACCTTATACAATGGTAATCCGTCTTGGATCGTCCTCCTTCCAGCGGTTTTGTTCTCCAAACCAGCAATCCTCAAACACACCGATGCGGCGGTACGTTTCGAGAGCGTCACTCCCTTCCCAAGTCCGACTTGGGACGAGAGCAATCCCAGCAATATGGCGAACGTACCCCGGCCGTGATGAAGCCCCCTTGCTCTTCCCCTCTGTTGATGGTTTATACCATTCGATAAGGGGCACGCACGTCACGGTCAGCGCGCCTGTTGGTTCCGCATCGGATGCACAGTCTAGGCCGAACCACCATGGGCTCATGCGGCTAGTATTTTCCACCTTTTCTTCCATCGCATCATCCGAGTCTGTCCCTGCTACGTCACCCTTGCCGCCACGCTTCTCGACGAAACCCCTCGCAGAGAGTTTGTCATAGGGGTGCGTCCATTTGTTTTCAAACCGACCGGTCCAGCCATCTCCCTCGCTAGACTTGCCCTTGTGCGTGATTGTCACTTTCTTAGGGACGCAGAGGATTTCGATCTTGGCGGACTTAACCTCAGCAGGGTGCCGTCCCGGGCCCATGCCCTCGATCTCGTAGGCGACCAGCTCGGCTAGATAGCGTCTCTCGTACCCCCGGTCGTAGTGCGGCTCCCAGACTCTCAGATAGCTCAATTCATAGTCGCTGCAGCCGATGAGGTCCAACTTGCGCTTCACGGGGCCGTTGAGCGACGCCCAACTAAAGCTCGGTGCCTGGTACTCGGTTGGTCGGGATATCAGCTCTGGTCGTACCGTCTTCCAGAGCATGTCATCGAGGAGATACTCAAGCCACAGCCCGGCAAACGGCGTCAGACCCGTCCTTTTCTGTATTATTTGGACGATCCCGTTGATGGCGACTAGTTTGTCGCGGCCAAAAGTCAGGTGCACGCCCGTGTATCGCTCTACAATCTCGTACCAGTAGCCGAGAAACTTGGCGAATATGTGATGGGGAAAGGGATCGACGTCCGTGATCCTGATGTACAGAGGGAACCCAGCTCTGTCCGAGCCCGCAAGACGCAGGCGCCGGTTGAGAAGCGCCTTGGCAAGGATTTATCCCGTGGCCAATCCGTCGCCCGTTGGGCCGAACCCGTCTGACGCAAAACCAGCAGTGAAGACTTCGTCGGCACGCATGGTTGCACACTCCCAGTAGACGCCGAATTTGCCAAAGTAGACGATGCGCGGCCCGAGACAGCGCTCCTGGAGCACCCAGCCTCGGCTTAGGAGCGGTGCTGTGGTTAGGCGCTCATTGTGGAACGGCCAGATGCGTCCGTTCCATGCCGTCAGGGGTAGCTTCGTGGGCAAGATGCATGGCCAACAGTTTTGCATGTTTCGGTCGTGGGAGTACATGCCACCGGTACTATCTTTGGACGCGAGGGCAGCCAGTGTCAAGTCGGCGTTCATGTAGATGGAAGTCATCTTGGCGGCCTGATCAACCCAGTCATCGGCGCTGTCCTGCTGTATGCATAGCGAGTCGATCCAGATGTACGAGTAGTTGAGGCGGCGGGTGATATCTACGGCGTCTTGGAACGTTTTTGGAAGCTGCGAGAACTCAATCCCACTTTGAAGGATTGGGAGGGTTGCTGCCGTGAGTTTGAACACGCCGCCCTTACCCCAGCAGTGGCTCAGACAGAGATACTTGAGATTTCCTTTATCTCTGATGCTCGGCAAGTACAGCCGGGGTTTCTTGTGGCTGACATCGAGTAGTCTTTTAGGGAGGTCATTGAGGCCTTCGTTTTCGAGCTTGCACAGGAAATGCTCCTTACCCTGGCAGCATTTCATCCATTCTTTGATGAGGTGAATCGTGTGTTCGGAGGCGGTGCTGGTTTGAAACAGCGAGTTGCAATCGGCAGGGAGGTCACCCTTCATAGCCTCTAGGGGGACTTTGGTCACACCTTCAACTTTGTGTCAGTCGAGCCGCTTTGAGATGGATTGACACACGGGGGAGCAAACTTACCAGAAACGCCTTTCGTCATCCACACATTCAGAGCACTTCTCACTTCGGGAAGTCTCTCCTCCTGGTGGCCAGTGTATAGCACAATAGCAATGTATCCGCCCTCGAAGCCAATCTTGATGCCGACCCTGACAAATAAGGGCTCCACCGTGGCACGAACCAGCGAGATGGCCGCCTGTTGAGACTCTTCCATCTTCCTGACAACATCCACATCTACCTCCTGCTCCAAGATGCCATACCGGACGGTAGAGAAATGGCTCCACAGGAGACTGCAGAGATGGCACTTGTCCCTTGCGGACTGCTTCAACGCCGCTGCAGATAAATGATGAGGGAATTCTGCATGTTCAAACACGTACGTTTCAAACTCGTTCCACTGGTTGCAATCGTTGATGCGGTCCACGAAATACTCCGGAAGCTTGTCTCGATGTACCGTCTCGCTGCGGTAGGGGTCCCCGAGAGCCTCCTCGCCCGTCCTACGAACGAGGCTGCAAAAATCCACCTCGTTGAGGAGCTTTGACGCCAGGCACAGATTCTTGCACACTGCGCATGTGTTGAAGAGTAAGTCCCTTGCGTCTCCATTTCGGCCCCGAATTCTTCGAGCCAGCCTCGAAATCCTTGATGTCATGACTTTAGCGAAAGTTGTGTTGGCGAGGAGGTGCGAGTCGATGCAGACACTCTCTGCAGGCCGAGAGAGCTGGGGTGGTTGTGTCAAGATGAGGAAAGGAGCTAACCAAATAATTAGGTACGCAGTGGCTCGTTATATGTAAGTGGCCGGCTGGAGCTTGTGCTGTGTGACCTAATGTACGGATATTGGGGACCATGGCGGCCTTGGCAGGAGGAGGGTGGTGAATACTTACTTTTGGTCCCAACCTCCGTACTTATAAGGCTCTGGCACCGTCTCGTGCGGCTGGGTGCGTGGCACGCAAGTGCATTGCACCCTGTAGTTGGTTTGTAGAGCTTGCAGAGTAGGGTATCATACCGCTCAAATCGATCATGGTATACGCAGAGGATATACCTGGGTCACTTAGCATCGGTTACACCGACCTCAGTCCAACTGACCCTCACTCCCACTCTCACTCTCACCCTCACTGTCACTGTCTTCCTCCCAGTCATCTTCCGAACCGCTATCTCCGACATTCGCACCCATATCATCTATAACATCAAACACAGCCCCGTCATCAACATCGCCGCCATCATGCGTTTTACCCAACCCTTCTGCAAAACCCAACCCAGAAGCCAGGCCATCTCCAACCGCCGTCGGCAGAGCCGAGGATAGTGTCTCACTAAAAAAGTAATGATCAGCCTGCAGCGGCTTGCCCTGGATGATGAATCCCATCGGGGTATGGACAAAGTCCTGGCCATGGCGGCGGACAGCGAACCACTCCTGCAGAAACACCAATGGCCTGGGCGCGAACAAGCTAGTTCTTTCCCTTGAAAGCTCGCCCTTAGTCCGGTTGTGAGCGGTGATGGTGCTGCCAGCAGTCCCAGCCTCGCCATCAATGATCACAAAATCATTATCGTCATCCTCTGCTTTTTCTTCCTCCTGGCTGCTCTCGTCGTCCAAGGGACCCGTCTCATCAGCACCAAAAAACTGACACAGCGCTTCATACTCGTCCCATTCAAAGTACAGCCGGCCTGCGAGCAGGCCGAGCTCGGTCTTGAGCCATTGGGGTGCCTCCCAGTCGGGCGGGAGCTGCGGTATGCTGAAGAACTTGAGGTTGTTGAACGGGAGCATACTTCGTGTCACTGGCGACGCGTATGTAATGAGGTAGACCTGTGGATGGGTCCTTCTGGCGTGCATCATGCATATGACGTGTTCTGCTTCTTCAGGGATTAGGACTACAGCCGTCTGGACAAGCTCGCTCCAGAGAATCCAGCTGACCGGGCGCTGTAGCATGGGTTAGAGCTGGACCAGACGGCACACGTAACGAGATATGCTACTTACCAGAAAGGCGTCCCGGGTTAAATCAGTATACAATTTCACGGTCCGCCCGAACTCGGTCGACACAAACAACTTGGATCGCGCATGGCTGCCTCGGGATGAAACTTTGTGCTTCCGACCCAGCGCGGTATTTGCTATCAGCCGGAAGACATGGGATACGGCATTGCTATCGGGAGGCAAGCGGGCTGTGCAGGCAAACCTCTCAAGGTCTGGATGGAAGCCAGGGAAGGTGTGGGCTTCGTATCGAATCGGCTTTTTAACTTGGCGGACAACCTCGACATCATAGGCAACTTCGCGTTCCTGCTCGACTTCCTGAAGGGTTGAGCCATGGACAGCCCGTCCTGTATCCTGGAAGCTCTTGCGTCGGTGGTTCAGATCATTCACAAATGCCGCCACCTTGGGATGCGATGGTACAAAGTCGGCCATTTTCGTCCCTTTGACCTTTGGCTCATACATTTCCTGCAAGGTTTGTTGCTCATTCTGTTTGATGGACGCCACATATCTCTCCTGGTGCGCCGGGTCTGTGAGGTAATCGGGGTTGTCGATTGCCTCTTGCGTCCTCCGGCAGAAGTCCATGCCTTGTGAATAGTACAAGGGTTGCAGTTGCTCGATGGCGTCACAAGAGTTATTCAGAAGCCAGCAGACTCTACATAAGGTCAACAACAGATACATAGATTCGTGGCATCACGGACTGCAATGAACGATCCACTTACACGTCATACGAGTCAATGGGCTCGTCCATTGGTTTTCTTCGAAGGTCGCCAATCACTTGGTGGACTTCCGGGGGAATGAAGAACATGACGGACTGGCTTGTGCCCAACTGGCGTAGCCTCATTGCGGCTGCAGTAGTCGCGTAACAACGTCAGCGATGAGTCAATAGACAAGTGAGGGGTTAAGTTTGGGGAACACACCTTGAACCGTGTGGTCCTTTGACTTGCCTTGGCCAACAGTGAGAGCGCCGCAAGCATTGAGCGGGAACTTCAGGTCTGTTCCTCGGGTATGAGCCTGTGCAAGAATGGGTCCTAAGTCAGCTATGGCTTTTCCAAATGGCATTATTGAAGACTTACCTCGTCAAGATAGACAAGACAGTTGCTCAGATCGTCCGCATAAGGTGACGCCAGGAGAGGTGTCTTGCGGTTCTTCTTGGATATGATCCACGGCTTGTTCGCGGAGTCGAAGTACAGCGCAGCCTCACCTTCCTGGTCAATCTCAAGCCAAGTTTTCGCCAGCGTCTCATTGTCCATTTCGAGGATCTGCGCCCCGGCATCAATCAAGATCTTGATCTTCTTCTTTTTGAGCATCGAAAGCAGCTCCCTTTCACTTGCTCTCCCACCCCGCATGCCGGTAATGATCTCGCACTGTCGAGAGCGGTCGTGAAGCAAGTACGTCAAAACCTCAGCATTTGTATGAGCCAAGGTCGGTAGATCTGCTTGTTGGATAGTAAGCGGCAGCATTGCGCGATTGTCATTGGTGCCACTGAAGCCGGTTGTGAGCGGTCGTAGTCCCTTCTTGATCGCCCGCTCCTCGGCAGAGTCGGCACCGTTTGGCTGAGCTGAGAACAGCGGGATGTCCCATCCACTTGACTGCAGCTTGACTTTGAACTGTTTTGCGTGCTGGGGGAACACGAAATTGTTGAGAAAGTAGTCGATTACCACAACTTGGTACCGGACTGCTTTCCAGATCTCGCGGACTTGGGTGGCGTCCTCGATGCTAATCGTGTTCCACGCTCGCAGAAAAGGAGGGAACTCGCTGGAGCTGTGCACCCACTTGTCGTACTCGGTTGACGGGTCGTCTGACTTAAGCACGCGTGCAAGCGCCTGCCGTAGTTGGCTCTCGCTGATGCCATCGTAGTAGAAAACCAGACATGTGAAGAGGATTGCTACGTCTGGATGGCCCCATTCTGACTGCTCGCTCGGCACCCCTTTTGCATGGTAAGGAACCGCGATCGGATCTGAGTTAGGGCGCAAGCCATACTGCACGTTCCATCGCTTCTTGAGCACCGTGATCAGGATCCGATTCACAAGCAAGCCACGGAGCAGGTATGCTGCCTGCCTGACATGTGGACGGTCGGGGCATAAGTTCCGTACTGTCTCCACGGTATCAGGCTTCAGTTTGCGAGTGTTAGGGGAGATGAATTCTCGCACAGCTGAGCGCTCCGTCCCGTTCAGCGAGCGTACGGGAAGAATGTCGCCATGTCCGCTGCTGACAGCCATCTCCAGTCGGCGGAGCAACGCGTCCTCCACATCTCGGCGGAGGAAGTAGATGAATGGGAAGCCCCCACTCTTTCTCCTAACGACCTCTATGGAGCGTGGAAAAGACCTTGACAGGTCATACAGGAACGCATCCACAAGGCCCAGGATAGCTTGAATTACCAACCATCGGTGCGGACTGCCGTCGACAGACATCTGATTGCCGGACGGGTAAATGAGCTGAGTGCGAGCAGCTAGGGTGTAGTCAGACTCGTCCAGAATGTCGCGACAGACAGACCTCAGCCATGAGTGCACCTTAACCATCTGTCTCGCTTCGACAATTCGATCGTCCAGGATACGCTGCTGCCCGCTTAGCATGAAGGAGAGATTGTGCTCCGGAAGACATAGCATCACGCCGGCTGCCCTCAGCATATTTCTGTGGAGTTCGTGGTACAGACGAATCGCCTCCTGGTTTGTATTGGTCCGCCTAGAGAAGGGAATGTGCCCAACGCAGCGGTTGAGTATTCCGCCAAGCCGAGATTGAAGCAGTTGGGCCGTCTGCAAAAGCAGCGCCTTTGGGACAATGACTCGAACAAGGCGCTTTTTGTCCGCCATGGAAGCCGCAACCATCGGGATGATACACGATGTCTTCCCCTGCCCCATGTTCATCTGCAAAACGGAGTTTGCACCGGATGCCGGCGACATGATCGCGCGGGCCACGTCCACCTGGTCAGGCCGAATCAGGAGGTTGGATTCAATTTCCAGTAGCAGCCAATCTGGGTACTGCTCAGGCATCCAGTTGGTGTGCCCAGCATTGGCCTCCTCCTCCTGGAATCGAGACATGTCGCCGGCAATCACACACCCATTTAGCCTCATCTCACGCTGAAGCTTGGTTAAGGTCAACCCAAGTAAGATGATTACTTCACGCATGCCACTCCCAAATTTCGGGTTGGCTGTAGAACGCAGTTGTTCAAGCAGCGTAACTCTCGTGATTGCGGGCCACAGGCCCCCTATTTGTAGCCACTTGACCTGGTTGGCTGACATATCCGGCGTTTCCTGCTCCAACGAAGTTCTCAGGGATTCAAAGATACGAGTGACGCCCAGCGAAGAGGTAGTGTGATCACGACGGTGGATCAAGGGCTTGGCGAGCTGGTCTGGCGTCCTGCGATTCTCGAATGCCTCCAGGCTTCGTGCCAGGTGGTGGGCATAGCTTTTCCGCACTAATGACTTACTTTTGTCGAGGTCACGGACAACTTGATGGAGCTCCTCAATATGATTGATATGACTGCTCCTCTTTTGTGGTGCCGCTTGCTGCTGCCCATTGCCGGCACGACTGCTGGGCATGGGCGACAAGAACCTGTTGTTTACCCGCGGAAGGTCGACATGCCGGGCCCGTTCAGGGACGAAGTATTCCGAGGCAAGAGAAAGTCGGAGATCCGGGTCAAAACGCCTCCCAAGTAGGTCACAGCACAGGCAGGGCACTGGAAATAGTCGAGAAGAACCAGTTCGCAGCCATGGCCCGCGATTTGTGACCTTCCCTGGTAGTTCAAAGTTCAGATCTGAGTGGTGTTGATTCAAGATCTCCTGGACTTGGCTTAAATGTTCGGAAAGCTCCTTGTTCTGATACAAGTTTAGCGATACCGGACGGATTGCCTCCATCGCTTCGTCAGAGTCAATGAGAAGGTCCGTGTTTGATAGACCCGATATGTTGGGCTCGCTGCATGGCCATTGCGAGAGGAGACACTCAGCTAGCAAGCCACAATCCTGCTCGCTCTTCCGTTGATGCGCTTCTCGGGCCTGGCATATCTTGCGGCGCTGTTTCGCATTCATGTATTGGCCAAATTCCTCTCCGTCGACGCAGGGCGGTGGTGTCCGGAAAGGTTGCATCAACTTGACGATGTCCAGTATCTCAGGCTTGGCCCCCGGGCGGAAGTTGAAGTATGAAGGCCAGGACGGGAGGGGTAGAACCCGAAGTTCACGGAATACAGCAAAGGCTACAAGCGCCTTGAGCAGGTGATTATCCACGTTCTCCCGGTATGTCAAAGCTGCGAATAAAAACATGAGGTCGAAACATGATCGGTCATTGCGACAGTATTCCACAAGCGAGCCCCAGTTCTCTCGCAGGTCAGTGTGTATCCGGTCGCTCAAAGACACCTTGTCGTAAACAGAGCCATAACCGCCAATGATGTTCCCTTGGCTGAGAATGGCAGCTAAATTTCTTGGTGTCTGGAACGAATCCGGCTTGGTCCGCAGTAGATGTGTGAATTCCAAGACTTTCGAGTACAGCTCGTCCGAAGGCGACGATCGGTCCCGGGATTGATATAATCGATCCACGCCCGCACATGCAGTATTCTCAATCTCGTTGTCAACTCGTCTCTCGTACAGTTGACGGCGCACCAGTGCCCGCGCGGTGAGGTGTGACTCGCCGAAGGCTGGATAACTGTTGGAAGCACTCTCGGTACGAGTCGTGGTGGCTGCGAAGGTTTGCAATTCGTTCGAATGCTTCAGGATTACCTCGACAACCTGTCGATAAAGTGGGTGCTGCATGTGGCGTGTGAGGCGGTCATTCCAGCGGTCCGTCTTCATCATCCTCAACCCAGACGGGTAGTATTCTCGGACAGGCGTCAGATTTGCGATGCAATGCAGAATTGGCTCTTCATTACCAAGAGAAGTCCAAGGTTGGCAGATGCCAGACCGAAGGAAGTGTAGGCTCTCCTCCGTTCCTGTTCTCCCGGTCAGGGGATCCGGAAGCAGGAAAGAGGTGTAAGCATGCAACTGCGCCTTTGTATACACGAGCGTAGGTTCTGCAGGGCAGTCGATCCTGCCAATCGTGTCATTGATAGTAAACTTGGCGTACCTGTCGCTGTATTCAATGTTGACGATGACATGACATCGCCATCTTTTGACTTCTAGGCGACCTAAAGGAACTAGCACCGTCCGACGGAGCGGGTCATTGGGGTTTTGGCAGACTAGCTTTTGCATTAGGCCGTACCAGGTCCCGGCATCTTGGTTCGGATCGATTTCAAGCTTGAGTTGTGGTGAAAAAAGGGTTTTGTTTCTCACAAAGAACATGAGCTGAAGGGGAAGAATGTGAACTTCCATGGCTGCTCTCGGTCTCTGGGGCTGCATGATTAGAAGCTGATTCCTCGGCGCGAGACCCTCCAAGGCCTTTTCAATGTTTCGAGATACAGGGCGCATAGGGTCGACAAGATGATCAAAGTTGCCGTCGGGCCGCTTTCGCCAACAGGATCCCTTGTGAATGTTTAGTGTCCACGTCATCGGCCCTTGAATAACCCAAGGGTTGGCAATGGGCGTGATATAGACATCCCCAGTGTCCAAATTGCTAGCAGTATATGTCAGTCAGAATCTTCGGTCGAAGGGACTCTTGAGCCGGGGAGAGGACGCACAGCCAGTGGATATGCCCCTCAATCAAGGGCTTTGGAATATCCCATCTGTTTCCAGTGTAAAACCACACCCGGGGAACCCAGCGCATCTGGATTCCTGATGTCTTAGCTACCACAATTATATTGTGGCCTTCATACCCGACATGTACAGTAAAGTTGCTCGGTCGACATGTGAGAGCTATATCCCCGCAATGTCAGTCATCTGGCAGCGGCCGGGAGGGATCCTTCTAATTCAGACTCCTTACTATACGTCATCCCCGGAAGAGACGACTGGAAAACCCTGAGCGGCCGATTCCCGAATAGCTGTCGGATCACTAACGCGTGTTGTGCATCTTGTGGGAGTTTCTGAACAGTGCAGTTGTTAGGGCCGAGTCCAATACGCCAAATAACTCTGAGGCCCTCTGAAGGCCGGACCTACCCCGACTGGCTTTCCATTCACGAGAAGGGTGCCAAGAATCAGATCAAAGTGTACCACCTGGTGGTTTTCCATCTCCGTCTCCGGAATGTCGTAGCGCACCCAAGAGCCCTGTTCAACAGCAATTTTCGAACTCGCCGTTCTACTCCTGTCTGCACCAGGCCAGAACCGCTTCAGTGCATCATGAAACCCTTCCGGAGACTCCTGGACAGACAAGAAAGCCAGAGTCTGTAAACGGGCCGAAAGCTTGATAGCCGATATCAAATCCTCCAGCACCATCCGTGGAAGAGCCTCAATATTGGTTCCCATGCTCTCGTGGATGACGATTGCCGACTCTACATAGATGCCAAGTGTTGAAGGATCCAGGGCCGCCGTTTGCCCCTGGTAGACGACAAAGGTGCGCCGACAGAGCAAAGCCGCGGCCAGGGCGCGTTGCTGTAACCGGTGAGCTGTGCAACCGTCCGATGTTGCTTGAATCTCCTCTTGAAGAATTCTGAACCAGTCGACGCAGATATGTCGAGCTTTGACTACTGAAGCGAGTGCTTGCGCACGAATTTCGCTTCCCAGGCCTGCCGCATCAGCAAGGTCAAAAACGCGCAGTGCCAAAGTGATCAAGATACCCATGAGGTGTGATTCCCTCCAGCTCGCCAGGGCAGCAAGGACTGAGAGTCGGGCATCCACCTGGTTGAGTAGCTGCTGTACAAACTGGGCGTCGCGGAAAACTGAGTGGATCAGGCGAAGGGGGTCGTTTTGCGCCGATGCCGGGCCACATTGCAGAGCTAGGTGATTGAAGAGGAGCATACTTGATTCGCTGGACCAGTTCATGTTAGTAGACCCCAATTCTACTAAGATAGAGATCCAGCGAGTCGCTAATCCCGACAACAGGGTCTTGAAGGCGAGGAACTCGTGGGGGTTCAAAGCCGATGGACAGCTAGGTTGGGTGGCCATGGTTTCGTACGATGATGGACCCCGACATTCTGCGTTATAGTTCAGGACGGACTGAAACGGCGGGTGAAATTGGAGATGGTGAATGAATTGCGGCCTGACGCTGGTCCAAGTCTTCGTGTTCACGTCGAAGTACGCGAGCTTCAATCCGGTGGTTTGCATACTCTATCCCACTCTACCGGAAACGGTATGAATCTGTAGTGAGTTTGCAGGACTAGAATGCACACAGTCAGTCAGTTGATCAGAGCACGGGGTGGTAAGATGGTCACGACAGCCGACACTTACACGACTTTGTGCGGGATGCGAGTGTGATGCTCGACCTGCTTTTGGAGAATGCGGAGAGCTCGGAATATTCACGCAGGAGGCACCTAGGCTGGTGATGCTCGCCCAAAGCGGGAGAGGCAAGCCGCGATAATAGCACCCAAGTCGCATCGCGATAAGTGGCAAATGTTGGCGGGCAAACCAGCTCAGATAATACGACCTTCGCCATGAATTCTTCCGATGGTAGGGGATGCTCATGAATCTTAATATGCAGGGAATGCAACCTCCGTTCCGCCTGGCATCGGGGACAACCCTCTGCGATATGCGTTCCCTTTGCCAGGGGTTGATTCTCGTCAACGGTGAGAATGCAGGCGCTTCCGTCGACTTGGCTTCTCAGGCGTTCGTATAGAGCCTTCTTCTGCCGCCATTCCTCGTATTTCTTGACCTTTTCCTTCCTGGCAGTCTCTTCGATGGTCTCACGCAGCAGACGCATTTCAGCATTTGCCGTGGCTTGACTGGCTTCATCGTAATACCTCTCCGCAAAGCAGCCTTGGGTGGGGTTATCGAATATTGTTGTTCTAGTGCCACGGCACTCCTTAATTCGGTCATTCAGGTAATTTTGAATGTTTTGCAGGCGAATCAAGTCCTGATAAGAAGCCAGGTGAAGACCGTCCATGATCTCAGGAGTGAAGACAGGATGGTACTGTTGAAGCAGAGGGAACTCATGACACGCGGCCTTGTCAAGCCACATCCAGATATTCATGGCATTGAGAATTAGAATACTCATCTGTCCCACGTTTCCCCGGTACAAAGGCCATCCTATCTCAATGAGGCGCTGTAAATTGTCCGATACGACTTCGAGAGCCCGGTCCTGCGATGACAATTGGGGCTTCCGCACTAGTTGGTCCTCTTGCTCAGCGGCCCTGAGAAAGGGTCTCGCAAACTCAGCAAAGTGTTTATGAGCCACGGCCGAAAGGTCAAAATTGGGTGGAGGAACCCATATTGACCGCCGGCCTGCCATCATTTTGCTTGACTCGGCTTGAATTCGGCGTAGAATTGGGCCGCTGACCGACAAGCGAAGCTCCGTATCTAACGGCGAGGCTCTTTTTGGCAGGGCGGGGATGGTCCTATCCAGTGTCTGTTTGCACTGCTCCCACTCGGACTGCACCCGGGCGGCAGCCTTTTGAAGAATGGCGTCGATGGTTGGTGTGAAGCGTGCAAAGAGAATGTCGACATGTTGCTTAACATGTTGGTCTTTGACTGCACCCTTGGCGATGTCTAGCTTGACGAGCCGGCGGCACAGCTTTGCCTTCAGGAAGTGCACCTGGTCCACAGCGAGCGACTGCTGGGCCGAGTCCAGGAATGTCGCGAGGCAGACACACAGGAAGAACTTGTATTCAAATCGACCAAGCTCCGGCCCAAGTGTGAGCAAGAGATAACGCGCAACAGCAACTCTCAGGACAAGCCAGTAGGGCGATCGACGCCAGGGTTTGCCGGCATTCGACCAACAGACATCGTCGCGCACACGCTTCCGCAGCAAAGAGGTGGGTATTCTTTGGCCGTTTTCTTCCAAGACTGCCATCAACATTGAGCTGATAACCGCGGGGCTTGTCGTGTCACGGCATTCGGCGATGTCGACACCGGCTTTGGAAGTATGGGCTGCGAAATCCTTCGTACTTTCGAGGGAAGCATGCTCCAGAAAGCTAGCGAGGCTAGCTTGAAAGCCCTCGTCATTGAACGTGGCAAGTGGAATGGCGATAGCACTCCCAGGAAAGTCCCACTGGAGGGCGTTGTTCGCCGCTAAGACGTCCGCGCTTCTCGGCGAGGCTTCGAAGACTTCAAATACGACATTGCCAGGCGACCTGCAAGCTGTTAGAGAAGATTATTGGGATGAAATGTATGGAATTGCTTACTCAAGCCCACGATGCACGAGAAGCGCGGCATTTTGACTTCGAATGTACAGAAGCAAAGCATCGGGCGCAGTCATGGACGCAAATACTGAGAGAAGCTCTCTTTTGTTCACGCTCCCGCGTCGGTTTGCACTTTTGGACGCCAACAAACACAGGCGTATACACTCCCAGGCATGGGAAGCTTTGTCCCGCAGGTTGGATTCTTCTGCAGGACCATTCTGCATTCGACGGGTACCGGCGAGGAGACGGTCAATCAACCTAGCCTCGATGTCGTCGAGATTGGCATTCTCGGAATGGGGAAGGCGCTCGGGCAGTGCCAAGTGGTCAAAAATCAACTTGTCCATGGTACTTTACACGAGCAGTGCAGTAAAAGAGGTTAAGTAAGGCCGTGACTGAAGGAGAAAGTTTCGGAAGGAAGAGCGGGCAGAATTGGAAGGGAAGGGACGAACAGATATGGAGGAGGCCATCGAGAATCTGCTCAAGTTGCAAGGATAGCAAGGATAGCAGGACGAATCACGAAAGTGTTAAAAGCTTAGATTGCATGAGAAAATATGAGAAATGATCTGTGCTTCCGCCGAATAGCCAATCATTCGTTGCTTGAGTGTTTGCAATTCCTTGATATGGCAATCATGCTAAGCTTCTAGGGAAGGCTATAAGAACATAAGTTTACCAGACGGAAGGAGCCTACCCAATGCATTATGCCGCCGGCCAATATCTGCAAATGTTTCTGCTGGCCCACGTTGTGCCACTTCATTCGCCATCTCGATCAGCAGCTCTTTATTTGGCACGACTCCTGTGCTGAGGCCTACAGTACCTACAAAACCAGACCTCGATTGGCTGTTGAGTGCTGATGAGGCTGTCTGTTTGCTTGCAGCAGCTTTCCGACGGTAACACACCAAAAGCAAGGATACCCGAAGAGCTGTGCCGGCCAGGCCGCCGATTGAGGCTTCCAGGAATCCAGGTTGGGGAGGTTGGCTAAGTAGGTACATATTGTTGCCGGCACGGGGCAATACCAGCCGTCCAAAGCGGATACGGACATGACGAGAACACGACAAGAAGAATCGGCAATTCAACAGGTCGATGCCTAACATAAGAGACCGACTATCAAAGCAATCCAAGGTTATATTCGACACGCAAATGTAGCAGGCTCACCTGCCGTGAGTACAGAACCAATGATCATGACATCACCAAACGAATGTCACTACTTTTGCAATGATCTCTCAATGACCTGAGAATCCGAAGCAAGTTGTGTAAACGTTGGTCGACAACAGTGCAGCATTTTCTTTGTTCCCCTTGCCTGAGTTTCCTGCGTCGAGTGTTTTAAACTATGATCATTGTATTCTTGGTCCTCGAAGGGGGTTGTGCCTGCACTGACACCTGCGATAGCGGCAGTTTCTTTCAATACTTCGCTCTCGACATGTTCAAGGGATATCATGGATGGCTCCCACGACTGTCCTGTCCTTACCCAGCGTGATGAGGGTTCCAGACGCTTTGTCGTATGCGCCTCCTCGACCTCCCAGGCTGCAGCTTGATGGTTATAAAAAAAGTCTACACGCCCAGTTCGATGTAGCCAGAAGTTGTATCATCGTTCACAATTCACCGCGCTGATAATTAACATCTAACAGCACTCCGATAGCAGTACAGCGCATACTATCTCACTACCACACTTTCATACCACTGCCTAATACATGCAAAAAACCACAATCATGATCAAAATCGGATATAACACCGAGCACTCCGTCCAGAAACGGAAGGAGATGATTGCTGAGGCGGCGAAGGACCGGCAACTCCAAAACTTTGTGCTGCTGGCGCATATCCTAAAGCGTGCCGGAATGGACAACGGAGAAGTCACGCTGTGCCTAAAGCGGTACCTTGGCACACTCCCGGCCGAGGACCTGCGTTCTCTCCGGGTCCACCTGCCTCGCGTGCAAGTCATTAGCAATGACTTTGTGCCGACTGTCGACGGCATCGCCGAGCTCGCAGAGATCCCGAGCATGGCCAAGGCCTATGTTACTCGGGCACTCCAGATAGCAGGGCAGCGGATGGTCAAGGAGCCCAAGACTGCGCATGGTGCAAAGGGGTGGATCAGGGCCCTTCTGCACCGTCTTGCGGCTGCACTACCTCAAGCACCGCAGCAGGGAGAGGGCAGCAAGGCTGCGTGGACCACTAACCCGGACTCGGCCATCTGGCTGGGTATTATGGCTCGTCTCCGGGTCGCGACGCCCGTCGATACGTGGGACGCCACGGTTACCAACGACATGACCTTTGCCTGTTACAATGGCTGGAGGGGTGTCTTCGGGCTCCCGCCCGCCATTCCGGACCCGTTTGCTGTTGTGCCGGCGACGCCTAACATCCCCAAGCACAGGTCCAAGCAGGCCGATTTCCGACTCGAGCGCAGGAAGCCCAGATTCCTTAGGCGAGACACTCTCCTAAGACTGTGACGACGGGTAATAACGGCACCGCCAGAACTCTTCCCATCGCTTTCTTCGAGGAGCAGGCAACGAATCCCGATTATCTCGCGCTCCTTCAGCTCTCTCGGAGATAGAAGCTAATCCTATCCAGAGACCACAACAGTAGCGCATTTCGCTCTGAGGTGAGTACCCGGACCTCGCTGGTCAACACATGCACAGAATGACACCCCAAGTCAGCGAGGTTGGACGACACAGATAGACTGAATTCTTGACACTCTCATTCTTTTCTCCCAAGTTGCATACCCTTGTGCCCTAATCCCTCAACATGCCCCCTGCCTTAACAGATGAGTTGAGAATAATTCAAGTCACTAAGTATATTTTGTCTCTGCGTTTCATATGCTAATCTCTCTACAGAACTCAAGGGCATACTCATCATGTTCAGAAGTTTGTATCCCCATGTCTACTCCCTCTCAGATCCAGTTGCGTCAATCCCCGGCCAAGGCACAGATTTGCCATTCCAGCCGCCCGGAACCTAGAACACACGAGCCCTCAACCCCAAAGACTACTTGCAGGCTAAGCTGGCGGGTTGTAGACGGCCTCAATGTTGTTGCCCGCCGGATCCAGCACGTAGGCCGCGTAATAGTTGGGTCCGGAATGCGCCCTCACGCCAGGGGGGCCATTATCTTTACCGCCGGCGGCAACGGCCGCCTGGTGGAACGCATCCACGGTCGCGCGGTCTGCCAACACCGTCAGTCATGTATGTAGGTTCCAGGATGTCTTCCCGAGTCATCGCGAATACACGCTACCACCCCCCACACCCTCAACCTCAACATCAACCCCTTTTACCGCCCTAACCCTGACATGACAAGAAAACAACCCCAAACAATCCCCCCTATACCCAATGCACCCCTTGAGAACACAAATACACCCCCCAACCCTCGAGAAACTAAAACCAAAACCACAAAACAACTCACCCTTGGCAGCAAACGCAGTGTGCGTAGGCAGCGGGGCCACATCCTCCGAGTCAGGAGCCTGAGCCTGACCGGGGTTGGTCGGGGGATTGGCCGCCGCCGACGTGACCCACCAGTCGACGTTCTGGGTGGCGGTGTCCAGGAAGCCGACAACCAGGCCGTCGAGGAAATCGACTGCCTTGATGTACCCCAGTGGTGCCAGCGCGGCTGTGTACCATTCCACGATGGCGGCGTGCTTGTCGGCTGGGGTTTTGATGCCTGTGTGTGCGATCGTCATTTTGGTGTTCTGTCACGTTGTTTCAATGGCTTGAGGGGTGTGGGTGTCGGGTTCTTGCAGTGATGTGCGTAAGTGAGGTTGGGTGCTGGCCTCTGGTAGGACTGAGTGGAGAACTGGAGATTGTTGGTGAACTGGTGATGTCGACTGTCGATGGGAGCGGAGTGATGCGATTTGAGTCCTGATTTATAGATTGATCATGCTTCTCGATCGAGAATGATGGACGCTGACTCGGATTGCGAGGGTATCCGAGTCCCCTTCCATCGGCTTCGGTCGTCGGTGGCCAAGGCTTTCCGAGCCAGGCACAGCAATCCTCCGGCGCGTGTCGCGCTGGATGGTGATTGGACTGTGGGGCGGGATCCCCGCGTTCTGTACGCGAGGTCCCGTGCAAGCTGCAGAGGAGTCGCCGGCGAAAGGGGGGGACGGGAAAATAACTCCCGGGCACCGACTGGACTTACACGGAGATAAGACCTTGGCACTTGGCAGGATCCTTCATGTTTGATAAGGTGCTGAGTGCTGACAACCCAAATACCCCTACAGAACCTACCTGAGGCGTCTCGATCTACCATTATGGGTGCACTGATGAAACAGAGAAAGCAAGATGGGCGAAACAGAAGTAGCTCAGGCATAGCCCGGCCGTATGGGTGTAACTCGTCCAAGGTACCGTCAAGGACCTGGGATGTGGAATCCCTGACGGCCTCTCGAGGGCCGCACACTCAGCACTCCGAGGAATGGGATGCGCCTCGAGGCCTTCCGATATCGTTGGTAGGCACTTCGTAAGTTAAGTATTCCTTTCGGTGTCTTTTATTATTAACGATGTGTACAGTACATAAGTGTATTAACCGCTCGATCGGACCGCGCCACTCTAACTCCCCCTGACTCCTGACCTCGACGGCACCGCAGCAAAAAGAAGAACAAAGGATACTATACAACCTGGGATGTGTGTTGGCCTCAGGGTGCCCTAACCTCTTACAGACCTTTGGATAACAGATAGCTTGAAGAAAGCAACAAGTGCCACAATATGCCACCATCAGGACCGCCGATCAACAATGTGCTGCTCCGACGAGTGGGACGGCGCCCTTGTATTTCCAACCGTGCCTTCCAGTTCGACAGATCGGTCACCAATGCTGTCCGAATCGCGTTCGCTGTCCAGGTCCCGCGGCCGATGGCTTCTTTGGACCGTGATCTCTGTCGTCATGACGACCGACCCGCCAGCGGGCGCTTTTGCAGCCCCGACGCCCAACCCAGTCCTCACGGACACGCTGTTCCCCATATTGCCTCCCTTCTTCTTTGTTGTTGTCGTCTCGCCGTCGAGCATATCCATCTGCACCACGCCCCCGCGAGTCAGGTTATCGGCCGCGGTCCGGCCATGCGAGCTCTCGTGGCTCGAGCCGCCCTGCGTCATCTCGACCAGGCGGTTCAGGATGCTGAACTCGAGCTTGAGCTTGACGCTGTACACGAGCGCCTTGTAGGATGTCTGCAGGTCGTACAGGCCGGCGTACTCGAGCGCGATGATGGTGACGTCCAGCACGACGATGATGATGTTGACCACGATCAGGTGCGTCATCAGCCACCGCGTGCTGCCCACTTTGCCGCCCATCCCCCCGCGCCGCCGTGCGCGCATGAGAGCGACCGTCTCACGGATGTACAGGGCTGAGATGATCGTTTCTTGGAGAAAAAACAGCGTTACTTGTACCCGCTCGTAGACGGAGTAGGGTCCGACGTAAGGGGCCGGGTTGGGCGAGTTGGCGCCGTACACGAGGACGGCGATAGGGACGTGGCAGATGATGGCGTTGATGATGATCATGCCCAGGACGAAGCGGAGCTGGGACTGGTTCCGCAGGACGATGTGCAGCCGCGAATACAGGACAACTGACTGTCCTGTTACCATGCAGCACCAGCCGACGACGATGAGGGTGACGTAAACCCAGCTGACGACCGTGACCTCCAACTGTATCGTCTTGAGCAGGAAGCCGATGGAGTACGGAACGATGCCCAGTGTAGCTACCACGAAGCTCCAAAAGTAGAGACCGCTGCGTCTCTTGAAGGTCGCGAAGATGATGAAGCAGAGCTCGGTGACGTTGTAGAGCGCCAGGCTGAGGAAGACGAGGATGATGACCAGCGTCGAGCCTGTTGCCACGCTGTCTCCCGTGATTCCGGTGTCTGCGAGGGGCATGTTGACGGTGCCGGATACCCCTTGAGTTGTATAATGCTGCCGTTGATGGATGGGGTTTGCATAGCTCAGGAGTCAAGTCAGCTTTGGCCTCAACTGGGGAAGCAGGTAAACGGGTGAGTAAGAAGGGGAAACTCTAGGTTCTTCCTGAGGCCGGGCAAGATAGTTGTGGACTTCGGATCATATGTCGTCGGATCATATGTCGACGGCCCCAGCCAGCAACCGGAGCAAACTCCGATGATTTTGTCTTCTGGAACACATTAGTCGCTGAGCTTATTTGAGCCAGCTGCAGGGCATGAGAAGGTCCTTTCTGGGTCAGCCAATGAATAGCTTCAGATCACTGGCAATCACTTCACCCTAGACTTTGATAGTCTACTGCATGTTTTGAGCACGTATGAGAGCGTCCTGGACCTAGTCACAACTCCATCCTAGCTGTCATCCATGATCCCGGATCTGTGCCTTAGCCACCGAAGAAAGTCCCGAGCTAGGAACTCAAATGCTAGATTGCGAGGTCGAGGCTCCTTCAGAACTATAAACTGAACAGGGGTGCTTATGGCTAGGGGTTCAAGCATGACTGCCGGTGACTGGGTCAGGCTGTTGAAGGATCCAAGCCCATGGTTCTCTACACCTGGGGGCTGTTATTGCGTGTCGCTGTGCTCTAGCTCTCAATACCTACATGAAGTCCAAGCCTGTCCCAAAGGAGCCTCGTTCTCACTTACACGCACCGTACTGGCGTGTCTCTCTGTCTGTACAGTACATACGTGTACAGTACAATACACCTTGGTAAGCGCGTGTAGTAAACGTTCATCTGCCATGTCAGTCGGTAAGTAAATGCCCAATACGCCTTTATAAGGCATCTTGATTGACAGGTAACTTAACCGTACCCGAGCAAGATTCTTCACTGTGGAGCAGCACTGCACTGTGACTGCGATGAACAGATGCAGTCCCTCGGGCCGTGATGAAACAATACTCCACCACCCCGGATCCGAGAATCAGGGCTGGCCGTACGCCTGAAGATCTGGGGGACTTGGCGGTCAAAGCGGCGAATCGGGTGCTCCGGCACAAATATCTCGGCGAGACTAGACCTGGTCACCGATATTACTACCAGACGATCAGAGAAACACGGCGTCTGGCGGTAAGCGTCTCCTCGTCGTGATTCCGGCGAGAAATCGGCACTGTCGCAGGGGCTGAGTTACACTTACATAAAGTACCTATGCCAAGATCGTCGGTGAAGCTTAGGTCTGGCGGAGCTGGAACTGACTCCGAACGGGGGAAGACTGGGAAGCCAAGGAGGCCTGAGCGGGGTCGGTGTAGCAGCAAGGAGGTGGTTCATTTCTCACTGATAATTCCTGGCTGGCCGAGTCAAGTCGCAGCTCTTGGCGGCTTGGGCCTGAAGTTCTGAAATGTGTTGTCTTGCTGTGGTACTCGATGTCTAGGTGAAACGGTGGGTACTCCGTATGCCCTACCTACATAAGGTAGGTAGTTAAGGATAAGTAGATCTAGACTGAAAAGGCGTGGAACTTGGACCACAAGTCGGCGTACGTAATGTTCTGCAACAAAGGTCCATCTTTGAGCTGGCTATTGGCGCTCCAGACCCGTGGACGTCGCTTTACCCCAAGTTCCTGCCCATTGCAGAGCGAGAGGAGGTAAGTCCCGTTGGGAATAGACACAGAGGGGCAGAGGGACATCGTGAATAGAGGTAATTCCGATATAATAACATCCGCGGCTTGATCACACGAGAGTAACAGTGGTGAACCCGGCGGGATCATCAACCGCAGGGTCCCCCAGATGGTGAGGCCATAGAAACATGTAGCCCAATCGTCGGAAGCAAACCTTGAATTCCCGGTCTGGTGCAACAACCAGCGCCTTATGACAGGGATGCTCTCCATTGCTCCGCGCGAGCACCAGCGCAAAGAGCGGCATGAGGCTCTTGACCAGCGCTTCATCATGTGATCGGATGTAGTCAAACATCACGTAGGCACCGGCCGGGTCACCCGAGGGTGTCCTAAGTCTCGTGCGCCGACGGCCAAAGAAAGCAGAACCCTCCTCGCCGTCTGGAACGGTGCTGATGCCCAGCGGGACCAGAAGTCCGCGGACCCGTACCCAGCCGTCTGCCAACCGGCCGAACGGATCTGCTGCCGACTCGGGAGAAACGTGGTAGTCCAGGACTGTGGCAACTGGGGCAAACCCCATATTCCACATTGTCGCTCTCCCCGGATAAGACGCCCAAGACCATGACGGCGCGATATAGGGCCTCCTCACTGCATTCGCATTCTCATTCTCATCTGAAACGTAATAGTCCCTGGGAAATCCATGCCCTTGCCAACTTAAACCCTCAATAAGAGCGTCGCTCCACAGCCCTGCGACATAACTGGCCTGGGTGCGAGCAGCGAATAGTCGCGCCATGCCTGACAAGGCGGGAAGTTTGTCGGTAGCCACGGTTAGCTGTCTCCGCGAGAACTCTTCTACCACGTCCGCCCAGAGTTCATGGTCTTTTGAGTGGTGTGGACCCATTGCCCCTGTGTTCTCGGCCTGCTGGAATTCGGGTCGGGGCTGGAAGAAGTTGATGAAGCGACCCTCAACGCGGAAGCCGTCTTCGCTGCGAAAACAATTGTTGCACTCGTAGTACATCTGGTCTGAGGCGTAGTGTATTACGCGCTGGGATATGACTCGTTCCTGCAGAGCCCATGCCCGGTCGGTTAGAGGTTCTTTCTGCATGGCCAGATATATCCAGCTGTCAGCCGCGGCAAAGATCGGTAGTAAGAAAGCAAGAAACGCATGCCCGTTGTCTCTGCGTTGAGTAAAGGCATTCGGAGCTGATTGGACGACCCCGTAGCGCCGAAGGGCCCGACACCCGAAACAGCCGGCCGTGTTATTCTCTGCAGCGCTGGCCGCGATTGTCAGGTAGGCGTTCGCGTAGATGTTGACCATCATAGCGGATTCCCGGACCCAGTCTTCGGGATCATCCTGGCAGATGCAGAGCGAGTCAATCCACAGATAGTCTATCGACAGTCGTCGAGCAACAGCTATGGCATCTTGGAAAGTCTTGGGGAGCGCTTGGAGCCGTATGCCTTGCATCCTCTCAGCCATGGAAGCACGCGTCGTAGTAAACTGTTCTGTCTTTCCCCAGCAGTGGCTGAGGGCAGCATATGTGCCAATCCTGCCATTCGATTCGCACAGTCTGACAATGTCTGGCTCTAAGTCGCATTTCAAGTCGAGTAGACGGGTTGGTAGCTGCACATTCTGGTTGGGACTGCAATGTGAATGCTCCTTCACGCACTCTGCCACCCAGGCTGCCGCCCGAGCCAGTGTCTTCTCACCACCCGAATGCTCTTCGACAGGACGCCCATGGTAAGTTGAAGCCAGGGGCGAGTCTGCACAACATGAACATATGCGTCAGCCAGGAGGCTTTTTCATGTGGAGGTGATCATTTTCATTGAGGCCAGAAAGGCAACTGACCATCCTCAACGCAAAACCCTACGGCACAAGCCAGATAAATAGCTCTCCCGGATCGAGATGGGGTAAAAGCCAGGAAGCCGTCCCCGCCATCTAGGCGCCTCGTAAGCCAGAGCGGGACGGCGTCGTCAAAGCCGTCATCCCCAGCCTCTTCTCTGAACTTGAACACATGGTCCTGCTTCTCGGCGTGGTAGGCATCGACGAAACGGCGGACAGACTCGTGCATCAGACTACAGAGCTCGCACCCGATCGCATGCGCCTCAAGAGATTTGATGTTTGAATGGTGAGGGAAACCGAGAGCTTCATCAATCTGTAGAGTCCTTCGCTGGCGGATAAACTTCTGGATCTCCTCTCCGCCAGTTACCTCAAGGGCCCATTCTGAGCCTGAGAGATTCGGCAGGTGGTCGAAGGGAATGGACTGGCAGAGCGAACAGAGCGGCATTGTAGGATGGTACTTCAATGCCGACCCAAGGGGATATATTTGGAGGGGTCCGTGGAACTGGATAATCCCACTTTTGAAGCTTGAATGTGGGGTGTTGCGGAAGAAATGCCGCCCATCTTGATTAGCCTGTGCAGTACCTTAGCAACGGACGAACCATAAAGGGGCTTGGTACACAGGTACAGTACCTTGATCCTTCTAATGCTTTCCCCTCGCGCCTTGAAGCGTTTGCATCGGCTCGGTCTCGGGCAAACCCGTCCATGCAACGCCGGGTCTCTTCATCTTCTATTATTATAACAAGCGGTAGTTATGTCTATTCATATATAATTCCCCATTTCCAGTCTTCCGTGACAACGATGCCCCCATTACCGCTGCGAGCAACGCCTGATAAGCCTCAGCAAAAAGGCAACCTTCAATGAACTGCAGCTCAAAACTCCCTCCAGCGAAACGCGTGATTCCCTCGACGATCATTGTTCCTCAATGAGGATGTCTTTGCGGTTTTCCGCAAAATTTTTCTGCAGCAGCTCGCCCAGGTTCTGCATAATGGCGTCACTCACGCTCGTCTTGCCCTTGTCCTTGTCCAGTGTGTGGTGACTTATGAATTCGCCGTGGCAATCGTCGACGACGTCTCCCTTGCCGAAAAGGCCTGGGTAACCATGTGCTTCGTTACAGGGTATTTCCTGTTAATCTGCATTAGCGCCTTTGCCATGCCCCGGAAGAAGGGGTCAAGGGGGTGCCGAAACTTACAACAATGTTGTTGCCCGACGGGTTGAAATCATAACGGATGTATTCGGAAAACGCGCGCTGCTCGTTGCTCCAGCGGTTCTTCCACCTTGCGCACCCTGGATACCTCTTCTCGTCTGGGCAATCGATCCACGCCTGCAACATGTCGTGGGAATATGGGAGGTTTTGCAGGAAGATGATGCCGGCGTTGAGCACCATTTTGCCTTTGCTGTCGGTGCTGTGGTGCTCGTCGTCATTGGGGAGCTCTCGGGTGTCGATGGGCATCGCGATCGACGTATTTGGGGAGATGTCCCATCTGTTGAACAGGAACTCCATGGGCACCTCAAGGTGCTGAATGATGGCATCGGCGTCCAGGTAAATAATAAACTTGTAGGAGGGCAGCAACCCCTTGAGAAGGTGCGGCTTGATCCATGCATCATGGTATCCTTTCATCTTTTTGGCATGGATGTACTTGTAATCGTAGCCGTGGATTTGCGCTTCGCTGGCGTGTCAGAGCCCTATACAACAACGAACTGGAACAAGACAAGGGCAGCGAACTCACCGTAAACGAAGTGGTTGATGTGACCCACGGTCAACAGGCCTGAATCCACCGCTCGCACCGCCTCCCAGTCCATCTTATGGTCGTTGAATATGTCATTTTTCTCGTTCGGAATTCTCGTGTCCATGTCCACAATTAGAACGTCGTTTCCCAGGCGCTCTTTCCAGTAATGCCGGCCGCCATTGTCCCATTTGTGGCCGCGCTGGTCGGTGTAGCTCTCGGCTGTCACAGGGAGCTTGATGGGTTCGTATAGAACGGATATGACGTTGCTAAAGCCGTGTTCCAGTGGCGGTCGCGGTGTTTTGTGATAGATCGAAGACGCGCCATCTTTGAGGGCCAGGAAGGGCGCGGCGGGGGAGCCAGTTTGCAATGCGGAAATGAGAAAAATCAGGACAAGCAAGATCGGAAGAAACAATACCAGGAGGCGCCGCGCGCCCAAGCGGAGCGCCATAGACGTGAGGAAGACCCGAGAGAGACGACGTTAAAGATGAGTAGAAAGGCAACGCAACCTGTCAGTGGGACATCGAAAAGCGTCGATCCTCAAACGGCCGCTAAGCGACATTTTTGTTCTCCTGTCGGTCGGCTTTTCCGTAGTGTCAGCACTCAGCCCTGATGTGGATCAGGCAACGATGGCGGTGATAGGAGCAGCACCCCTGTCTGGCCCCGGACCGCTACATGTCATGTACCCGTAACACCCCAATGACATAGCGGGCACGCCAGCGATTCGCGCGGCAATTATCCGTATAGTCGCCCGCTCCTCCAGAAATAGGATGCTTACCATTTGCTTGATAGAGCGGACTCAAAGAATTCCATACCAAAGGCCCGCATTTTGGGCTTGAGTTGACGAAGATATGGTCGTTTGAAAGTTGCGGATGGCAAAGTGGAAGACGCGTTGAAAGACGCGCTGACGCGGTGGGGTAATTAAGCTAAAGTGGAGCACGTAGGTATCTCCCCTCTCTGATTGACCCCTGACCGTAGCCTGGAATTCTTGGCATGATCGTACCTTAGTACTGTAAGTTCTGTGCTCGAAAAATTTGGTATCGACAATCCGGAACCGCACACTCAAGGCAAGAAAATAGAGTACTAACTAGGACTGCTCAAGACACGAGGATTTGGCCGTTGTTGTGCTGGAAGGTCGAGACTGTCCCGTCCTCCAAGGCAGGCGCTCGCGAACGAACTGGGGCTGCCAGGCAACCCGTTGTTCAGGTTCCCCGCATAGCGTAAAGTGTACCCCAGTCACCCCCTGAGACGCTGAGATGTGGCTTCGAGGTTCACACCAATTCCGCAAGATCAACAGAAATAGAAACACGTTCAACTGCTACGATTTCTCCATGCACAACGAGCGGGAACCCGCCGTTATAGTGACTGGAGGACAGGAGTCGGACATGTGAGTTTGGTCTGAGGAGAATGATCGCCAGTGGGCGTCGGCCCCGGAAAACCTGACTCTTGGGACTTCATGGCCAACAGCCGCGTCTTTTTTTGCGGCTGATGGTGGTTGGGAAAACCGTGGTGAAAACCAGCTGCATAATCTCGACTTCTTGGTTACATACTCACGAGAGGCCTGACCAAGCAAAGACACCAGCTCTCACACCCTTCTAGCCACGTGAGAAGAAGATGCTCTACGTGACGTTGATCAACGAAGCTTCGGCAAACCGTCCGAAGGCTGCTACATTTGACGCAGGGCAAGATGGACAAGGTTGGTCTATGGCTCTATCATCTACTCTATTCTAGGGGTCTCATGCTAAGAAACGGCACTGAACCAGTGGGGCCTCTTCAATCTCGCAGACCACCCTCTCCCCAGTTTCTACTCCGGTCGGATGCTGGTCATTGGTGAGTCCGCGCACGCCAGCACACCGCACCACGGCTTGGGAGCCGGCTTCTACATGGAGAACGTCGCGGTGTTGCCGTGTCTCTTGAAGCAATTAGACGCCTACAGCGAAATTCTCCCTGATGATTTGAATGCCGTGTTTGCCGCGTTCGACACCAGCCGTCGACAGCGAGACCAATGGCTCGTCGAAAGCAGCCGGCGCGCAGCGTGCCTGTATGAATGGCAGCTGAGCGGTACCGCTCCGGGCCACTTTGACGCCATGCATGCCGACATCCAGGCGCGCTAGGAGATTTGCTGGGATATCGACTTGGATGCGGCAATGCAGGAAGCAAAAGCAGAATTGGCACGGAGCTGAAGATTGAAGCGGGAAACCAGAACTTCTAGTAGTGGTGCTCCCTATTCACAACGTTGAGCAGCGGCTGCCCCTTGCTCAAGCTCTCCAGATTGTGATCGATCACGGCCCGGATACGCTCAAACACCCGGGGACTCCGCCAGCTGACGTGGGGTGTGATGAACAAATTGGGTGCCGTGAACAGGGGGTGTCCGTCAGGGAGCGGCTCGGGGTCAGTTACATCGAGAGCTGCGCCTCGGATCTTGCCCTCCCTCAGCGCGTCCAGCAGTGCGTCCGGGTCGATGTGTTTGCCCCGGGCAATATTGGAGACGAACGTCTTCTTTTTGGACAGAATCTCAAACTGCTCGCGGCCGAGGATGTATTTGGTAGCCTCGGTCAGCGGCAGGCTCACCACCAGCAGGTCGAGGTCCTGAGCTAGGAAATGGTTGACGTCGTCCCTCGACGAGCCGTGGAACCACTTGGCCGGAATCACCCCTTCCGGATCCCCTGTGCCAGGCACGCAGTAGCTGTCATCTCTGCGGGATGCAGGGGTTGGTTTCTCGCTGCGTGTGTAGGCGTAGACCTTCATGCCCAGGGCTTGCCCCAGCCTGGCACAGTGTCGCCCGATGGCGCCATAGCCGAGGATCCCCATGCGCAAGCCGGGCGAGTCGTAGACGCCCAGATCGTGGTGATCCAACCGGGCAAAGCTCTGCTTGCTTTGCTCAGCCGCGTAGTCCAGAAAGCGGTGGCTCATCATGAGCCAGCTGCCGATCACCCATTCCGCGATCTGAGGACTACGGAATGAGATAACGGAGAAATCAGCTACCTGTAAAAGCAGCCAGGGGCAGAGGGCGGCCTTACGCGTGAGCGCCGTTTGCAGTACAGAAGGTGACGTCTGGGTTCTTGTACAGATCATGCGTGATCCACCGGTCTGCGCCGGCAGAAGGCAGCTGGACGAGCCGGACCTTTGGCAGCATCTCGGCTGGGTGGGTGAGGAGCGAGACGAGGATGGTGACGCCGTCATAAAGTTGAGGGGGCAGAGGCTCTGCATTCGGGTTGTATGGCTGGGTAACCCATCGCACTTTTAAGCCGGGGTATCTGCGCTCGAGTTCGGTGATCCATTTCTCGTCTGGAGGGGAGGGAATCGTTATGAGAAGCACGTCGTTGCTCAAGCCAGTGGCTTGCTCAGAACTTGAAGTGGCCGTGGAGCCCATGACGATACTGATCTATGTGGGCTGAAGTTGGGAGGGGAAAGGAGGCTGTATGAGATGTGGATTCTAACACTGGATGACTCAATTGTTGCATGTGGAGGTCTGTGGATGTGGGTTAGCGGCTCAGTACGGTTAAGATGCTTCCGGCAAGTAGCGGCGACTTCCAGATGCTGCGGAGCCGGGCCAAGGTGGCCAATTCATCTTATCTCCCGATCCTGACTAGCGTGACCGGAGCACATGGATAGGGTTTGCCATCCATCGTGACGCTGAGAAACGCAGAGGAAGGTCTACAACATAAGGTACCATATCAGTCGTCAAATTCTATACGTGCTACCAAAAGGTAACCTGCAGTAAACTTACTAGACAACTAACTCGAAGCTGATAGAGGAGACCGTCTACCCCTTACTTATTAGACTCCGGCCTCCCAACCATCACATCCGGCTCCCTCTCCCACCTCTTCACGCCCTCGGGGATATCCACAACCGCGCTTTCAGTGTAAATATGCATGGCCCCTTTCCACTGCAACCCCTTGACCAACCCGCCCTTGATGCTAACCGTTTCTCGCTCGGTGCCGTCCGCCTGCCGGATGCGGTGCATCACGCGCGTGCCGCAGCGCTTGCAAAAGTAGCAGTCCATTGTACGGCCCTCTTTGGCATTGCGTGTCCATACCCCGAGGTTGGATGACAGGTCCGGTGCGAGCGGGAAAATGCCCGCTGCAGGGAAGATGGCGCTCGTGCCGTAGGCCGAGCCGGACTGCACGCGGCACTGGGTGCAGTGGCAGTGGTAGACCGAGAGAGGGGATGCAGTCGGCGTGGTGAAGTTGATGAGGGCGCATTGGCAGGATACTTCCATTGCGGTTGATCTACAATTGTGGTCGTCGGTAAGATGCGTGAGATGCAAGGTTGTGCCGGCAGGTAAGTCTCAGGTTTTTATAACTTTCAAGACCGAGATCTCTGAGGGGTTTTGAACCCGACGGGTTAGGGTTTTCAGGAAATAAAAACTCACCACTGATCGTAGAGATCGTCGAAGAAAACTCGTTTTTCGCATCTCCACCTCAACAAATCGGAGCCAGTCCCGGCCAGTCGGGTATGGTGTAGCGGTAACATCGTTGACTCTCACTTCTCAGGAGTGACTGCTCTCTCAACAGCCCCGGGTTCGACTCCCGGTATCCGAGTCCTCAACTTTTTCCTGTTTGGAACATTGATGCCATGTTTTTTTTCCATTGGCGGTCGCACTCTGTGTGCAACGGTTCTCAGCTGCAAAGTGCGCTCGGAGGTGTTCACAGCTTTGAAGACCATCTTCAGGCACGCCTTTTCCAAGGCTTCATGATGAAGCGACATGACCTAAGAACGAGGTATGTACATTTGATGAATGGTGGCGGACTATGGATGGAACTGAAGTACATAAATGAAGGGCGGCAATGATATGGACCTTAGGTAAAGCGAAAGCGTTCTGTCTCCCCAACAGTGTCCTCGCCCACAACACCCTATCCCACCAGGCCGCAACCCTCCCGGCTTCAGCACGGCTTACCACCTAAGACACGGTGATACTGCTCGACCCAGCACTTCCAGGCCCACCAGTAGCCGTGTACCCCTCAGTGGCCATAACAACATAATCATGGCTGCCCAGACGCATGCCGAGCTTGGCCCACTCGTCAAAGTGGCGCTTGGTGGTGACGGTGCCGCCGACGCGCTGCTCTTTGCGGACGGACCAGTACTGCTGGAAGGTGCGGGTGCCCTCGATGGAGGGCTTGTTGACGCGCGTGCTGGTGAAGATCTCGTACTCGCCCTCCTCGAACGAGAAGCTGCCCTTGCTCGTCCACGGCTCGTTGGGCGACAGGTCCGCGTGCGCCTCGATGATGTAGTACTCGATCAGGGGGTTGCGCGTCCATCCGTACACGGCCAGGTAGCCTGGTCCTGTGGCGTTGTACGTGCCGCTGTATCGGATTGTTCTGGGGAGGGGTGAGCATGCGTGCCCTCCTGGGATTCTAGGGAGGGGGATAGAGATGGACACACCTGGCACCGCCGCCCCTCCAGCCCTTCCCACACACGAACCCGCCTTTGCTGTTCCACGTCGCTGTGTACAAGCCCCCGGCCCCGTTGACGCACCGGATGTTGCTGCCCCCTTCTGACCAGTTCTGAAAGTAGTAGCCCCCCTGGCGCGCTTCGAGATTGTTGCCTTCGGGCTCGGGGCCGTACGCCCTGACTTGCTCTGCAGGGGCTGCGATCGCCCCTGAGAGGAGGAGGCCTGCGCCAAGAAGCGAAAATTTGACCATACTTTTCGAGCTCTCTGTAATCCAGCGTGGGAAAGCTGTTGTACAGGCGCAAGACTGGATCCGGGACCGTAACAGTCAAGGGCGACCCGTCTTATATCCCGTGGCCTATAGCTAGAGTCCCGATTCGGGGAGCCCCTGATAATCCCCCATGTCCCAGATGGACGTTCCCTTCTCCCGAGACAACTTCATATCGCAAGGTTGCACATGGAGCCGTTTCTGTAGAGTGGGCTGGTAGTGGAGCGGTTCAGTAAGGCTATTGTTGGCGTCTTTCTGTGTACTCATCAATGCATTTAGCCTGAAGCAGGCCAAGGTATTGCTCAACGGCTTCCCCACGGGGTCCTCCACTACGCCCCAGACGCCGGTGGCTGCACCCGTGCTTAATCGAACGCCATGCAGTTAATAAATCCCCGAATTTGCGGGGTATATTCCGGCCACTACCGGCATCCATTGTTCCGGGGGGGCCGTAACTTGCCAGCGGGTACTGGTTTATGAAGCCTACAGTCGCACCAATGACCGCAACGAGAAACGCTCCCTAATAGAAGCTTCTGAAACCATGAAGCGGCGGCTACTAATTCATATCTCCGTGGCTCACCTTTCGGGTGAGTTCGGCTGGTAGATGACGAGGGGACGGAGTTGACCCCCCGGAAGTGGCAACCAGGTTCCAAAACACCAGGATAGGATATCACGTGTGGGTTACAAACTGTCAAGTTCCCTATGGTTTGGTTATAGCCGGCTGAATGCTGGGTATTCTGGAAGTTCAGTGCATGTGTGCAGGTCAATGATCCTCGCCCGGTCGAAGAGGCCATTCACAGGAACAAGGGTTTTGTTGACTCATCTTTGCAAACACAATACTACAAAATACCTGTAAATTACTCGGCTGCCAGGCACTTATCGGAGCCTCTTGTTCTTCGTGTTGGATCACTGGTAGTTCCTGAATGTTGCTGTTGCTCTCTTGCTGATGGGCTGGGATCTTAGGTGACAATTGCGTTCAGTCGATACATCCCAGGGAGGCTAATATAAGCTCTTCAGCTTTGTCAACTTTCTCACTTCTACTAGCCATCAAGTTCTGAACTCAAAACCTACCTAAACTTCGTACAGTTCAGGAACTTCCTCAGGTGGTCCTGCAGGCTGTTGTGAAGAGATAGGAACAAGACTTGCTGCCTCCTGGCCAAACTAGTTCGATCGTGTCTCCAACAACTTCTGACTGGCATACCAAGAGAACTAATCTCTATTTAATAAGCTTTAGCAAGGCGAGTCCTTGAACGTATGCTGTTCAGCGGGGGACTGAGAACAGTTCAGGGGCTCAACCCTAACCCTGTTAACCACCCCGCATCCGATGACACCATCCCATCAACCAGGAAGGCTGCCCGATTCGAGCACACTTGAACACCTCGCTTTCGACACCCAACGCGTAAGTCGCATCGCGCTTAGCGGCACGCTCTGCAATGCCTCCCTCGTCAACGGCGCAGGGCCGCGGCCCATCCCGCCTCGCTCCTCTGATGCGCCCGATCTATGGTCTGGCGCACTACATCGTGTCTGCCTGCAGAAGCGCGTCATACCCGATCCGCGGCGTTTGGTACTTTTTGCGCCATCCCGAGTTCTACCCGCTCTTCGTCGGCCGCCTGCTCCCGCTCTCCATCATCTCCTTCCTAGTATACTTTCTCCTTTTTACCTTTACCTTCCTGCCGCAATTCCTCTTCCTGCTCATCTTCCAGGGCAGAGCGGGGGCCTTGTTCAATACGACAGTGCTCGTGCTTGGCGAGGGGCTGGTGATTATCCAAGGCCTGTTCGAGGGCTTCTTTGTGGACGAATGTCGCGTGGATATTTTTGATGTAAGCTTGCCTTACCTGTCTTCGTGAGTGGATTGCAAGGGGAAAGCTGCTAATCCCATCTACCTGCAGGCCACCCTGATCAACCATGGACTCATCGACCTTATCGCGCCGCAACGTGTCTTGTTCGTCGAAGCCCCGAACTCGGTTAGAATGCTTGGAAAGCCGACCAGTCGCGCCGAATACCAGCCGTGGAGTCTGATTCAAATCGTTGAGCTGATCGTCTGTCTCCCCCTAAACCTCGTGCCGTATGTTGGCACCCCACTCTTCATCATGATCACCGGCTCGCGCCTGGGCAAGCTGTCGCATTACAGATGGTACAAGTTGAGGGGCCTGAACAAGAAGGACGTGAAGCGGGAACTAAGAGCAAGATGGTGGGAGTACCTGTGGTTTGGAACAGCTGCCATGATCTTGGAGCTCGTCCCGGTACTGAGCTTCTTCTTTTTGCTTACTACCACCGCCGGAGCGGCCATGTGGGCGGCCAAGATGGAAGAGCGCGCGAGGATAAGAGTCGGGCGGCAAATCACGGCGGAAGATCGGGCGACTCATCACGATGCCGAGGGGCCGGTGTACCACGATGATCCTGTTTAAGTTGCCCTTCCCAGGAATGTTAACTTGCTAAGTGTTCTTCTATCATCCCGGCTAATTCGAGTATTGGATTTTGTTTGCGAATCATGCTGAGGTCATCTCAGCTATCCACGCGACGGTCATGCTTGTAGCCAGGCGCCGCTTCCCTTTGGACCATGAATCTTGGAGTAGGCCGTGGCCTCGAAAACCTCGCTGCTACTTGCCCAGCACCCGCCCGTGGGCATTGAGTCGCCGCCCAAGCGAGCTGGTTAAGGGGCTCAGGGAGTTACTTCGGTACCGGTGTCCATGCAGGTGGGGAGGCGTGGCGGGTTTGCCTAGAATGCAGTACCTTATTTGACTCGAGGGAAGGAGCAGCACCGCTTATTCGAGCTGCTTCAATCCTGCCATCATTCTTTGGTACTAGGAACCTCGCTTTGGCCCGCCGATATTTCTTCAATGTCAGGCACGGCAGGGGCCACGATGGACTGCAGTGCACTCAGCCCTCAGCCGGGAACGACTGGGGTGCCCCTGCTCTCAGACTCCGGAGCTCGATGACCATGGGGTTAGTTAGCTCGACGTCGTTCCTTCCTCAACTCGACTCCTGAGGCTGCTCATCCGTAAGGTAGGACGTTTCCAGGTATTCGACTCGGAGGATGTTTGCAGCGGCTCCTCCCACATTAGAGAACGGGGAATTACTGTAGGATGCCATCCTAGAGCTCTTTCCTCGCACTCACCTTTCTGTTGCTTGAGGCCCCTCCGTTATTACGTCCCCTGCAGGCCAAATTCTTGAACTTCTTTGCTTTCCCACACATCGTCGGGCAACGCTTCGTCTACACGCTCTTTGACTTCCGCTGCCATTCTCAGTTCTCGTCTCTCGTTGACCACATTCTGTCGTTACCTCGACGCTTGACCATTGTCCTAGCTACCTGTTCCACCAAGAAATCGCAATGCATCTACAAGCTGGTCTTGGTGCCGTCCTCGGCGTTGTCGTTTGGCTGATCCCGGCCGCCGCGGTGCCGCTTTCGTAAGGTGTTCTCCAACTCGACCAAGATCTTGATTCTCACCTAGGTGTCGCAGCGGCAACTCCTCCTTTTCTTGGACCTACTCAGGTGTCCCTACAGGGCCTGGGTAAGTGCTCTCCAACTCGAGCAAAACATCGATTCTCACCTCCGTGCAGCAACAGTGGTTGGACCTACAAAGGTCACCCTACGGGTGTGCCGCTTTCGTAAGTACTCTCCAGTTCAATCAAGACGTTCGATCTGACATAGGTGCAGCAGCACCAAAACAGGCTTGTCTTGGACCTTCTACTCGGGTATTCGTCCAACCACGGCGACTGTGACGTACACCAGTCCTACCGAAGCCAGTCACTTGACGGCGGTTGTTGGAACCGAAACGTCCTCGTCTCTGCTTGATTCACTGGCTCCTTATGGCGTGTCTGAAACCCAGTCTACGGTCCTGACGTCTGCTGCAATTGGCACTCTCACAGTCACCGAGCTGGTTACAGTCACGGAGCTCGTAGCTGTCATCGAAGAAGTCACGGTCTGGATCACAGTCACCTCATCCTCTCTCCCGGGCCAGGAGGAAAGCACGTCGCGAGAGCCTGCTCCATCTACTACATCTGCGGGACACACCACCGACAGCGAGCAAAGAGGAATCCCGTCCGCATATGTAGGCACATACACTCCGCTGCCGTCAGGTACCCCTGTTGAAGGCTACGGGACCGGTGTCGCCAGCCCTTCCAGCGAGCCATCTGGCACGGCTGACATCAGTTCGGTGACCAGCAACAGCGTGTCGCCCGTCGCATGCGCTACATACGGAGGCTACGTTTTCTCGCTTCCCGATGACAACAATCGCGATTTGGCCTGCCGAGTCCCTAGCCCTGTTCCAGCGAACACTCACGGCGCATCATCCGGCCCTCCGCCCCCGAGGAGTACAAAGATCAACCTGGTACTCCCGCGTTCTACACCCGGGCTTTCGTCGCCATATGAGTCCTCCATCACATGGCCCAATATCACACTGACGACTGCACCTGGTCCCGTGATAGCAACTCTGCCTTCCGTCTCTACGCCAACTGCCGGTGTGGCTGGATCAAACGTCTCGGCCACCCCCATACCGGAGGCTAGCTGTGGTGGAAAAGGAGATCGTGGTCCCATGATTCTCGATGTATGTGCTTCTTTTGCAAATCTATGTCACTCTCTGGTTCTCATCATGCTGACCTCATGAAGTTCGACGATATTCCGGTCGGTAACAGTACCGGTGCTAGCATCGCCGGGTCCCGTCCTGTCCCTTCTCCGTATCATCGCTTCTTCTTCTCCAGCGGCTTCCGCGCTGTGCCCCGCTCGGCGTCAAAGTACCAACCGTCCTCGGGCTCCCAGCTGTTGTACTACAGCTCCTTCGCGCCGAGTGCCCAGATTGGTCTCGCAAACTTCAGCACGAATCTCTGCCTCCGTTTCGATTTTCGGGATATCAACCTCGGATGCAACGCGACCAGCGTGCCTTGTCTCTTCCGCATCTCTGGCTTGCAGTGGGATGGCTTCAGAGATGTGGTCAAAGACACGATGACTTTTGTACTCCCAGCTTGTGGAGAAGCATCCAACTGCACACTCACTCAGGTGTCCTCAGGCTTGAACGTGGCACGCCACTCACTCACTAGTCTAACTGCCATCAACATCACGCTTGAGTTTACCGGTGAGCGACAGACATGGTGGGCTGACGACCTGCAGCTGGCCTGGACAGACAATAGCTGCGCGGCTGCTATGTGCCGTGCCAAAACGTCCAACGACAGCATGATACCTGGCATGCTAGGCTCAGTCGCAGCCAGGGCAAAGATGTTTCGCCACCGGGCTGTCCGTGGTTGACTCGGGAGCGATGTGGATGTTACGATTCTTATATTTGCGGCATGTTGTCATTCTTCTCTTCGGCCCAAACACATGGCCGGATGCAAGCACGCTTCTCGCTGCCCATTTGCAGGTGACAAATGGCCATGAGAATTCGGTATTCTAACGCTGATGGAGGCAGGATTTTTCTATGCATTATGTAGCAACTAATCACGAGGGCGGAGGAAGCAATGTGTTGGGAGGAACCAGAGAGCAGATTCGTTGTATGTTAGTTAGCCTGAGTCATCACATATTCAATGTCGTCGGAAGGGCGCTTCTCTCGCGTGCGAAATCGGATCCGTGTGCCGATAGGACCCACTGCATCGTCCGGTCTAACCATCTCGGTGAATTTAATAGCGGGCCGAGGCCTCGCTCCTGGGCGTCCTCCCACGGTTTAACTCGGAAATAACGTCGCATCTGTTATCTCCCCTTACCCGAAACTAATCGAAGGGCGGAAAGGTGACATCGTATGTACATGTAAACAGTAAGGCATCTGCTTGTGGCAAAAGGGGGCATCAGATTTTTCCACACGTAAGGAAACCCGCCGCAGCAGCAGCAGCAGAAATCCTTCTGTACATGTACCAAAATTTGCATGTTGCAACGTCGCTATATGTCGGAGTGTGGATGCGGAGGTGATGGATACGAAAGAGGAAACTAAAGACCAACATGCATCACCGGTTCCGCCCCCGGCCGAGGGTGGACCCGGGAGCCATTGTTCGGTCCCATCCCGTCATGGGCTCCATTCCCGCCGCTACTTGGTTTTCTTCCCGGGTTCCACTACACTAATAAACAGATTTTCCCTTCCTTTTTTCCCCCTTGGATTCATGAATGACTCTTCCTTCCACCACGAAGAATCCTCCACCGTCTACGCTAGCCCTACCTACCTACTGAGTTGCTTCCTGGCTTGGATCACGGTCTTGGCTTCTGATTGAGAGATTGAGACTGGACTCCTCCCGTATTCCTGGGGCTGACTAGGTTTCCGTCTTCTTTTCATCGGGTGTGTGACACATCGCATTGCCAAGTTGAGGGGCTTCCAGGAGGGTCAGGACCTTATTCTGGGGTTATAAACCGTACATTGCCCCGTCTTGAAGAATCCGAAGGAAACGAACTGAGTAAGAGAGTGGAATCACGACTGGATTTCTTTTACTCTGCTCTGCATACGACATACTTGCGGACGCTGTCCTGCCTTGGATCGCCGTACCTGCCTGGTTCATCCGTCTGATCCGTCTGGAACGAGAAAGCTGAACGATACGAAGTTCCTATCTGGTTAATGTCAATTCTAGCCTGTGACGAGGTCTCAGTCTACCTACCGTACCTACCTTACTTCTTACCTAAGTTCCTCACCTCCTACTGTCAACTGACATTAAGTTGACTCGGCGACCTTCGACTCCGTTGGTGGAACTTGAACCTTGCTGTGCCGATTTGGCGCTGTCCCAGGCTGGCCCTCCCAGTTGCGAGAGGTCAGGATCTGGTCCGAAAAGCTCCTACCGGCTAGCTTGCGCGTCTACGTCGGACGAAGCCCGGAATTACACGGCACTTACTCCGCGCCACCGCGTGCGCCCCTGACGCAGGACGCCCTGTCTGGAAGCGACTCGTCCCGTGAATTCCCGTTTTATTGGTTAGAAACCGGAGAACCATGGCGCCAAACACTGATACTCTACCCGAGTATGATTCTGAAAAGGGGGTGGTACCGACAAGAATAGGTGAACGAGGGGACGGCACGGACTCGTCGTTGGCATCGCTGCCGGAGGTTGTTGATGCGGGTGAGAAGGTTGAGGAAGATTGGCGGCGGCGGCGGGAGGGTGAGGGTGAGGGTGAGGATGAAGAGGAAGGGGGCAATTTGCAACGACAGACCCGGGATCGGGATCGGGATCAGGGTGATGCCGGGATCGTGTCACGAGTTGTTAGTCGTGTGATCAGCAGGGCAAGCACCAAGTCTTATGCCGACCCCGGACCGCCGCCAGACGGGGGGTTCAAGGCTTGGGCCGTTGGTAAGCCCCCTCAAACTCACATCCTCCCGTTTGTTATTAGTACGATCACCGGATGGCTGACGGATGGACTCGGACATACTAACCAGTCGGCTGCGCGCACCTGGTCATCACGAACACATGGGGCCTGGTCGGCTCCTTTGGCCTGTTCCAAACCTACTACGTCAGCTCCCTGGGCCGGTCGCCGTCAGACATATCATGGATCGGCTCGCTGCAGATCTTCCTCCTGTTCTTTGTCGGCACCATCGCAGGACGTCTCACCGATGCGGGCTACTTTGCGTATGTCTTCGGGCTGGGCGTGGCCCTGAACATTGTCGGCATCTTCTGCACGTCGGTGGCAACCTCGTACTGGCAGGTGCTGCTCGCGCAGGGGATTTGTCTGGGCATTGGCAGCGGGTGCATCTTTACGCCTGCTATGGCGACGCTGTCGACGTATTTTGACAAGAGGAGGGCGCTGGCTATTGGTATGGCCTCGTGCGGGACTGCGACGGGTGGGTTGGTGTTTCCGAGTATGGTCCGGCAGTTGTTGCCGACACAGGGGTTTGCTGCTTCGATGAGGGCCATTGGGTACGTGCAGCTGGCGACGTTTGCGGTTTCGGCCCTGTTTCTGAGACAGAGGGTCAAGCCGAGGAAGAGTGGCCCGTTGGTGGAATGGGCGGCGTTTAGGGAGTGGGCGTATACGTTTTATGCGCTGGGGAGCTTCTCGGTGAGACATTGCCTGGTTTGGTTGGATACCTACAATAAAGAGTGTCTCTTGTGCTGACCCAAGCATGGAACAGTTCTTTCTCGGGTTGTACTTCGCCTTTTACTATGTCTCCTCGTTCAGCCGGGACATCATCGGCATGAGTTATACCGACAGCCTCAACCTGCTCCTGGTGATGAACGGGGTGGGCATTCCCGGGCGGCTGATCGCAAATCACATCGCTGACCGGGTCGGGCCTCTCAACATGCTTGTTCCCGTGGCCGCGGTTGCAGGGACATGCATGTTTTCCTGGGCGGCTGTCACGTCGATACCGGGCCTGTACGTGTGGAGCTGCTTTTATGGTATGGCCGCGGGCGGGTTGACGAGCTTGTTCCCCGCCGGACTGACCAGCCTGACAACGGACCTGAGAAAGTCGGGAGTTAGATTGGGTATGGGATTCACCATTGCCAGCTTCGCCACGCTGGCTGGGCCGCCCATCGCGGGTGCCATCATAACCGCGTCGGGCGGCAGCTACCACGGGGCTCAGGCCTTTGCCGGCGCAACGCTGCTGCTGGGGATGGCGTTCATGATTGCGGCGAGGACGGTGGCTGCGAGGCAGTTCCAGGCCAGGGGAACATCAGCAAGGCCAGGGGGGACATGGTATGTCAAGGTCTAGAGGTCTTAGGCTAGATTCAGGTAGGCTTAATGTTGGATAAAATGTGTGATGTGAGACGACGTTCCGGCATTGGTTTTTATATGCCAATGAAGCAATGACTTCCGTTGTAAACTTCAAGTTAATGCTCTGCGAGTCCGAGCTGAAGCTTGGTAGATTGCTTGCCTGCATATGAAGTCTTGTCGTCTGGAAGGCAAGAGCGTGGATATCTGCAACAGTGGTCGGTCAACAACTACTATCCGTAGTTGCCTGTCGAATCGTGCAATAGGGGGTATGTTTCTGATTTTCTTCTCTTTCGAAGCTGCGCATTCTTGAGAGTCACCCAATCTAGGTGTATGCAAATCAGCAAGCCCGATTAGCTCAGCTGGTTAGAGCGTCGTACTAATACCGGGACACCAGTATATGGTATGCGAAGGTCAACAGTTCAATCCTGTTATTGGGCATTTCATTTTGTCTGACCATCCCGAGTCATGAGATGATATTCAACTTTTTGAACAAGTCATTGCTCTTTCTGGCTGTTGTTTGACATGGCGGAACAGCTTGGCCCGTGTTGACTTTGCCTGCGGATCATTACTAGTAGTTAGGGCACATCGGTCATAGGGGAACGTCTGAAGATGGATACCTTATGTTGGCGTCCATGATAGCGCAGCGATTCACAGTGCTGTGTTACTGTAGCCAACAGTCCCACTTATGTGATTGTGCTGCATCTGCTTAGTTTTCACTGGGCCGCGGCTCTCCCGGCGTGGTTTGAACCCGAATCCGACCGAATGACCGGTGGGGCCGGGACCGGCAATGTGCTCGGGACGGCGAGGTTGCGTCGAGGAGGCCTTGGCTTTCCCGGACCGGTCCAATGGATGAGTGGGCAGGAAAGGCGGTGTGTAGAGATGCATCGGGCAGTGAGCAGTGACAGACTACCCCACAATCACTTGGAAAATTCTGATCAACAGAGTGGATTTGCAAGGTTGCAATAAAAGGCGCTTTTGATGGCCCTGTCTCGGTCGCAAGTTGAGACTCGCAACAAGCAATCGAGGCTCAATGTTTTTGTCTTTGTGACAATCTATTCCTGGTCTCAAATTGGGTTTCAACTTTCAAACCTGACCTCCTTGTTTCTTTCCTTTTTCGGTTGCCAGAATAATGTGTGTATTGGACCAGCACTTTGAGATCTCGTTGCACCGTTGACCATCTACGCTCAGTACGAATAGGAGTTGTTGCGTCAAAATCCACAATCTCAACCCAATGAGGTGACACGGAGTTTGTTTGGCATTTCGTTGCTGACCCGATGCGGTATCGAGGCACACGACGCGACGGGGGAGATGTGGCTTCTGGCTGGCTGGGGTACCTATGCCACGCAACCTTGAAGCGCTTGGTGAATCGTTCTGGAACAAGCCCCGACAGCCTTTGCTTTTTCTTTCTACCGAGCGCGGGATGATGCGAAACTGTACTGTATTGTACATGTAGTATACTTTATGTAGTGGTTAGGGCAGCAATGTTATAGGATTCTTTGGAGCCGCGTTTGCCGGCCAAGCGGCAAGCCGAGTCCTCGGCCGCGTGGGGTAATGTACCCGGCTGGAGCGTCTTGGTTCTATACTCCTATTAAGCAAGGGAGTCTTGGAGCAATTGAGAGAAATGGTGCGGACATTGTCTGAAGAGTAGAAACCTATCTCAGGACTCAGATCTCTAGAAACAGAGGACTGTCTCGGCTTCTGTCAGTGGATCATGGGGATCGGCATTGGGCCCTGGCACCTCCTGCCGCGAGGTTCACTCAAAACTGGGCACGTGCCTTTCAAGCAAAGCCCAAGCTGCATCCCGCCGCCCCGCATCCCGGGGTAGCAGAGACCCCCACGGAAGGCGATAGGCTTGAGAAAGTGGCACGAATTGCAGGTTGCTCACAGTGAATGTCTACCGCACAGCTACAAACCAGACCGTCGCAATTGGCAGCAAACTTGGCCCGGTTCTGTGAATGGCTTCCCGGCGGTCCAGATAGGTTTCTTGGTACCCCGCTATCAGCTGATGATAACGGCCTGCACGGGGCCACTTTCGATCCTTCCCTCCTCCAAACGATTGCTCCCATGGACACACGTGGGAACATCTCAACTGGCCAAGCTCAAGTACACAGTGGCCGCCATTCCTACACATACAGTAGTGATAGTTCAAGTTGTCTGCTTGGGCACCTTCAAGCCCAACATGCCTCGAGATACCGCATCTTCGAGCGCTCTAACCGCTCTAAATTCTATCTTGTCTCTTGATGATACACAACTAAATCGCATTTTGCTGAGTCTGTGGTTTCAGTGCATCTCGTTTACGGAGGTTTTCACAGCCAAGTTCCACTCGCCCCGCAGGCTGGAACCGGTCTAGACGTCTCTGACTGATCAAGGCTCTTGGCAGCCTTGGCGGACTTGGCACTGAGTGCCGCTTTGCCCGAAAGACCCTGGGGGCAAATACCGTTGGCCACCGAGAAGTCGCAACCCCGACACGGGACAAGTCTGGTACCACATCCTACAGCCTGCCGCCTTCCGCCATGACGACATTGGTTCGCTTTGGATCCCCTCAATTGGGCTCGGCCTCGTCATATAACCAAATATTGGAAAGAAAGACGCCGAAAGGAATTGCAGATCTAGGGTCTCTCAGTTCTCAAAGCCTTGGGGTCAAAAAAATGACCTGATTGCCAAAGTTCTTGGCTTGATGGGCCATGACGAAAACCGACACCGAATGCCTGTCATCGCCAAGGACGCCCAGATGCCAAGGAATGCATATCCGTGCCCCTCCGTGTCGACCTTCCAGCAATGGGCAACCAAAAGCTTTCCATTGACCGAGGTGGCTCTCTAGCGTCCCCAGCGGCGGAGTTGTACCGCGCTAAAAGTTGCAAGATGCCAATGGACAGAGGAAAGAACGGCCGGCGCTTGCCATCCACAGATTATCTATATCTCTTGCCCACCCCGCCCGGCTTCGATCGTACCCTTCGATCTGGCTTCGATTCTCTCCCAAACCCCCTATTCACCAGATAATCCTGCTTTGTTATCCGCGTCTGCGTACGAAGCAATCCTCACCCATCCGCCACGTCCGTCCCGGCTCAGCCACTGGCCGTCCACAACCCCGCCGAAGATGGCTAAGTCCGGGGACCCGAAGAAGAGTTCGGGCAACCATGTCTCGGGCCAATCCAACCGGCCTCTTAGCCGCCCCGCACACGCATTGTCCCACCAGCAGCTTGCCGAAGAGCTCGATGCCGATGTCCTCTCCGGCTTGACCAAGGAGGAGGCCAAGGTCCGCCTCGAACAGTATGGCAAGAATGATCTGGGAGAGGAGGAGGGCGTCCAGCCTCTCAAGATTATCATCGCTCAGGTCGCCAACGCCATGACGCTGGTCCTTATCCTCGCCATGGCTGTCAGCTTCGGTATCAGGTCTTGGATCGAGGGTGGCGTCGTTGCTGCCGTCATTATGCTCAACATTGTCGTCGGTTTCTTCCAGGAGTACTCGGCCGAGAAGACCATGGACTCCCTGCGCTCCCTCAGCTCGCCCACTGCTAATGTCGTTCGTGGCGGCGAGGCCATGGTTGTGCCCTCTGGCGAGGTTGTTCCTGGCGATCTGGTCGAGGTGAAGATGGGTGATACCATCCCCGCCGACATCAGGTACGGAACCACATGATCATCTGGTGCTGCAAGGCTCATATGTTCCCCTTCTATTGTGCAGGCCCCTCACTAACCACACGAATCAGGCTGGTCGAGGTAAAGAACTTTGAGACGGATGAAGCATTGCTTACTGGCGAGTCTCTTCCGGTCCGGAAGCGCGAGAATGTCACCTTTGACGACGCCACCGGCCCCGGAGACCGGCTCAACGTCGCATACAGCAGCTCGACCGTAACAAAGGGCCGTGCCAAGGGCATCGTCTTCGCTACTGGCACTTTCACCGAGATTGGCGCCATCGCTTCGGCTCTTCACCAGAAGGACTCCAAAGTCCGACCTGTCAAGCGCAAGCCCAATGGTCATGCCGGCCCCCACCGCTACCTGGAGGCTTATACGCTCACCCTCGGTGATGCCATCGGCCGCTTTTTGGGCGTCAGCGTCGGCACCCCTCTGCAACGAAAGCTCAGCAAGTTGGCCATGCTCTTGTTTGGCATCGCCGTCGTCTGCGCCATCATTGTCCTGGGTGCAAACCGTTTCCACACCTCGCAGGAAGTCATCATCTACGCTGTTGCCACCGGTCTCTCCATGATCCCCGCCTCTCTCGTCGTTGTGCTGACCATTACCATGGCCGCCGGCACCAAGCGCATGGTGGAACGCAACGTCATTGTCCGCAATCTCAAGAGTCTCGAAGCCCTCGGCGCCGTGACAGATATTTGCAGCGACAAGACCGGAACTCTGACTCAGGGCAAGATGGTTGCGAGGGGCGCTTGGGTCCCCGGTTTGGGCACGTACACGGTTGAATTGACCTCGAACGAGCCCTTCAATCCGACCAAGGGTGATATCCGCTTCGATACCCGGGAACCTCACGAGATCAACTTCCGGCCGAAGGCAGGGAGCGAGAAGGATGACGTTGGAACAGGATCCGTCGTAGCCTCGGAGCAGCTGCTCGCTGATAGCAAGTCCCGTCTTCAAGAGTTCCTCACCGTCGCGTCCCTCGCCAATGTCGCTACCGTCTTTGAGAAAGAAGGCGAGTGGCATGCCCGCGGAGACCCGACCGAAATTGCCATCCAGGTGTTCGCCAGCCGCTTCGGCAAGAACAGACTTAGCATTGTTGGAGGCGAGAAGCCCGAGTGGACTGAAGTCGCAGAGTTCCCCTTTGATAGTGACGTTAAGCGTATGAGTGTTATCATGAAGCACAACGCCACGGACGAGCACTTTGCCTTCACCAAGGGTGCCGTTGAGCGGGTCATCCGCGTGTGCACTCGATATTGCACTGCCGATTTGCCCGCCGGTGAGAAGGCAGAAGCCGAGATGACGGACGAATACCGCAACCATATCCTCACCAATATGGAGGTGTTTGCCGGGCTCGGTCTACGTGTGCTTGCCCTGGCCAGCCGCAAGCTCAATGCCGACGTTCAAGCAACCGAGGACACCAACCGCGACGAAATTGAGCAGGATTTGACCTTCCTCGGCCTTGTGGGTCTCTACGATCCGCCCCGTCCTGAATCGGCGCCAGCGGTCCGACAGTGCCACGAAGCGGGTATTTCCGTGCACATGCTTACTGGCGACCACCCCGAAACCGCCAAGGCCATCGCCATTGAGGTCGGCATCCTCCCTAAGCGCATGGAGCAGGTCAGCGCCGAGATCGCGAAAGCCATGGTTATGACCGCCACACAGTTCGATGCTCTTGACGATGCGCAAGTTGACGCGCTTCCAGTCCTGCCCCTTGTTATCGCTCGATGTGCGCCAAGCACCAAGGTCCGCATGATTGACGCTCTGCACCGCCGCGGGAAGTTCTGCGCCATGGTAAGTCCGTTATCTTTGCCATCGATACATTCGGGGACTAACACCACTTAGACTGGCGACGGCGTTAACGATTCCCCGTCCCTCCGCCGGGCTGATGTCGGGATTGCCATGGGTCAGGCTGGCTCCGACGTGGCCAAGGACGCTTCAGACATTGTGCTCACCGACGACAATTTTGCCTCGATCGTCGCTGCTATCGAAGAAGGCCGCCGCATCTTTGACAACATCCAGAAATTCGTGCTGCACGTGTTGGCTGAAAACATTGCCCAGGCCGGCACCCTCCTCATTGGTCTCGCCTTCAAAGACTCTTCAGCCTTGTCGGTATTCCCGCTTGCGCCCGTGGAGATTGTCTGGATTATCATGGTCACTTCGGGTCTTCCGGACATGGGTCTTGGATTTGAGCGCGCTGTCCCCGATATCATGCGTCGGCCACCGCAGTCCCTGAAGACAGGCATCTTCACGCTCGAGTTCCTCGTTGACATGGTCGTCTACGGTCTCTGGATCACCGCCCTGTGCCTGGCATCGTTCGTCCTTCGTGTCTATGCGTGGGGCGGCGGCAACCTCGGCGAGCGGTGCAATGACTCTTACAGCGAAAGCTGCGAGACCGTGTTCCGCGCGCGTGCGACCACATTCGCTTGCCTGACATGGTTTGCCCTGTTCCTCGCCTGGGAGCTTGTCGACATGCGCAGATCCTTCTTCCGCATGCAGCCCGGCAGCAAGAAGTACTTCACCCAATGGTTCTACGATGTGTGGCGCAACAAGTTCTTGTTCTGGGCCATCCTGCTCGGCTTCGTCACCCTGTTCCCCACGCTGTATATCCCGGTCATCAACCACGCCGTCTTCAAGCATACCGGCATCAGCTGGGAATGGGGCATTGTGTTTCTTGCGGCTGCCCTGTTCTTTGCGGGCATTGAGGGCTGGAAGTGGGGGAAGAGGATTTACTTCCGTCGCCAGGCGCGTAAAGTCACGGGCCGTCAGTGGAAAGATATGGATATTGAGGAGCGCGTGTTTGGCGAGTACTTGAGCGGCTATGAGAGCGCCGAGAGCGGGTCGGGTGCTAACGGAAGAGATTGGTAAGTGTTTCCTCTTGGGGTTGTTGGGCTTGGTGTTAGTAGTGGAAAGCAGGTGACTGACATTTGCCGTGCTTACAGACTAAGAAGGGGCGGGAAGCCCCTGGTGATGAAGATTGATGTTATGGAAGATATCGTTAACGGTCTTGGCCTTGCTAAGCAACCAGGCAAGGCAGCGGACACTGCGTGCATTGTATGGCGAATGGACAAATTAGCGCTAAGAGATTGTACGGGCGCGGGTTCAGGCGTTGGCATTAGAGGCCGTGTTACTGAGGGGAAGAAGGAGGGCTGGGCTGGGGCCACTTCTGGTGAAGTCGGTCAGGGACTGGTTGATAAAAAGGTGGAAGGGTCTTACGGTTTTAGTGAGACCCGGTCTCGGAGCGGAAGTAGTGTGAGCGAATGCGGACTTAGGTGTCCAGCGGATAGGGAATATGATAAGAAATTTCGCTCACGCCTGTTTATGCTTTTGTCTTCATCGAGGGTGTTGACCGTAGGACCTGCTGGTCGATTAACCATGATGGTGTTAGTGGACAGCGAACCCGCTAACCACAATGCACCCTCACACGGGCAGGATCTAGGTATGTGATCAGTCTTGCGGTTGCCAGCTATCTTGCATCTGGGGTGAAGGGGGCCGAGGAGACTCTGTCTTGGCCCTCGTTGGAGTCCACACAGCACAGGAGCTTACTTCCCCGCATCTCCACCACTCTACCACTCCACCACCCCAACCGTCTCTGGGGAGCAGCATACTGGCCGGCGTGTCAGGTACTAGTGACTAGAGATGCTGTCACAAGACGCGATCAATACCACACATCAGCAGTCTTGATGTCTGCCTCCTTGGCGCCATTCAGCGCTTCTAGCCTTCAAGCATTTATTTCTCCTTCTTATCCAACCATCGAACACTTGTAGTGGAGTGTATGAACTCTCTGGGTTTGGAATAGTCGGAGTCCAGATCAACAATCCTCGGCCCTGTTCCCTCAGCTGGCTACGTACCTTATGGGCCTAGATGGGTACTCTCAGGTGCTTGAGAACTTGAATGTGGTCAAGTCCCGTGTTCTCGTTTCTCCGACCATCATACACTTCGCAGAGGTATGTACACTGACAGTGGTAACTTACATAGGTAGGTACCTACTCTAAGGAGGTTACATCTCTCCGCAGTTCTAGATGGCTTTTGAGTCCCACATGCAGATGTATTCTGTGCTATTCCCGGAGGTTCATGACATGATCCACGAACCCAGCGGGCTGGGACACCAGGGCAGCACTACATCAGTTCGGCCAGGGGCCTTGATTATAACCTTACCTGAAGGTAGGTAGGTATTCTCTTCGACTCTCGTGGCATGTAGACTCCTGCTCGACTGGCTTATAAGGAGATGACAAATACCTAAATACCGCTTACGATCCCGCCTTATTGACTACCGAACATGGAGCGAAGAGCAAATGAATCGAAGCGCGACTCTCACACCGAGTCTTGTGGTCCAATCGAGTACCCATAGATGATAGCGGTCGGGCAAAGCTGAACATTCGTGACTGTTAGCTCCCCCAGCTGCTGGCACTATGACCTGGGTGCTATCCAGGGGCAAGGCTGTTCGGGAGTCCTCCCAACCCCGTGGGGAAGGGGGAAGCTAGTGAGCTAGTGGGATCCAACCCCGCATTGCCTTAGGCCAGTTAAGGCAAGGTTACGCCCCCCGTCCGCAGTTATTGTTGGACTCCGAACAGTGGTGTTAGCGGGTCAAGGTATCCGAGCAAGCAGTCAAGGGTGTCTGGAAGCTGGAAAATGGCCGACCTAGACTGTGAGCCTTGGATCCACACCTCCCGTTTGGACTTGCATGACGACTACCGCCCCGACCACCATCAACCCAGCCCAATGGTACAGTGCCAAGAATCTGTGCTTCGCGAGTACATGAACCTACGGACGGTCTGGAGTTCCTGGGTATAAACACTGCCAGAGACTGACTATCTCGTTTGCCAATCACTTACCAAAGTTTTAACCTTTCGCGTCCCACCACTTGTCCCTAGACTCCCTCGTCTTGACAACACAGTAGGTCAACCACTAAATCGAGGCCATGAGCCCCGAAGAAGCCAGAGGCGGGCACCTGGTGCACAGGTAGGCGATTCCTTCGTGCTTCCACCACCTCCCTCCTAACAGCAACTGACGATTCATTCTTTCTCGCCAGCCATGCCAAAGAGCTTGACATCCCCGGGACGGTAGACCTGACAGCCAAGGGTAGGTGGGAACCCATTACAATCCTCTCCCTCACCATGGACATCCATCATTATGTGGCTACCTTAGGCTGACTTGGACATCGATTGATACAGAGGGCGACGACACGGGTTATGGACAGGCCCTGTACCCGGTTCCAGCAGAAGACCCCAATGACCCTTTGCAGGTACGTCCGCAAGTTACCTCACAAAGAATAACCACCTGGGTAGATGGAATACCTGACGTTTCTGAGGGCTGACAACCTGGCTGCATTCTACAGTGGTCCAAAACGCGCAAGAGCCTGATCCTCCTCGTCTGCTCCCTGTACTCGTTCCTGAGCAACTCGGCGCTGCTGGGTCCCTCGGTGTACATTGGCATCTATGCCGAGGAGTTTGGCGTCTCGCCCAATGAAGCGAGCAATCTCATCAGCTATGCCAACCTTGCTTTTGGATTCGGTAAGTCCCTTGGAGATTGGACTGCAATTGCAATTGGAAAAGGAGGCCGGAGGGCTGATGGTGGCTGACGATGGTTCACAGGGTCTCTCCTTCTGGTACCTGCATACCATAAGTTCGGTCGGCGTCCGATCATGCTCGCGTCGCTCGTCACGGTGAGCATTCTCTACATGCCCAAGAATCAGGGTCTTAAGAGTTGCAAGTTAACTGACTGTTACCTACAACACAGTACTGCGCGGGCTTGCTGGCGTGCTCCCAAGTCTCATCGTACAGCGGACTGATGGTGGCCAGGGTCATACACGGGTTTGGGTCTTCGGTGTGTGAGGCATTGCCGGTCCAGCTGGTCAATGACATTTTCTTTTTGCATGAGCGTGGCAAGCGGCTTGGGTATTATACAGGTACGTGGGCATTGCATTGGTTTCGAACACACGAAAAACCGGAGAAGGGGTACTGACTCCAGTCCATACAGTCTGCCTCTGCTTTGGCTCGACAGGGCCCCTATATGCAGGCTACATGCTGGCGGGTGGTTATTCGTGGCGTCTGTTCTTCTACGTCGAGTTCGCCTTTGGCTGCGCGCTTCTCATCCTGGCGTTCTTTGTGGTTGAGGAGACTCTCTACCACCGCAAGTCGCCGGTGGTGGAGGGTGTTCAAGAGATGTCGGCTTCGAAGGAAAGCGAGAAGGACTCGGTAACTCACGTTGAGGGTACCTGTCAGACTGAAGTCATCCCGCCACGCAAGACGTTCTTGCAGACGCTCAAATTCTGGGGGGTGTGGGAGAAGGATACAGACTTCTTCTTGATGATGGCCCGGTCGTTTACGTACTTTCTTGTACCGCATGTGTTTTGGGTTATTACAACTTACGGTAAGCCACCCCGTGTTACGCATGTGGATGCCGTATGAAACTTGGTAGTAAGGTGTCCTAGCTAACGGAGTCCGCAGGCATCTACATCGGGCTCGGAGCTTTAACCTTCAACTACACCTTCCCCCTCAAAATCACCGCGCCGCCCTACAACTGGTCACAGACCAACTCCGGCCTGATCGCGGTAGCCTCCTTCCTCGGCTACCTGCTCGCAATCCCCTTCACAAGCTCCTCCGACCTGCTCGCGGCGCGGTTGACGCGCAAGAACAATGGGATCCGCGAGGCCGAGATGCGCTTAGGGGTGATGCTGCCCGTGATGCTTGTTGGTCCCGCAGGGCTGATCGTGTTTGGCATGGCGGCGGAGCGCAACCTGCACTGGGTGGCCTACTTCGCCGGCGTGGTCATGACCCAGTTCTGCAGCTACTTCTATTTCACTTTTGCGCTGGCCTACGCCATCGACAGTTACACGGCTAATATCAGTGAGATGCTCATTGCCATGAACCTGGGCAAGCAGGCGATTTCGTTTGGGATGGGGTTGGATTTGTTGAACTGGGTCATGCAGCATGGCTATGCCGTCATGATTGCGGGTGTTTTCTGCGCTATTCTCCTGGCGAATAACTTGTCGCTGTTGGTGTTTATGCTGTGGGGGAAGAGGATTCGCGCGTTTATGGCTAAGACTTGGCTTGCGAGGGTGCATAGGGAGAGTGTGAGGGAGATTGCTACGCACTGATATGGCTGGGTTGTCAATGTCTAATGGATGGATGAAAGGGGAGATTACTTGTTTTGTGTACTTCTAGAACACAATGAAAGAGGAACAAACGAGCAGGGAACTCAGCTCTTTGTCTTGACGACATTTGCACCGAAGCCAACGGTGTGAATACCTTACCAAGCTGCCGTAATTAAGCGGGATCGAAGCCCCAAGAGCTGAACAAGAATTGTAGGTTGGCTACCTTATGCTGATGAGCAACGATTTGTTGGGTCAGCAAACGCAAGGGCAAAAAATTATGGTTGGTCGAGGAGTCGAACCCAAAAAGAGAGGCAGGCGTTCCAGCCCGGGCAGCAGTCTGGGACAGTACCACTTGTCGACCAGAGGCTATCTAGGAATTTTCTCAACGCCCACACTGGAACCGCTACACCACAACGCCGTTGAAAGTGTAAAAGAGCCACTGTAATAGTCAGGGAGCCAACACTGTCATCTTACTCGAAGGGCAAGTTCGACCGGAAAGACCTTCCTTCCTAAGATACTGACGACAACCATTTTGAGTTGAATCTATTTTCTGACTGTACGTTCATTTCGGGGTGCTGAAAGACTGACTGTTTGGCTTGCAAGACCCCTGACTGTAAGACCCGATTGCCAGTGCTCGGCTTGCAAGGCACTGCGGTCAATTGCGTAAGGTACTGCAATCGCGCAAGGCACTGGGCACTGTAACTGTGTAAGGCACTGCACTTGGCCAAGCACTGGTCCTGAATGTTCTGAATCGTGAGGGAAATTGCGCTCTTCTGTAAATTCGTACTATAGTCTAGTGGTTAGAATGTAGAGAGAAAATATAAAGGCTATAAGTTCGATTTCTATTGCAGATTAAATTCTTCTTCAATCTCAACCAAGTAAAAAAGTCCTAAGTAAAAAGAACTAACTTAACGTTAAATATATATTTTTCCTTTCCTTTACCTTCCTTTCTTTACCTCGAGTAATAAAACAATTCTCCCTAAGGAAGAGTATTCTACCTTACTTAAAAGAGATTCAATATAAGATATCATAGATAGGAAATTGTCATTCGGCCTAAAAATAGATTCACTCCAAAATAATCTTCAATCCTTAAAATGGTTGAAGTAGAAAATGGTCATCCAGCTGTATAACCATTTGGAGAGATTTCGCACTGCAAGATCCTAGCTAGATAGACTTGGAGCGAAAATCATTTTGCAGCCCTATCATACTGACGGTCATCATTTTCCAAAACCCGGGTGGCGCGCTATGGTAGTCTAGATCCTTCGAAGAGCCGGTATTAACTTAGCTTGCTGCGGTATGTTCCGTGTCTTGTGCTTCCTTCATCCAGGTAGTTGGCTGTTGACACGCAAAGCCCATTTCCAGTCTCATCGAATCTTATGATCGGGATCCCTAAAACAGACCGTGGTCCGTCCCTAAAGCGACCGTGGTCACGGACCACCATGGGGTCTTTACAAGGCATCCGGCTAGCCGCTCACAGTGCCACACTGCCAGACGCCGAATTTCCAGCAAGCTACTCCGTGCGAAGTACAGTACAACTATTCGTACATCGGTGCATTCCAACGACAGTGGCTTTTGGGACGGACCACGGTCGCTTTAGGGAACTCGCTTATGACTCGGATCGTTGGAAATTTGGCTCCCTCCTCCAAACAAGGAACAACCGGGCGGCTCGCCGGTAGTCGCTCGCATTTATCCGGCGGTACGACAACCGACGGCTTAACCAATATATTAGGAACGCTTGGCGCATCCTGCTTTGTGGGGTGCATTGGGGGTGCATCGACGTTGGTCACAATACTCGACGACGCCTTTAAAAATCGCCAACCTGACCGGCCGCCAAGCACAGATTGGAACTCAGACGCCCCCTTGATCTTGATGGCATCGCGTCATGCCTACAAGCGTCTTTCGAAGCGCCCACCCAACAAAGAGTAACGGCGGAGTCAAGGCTGCCGCGCCGGCGCTCCCCATCCTCGCTGGGCATGCTCCGAAGTCCATGGATTGGGTAGAGATCGACGGCCCAGACGGCATTATTCCCAGGACATGCTGCGAATGCCGCTCGTCTAGCAAAACCAGGTTCTTGGAAGTTGGAGCAGAGCCGGGAAGATGGTGAGCTAACCCGGTTGGCCGGTTCGCTGGGCTGGCCGCCCACAGAAGGCAACGGACGAACCTGGAGTACGGTCTGGAGTGCAGTAGCTTTGTTGCACGACCCCGGATGGCCGACCACCCGTGCCAAAAGTACATAAATCACGTTCGAACTCCTTCCCAGAAACCTCTGTCTCTTCTCATCCCAGATCAGCTTCTCCAAGGTCTTTCTCTGCTCAGACAAAGCACGGATTCACCATGGTTGCGTCCCTTTTCACTGCGGCCGTCTCGGCCCTGGCCCTCGCCGCCGGCGTCAACGCCCACGGCCACGTCGCCACGGTCGTCGCAGATGGCGTGACTTATACGGGGGGTCTGCCCCACGGCGCTCCTGCCAACGCTGTCGGCTGGCTGGCCGGTAACCAGGACAACGGCTTCGTCGAGCCCAACCGCTTCAGCAGCGCCGATATCATCTGCCACAAGAACGCCCGCCCGGCCAGCAACTCGGTCCGGGTGCGCGCCGGCAGCACCATCACGCTGCGGTGGAACACGTGGCCCGAGTCCCACAAGGGCCCCGTCATCGACTACCTGGCCCCGTGCAACGGCAACTGCGCCAACGTCAGCCCGTCGTCACTCCAGTTCGCCAAGATCGCCCAGCGCGGCCTCAACTCGGGCAGCAACCCGGGCAACTGGGCCTCGGACGACCTGATCCGCAACGGCAACTCGTGGACCGTCACCATCCCGAGCAACCTCGCCCCCGGCGGCTACGTCCTCCGCCACGAGATTATCGCCCTGCACTCGGCCGGCCAGCCCAACGGCGCCCAGGCCTACCCCCAGTGCATCAACATCGAGGTCACCGGCGGCGGCTCCGCCCGCCCCAGCGGCACCGCCGGCACCTCCCTCTACCGCGCCAACGACCCCGGCATCCTCTTCAACCTCTACACCAACTTCAATAGCTACCCCATCCCCGGCCCCGGCCTGTGGCGCGCCTAGATGGATCAAAACCGCGCTTGCTGAACGGTTTCGGGTGGGGGTACGGAGGAAGGAAAAAGGTGGGCTGGACGCCACAAGGCCGCTCTTGTCTCCCATGCGGTCTGATCGGTCTCGTGATTGGCGACTATCGTCCGGCAACCGTCGCCTATTTCCTATCTCAAAGTGCGGCAAAAGGGCTCTGTACATACATACTAGCTCCTCGTTTTTTCTGCCGGGCACAGCAAGGTAGCGCTGTCGTCCTGTACATATTGACTTGAAAGAACATATGACTTAATCATGGATCGCAATGTCTGGCTGCTCTGTACCGCGAGACCGTGACTACCTTGATTGTTAGGTGTGAAATTGTGACTCTGCAGCAAGGAGTATCCGAGTATGGAAACCTATGGAACCGTCAAGCAAGCGTGAAGTCATTTCCCAATCTCTCCCAGCACGTTTGTTGACCGTCTCCTCGGGATCCTTGTGCTCCACAACGAAATCAAGATATGCCTGATAGCATTATGTAGAATGAATGTCTGCAAAACCAACGACCTTCGCGGCTTCGCCCGCCTGCTGAGAGAAACGACCACAATCGTCAGCGGGGAGGAAACGATTCGCCCAGGGTCATGCAGTTGCAGTGGAAGTGGGGCTGTGTCTGGAGTAAGTGGAGTTGATGACCCCACTTGGTACTGGTACGTTTCATCCGGGTTGCAACAGTGAGTAGCGAATCGTTGGGCCGTGGTTCTGGGATCGTAGATACTAGGATGGTTTTTATCCGGTTCCGGGACCGCGAGGAGGGGTCTAGGTGGTCTGCGTGGAGGCGTGATTTACCCCATACACACTCGTCGGGGTTGAACAGGGCCGAGGGGTTCTGAGAGGCCGGCTTTGGGTGCGGTCTTGTGTTCGTAATAGGGGCAGCAGTTCGGAGATTGTGATACCGAGTCTGCGCGGGGGGGGGGGGGGGGGGGTGCAAGGCAAGCTTGTTGGACGAATGCATGAGGCTTTAAACTTCAAAGGGCATGTTGAAGCGCTTATTAGCGGAGTCGCAGTTGAGGTGCTCTTCGGACAGGCCGTACTAGTTTCCGCTCAGCCCTCGCTCTCGCACATGCTTAGGACCATGCCGAGGGGAAGCCCATGGTGCTGTCGAGGCCATACCGGAAGTTGTCGTACCATTCCATCGTGCGTCCCTGAGTGTCCCGTACACTTTCCTGGAAACGTTAAGCCACTCAAGACATACACCGCCCAAGTCTTCCCTTGGTGTGGACGGTGCGGCCTGTAGGTTCGGGAAGCTCAAACCTTGTCTGGGGTTCCGTACCATCCCTATAATTCCAAGGGGACAGGCCCTGGCGTCGCCGGCAGCGCTGTAAGATGGTGAATTCGGAACCGCGTAAATGTCGTCCGTCCTGGGAGTCAGCTTCACCTTCTCATCCAGGTTGGATTGCTTGGTACCATGCCGAACCCCCAGCGCCCTTCCCCCTTGAACAGGCGCCATCAGCCCGTAAATCGTAACACTTGGACGGCAATTGCTGTTCCAGCCACAGGCACGAACACCTCACCCAACCCCTTCGAATATCTTCGCGCAGGCCCTTACAACGATGGCGCAGATGGCGAGCACCTTGTACGCCCCCTACTCCCGGGTCGGATCGCGAATGCGAATGCTGTCTGAAAATGTAGCACCGTAGAGTTCACAGTTGGGTGGGCGTCGTCTCGGACAGGCGGCCGACGAGGAAGGTGGTGAAGTAGGAGTCGGGCAGGTAGACTGAACAGGTCCTTTACTAGCTGTTCGAGGTCAGCTGGTAACCAGCTGACGCCTGTTTTGGCCCGGCGGGCTCCTTTGTGACTTCGCAGAGGGCTTGAGGTCGCACAAAGGCTCTTTCGTGGTCAATCGCTGCGCAGTCAGTGTCAATGCCGCGCTGATGGGAAGACCGAGAGCCCGGGTTAATATCAGGGAGGGTCGGGGAGTTGAGAAAGTGGTACTGGCGTTGAGCTCTCAAGTACCTAGGTAGGTAGGAAGTCTGGGATAGCACTGGGACGGTTGAGGAGGAAGAGTTGCAATTCAAAGACTCGGGTTTGGTACGGCCGGCGAATTGGAACGGGAGAGGTTTTGTGATCTTCTTGGCGGTGAATGCATTTGAAGGTAAATGATCGGGACCTAGAGCAAGCATTGAAGTGGAAGGCATGGCTTCGAACAAATCAATAAATACCTTAAATAATATCGTCGAGCCACTCCTCGCAAATCAACGCAAACCAGCGCAAACCATCGCAACGACGCACAGTCGACCCGCGATAGCTTGGAGATGCCAAAAACAACGCCTTCCAGGAACAAAGGGTTGATCAGTTTTAAACACAGTAGGGTATGCACTGATATACCAACATGAGTTGCCAATGATCGGCCGTTGGGCTGACACGGGAAGAACATGAACGGGAAGCGGAGTCGGGTCCAGGCCGCGGGATCACCGATCATCCAACGTCTCTCGTCTGGAGCTTGTAAATGCCCAAAGTGGCAGGCCGAGCTGGGGCGCTGAAGAATCCAATTTCTTTGATAAGGTAGCTATGATTATCAAACGGCGAGAGTAGTACTAGTTGGGTCGGTGACGACCAGCGAATCCCTGGTGTTGTATGTACTTGTTTTCATAATTTCCTGGGCTCTTTCCTTCGACCTGCAAATCTCCATGTTACCTTTCTGTCACATTGTTCCCGGCTTTCCATTTGCTTCGCCGTCCTCGTAGTCACGGTAGTCTCCCCAGTACTAGTATGCATCACAATCACTGAATCAGCGTGATATCCTCCGGTTCAGATTTAAACCATTGGATACCTTCCCTCGGCTCACACACACTGTATCCAGCAATGCCAATCCGTTCATATGCACCGGCCTGCCCTAAGCTTTGTCTGATGACCAGTTCCGCCTCCCAGTTTTCCTGACCCTACGAAGCCGATGCAGTATCGACTATCTAATACTCGACACATCTGTTTATACCTGCTTCGCGCCCTTGATATTGGTATCGTCTGCGCTAAAGACCAGACCTAAAGAAACATGTTGTCGATGATGCTAGCGTTCTGATATCTGAAGCTATATAGACAAGGCGCAACTTTTCAAGAAGTCGCTCTTTGTCCTGAGACTTATATATGTGCACAGTGCATCCTGTGTTGTGAAAAATGCTACTAATGTAGCTAAACTCTAGAGGCCGACCTAGAGGAAGAAAAATAGGGTAAGGTTTCTGTTCAATGTGTATATCTTATGTTTGCTGCCGTTACATGCCATGATGATTTTTTCAAAGAACCTCTTCTTCAATCCCAACTCGACGATGGGGGCCTGGCCACCTACATGATGTAAACACAACCTTAGTTGTTTCAACGCCCGGGTATTTCTTTCTTCACGCACCCAACACCACATCCCGCCCTTTTCCTCTCCAAGTTCACAGTGACCATCTTTCCCTTTCGTATTCACTACCCTTTCTAGTACTAGGAAGCAAAATTTTCTCTCGAACCAACCCTTCTCAAGCTTAGCGGGCAATAGCAACACTCGTTGTGTACCTACCCATCTAGTTCTGTGATTCTTGGCGAGATTCCTCGTTTACACGCCACTTCAAATCTAACACCCTGAGGGCAACACGCTACATGCGAAGAATATGGCCTCTCCAATGACGTTCTTCCTCAACCTATTGTTTCTCCTCTCTACTGCACTTCTTGTGGCTGTTCAGGCACGTTCCCGATCCGACCTGTGCGGAATCAGCATACATGCGTCCGACTACCCAGACGTTGGTAGCTTTGTAACCACCGAAGGAACTTTCCACGTTCCCCAGACCAGATATCGCACAGACGATCCACCGACCTTGATCAACCATGGTGTCGCCCTCTGCTGTGGAGATGACTGCTCAGCTCGTTTGGCCGCTTTCATTACGACATGGGAATGGGACACACCGGGTACCATAAGCTTGCCCGGGTTCCATTTTTACCCATACTTTATGGTCCATATGTCTCACTCTGTTGGCATGCGTAAGTATCATCTAGACCCCCATCTGCGACTGATCTACATGAGGCTCATGGCTTATTCGTATGATCCGTGTCAAGACCTCAATACTTCCGATACTGTACGGATTAAGTTGGAGATCCTGAACCAAACCAAAGCTCAAATGTAGGTATACGTGTCCTTAAACATGCACTTCTTGACTGACCACGGTTTCTTGGCAAGCACGTACACCAAGTATCTCACCCCGACGGTTAACGAAACACTAAAGCTCACCATCGACGCCGTCCGCGGAGACAACGGTGCACCCATTCTGAACGTCACCACCCTCTTTAACGACGACTACGAAAGCCGTATGATCTACGACGTCCGAAGCCCCAAATATACACGGCAGACCCCAACATTCTGTGGGGATTCCGCATGGTGGTTTGCGTCGGACAATTTTGGGCTGGACGAGAGCCACACTATTCTCAGGGGAGGCTTCAGGTTCCCGTCGCAGTTTCCGCCGCTGCTGATTGGCAAGCACCGGCTGCAGACTGAGCAGAAGAAATGGTTCCCACATAATTTTCCTCTTGGCGGGGCAACGCGACATTGGGACATGCTTCGCGATTATAGTCATGATGGGAAGGGGGAGCATGTTGCGTGCAAGGTCAGGGGGTTTCCTGATACCGGTATGACGTTGTTGTATTCGCAGCATCCGTGGGAGGATTGACGTTGAAGATGAAGACGTTGGGCGGGAATTTGGAGTTATCTGTTTACACCATGAGGCATAGCTGAGGGGATCCTGGGGGGCGGTGATAGCCTGGACTTATTGCGCAAAATATCATCGCAGTCCGGCTATGCAACCCCTGAATACCATGCTAGAATTTGTCTGACCACCTGTAAACCTCGAAACATTATGCGTTGGACAACTTGAAAGATTCTGATATACGGATATTATGCTATGCTGTCTTAATCAGCCACATTTCGCGCCACTTGGGGACCGCGGTTGTCGAGATGTGTTGTTGTTGGGGAGGGTAACATGCCAAAAACGGGGTGGGGCGGATGATTCATTCTTGATCATCATGAGCCTGGCCCCCTGAAAGTGAGCATTCATGAGCACCTCGCGATGCCCCCGGCTCCCCATTCTGGTGTGTTTTCAAATCAACAAAGTAAATCCATATCCGGCCACTGGATGCATCAGGTCGACGTGCCATGTTAGGCATAGTGCTGTAAGCTGTTACGCAAAGACGTGTCCCTTGTGCTGCGGGTGTAGGTGAATCACTTTGATTCATGGTGAACATTCATGAATCCAGGTTCCAAGTTGAAGGGGAAGGGCACATATCATGTAGATTATAATAAATATCATGATGGACCATAAAAGACTGTACTAGTAGTCGCTCCAGAACGTCTTTAATGAGCATGCATCAGGACGTGTTGAGCAGATCAAGCTGCAAGTGTGCCTATTCATGCCGACCCCTATTCACAACGAAGTTTTTCACACACAAGATCAAAGTAAGCCACCAAGCAAATCCACATCCCCTGGATATTGAGCATGATGCGAAAATTGTTCCCTATTCCGAGGTTACACCTTTGTGGAAAGCCGGATCTAGAAGTCATGAGCCGACATCGTCTGATTACATATACTGCGAGTTAATTGCTGTGATTCATCCTATATTACTGTCTACCTCTTGCTAACATTGTTATCCCTCACAGGAGTCAGCTACCCATACAACCCCCTTCGCTAACGCCGATCGACCTCCTACCGACCCTCCCTAGCAACTGGAACTGCAAGACTGGGACTTGGTGAGTAGGTATTGCAGCGTCTTTGCAATTCAGAGTCCCAATCGCTGCAGTACTTCTCCATCTCTACGCTGGCCATAATGAATGGCCCGACGCCAATAAGAGAGTTGACAACCACCGGCACGCCGGTGTAGTACTTGGTCGGCCTTGCGGTTAGCTTCATATATCCTTGAGACCAACAAGCGAGGGACAACTCACCGCATAGTCTCCCTTCCCATCCAGACTCCCAACCCTCACCGTCCCAGTCCAGTCAAGCCACTCCTCCTCTCCAGCACGGGACACCACAAACCTCTCCACCATCAACTTATAAGCGCGCTCCGCCACCTCCCCAAACTCTTTCCTATCCAAATACCCCATCCTAATCCCCTTCAACAACCCATAAGTATACATCGCCGTGCCACTACTCTCAATATAATTCCCCTTCCTCCCCTGATACCCCTCATCCATAACCAACCACCACCCACCACTCTCTTCATCCTGCATCCTCTTAACCGCCTTTGCCAGCTCCACAAACCACCCCTTCAACCTCCCCCACCCTTCCTCCATTCCCTCCCTAGGAAACCAATCCATAACATCCACCAACGCCATAAAATACCACCCCTGCGCCCTGATCCAAACAAAGGGGCTTGCACCCGTGACTGGATCGGCCCAAACAGCCTTGAAGCTCTCATCATAGCCGTGCTTCAACATACCACTCCCCGTCTGGTTACGGCAGTGTTTTTCAATGAGCTCAAACTGCAGCAGCAGGTCGGCCCAAGCGGCCGTGGCATTACTCCCGGTTAAGAAGAGGGACGTGTACGCCGCCCGGAACGGCCCAGCCATGTACAGCCCGTCCAGCCACATCTGGTTTGGGTACTTTGGGTCCTTGTGCCAGAACCCGCCTGACGGGGTGCGGCGCTGGTGCTGCGTCAACTGCGTATGCAAGAAATCCAGCGCCGTGCGGTAGCGGGCTGCTTGCGGGGTTCCAGGGGGTGTTTGGGTGTGGAGGAAGAGGATGGTCGAGCCGATTCGGATGTCGTCGAGGTTGTGTTCTGAGGTGCTCCAGGATCTGAAAGCCCCTTCGGGGGTCAGGATGGCGTCGATTTGTGAGGTCAGGTAGGAGGTATAGGAGAGGTGGGAGGGGCTGGAGGTGTGGTTGTGCAGAGCTTCGAGGCCGCGGTAGAATGTCGCTTCGGTGTACCACCGGGTTGGTTGCACCCCGAGTGCGATGGTGCTCTCGGCCATCCAGGAGGAGTACGGGTATGGGCGGGTGGCGGTGGAGCGGGCGGCGGAGGCGTAGGCGTGAAGGGCAAGGGTGCCGCACCAGGCGAGGCCGGCTTGGAGGTGCCGTGTGCTCCACATTCTGAGTGTGTTAATTTCCAGGGATGCTCAAGCCTCAAGGAGGTGGTGCAAGAGGGCTTGCCTGTGAATCTGTTGTCAGTACCAGCTTTTTACGAGTTTCCCTCGTGGGGAGATTCAAGTTTGTTCATGATGTCTCGAGATGCCTAGAGAAATCTGACCCTTTTACCCGGCCATCTGGAAAAAAACTACTCAAAGCCGTTGCAGTCATACCGATGTCGGGCATTCTATAGGTGGATAAATCACTGTGAATCAGCATTGCAACGTCCTCAAAGTGGCGGCGGAGCTCATATATTGAACTGGCGCGATACGGTTAATCTTTAAGCTACTATGTCCTACGCAGCAGCCGCCTTTCTGTTAGTTAGTTCGTTTATTGACATTCCCAAAGGTACTTACCTTGAAAAGGCACCCGAGCCTAGTAACAATGCATAGGTTACACTGCCACATGTATGTACCTGCTTCATAGAGCGTGCTGCGCAATGTCCTAACTGTTCTTGGAACCTGTCCGCTCCATTATGATCTGAGATTCCTGTACTTATATAGCTCGAGGAATAGACTTGGTATGCTTGTGTGTCGTGTTTTGTACATACTTGGAGTGTCCGAGTGATACTATTAGGGGATCCTTCCGCCTATAACCACCCCATTTTTACAAGCGGTTGAATTATTAAAGAAGATTTCCTGAAGATGACCTTCGATCATTGCCAAGTCTCAGGCTGCCTTGCCCATGGTTGATGCTTGGAGTGGACCCAGAACGCTTGTCATAGTGACTCGGAACTTAAGACCATTGCCGGTTTCCAGCTGATTTAAAGCAGTTGGATTCGAGGCAGTTAGATTCGAGGCAGTTAAATTGAACGCAATTGAGTTCAAGTTAGAAGAACGGCTAGAATCGCGTTTTCTAAGCTTACTTTATATAGAATTCAAAGGTAGTAAGATAGGTTCTTAGGGTCGGCGTAGGAAGATACAGGGGTTGCCTAGGATAACCCTAACCCTTATGGGTATAAGAAAGTGCTAGTGCCCGCGGAGTGGTTCCCTTGGCAAAAACTGGATTCCAGCGCTCTACAGCTGAAGTACCCCCAAAAAAATTCTCGTTGGGGTGCCCGAATAGGGAAGGCGTCAAAGATTTTCGTGTACGCTCCACTTTTTCGGTACAACTGGGCCACTCTGGAATCCAAAATCTGGAATCCGGATTCCTCTGGAGCTGGGCCTGAATTGGCTTGCGTAGGCTTGGCTTATTGCTAGCACTGGCAGAGACACTCCGACGACTTCGCCCGCCTTGGCTCCTGCTGCACTGCCCTGCCGCCGCATGGATGCCCCCCGAGACATTGGTGTCGCCGCCGACTCCGGTTTGCTCCTCGGTGTCTGGCCCTGTTTGGAGACGCTAGCACTCATGGGTGGTGCTGCAAGAGCCGCCGGCTCCTGGCTATTGAGCTGCTGTGCCGGCTTCGGCTGACCTTGCGCGTCCAGCCCCAAAGCAGAGGTTATCTGCTCCTGCAAGAACCCGTATGGGTTCTCGTACGGCTTGACATGTTCCTCCTCGCGGTGAGCATTGAGCGCCTCCTCGCTCTGGAAGCCCATGGAGTTCATCTCGCAGCCGGGCTCGGGGCATACTAGCTTCGGCGGGGCCTTGACTGGTTCGGCTTTTCTACCAACTGTAGGAGACGGCGCCTTCGTTTGTGGGGATGAGGGCCCCGCCGCCTGAGTTTGAGTTACGGGAGGAGACTTCTGGGCTGCTGCAGTCTTTGCCTTCTTCCGGGGCGGGAGGACCAGGTTGGCGGGTGTGATACGTTGCTCGCTGAAGTATTCCGGGTTCCTGGCGGGTGACTTGTGGGCGCCAAACTGGAACGGTGGTTGGGCTGTCGTCGGGGCTGCAGGGGGCTGCGCAGTCTTAGGAATCGTCCGGTTCTGAGCTTGCTTGAGAGCCTGTGTCTGCTCCTCCAAGTTTGCGGCGCTTAATGGGGCCGCAGCGGGAGCTGGCTGGGAGGGGCGTTGGTTTCCTGGCTGCGCACTCCCGGCCGCGCCTTGGTTCGCTTTCAAAGCAATGGGTAGCTCTCGGAGCATGCCGTCCGTCATGGAGATGAACTGATCTAGCTCGTCTTTGGAAATGGTCAAGGACGGCCGCATCTGTGTCATCTTCTCGCCATCGAGAAACTGGCTGACTATCTTGAAGCGCTATACATAGCGTGAGCACAGCTCAGAGGTCCAAGGCATAATAGGGGAGAATACATACCACTTTGAAGAACATGGTTGCTCGTGCGTCGTCCTTGGTGAGACGGTACCACTGGAGTATGCCTTGCCCGCGTAACATATCCATGTTCCCGCGCGCCTTCGCGATTCTGTGACGCGTCTCCTGTAGCTCCGAGCCAGACATTGCTATCTCCACACCGGGTTGCTGTTGGTGCCCCTGGAGCGCCTGCCGCTGGATCTCCTTCAACCGGCTGATCTCGTAGGCGTACTCATGCTGGCCCTGCTGCACCTGCTTCCGCATCGCGGCAGCCTTCTGGTCAGGTGGAAGTTTTGCTATCTGCTCAGGACTCAGCTTCTGGGCGGCGGTCGGGGGCCGGACTTCAAGCTGCGAAGAGGCACGCTGCATAGCACTGCTTGGCTGGCTGGACGCCTCGTTCGAATCGTCGGGGCTCGGCCGCCTCAAACTCTTGGGTGCTGGAGCGGGGGAAGGGTTTGGCGGCGGTCGGACGTTGTTGGGGGTTGCCGAAGCCGCGGTCGTCACCGCGTCTGCCGCCGGGACACCGGGAGGCTTCATCTGAGCGGCTTGCTGCTGGGCGTTCTGGCGCAGGTTTTGCTGTTGAATTGGCGTGACGCTCCCTGGCTGAGTGACCGGGATCTGGGGGATCTGTGGAGTCGTTTTTTGGCCCCCTGCGGGGGGATTGGCATTGCCCTGATTTTGAGCATTGTAGGCCTCCCAACTCCTCTTGTAGAAATTGTCCCTTTTCGCTCTCTTGATAAATTCGTACAACGACTCGTCGCTCATCGTCGCAACTTTCGGGTGCTTGCGGAATGCTTCCATGTCCTGCGGTGTTACTTGGAAAATCGGGTACGTGTACCCAGGGGGCAATCCTGGCTGATTCTGCTGGAGTTGCACTTGGGCGCCAGGAGCATTCGGAGGCTGAGGGACTCCGGCAATACCTGCTGATCTCTTCTGGGCATCCACAGCTTTGCCACCAACTGCGTTAGCCAGCTGATCCGAGTCCATCGTGGTCCGGAACGGAACCGGGGCAGCGGTCGAAGACTGTGGTGAGCTTGGCCGCGGGATGGTGACGATCATGGTCGAGTCATCACGTTCCTCGTCTGAGTCGGAATGGAAGAGGGTCAAGTCATGCCTATCCGTCGGATACGGGAGCGAGCCTGGTCGTCCCATAAACCGGGCAGCGGTCGAAGATTGTGATGGTGTTGGCAACCGATCCCGGGATTTTCGGATACCTCTTCTTCCCGGGCCACTGGTGCTAGCTGGCAAATGACATTTTGACTTATGGGCCTTGAGGCTGTCAACAGAAGAAAAAGGGGGATATTGGCACCCTGGGACATCGCAGAGAATCCGTCGGTGGCAAACTTCATGCTTGAAGCGAAGTTCCTCTGTCTCGAAACCCGTAGCAAAACTGGGGCATGACCAAAGGCGGCAAGTAAACGCGGTTGATCGGAAATCTTGCTTGAACCCGTCGAGGTCCTGCATCGTAACTCCAGGGAGGACCCGCTGGTTTAGAATGTCCCTGATGGTTTGCTGATAGTGAAGCATCAGGGACCGCAGATGATGAGCTGCATCACACTTTACCGTACATGTAGTGCCGTCTGTCGTTGCCTGAGTCAGATGCTGTTTGAAAAATAAGAAAAAGTGGCGGTGCTCTGACCTTCCTTGATGCCTTCAAGATAATTCTGTCTCTTTTCCATGAGAATCGTAGCGACAACTGTATATAGGTTGGGGTACGGCTCTAAATGCACCAAACGGCTATCTGAGGCCAGTGATGCGATGCTTTTTCTCAAACTTGTGCTTGAATCTTGCTGTTGACTCAGCAGTTCTTCTGCCAGCTGATGAGACTGCAGAAAGAAGGGAGATCCGGTGTCTATGCCGTCATTGGTCGAGGCAATGGAGAGGAGATATTCCACCCAGAACTGCGTGGAGTATATGTGGAAAGCATGAAGACCTCGGATGATGCGGCTGATCTTGAGTGGCTCTACGGAAGCTGATCGTGGTGCTATCCAACGAAAGCCGGATAGCAGGCAGCTAGCGGTAGCCAGGCCTTGCTCGTAGAGTGCGACTTTTTCATCCAGCACCAACGTGCTTTCAGGGCTCTGCAGAAAGCTAAAGCTGTGAGAACGTGAAGTGGGCATGATTGAGATCGGAGTAATGATGGCTTACTCCTTAACAGAAACATGGATAAAAGCAAAGGATGAGTCACGCCGTTCTTCAACCAGCGACGCGAGACCGTCAAACACATATGAAGGAACTATCTCCGATATATCTGGGACCCCCAAGCTGAAAGCTAGAGCAGATCGGAATTCGGACCTCCTCAGCGGCCGCTTGGCGAAGGCAATCCAACGCAGAATAAGCTGCATTCGGGCAACAGAGCGTTCGTCTAACTGCGATGTGAGCTGAGTGAGGATCCTCCCGTAGCTGTATATAATCATTAGCCATGTGAGCGCTGACTCCTGGCGAGTCCTGGGGTTGTTGCATGGATACATACAATTCCGAAAGTTCCCTTGGGAGGGAGTGTGCTGCCTTCAAAACCTCTTCTCGCGTAAACAGATATGATAGATTTGTCCCTAGGTAGTCCAAGACTAGTCTTGCCCAAAGAAACATGCCTAGTGCATTATTAGCTCAGTGTTACTCGCAGTTCCGCGAGATGTACATTAAGGTTAAACTTGCCGTCTGCCTTTGTCACTGTGAGATCTCCCATCTCCCTAATATCATCATCCGTAATCTTCGCTTGCGATAGACGGGGTGATAATGACTGGAGCCTCTGGTTCGTGTACTGCCGGATGGCGTTTTCTAAGTTGACCTTTTCGTCTGCCAAGGAGAGCGTTGTTTTGTTTCTCAATTTCCTCCTAATCACCGGTGTTAAACGAGCGGATACCAACACCTTGCAGACAGTCGAGCCCGATGTGGAAGCGGTCGTTACTATCCGTTCAAGTAATGTGATGACCTTCCCCTGGGTATCCTCTGAGCACTGGTCAAGGCCGTCCACAACGATGTGGATGTATCTGACTTTGGATGGAAGGGGCGATGCGGCCGGGATCAGGGTTCGCAATAGTTGGTCGAGAACCGCGGGACTGGGAGTCTTCTTCTTCAGCACTAGCTCCTGGTATGCGTGGGCGACCAAGTCGGTGTTGGATCGAATCAGTTGGGTTAAGATGGATCTCAGAACCTGGTCGTACTCCATGGATGCCATGTCGGAATAAGTGCAAAAGTGTGTAAAGACGAGAGATTGCTCGCCAGACCGGAGAAATGTAGCAACTTGAGTTGCCAAAACGCTCTTCCCCGTGCCTGGGTGTCCATGGAGGATGAGGAAGCTGGATTCTGGGCGGCACCGCATCCATGATGACATTTTGGCTTGCTGAGTGACCCAGGCGCATGTTCCAGGGTATTTTTGAGCTTCATCAGATATAGACTCGAAGATCCTGGCTTGGTCCGATCCGTCCGTTTTTAGCAGCCCTATAATGGCGAGGTACTGAGCTGATGTATGTTCTGTTTCTTCTGCCGACATTTTGGCGAGAAACTCCTGTCTCCAAGCAGAAACAGTGTCTCTCATCCGTTTGGCCTCGTAGATATTCACGGCATTAGCGGTCTTATCCACTACACTCTCGTGTTCTTTGAGGTCTTCGATGATGCCATCGAAGCGACGCTGGAACCGACCCCACCAGGAGAGGAACAGCACTTGGAAGCCTGGATGCGTTAGATATTATACATAGGTCGAAAAAGGTAGGCCTGTAGGCTATGGGCCGTCTTACCATTCCTGCACACGACCTGGTATGCTTCCTTGTGGAATCTGAGAATATCTGCGTAGAAGACAGCCAAAGTCTGTTGGACGTCGGGATTTGTTGAATAGGCCTGATCCAGCGTTTTGAATCGACGAAGAGGCTCGGCAATGCGGGAGTAGGCTTTGACTATTGTCTCGAAGGCTTCAACATAGTCGGATGCAACCTTGAGCGTGTCAGAGGGATTGACTACTAAATGCAAGAAAACAAAGCAACCTGCAAATGAAGGGTCCTGCCCCAGGCCAAGGCAATGAGAATGAAGCAGGATGTAGGAGGGAGAAAAACAGGAGTACTGAGATAATGGAAACTAGAAGCTAGCAGCGGAGGAAACATACATCACAAATCGTCGAGTACTTACTTTCAGGATCACCTTGATCGGCGCCCAGAGCCACGGAAGGTAGGGAGTTCCATTACACAGCACCTCGATGGATTTGGAATAATATCCTAACCCTTCAAAGAGCGGCATTAGTCGGCGCATATTTCTCAGAGATTGGCGAGCTGCGAGCTGGTTTTCAACAAGATGGATGGCATGGCGGACATTGTCGAGGGTTGTCGAGTCCCAATCTGCGCGATCACCGGCTGAAACGATTTGCCTCAAGCCCTCGAACGCATCCCTGATGGTTCGCAGGGCGGCGGGCGAGGTTCGAGAACTCAGCGGCATCGTTCTTAGAAACCTGTGGTCAACAGAGTGGCAGGCTGCTGTTGACGGTCACGTCTTATGACACCGACCTGACATCGGGAGTGCTTTGTGACTTTGAGTTTGTGGCTTGTCGCGGTTGAGCTTACCTGAGTCAGTAACTTGGGTAAGGTACCTGGGCATCTTATTCCCTCTAAAACGAGACAAGGCAGAATCGATTGATTCGATTACTGTTGAGAGTGAAGGAGCAACTCTGGCTGGCAAATTGGTTGGGCCACTGCTGGGCGCTTGACCTTGAATTCTTGGACTTCGAGCGATCAAATCAACCCCTCCCCAAAGCCAAAAAAACGCCACTCTCTTCAACTGCCCGCGTTATTCAGTGCTGGCACGTGCTGCGGAAGAAATAAAACGGCGCACAGCCATCAAGATGGTGACTGTCCGTCCATCAAGCTGCAGGCTTTTGCAGCTAGCTGCACGGCAATTGGTTCGTTCAACGGGTCAGGGTGGCGCAGGCGACAACAGGACTTTCGCCCAGAGCACAAGGCGCTGGCGGTGGTGCCCAACCAAATGGTTGAAATCTGAATGGGGCAATTCTGTCGATTTCTTTTTCATATTGGACTCTTGAGAGAGGCACCAGTGAAGGCGGCGCCGACCATGCATCAGGTACCTCAGTGGCTCGTCGGACTTCCGTCACATCTGTATCGTCGACTTCCAACGAAGAGTACAGGCTGCAGAGATGTATCCAATGCCCCGAGTCCTGACAAAGGGAAGAACCACGATATTTACAAACCTGACTGTCTCTCGTCTTCACTCTCAGTTACTGTGTTGAATATTCTGATTCTCAATGGCGGAAGGATCTTGGCAGATTGACGCCCTCAATAAGAAGCGGCGCTTGTGCTTCGACCAAGCTTCAGGCTCGAACGATGAAAGCGTGCCTTTAGGCCAACAAGCTCCATTCGGCATTCCGCAAATCAGCGACTATCAACAGTCGTCTTGGTCTTATACAAGCTATATGTCCGAGCCTTCCCCGTACTTGACGAATACCAGTTACCAGACGTACGAACATTCGTCTTACGAATTAAACACACTCTACGTGCCCGAGCCCTCGTCTTACTCCTCAAAGACAAGCCATATTCATGTGCCCGAGCCTTCACGCGTGTTTCGGGACAACATCCTCACGGCCACTGAGGGGGAGGGTGCCTTCGTTCATCAAAAACGGCACATACCGGAGGTAGTATGCTTTGGCAAGGTTGGTATCCGCCTACCACCCGAATCTGTTTGGGCAAAGCCAACCTTTTAGAAGATAGTGCGAATCGCCGGAACCTGCCACAACTCCCTTCCAACTACATCCAGATACCCGGCGCACTTCGACTCTCCGAATGCTTTTAGAGTCACCATAGGGGGCAGTGATGACACTCTGTTGGGGACAGTCGATTCCGAGCATGCCTTCCTTATTGCCGATTTGCTAGGTGAGAATGAGCTTGAGCTGGAAGTCAGCGTGTCGTCCAAAGAAGATGGACAGGCCTCCAAGAAACGGTCCCGGCCACAGGCCTTCCTCTCCTCGACGAAGCCGTGCCTGCTAGACATTGTTCTTTATGGGCCGCTTCAGCTGTTTCAGGACATTGGGAGCTACCTCCAGGATCACGAGTTCTACCTTCAAGACCCTGTTGGTTGCAAGCGGCACGTCCGATACTGTAATCCACACAGACTACCACCATTAGACGCCGAAGTCATGGTGTTTACGTCAACCCTAGCCGTCCAGCAGGCCCATGCAGTAGAGATGCAGAATATCGGGCAACGTCCAGACCTTCTCGAAGTCTTGGACTCACAACACGACCTGGAAGAAGCGGCGCAGCCACCAGCTGTGAAAACCATCTTGGAGAAGTCAGCTTAAGCCCGTACCACCCCAACGTCCCTTCTCCCCCCCCCCCCCTCTCTTCTTTCCCCCTTAATATACATACATCCACACACACACATATATATATTTGGCCAGAAGAATAACCTCACAGCTGACGGTATCAAAGACACCAGAAGAAGGCGCTCACATTCATGCTGCTCCGGGAACAAGGATGGGCCTGGGACGGCTCCAGGCCTGATATATGGGAGGCCCAGGAAAACGGCCCGCAACAATTCTGGTAATATTGTTCCAGTCTTTCCTTGATTGAGCATCCACGAGTCCTGACATATCCTAGCTTCATCAACAGGGTATCGGATACCATCCAAGACGATCAGCCTCCCCAGTTCTACGGCGGCATTATTGCCGACCCAATGGGCATGGGGAAGACATTGTCCATGATATCCCTAATAGCATCAGACATACGTAGCGACGACAGCGAAGATATACACCCCCCTTGGCGCGATGATAGGGAGCCATGCCCACAGCAAACTTTGGTTGTGGTTCCACCCCCTTGTACGTTACGTTCAGGGATTTAGGGTGATGACTCGAAACGTAACTGATTTTCGTCACCCTTAACAGTACTGGGTACTTGGGAGGAGGAGCTTACGGAGTACGATAACTCTTCCAGTTCCGGAAAATCTCTTGCTCGGCTAACCCGAAATGAACCCGGCCTAACTGGGTAGACACCTTTTCCCTCATAGCTTGAACTGGTGCCGTCACCATGGCAAGAGCCGTCTGGTAGACCTTTCACAGCTCCATTCCACACGACTAATTCTCACAACTTACCACACCGTGGCTATGGAGTGGAAAAACAAGGCGAAAAACGATGCTTCCCTGCTTTTCAAAACCCGCTGGAGACGCGTGGTTCTAGATGAAGGTACTTCACAATCTCTCAAGCGAACTTGTTTTGATCTCTAGGTGACCAGCTGCTTACCTTTCCTTAGCTCACTTCATCAGGAACAGCGGATCACAAATGGCCCGCGCCATATGTGAGCTTGACTCGGTTGCTAGGTGGGCTGTGACAGGAACACCTATCCAAAACCGTCTTGGAGATCTCGCCACACTGCTGAAGTTTCTCAAGGTTCATCCGTATGCAGAGAAAGCCGCATTTGATACTGACATTGTCAATCCCTGGAAGTCTGGCAACGATAAGGAGGCTGTGAAGCGCTTGAAGCGACTTGCTGGCTGTCTCCTCCTCCGTCGCTCAAAGGGAATCATCTCCCTTCCAGCAAGACACGATCTGAAGTCTCCCGTGGAACTTTCCTGCGCCGAAAGGGAATTATATGAAAGTATACGAACCCAGGCCCAAAGCCAGATTGACGAGGCATTGGTTGAGAGCAGCTATTCTCTTAAACCACACTCGTTTGTCAACGTCCTCCAGCAGATTGAGGCAATGCGAATCGTCTGCAACCTAGGACTCCATTATCATACTCGCCAGGCCATCGAGGCCAAGCTACAGATTAACACAGACGACTCGAACTGGAATCGTTTGGCTCAGCGGGCCTTCGACGTCTGCCGGGGACTGGGCCAACTCCAATGTTGCCTGTGTAGCTCGAACTTGGACGACATGGGCGAGGAGCTAGGTGACCACGGAGACCAGGCTGGATGCCGACCGCTCTTCTCCCAATGCCTGAAATTCGTTTGCCAAACATGCGCTCCGCAATTCTCGGGTCGGAAGCGCAAAGCCTTCTGTGGGTGCGAAGCATCCTGTTCCTTTGCTGCCGTTTCGCCATCCCCCGCGGCCGCGGATTTCTTAGAGGGCTCTACTTTTGTTCCGGACAAGACACAATCAGGACTCGGGGGCTCTGGTCAGCTTGTTTTGTCGTCAAAAGTTGCCATGCTGCTGGAGGACATTCGCCAGCACGTTCATGAAACATCCGACGTTAAATGGTACGTTCTTCCATCAGGTTTCACGTCTGCCAGGATTCCCTAGTTTCGCTCACAGTACTATTAGTGTGGTCTTTTCTACATGGAGAATGACCCTCGATCTTGTCGAAGCCGGTCTCAAGCAAGCAGGCATGGCCTGCTTGAGGTTCGATGGGAAAGTCCCACAGAAAGAGCGGCAAGGGGTTGTCAAGCGGTTCCAGACAGATCCAACGGTCAAGATTTTGCTTTTGACACTATCCTGCGGCGCGGTTGGGTGAGTGATGCTACCTACCGACCTACCTAAGTCCATATCATGTACTTAGCATATGTAACACGTTGAGCCATCGCTAACCTTAGAAGCATTACGCTGACTGCTGCATCGCGGGCCTATCTCATGGAGCCACACTGGTAAGCATCTGTGCGCATTTATACTCCTCGGCAGTTTGATCTGACCTGTATTCTTATCAGGAACCCAACTCTTGAAGATCAAGCCCTCGCTCGGATTCATAGGATGGGCCAGAGACGGGAGGTCACAACAGTGCGTTTTGTCGTTAAAGACTCATTTGAGGAGGTTTGTGCCTTTCTCTCACATCACAGTTATTATGATTGGTATTCCCTAGGAACTGACATTCTTCCGAACAGAGAGTCATTGAAACTCAAGACTCGAAGAGAGACCTTGCCGGCATCTTGCTTAACCCCCAAAATCATGGTCTTTCTGGCAAGCCCCTAGAGGTTAGTGATTTAATCCTGATATTCTGCCAACTCACGTCGCTAACATATGGCATTAAGTGGCTCCGCGCACTTATCTGATGAGGCCTGGGTCTCTTAACGCAGGGCTCCGCGGCGGAGGACAACTCGTTTCCCATAAGATCGTTACCTCTCTATATTTGGAGAGTACTCAGCGAAATGGCAATAAAAACTTCGCTAACGAGGCAACCATAAAACTAGCAGCTACTCCTTTGTCCTGAAAGATTTTGAAGCCATGTTTCTTCTACCTAGCTGGTCTCGCTAGGCAGACCCTGATCCCTTTCACACCCTGGACCATATCATCTCTAAACGCCGTTTGCGTGCCTAACCCTTAACCCCTATTTAGAAAACATCTCCCTGATAGTCGCAATGCTCCCTTCAACGGCAGTCCCAGCTGTCTGCAAACCCCTCCACAAGTCAGCAACTCAGTCATGATAGTAATGCTATGCCGGCCAGCTTCGCACCCGAACCCAGCCCCGCTTCCTAAGCAAAACGAGAAAAGTAAACCTGGAACCTCAAAAAAGACTCACCTTCCGATGCTCCCCTTCCAACCACTGAGCCTCCTCACTCCCCTCAGCCACATTGGGGTGCCTCCATTCAAAGATATAAGTCAAGTACAGATCCCCGGGCTCGCCGCTCTCCCCGCGCGTGACGCAGTTGGTGATCTTGCTGCCGTCCTCCTGGACAAAATCGACGCGGCAGGGGGCATACAGCTTGCAAACTTCTGTGACAATCCTGCCGCTCATCGGTCCGGCTTTCTCGGCGAACGTCACCCGCCGCGTGATCACGTCGACCTCTTCGGCAGCGGGGTCCTTTTCTTCGGAGAGTACCTCACACCCCACGATGAGGGGCACAAATTCCTGTGCGTACCGAACCTTGCGTTGCAGGCCGGCCCACACTTGGTCGATTGTTAGCACGGGAGACTCGCCCGGCCGGTTGATGGGCGCCGTGTAGCCTAGATTGATGAGTACCATTGTTGTTAAGTCTGCCGTACGCACTCTGAGATGGACGGGATGAGGTTGATGTGTGTGTTGATAGCACAGCGGCTTTGGGTGGGATGATATCAGTGTTTAGCGGGGTTACAACAACGAGGGGCCAAGCCTATGTGAGGAGCAATTGAGGTAGGTTGGGTATGACGCGGAATTCCCCATCGGACGGAGTGATGTCCAATGGTGCTGATTAGCCTCACAGTATCGTCGGGCCGGTGTCGGCCGCGGCTTACTTTATGCTTGGAAGATCCACCACCCGTGATGGCAGTCCTACCTTGCACCTATTCAGCTTTGTGAGTGTGACCAAGTAGGTATCTAGGAGGTTCGATAGCAACTTGGAAACAAGTACATTTCCAGATTGAAAAACAGTATTAGAATAAGTGTACACCAAAGCTAACGATCAATACCCATTCACCGCTTCCCGCGTCGCCCTTGACTCTCCTTGTCCAACGAGCCCCCAACAAGGCCCTGGGGCCCTTGGAACTGTCACAACTTGAGAGTCTTCGCGAGGGTTTCAGAGGGCCAGCAGAGCCGGTACCAAGCTATGATTCAGGAGGAGCAACAAAGGCAGCCGCAGCAGCAAAATCAGATACAGCAGCAGGCAACACCTCCGGTCAGGTACCTCTCAGACTTGTATAAACAACCCCCGACGCAGCAACCCATAGCCCCTCAAAGCCTGAGTCTGCAACCCCTGAATCAGCCCATAAACTCTCAGCACCGAACTTACAGCCAGCCTGACAACTTGGTGCTGTACTCTACTGAAGACGACGCCGATCCCCTTCTTCCTTTTTCCTGCAGCCTCGACGACATCTGTATTCGCCGTCTATAACTAGACACAAAGACTAACACAATTCCACACCAAGTTTCAACAACAGGTAGATGGGGATAACGTCGCACGACGAGATTAGGCCATGGGGTCAAGGTGATGGTGCTCTGGGATGACTCTTTTGAATATCACGAACGACTTGAATCCGATCAGTTGCTCCGGATCAGGATGACACCTATGCAAGGGATGATACAGTACCTGATATGTTCAGCTATACTGGTAGACGTGGTTGGGAGAGATCACTACCTATGCTGGCAAGGTGCGGCAGCAACGATCTGGGGTACGTGTAGCCAGAGCCGATGCTCCAAAGGACGTATAGCGCGGATCACCTCCCCTGATGGCTCAACACCCAACTATGAAGACTTTATGAAAAGAATACAGCATGACAGAAGCGGCTGCTTGTCGTCCTGGCGCGCCGTGACCTGTCTGTTTGGTGGCACGTCAACAGCGGACATATCCAGAAAACACTGTCACTATGTACCGATCCAACGGAAAGGCCTTGATCACTCAGTTCAATTTGCTAGTGCCAGACTGCAATGTCATAAGACAGACTGTACGGTCAGAGAGCCCGCTTTCCTCTGCTAGGTAGGTTGTACCTATCAAATCACCCAGCCCTTGTCAAAGTCTTGTGTACGCTGTGCTCTACGACCCGGTCGGCGGTCTGGGACAACAAGAAGTGCATGTGGGTGAGGTTAGCATGCAGACGACGGACTGGGTCCCCACCTCAGGCTACGACCTGACGAGTCAGTCAGGTTGCCGACACCGGGAAAAAAGAGTCAAGCGCGGCTTAGGGGTAATCGACAAGATACCTAGGTACATGCGGCCCGCACTTCTGTAATCCGCGAACCATTGTATAGGGAAAAGCGTCCTACAGTTTCCAACGCAGTATAAGTACGAAACGTGTATGGTGGGTAAGTATACTACCGGAAGGGAGGCGAGCAGAGGATAAAACGACTGAAAATGCCTAGTCGCTTCTCATTGGTGCTACTGTAAAGAAGTCAATAGTCGGGCCAATTTAGAAGGGACTCTGAGGCAAGGAATGGTTCGAGAAAGATGGGCCTTGGAGTTAATTGGCCCGGAAGGCTGGCAGGAAGACTCGAAGAGTCGCGTTGCTACTACGAATATCATGACTACCATCAGGCATCAGGTCCATAAAGGTTGTCGCCAACATGAAGGGAGCAGTGGGTTTGCCTTGCCTTCAACGTCTACTAAGGTACAGTACCTATTCTATCATGCGGTCGTTATCAGTCTCTCTCGTCCTTGGTGTCGTCCTCCATGCGGTCGAGGTCCTCGGCGTCCCAACCCCGGTCCCGGCCCCGGTAGTACCGCTTGAGGATCGCCAGGCCACTCCGCCCCCAGCCGAGTTCACCCCGTACCCTAACGTCGGACCTCCTGGGCCCCGAGGCAGCTTCACCGACTCGGCTCATTTCCGCCTCTACGACTCGCCCAACCAGGCCGTCACCACCATGGCTCTATCCGTGCTGGAGGCCATCTATGACTGCTTCGTCGTGGACCTGGGCTGGCGTTCGGCCGGGCTGTCGTTCAGCGCCAACGCGGGCGACAACGGCCCGTGGTACAAGTACAACATCTTCGCCGTGGCCAACCCCGGCGCGGCCGGCACTACGTCGCCCGACATTGCCACGGGCCTGAGCTACATCCGCGTGTCGACCGACTACCTGCGCGGCGACGAGTTCCTGCCGGCGGCCGTGTTCTCGCACGAGTACGGCCACAGCTTGACGCTGGCCGAACGTAGGTGGAACTTCCAGGGGCCCAGCCTCGACACGTGGTTCGAGACGCTCGCCAACTGGTTCCAGGACCTGTACAAGACGAGCGACCTGTGCGAGCCGGCGCGTGCGCGCCACGGCCGCCGGCGGACCGAGACCGAGATCAACCTGCGCAAAAACATTGGCGACTCGTACCAGACCATCGTCGACGCCGTCGGCAGCACGGCAAACTTCTACCAGGCCTGGCCCTTCCTCACCTACCTGACCTACAACCCCGACCGGACCCCGGGCCTCGGCACCCACACCGTCCGCGAGATGGTCCGTCAGTTCCGCCAGGGCGAGACTCCGCTCCACACCCTTTCGCGCTTATTAGTCGCCGCCGCCGCCAACAACACCAACAGTAACAACAACACCACGGTCGGTGACATCGTCGCCCGCTACTGGGCCCGCATGGCCTACGTCGACATCGGCCACCCCACCGCGCAGCCTCTCTTCCTGCGCACCCGCAGCACGCTCAACTTTGCCAACTACGGCGCCGCCGGCAGCGCCAACAGTACCACGTGGAGGGTCAAAAGCGCTCGCGCGCCGCGGTACATGGGCGCCAACATCACGCCGCTCAGGAAAACGGGCGCCGTCACCGTCACCATCAACATCATCGCTGCCGATGCTGCTAGCCAGGCCGCCTGCCGCGCTACGCTCGCCGTCCGCAACATCAGCTCCGGCGCCGTGCGCTACTTGACCCTCGTCGACGGGAGGGTTAGCGCCGCCTCGGTGGCCGCCGACGAGGAGGCCACGCTCGTGGTTGCCAATGCGCCCACCGCTCTGATCGTGTACAACCCTGCCGCGCTGCAGGGCAGTCCGGCGAACGTGGGTATGCAGTACACTGTGACCATGACCGGTGCCACCTTTTAGGAGGCTGATTGATTGGATTTTTTTTTTTTTTTCCCCCACGCTTCAAGTTCTCCTTATATGGAGGTGAACTTGAACAGTTGCAAGTCTCTTCCCATAGCGTGTTTTGTTTCGAGGGACCTCTGCGTTCGCATTCGAGTAAAAATGGGGAGTACATGGATGTCAAGTCAAAGTACCTACGGAGTCCACGCAGCTGCATGACCCGCACTTCAGCATAAGGGCGCTCAGCAGCAGCCTCATCCATTCCTGGAACCCCGAGAATAGGTCTGATCCCTTATCTCAAACGAGGATTAGAAAGGTATACATATACACTTAAGCTATCGATTAAGTACCCATTCACCGCTTCCCCCGTCGCCCTTGACTCTCCTCATCCGACGAGCCCCCAACAAGGCCCTTGAAACTGTCACAACTCCGCCCATCATGCATCATGCCGTCCTGGGAGTCGTCTCTATCCACCGCCCGGGGACCCCCAGCATCAAGTCCATGACCAGAATGCCGATTACCTCCATTACCAGCGTCAGTAACACCGCCCGCCGTTGTCCCCCCTACGGCCATTGCCTTGGCATTCCCCTGACTCCTGCGGGCGGCGCTCCGCATGTTGCCGGTAGCGTTGGAGACGGGGTCCATCTCGTACTTTCCCGTGGTCCCCAGCACGCGGGGCAGCAGCCGGCGGAGGAGAAGGCGGAGCGAGGGGAGACAGGGGCAGATGACACCGACATCGAGCTCGATGCCTGACCAGAGGCATACCCCGACTATGTCCTCTGTGTGGATTAAGTGGGAGGTGGTTAGCGTGATTTATCCCGGCGTGGTGGACGGAATGGAACAAAGAAACGGAGAGGGGCGCTTACTGGTTGGGTTCTCGGTTCGGGTGAACTCGTTGATGGTTTTGAGGCGCACCAGCGAGATAATTGTGACGCTTCATATCCGTTAGCACAGCCACAGACGCATGGAATTGGTGGCTAGGGCTGGGTAAAGGGGAAGGGGGACGTAAGGGCGTAACATACGCAGCACCAACGCAAAACATCATGCCGCCCATGACCTTCTTCTTCCAGTGCACGTTCAGTGCCAGCAACTGCGGGAAGGGCAGCGCCAGCAACCACAGATCATAAACAATGCCCGTCGCAGCTGCCACCCACACCAGAATGTTGGCGTTCCCGCAGTAGCCCTCCTGATGGCCCTCCCAGCTTGTCCAGAAAAGCGATATCGGCGTGCACTGGAATAGAACGGCGATGAAGAAACTGAGGTTGTACACGACGTTGAATACCATGGTGTACTGTATGAGACGGCCGAGTTTGTTGTTATCCTTGGGCGGGAAGACTCTGAGGTAAAAGAGGATGATCGAGGCTCGCACGAAGAAGCGTGTAAGCGTGTACAGAAGCATCTCGCCGTAGAAAAGCTAGCCGCCCGGTGAGCTAAGATGAAAAGGTTAAAGTCTCTTGAAAATTTACCAACCTGCAGAATCCTGGTGATGTTGTCAAAGGGAACAAACCACATGTCCATCCCCTGCCCAAGGTTGATGGCTGGTTAGGGAGAAATTAGTAAAGCGAACTCGGCGTGGGAACATCTGCGGATGAGGCATACACCATATGTTTAGAGCTGCGAACAAAGCGGCACCGATCTGAGGGACTGTGTTAGCACGAGAGGTTATACGTCCCGGGCTGATGAGGCGGATACATACGAAGCCGAACAAATTGCAAAAATCGTCCCACCAAAAGTACGCCTGCGTCACAATCCGGGCAATGATACGCAGTATGACGGCGACGATGGCGAGGCCAATGAAAACAGCGTAGACCGGAACGTTTCCCTGGCCATTCTCGACCGGCAGACCGCAGAGCTGCGAGGTAATGTTTTTGGCGGCTGATCGACATCAGTAACGTGCCCCTCTCTCCTAGCAAGACCGGGGATGCCATACCAAGGGCATCCTTAACCTCGCAGCCCAATCTGATACATGCCGTTGCGTTGGCGTTGAGGCTCTGGTTGGAACAGATGCAATCGACGTCGGTTATGTTGCATGTCGAGTGGCTTATGGCGGTCAACAAGCAGCTCCGCTGTTGTGACGGGTCAGCGCGCGTCCTTCCTGTACTAGTAGTCAGTTATTCTCAGGGCACGTACTGCGCAATCTGGCAGGGCCGCGTTGGCCTCCAGGAGGGACATGGACCCGGCGGCAGCGGCAACATTGCACAGAGTTAGCAGAAGGCACAGGCCGAGGATGGCACGCGCGCTTCTGATGGACGACATTTCAAGTGACCATTCGCCGTGGCATCACAACCCTCGTTGGACCAGCCGTGAGAAAAAGGCACTGGGGATATCCAAGAGAACGTAAAGGCGAAAACCCAGCTCGAAAACGAACGCCGCGGGACCGGTGGAACGAACGGTGGACACGCCCTATATATTGCACTGAGAACTGCTCAGGCAACGCCCGGTTGTGACCCTGGGTTCCATGGCGGCGGATCCCGCAAGCTTTCCAGGAGACATGGGACGGTGATGGAAGGTAGGGCTTGGCAGATCACCGTAGCTTCAAGGAGCCAGGGACAATCCAATGCGACGCTGCAGTGAAAATTCTGGCCTTCCAAATAGAGGACGAGTTGTTGAGTCAGCAGCGCTCACAATCTCCCTTTCGCGAGGGCCTCTTGTGCGTCCCTGCCTCTCTGGTACCAGTGGAGTGGACGCGGGGCTAACTTACTCAATGGAGACCGAAGGCGAACGCTGGATCCAAATGGCCAGGTGAAGTTGATCGGTGGAGATGGAGACCCGCTCGTGATGGAGTCATGGACCGCAAAATGGAGTCGGCAGCTCGATTGCTAGTGCAGTTTCAGATAAGAGCCTCCACCGGCATCAATTACCCGGCATGGGATGCGTTGCCAGTGTTGAACGGTGCTTGACATTGCCAGTTGGCTCCTCAATTCATCAATTGGTGAACGTCCAGGGATAGAGGAACTTGTGTGGGAGTGGAGGTGCAATGTGCATCGAAGCTCGACGCTGTCGAAGTTGTCGATGTCAGGTTCAAACTCTTACAACGGCTTGGCTCGGCACTTGATCGCTCTTTACGGGAGTGGCTGGGCCAAGATCTTAGCGTCCTGCAAGACACCTGCAAGGCACCTGCCACCCCTCAGATGTCAGATCCATCATCCAAACTGGCAGGAGGGTTTGATCCGGGAGTTGTTGTCTGCTATGGAGTCGCAAACATATGCAAAAGAGCTTGGAAAACAGTTCACGATCTAGTTTGTTGATCCCAGAGTGAAGCATAAAGGAGGTAATTAATATGAGTAATATAGGCTCGTATGTGTTGTCCCATATCATGCGGTGTCACCTACAGGTATTGTAACGTTAGTGAAAATTCCCCTTTCAGGAGAAGATGCCACAGAACATCGAATTGTGTGACTCCGCCAAAAACTGGGTCGCCGGGCGACACGGCAGGAGCCCTGGGCATGGCAACGATGCCGGTGGAGTGGAGGCGCATAAGACGGGACAAAATAGTTAGGGCATGCGACGCGGAGCAGAAGTGCTGTTTTGGACCCTTCATTGATGGACGGCTGCCACCCTTCTTCTGGTAAAATCACCCGCAACCGATCCGATGCCAAAACCCCCGAGACTTGCAGTCGTTTTGACATTTTCCACTCCAAACCGACATCAGTTTAGCGCGCTGATCCGCATTTGACAACTTTCCATACCTGTGCTTTACCCAACTCCGCTTCCATAAAGGCCTCTCCGGGTCGGTTTGGGCCTTTCCCCTTTAGCTCAGGAATCGCCACACCACCATAAATTTCCAAATCCACGCTGAGGGCTCAAACCCGGCAGGACTGGAATGCCATGTGGCAGCCCTGGCGCAGTGGGGCACTGTGAAGCTGGGCGTCTCGGCGCCCGCCAGGGGCATTTCGGGTCATTTGCGCCAGAAAGGCTTTTTGCGATGCGAAAGTGACATGATGACATCCCACTGCAACCCAAAGTCAGTTATGTTTCCCGTCCTTGCTAAGGAAAGCGTCTGGTTTGGCAGTGTTGGCACATGCTCATTTTCTCAATATTCGCTCAGGGCGATCCGTATAAACAGTAAGGCACTCATTACTCGCTTGATACTAGGGAGAACTTGCACCTTGACTTTGAGCGACCGGTTCCCGGCCTAGCGGCGATTCCCCAAATCTTCTACCTGACGAGAGCTGGTTATAGGAGTAAGCACACATGCAGTGAGTTCTTGGCTGTGCACCGCCTCTTTGCATGTCTGTACACTGCCCGCATCGAAGGAATTAGGGGCGAAGAAGTGGGCGGCAGCAATGTGTGCGTGAGCGTCCAGTAGATTTGCTGTGGTCTGCACCTCAAGTCTGCACGAGGGGTTGCGGTGATGAAGGGCTCAGGTCAGCCGAGCCACCAATGAATTACAGCGCATGAGCGGCAGGCACAGGATATACAGTCCCTGAGAGAGTCAGCGAGTTAGCCGCAGTGGTAATAAATGTAGTGTAAATGAGCTGATAGTCCAATATGATTCTGCACTCTTCCGTCCGCTGAGCATCACCAGGTACCGACCTACACACTCGCCATGAAAGAAGTTAAAAGCCTCCAATTCTCAAGAGTCAAAACTAGCATGTCAGAACCCAAGACCTACTTTATCCTCCGTAATACAGACGTGAGTATCGCTCAGACTTAAACAGTTCCTTTTCCACCCATGGGTTTGAACTTTGGATGAGAGACAGTATACACGTCCAAATCCAAACCAGCCCCTTGCAGTCATTCAGTGGGCATACCTCTCGCACATCACCTCACCACCACCACCTCAACCACATAAACCACCTACATTTCAAAGCTAACCATTTGCCCACATGCACCGGGCCGTGTCATCGTTCCAGTACGCCCCCGACACGCTGATATGCCTAGGCCAACTAATCACCTCACCACGCCAACCCTACCGGCGACTAGCCCCACCACTCCTCCCACTACCCTCAGAGCCCATCATCTCGCCGGTGACAACCTGGTCATTCACTTCCTCAGAAACCAACGGCGGCTCGGCCTCAGTCTTTGCGCACTTTTTGCAGCTCTTCACCGCATCCGTGTCGGGCCACGCGGCGCGCGAGCTGGCGCAGTCGTGGTCGGCGGCGCGCCTCGAGACACGTTTCCTCGAGCTTGGTCCGGCCGGCGATAGTGAGAATGACTATGTGCGGCGCAGCGTTTCGGAGGTGGAGTCTGTGTGTGAGTGGTTGAAGGTGAATCGGAGATTGGGGAAGACGATATATATGGTCACGGGGGTCAAGGTGGCCATGCAGCCTGGGGAAGCGAAGAGTGGTGTGTCGAGGACTAAGGGAGTGGAGGTGGCTGTCAGCGGGGACCCTGGGACGGGAGGGGTTGTGGAGGTTGGGGTTGGGGGTGCGGTTGAGAGGGGGAGGGGGAGTGAGCAGACGGCGACGCCGGTCGGGGATTTCGTGTTTGCGTACCGCTTGAGGAAGGTCCATGTCAGCTGGCGTGGGAAGGTTAGGCTGGGGGATGATGTGGTTAAGGCGGACTTGTATGGCGATGAAGATTTTGGCGGGCATGACGGGCACGATGGTGATGATGATGATGACGGTGACGATGAGGAGGAAGAGATTGACGAGGTTGAGATGGAGGATGAGGACTTTGGTGCTCGTTTGCCCGAGTGGGACCTAAAGACGGAGGGCATTGATGAAGCTGATGGCGAGGACTGTCTGGTTGTCATTCCGGCCGAGGAAGAATGATGTTGATTTGCTTGTCTAGTAGGTAGGTACCGAGGTGGTTACCCTGATAGAAGCCGTCCTCTCAGGAAGAGTGGCTACTAACTTACCGCCCTACTATCGCTCTTTATATGGAGATGATGTTTTACGCACCAGGTCAATTGGCTTTCGCAACACATAACTTCTCTTTGCTACCCCCTTCTACTCCTACTATCCTGCATCGCAGGTACTCAGCACATTAGGTACCCTACATTATACCCTTGCCGCAGCAATCTCGTGCTCTAGTCTCTTGGCGAACCACCTGGCCTTGTCCCTGTCAACCGTTGGGTCGTAGCGGAATGCGTTGTTTCGTCCACCTTGTGGGTGCAGATAGTTGTGCGGATCGCCCTTAGCCGACGGCCGACTCATAGCCAGCAAGATGGCCTCCATGGCCTGTGGCGTTTTGAAACCGAGCGAGTCCTTGTTCACCTTGATAAAGTTGCCCTTCACGTTGTAGAACTGATACAGGATGGCGACAAGAGACGCCACAATGGGAGTCGCGAACGACGTTCCCGACATTGTCGTCCAGAGTTCCTCCGAGTCGTCTTCCGTCGCATGAGCAGGAGGTGTAGTAGACGCAAAGGCCTTCGGCGCAGACGTAAGGCGCAGATGCGCATTCAGAGCCTTGGCTTTCAATTTTGCCGGCCAGATGGACCTCACATCGCAGCCCAGGATTGCGAAGCATCTTGCGCGATTCGTGGCAGCCGGTGGGTTTACATCCGCGCCGTTGTTCTTAGCCGTCGCAGAGAAGACCTTGAAGACATACTCGGAGCTAGCGGGAAATGCGACATCATCGTTGTTGCCGAAATTGCCTGCTGCACCTAACATGACGACGTTTTTGCGGATGTATGCATCCCCCAGCGCGGTCTTGATGCCCCGTGGGCGTCTGTTAGTCATGCCGAAAGACATGGAGATGATTTCAGCATCCCACGTATCTACAGCATGCTTAATGGCCTGGATGATATGTTGTTGTCAGCCATTATGGGCAGCAGGTTGCGTGAATCTCGTTATCAGGGGTGTTTGATGGATGTAGAGACTGGAAGACATTGAGGTAAAGGGGTCGGGGGAGTTCTGCACGTATTGTAGGGTACCTACCGCCTCAAGTTGCTTTTCAACGCCGGTGCCCCTCGCAGCCGACTCTTCATCCACGGAGATCCTGGCGACGGAGAGTTCGACATCTGGAGCTAGCTGTAGGATGATACCTGCGATAAAGGTACCGTGGCCGTTTTCATCGACAGGAATATGCTGCTTGGCCGGGTCGGAGGTGGTGAAGTCCTTGAAAAGGGGAACCGTGTTCCCTTTGGGTGTCCGTCGAGTACGCTGCCAGCCTTGACGTTGGATGAACGGGTGAGTGTCGTCAAGCCCGGAGTCGATAATGGTAACGCGGACTCGGGGCACATTTTTCGCATCAAAGCCTACACCCAGGATACTCTTTCGGAAGTCAACGAACCCTTGAATCCACTCGGCGCTTTCTCTGAGCCTGGCAAGCTCAAAGTAGTACGTCAGTCGCCAAAGATGCCACTGCATGAAACCAAAAGGGAGAGAAGAAGTCAAAGGGTGGGAAGTAGGGGGAACTAACTGCTTGTCGTTGCCTGTTGCCTGCTGGGCATCGTAGGTTACAGCTATAGAAGGGACTTCTGCTAGGTTTATAATCGGATCAGCCTGCCTGACACGGGCAGCTCAGATATGATGATGTATCCGGGTCAGGTGAGAACACTCACCTGTTGAGGGGCTCGAAACTTGGGTTGTGGACAGCTCGGACATTGCTCCGGGCGGCGGCAGCCTGATTGTACGGGCCTTGGATCTCGTCAGGAGCAGCGCTCGCAACTTCTCGGCTGCTTTGATCCGTAGCCTGTAACGTACGCCCATCATCTTCCACCGACACAGGGCACGAACAAAGACGAAAGCCTTCATCCATGTCATGTGAGATTTGTGACGACGGGCCAACACCATCTCCACGAGTCCGTGCCACTTGTCATGAATGGCATTCCTCCGATCCTGGATCCTCTCTCGTGCCACCTTCGTAGCGTGGGTCAGGACCAGGCGCCACCGCTGCCGTCGATTCAGGAGGCGCGTGGAGATGTCGGACCACTTCGTCCAAATCTTCTCTCTCGCGCGCCTTCGTTCGGGCAGAATCTCTTGTTGCACCTGCTTCTTGATCTTAGCCAACAACGCCTTCCACTTCTTCTTGCACCAATCCGAGAGCGCCTTCTCGTGGCGCTTCCATAGCTTCTGCACGTCGGCCGACAATTTCTTAGCTTCTGCGTCTTTTATCGGGCTTTTCCTCAGGGCGGATAGAATGGCACTCCGGACGGCCTCCCCATTCTTGCGGCGATGGAGGCGCTCCATGTAGACTCGCATCAAATCGATTCGCAGGGGAAAAAGATCTCCAGCGTTTGCTTCTTCGTCCTTGGCTAAGTCTGATATTCGCTTGGCCAAGAGTCTGGCGAAGGTTTGGGCTTCATACTTGAATGCCTCCAACTCCCGGCAGAAGTAGAGTGCACTCTCCACATCATCAGCGGAAGTGGAGGTATCAGCTGTGCTCCCAGAAGCCGTGTCGACGTTCAGCATAATGAGTTCGAGTCCCACGAGAAGAAGATCCTTGGTCGTCCGGTTCTTGTCGGTGGTCATGGCGGGTCTGGCGTATTCCAGCCCTTCACCGAGACATGTAGCAAGGTTTCTCCTTGCCTGCGCAAGCTTAGCCCGAGGTGTCGTCTTGGACGCCAATCTTTTCGCCAAGACTTCGCGATAGAACTCTTCAGCCAGCGGGTACTCGCGGAGCTGGAAGTATGCGGCTGCAAGGTGCTCCTTAGCCAAGAGGACGTCGTCATCATCGTCAGGCAGCTTCTTGATTTTGTCCCATAACAGTGCGCCGAGGATCTCATCGACAGACTTCCACAGATTTAGCTTGTGACTGCATAGGCTGCATAGGCTGCATAGGCTCCCATCAGGAATGGTTTCAGGGCACACGTCTTTGGCGGGATCAGGGTGGTGTTTAGCAGCTTCTTCGCGTAGCCCGTTTGCTCGGATGAGGACATGCCGTAAGTCTATAACCTCAAGGTGCGTGCGATCTTCAAGGGCTTGGCTGGTAGATTCGTGATCCCCGGTGGCTGGCCCGGCGCTGCGGCCTCTCCGTTGAGGGGCATGCGGAGGACAGGCGGGGTTCGGAGCACCGGAAACGGCTGCTGACGGCATCTGTCAACTGCGAAGCGGTGCTGTAGAGATATACCCAGTTGTCCGGGTTGGGCGACTTCTACCGCGACGTGACGACCAGAGACTGACAAAAATCTCATGTATGTACCACGTGTGCTCGCAATGATAAGGGTTCTGTGCGATAGGAGGGGTCGCAAAGGCTCTTCTCGAGTCTCTCGACTCTTCGGCATTCTTCCACTCAGCTTCCCTGCGGCTGGGGGGCACTGCCTCCCACGGTTCCCCGTCGAACCTATCAGAGCTGAGCTGGGCGAGACCAGCGAGTGTAACAGTGCAACCCTATTGCATTGTCTTGTCCGCTATCTGCAGTCTGCCCATTGATTGCCCAGAGCCTCAGTGACTGCCTACTGTGGTAAGGAAGCGGGTAGGGGTTCATTGTTGAGGGGAAGGGAAAGGAGGGGCTGGCGGACGAATCTTGGCGGCGGCGCTTACAGCTAACCGGCCAGGGTCGCACGGTGGTAGCCGGGAAGCGCGAGGCTTTGTAAGTATGTACATACATACCTACTCTGATGGCTTCCCGGGCGTTGCTGATCCCCGGTTTCCCAGCCCCTTCCTCTTTTACTGGGTCCCTCCCGTCAGCAAGTCGCGCTTGCCTGACACCACTTCCATCAATTGATCCGAAAACAGGTATCCGAAACGGATGCCAAATAATCGCCCCTTATGCGACCAACTTCACGTTGCTTCATGTTCTCCATGCATGGGCAACATAGGTGAAATGTAGAATGGGCATTGTGTCATACCCTTCTGCGAAGGCCACTGAAATTGCCGAGGATGAAGCGGCGCGAACTCGAATCGCAAATCGAAGGCGCCAAGATGGCGGTTCTGACACCACCACGTCCGAGATCATCATAACCCAAACCATCTTTAGGCCATCCAGCACTTGGACAACCGTCGCAACGCTCCACAGAAACTTTCCGTCGGAACCACCCGCGCGTTCCGCCTCTCTCGTTACCGGCGACCAGCTCAGCGGCATAATCGGCGGGGTCGCCGCCTTGATCGTCGTATTGATCTTCGGTTGCTTCTGTTATACGTCGCGACCGAAAGGAGACGCCTCACAGCGTAGCTCGTCGCGGGCAAGCTCTTTGTCGTCCAAGCGACGGCGACACCGTCCCGACTGGCCGACACCTGGACCGCCATTCCCACAGCCGACGTCTTCGCCGGGACGGGGCCCTGATACCGCGGCGGGCCAGAACTCCCACTCCTGGCATGGGAGACCCCCCAGTACACCATCTGAAGGTGTTGTCGATCCACCACACTCACAGCGTGTACAACCTGATTCAGTACAGCCTAGCGACCACGGGCTGGCGGTGGGCGAGCAAGATGGCATACCGCACCCAGCGCCACGGCCAACCCGACAGCCCGTAGCTCCACACCATGGTCCGCTTGCCGATCCTGAATCCACTGGACTTCCTACCCGGCGTCCGACAATCGTAACCGCCAGCCCGACCCGACAATCCGCAGTTCTACACCATGATCCGCCTGCCGATCCTGAATCCACTCGACCTCCTACCCGGCGTCCGACAGTCGTGACTGTCAGCCCAACCCGACCGCCGAAGCCGAGCGCAGCCTCAGGAGCTCAGCAGTCGCCGCGGGATCCGGCGAGCTCCGCAAACTATTCATTTTCGGGATCTCGCCACTCCACGACTTGGCCCAAACCACAAGGGCCTCCTCGCACCAAGACCATATCATCAAAGGCGAGACCGCCGCGGTATCAATCGATGGGCTCCAAATCGAATCACCTCGGGCAAGAGCCTCCCCAACCGTCACGGCGGGGAACCTGGGAAGCACAAGTGCACATGACGGACAATGAGGTTGTCCCGCCGCCGGCGCCCAATATCCGCTTTACGGCGCGAAGTAGGCGACGCGCACCCCCCTTCACCATACCGCTCTTCCCCAGCTTAGTAAGAAGCGCCGTTAAGAAGCACCCCAAAGAGACACCCAAGTAGATCCCAGACCGCGGTGTCTTATACATGTATGACCTTCAAACTACCTCATCCTCTTCAATGCAGTTATCATCACCCTTGGACGAGTCATCGACGCAACAGGACTGAACAAAACTCAAGCAAGCGCGCCCGTTGGAGCGAACGCAACATCAAGAATGACGATCGGCCGCAACCCTAACACGCAGCGGAAAGGACGCCATCCACGGCCTGGACGACATCTGAAGGTAGTACTCGCTCTCGCCCTTGCTAGCAGCGGGAATGTCGAAGACGAACTGGATCTACCGGAGGTGTCCGGTCGACCTTGTCCCGCAAAGGAACTCTGCCCGACGGAAGGAGCAGGGTGGTGAGGGAGGACTGGCGGTTTGAGTGGACTTGGATAGGTACCTAACGAGGAGGATGTGGAGTGCAAAACGGACCTGCCGGGGCGGGACGGGGGATCAGTGAGGTTGGGTGTACGAGCTGGGAGTCGATGAATTGGTTGTTTTATGGTAGAAGGTCGGTAGGTTTGTTAATTGTTTTCGTGAGGGATGGGGCAAAGGGCAAGGTCGTTGGGTTCAGTGGCGGTTGCCGGTTTTGAGGTAGGACGGAGTTTGTTGGAGAGGACTTGAGGAAGACATAGTTGTGTCGGTTGCTGAGTCTTGAAATGGTGATCTTGTGTATAGTCAATGCTGTGAGTCTGCCGTCTCATGACGTAGGATCGTCTGGTTGATGAGTTCTTGTCGAGACGAGTGCAAGATTTCTGAGAGACCGCAATGGCCTACTGTGGCTTGGAAGTTGCTGCCATGGCACACCGCCTTTAATTGGTTGCGGCAGAATAGATTAGATAACTAGATTAGATAAGGAGATAGTGGGGTATGTTGGAAGGTGGGGCACGCGTCACGATATCCTTCGTCTGCCCAGCCAAACTCAACTCCAACTTGCCTCTTTTATTCAACAAATTTGGCCAGGCCTAACAGTGCTGTTTTCGCAGCCACTTTCCTTCCAAGAGAGTTACAATTGCCAAGGCAATTGATAGGGGCGCACGAGTCCAAATCGACATGGTGCTTTTCCAGCCGGGTGCCGAGGTCGTTGGTTGTCAGGTCAGGTGCCATGCTTGTTTGTTTTGTTTTTTGTTCCAGGGGTAGTCCATCTTGATTGAGTTTGGAGTCTGGTGTAAACCACCGCGGAACGAAACCTCAAGTCGACCAAACATAGGCAACGTACCTAGGCAAATTTCTCACTTCGCACTTGATTTCACCCAAATGCGGGCAGCTATATCGTGCTATGAGTTGTTTTTTGGTCCTGTATCAACGTCTAATATATCACAATGAAGAGAAGGAGTCCAGGAGCAAGAACAGGGAATCGAACCCACACATCGCTCTCCGTGTATAGCATTTCAATTTTGGAACGCCCTACTACATCGCCCAGCGAGCGGGCAGCTATTATCATATTCGTCACCATACTCTATTGTATGAAGCGTGACACATCGATCATAACTTTCTGCTTTCTAGATCTTTCTTACCTGGGGAAAAGTGGCTGTCCCAAGCTGCAGTCTAGCCGAAGTCCGCAGGCGTCACCGGTGCCTTGGTGCAAAACCACCCCGTCAACACGATTTGTTAGTACATCAGAGTGGTCAGGGGGTAGGACACGACGGACAAGGTGTTAGCCACATAATTCCACGTCAACTTCGATTAGATTAAGCTGCTTTTCTTTAATCAGGCATCATCGTAGCACACTGCAGTTTAGAGGTGTCTGCTACCAAACGTTGCTACCGTGACCATTGGCATCAGAACCAGCCGGGGTGCTCTGTGTCTTTTGCTCGGCAGGCCCGCATATGACACGCAGCCATTCAACCGGGGAAGGAACATCAACAATGGTGTGCGAGAAGGGCGGCAGAGTGTGAATAGAGAACAATAAGCTTCTGTTGAATACTTCATTGACAATAGCAACTCAATAACCCACCGCACAATAGCTCACATCATCACCGGGTCTATTCATTCCCACGACAATGCTCACTGAAAGTCCACGCCATACTATACACATATAAACCCCCCTTGTGCTGCCAGTCACGTGCTCTTCATTCTGTTTCTTTTCCACGCTTGCTACCCCTTATCAGGTCTCAAGGAGATCGATCTTCCCCTTCTAAGCTTTCTCAAGGCAAGTCCCATGCCCCCCTTCAAAGCCCATGGCACTTCCCTAACTTCTGTCTCTGGACAGTCACCAGACAGCAACAACACCACTACTCAACGACCACCACCATCAGAATGTGCTATTACAAGCGCATGCTCTGGTACTGTGGCTGCCAATTTGGGGTCATGCTGACTTGGAAGTACGAATTCCGGGGCACCCCTCAGTGCAGGCGGCGTCACTTGCTCGACCGACTTCGCTTCAGTGTCCCGTGCAGAGCCCATCGCCGCGGCGGCGGCGGCGGCGGAAGCACCATGGACTCCAGCGGTGGAACCGTCTCCGGCTCCGGCAACAACTCCGGCGCCAACTCCGGTGCCAACCCCAGCGATTAAAGATTGGCGAGCGGGGGGATGCTGGCGGGTGGATGAGGGGTAATCAAGGACAAGAACAAGTTCTCCTTCAGAAACGCACGTCGGCCATGTTCAACGAGCTAGAGTTGTTTTCCTGTCTCTACCTAAGCTTGCTCGTACCATGCCGCGTCTACATCATCAGTAGGGACTGAATCACTTCGGCTTGAAACTGAGAGAGTGTGCTCTCTGGAGGAAACACGGGATGACTGGGGTATTTGGAGAATTGGAGGACTTTATCTGTCGCTTTATTGGGTCGTCTACCGACTCGTTCAATTTCCTGGCACAATGATGCCGGACATCCGCAGCTCTTGGTTTCATGGAGTCGCTCAGGGGTTGCAAGTGGAATGAATCTTGGCTCTCATAGCTCCAGTCTCAACCAGGTCTAGACTCTGTGCTTGCTATACGTGTGTGACATTGCTTGACACTTAAGGTAGTGGTTGATGTGCGTAGGACTCGGCTTCCATTCCGGATGTTCACTGCAAGCTTTGGCGTTGGCAATGATTCGGCACTTGAGCAACCAAGGTCAGAAGTTGCTCCGCAATCTTGAACCAAGTTGTGTTGAGGCTTACCACTTCGGTATAATAGGGAATGGGCTGGTTCTTCAATCAATTGAGGCAATGTAGAATTGACAAGGCAGAATTGGGAAACGAGTCACTGCAGTGGTAACCAGGAATGTCCATTCTTCTTATTCCATGTCCCAGCAACATCATCATCAAGGTGCCCTACGATGTTACAGTCAGATTATCTCCCGTTCATTCAGCCCAACAGACACTGACTACCTGAGTGGAGGGACAGGCACGAGATGGGCGATAAATACGCAACGTGTGATTTGCCGAAGTGCCGGGGGATGGCTCATTGTGCCGTGCTCCCGTCCCGACCTATGAGCGTTGTCATCATGAGCCAACAACAACGTCGGCTAACTCCAAGGTTGACAGCCAACAGACTCCTTCAGTTACTATAAGGTCCCTGTGTTAGGCTGTGTCTTGGCCATCGACTCGATAACCTTCCCACTCATCTTCAAAGTCCTCATCAAAAACCATCCTATCTTCATACCAAATCACCAAACCATGCCTTCGCACGCTGAATCAAAGACATCAACAGCAGTCTCCTCCTCCTCCTCTTCAACTACCATCCCACTAGCAACCTCCCTCACACTCGCCGTTACCCTCAACGTCCTCCTCCGCCTGTTTGTCTACCCCACCTTCGAGCCTGCATGGGGCATCTGGGCTGTCCTCCCCGGCACTATGGCAAGTGGCGTTACCTGGGTCGGCGTTTATCGCGCGTTATCCGGGCAGGCCGGCATCATCAACCCGTGGCTCAACGTCGCTGTCGGCTTCTGCCTCGGTGTTGGGGTTGACAGGGTGTTTGAGCGTCTGTGCAGAGTTTGTTGCCAGGCAAGCGCACGTCTCAAGGCACCGGCACTGGGTTGAGCACATCGTGGATACAAGGCGGTGAGGGAATTTGCCTCTCACTGTTGGGAGGAAGGTATCGCAAAGTCGTCAACAGGCACACCGTAAGCTTGTCGGAGTGTTCCCGTCCTCCCCTCATGATCAGACTGTATGGCTTACATGTATATTGAGGCCAGGCGATGGTACTGTACCTACGCAGCAAATATGTACACCTCCAGCACTGTCTGTCGTAACCACTGTGGCCGCTCGAGCCTCCGCCCGCCTGCAAAAATAGAAGGAAGTGAGGTGGACGTGGTCGGATTCGAATCAACTACTCCGCAGGTATACTGAGAACTACCCGGAATGTACCAACACACCACACACCCATTGATGGTCTGTGTAAAGTTTAAATTTATAGCCCGGGCCTTGATGAGACGGACACCTCCTGTCTGCTGTTTCGGGTGGGTGCCAGGCAGGCGCAACCAAGATCCCCTTATTAGCGCACCTTGGGTGTCACCTTAGGTACACAAAAGGACAGGTGCTACTGGGAAGGGAAGGGGACTTACTCTTTAGGTATTGGGCAAGAATTAGAGCCACAAGATACCAGTGCAATGGAGATGCCATCATCTTGGCTGTTTCTCGATAAACATCATGATCGCGGTAACCCCGGGCTGTACTGTACCCGTGCCTGACCGCTCTGACATCTCTCATGGTCAACGGGTCAAGCGATAACTCGGGAGTCGGGCTGTTGTGAACCTAGGTTCTGTACTAGTAAAGAGTAATGCACAATGTGACAATAGTAAGAAGGAATTAGCTCTACATTAGCATACATACGCTGCGAACTCTCAGGCTTCTTATCATTTTACATTGTTCGTAGGTATATTTCTCTTGTACTCCTGTGGCACTGTCTACCTATTCCCCCTTCTTCGGCTCCGACCCGGGTATCTCTTCTCCCGTCTCCTCGTCCACCCTCGGACTCTCATCCGCCAAGCCCTTGAACTTGGGCAGCCCATCCTTAATGTCAATAACCCTCTGTGGGTAAAACATATGGCATTGTGCCTTGAAGGCCTCTCTGCCCTCTGGCGTGTTGATTCCCTCAATCAGCGTTGGAAAGAGCAGGATCATGTTTCGTCCCTCGTCCATGATCGGGGTCCGACAGTAGGCGCACTGCACCTTGCAGGGCAGGTGATGGGTTGTCGATTTTGCCGTGGGATCGTACCAGCCCAGGTCGTGGTGGCCGTTGGTGAAGTTGATGTCCTCTTTGTGGAAGATGGCGGCCCATTGGAAGGGGGCCTGTGTGCGGATGTCAGTACGGCATCGCTGACGCCATCGATCATACTCAGGAAAGGTAAAACTCACGCCGTGCATTCGCTGGCAGGTCGTGCAGTGGCAGTACTTGGAGGCCAAAGGCTTCTCGCGGCTGAGCTCGTACTGGACGGCGCCGCAGTGACACTTGCCCTTCCACTTCACGGGGAAATTCTCGGCCTTGTCGCGTAACCGGTAGGGGGGACGGAGCTTCCATTCATCCTCCTCGCGATGTGTAGTTGAGCCGGCCTGATACTGATGAGGTTCGTTGCCATCGCTTCGTTTGTCGCCGTCTTTTGTTTCCTTCATCTTGGCGACGATTGGTGAGATGGTGAAGGTCCGGGAGGGGGCTCTAGTCTGGAATTTCTGGATTTGCTGGGCGATTGAAGAAACACAGGGCCGAGAGCGGGATAAAATCATGAGGGCTTCGCGGGCGGATCAAGATGCCAGTCCAACCCGTATACAAATATCGGGTAACGCTTGGAGATTGACACTTCTAGTCTTGGTCTTTCACCGAATTCGCACCAGGAATTGACGTGCTACGGTGTTAGCTTTTTGTTGCGCAGTTTGAGGGTGCTAGACGGTTTAGCCAAATACTAGTTCGGCAAGTTATCTACATCCACTCAACCTGTCTTTATAGGTTTCTCAAATGATGACCGAGTTCAGTTCTGGAGCGATGATGGCATCTGAGGTGACCGGGAGCAAAGGCTCCTGATATGTGGAATGTTGACGTCATGACGCGCCGCACAAACGGTGTCTGTCGCACGAAGCTCCTCGTAGTACAATTTGGATGCTAATATGCACCGTTAGTGCCTTGCATCGAAACCATAGATCTAAATGTGTAACAAACCTCTTAGTATCGCTTCATGATTAGGTATAATAGTACTTTCAGCTTCAGTTCAACCCATCATCCTTCGGATCCCACTGCGAGGGGCAACCATGACCAGCCCATCATCGGCACCGAGGAACGGACCTCCGGACGTAAAAACGACGAGAAATATTATATCGCGGTTATCGGGGCCCAATAGAACTCTCCGCAAATCCGAATCACCGCGCCTGTCGCGCTTATCATGACTTGGCAAGGGATTCAGCCATGCGGACGCGTGAGGTGATTCAACCCACGTTTATCCTAATCCGGCTGTTCGGGACCGAAGAGATATGGGGAACTGCGCAAAGGATGTGGTGTAGAGGTTGATAAGTAGGTGCTCTTGCTCGAGACTATTGCGCAGGTCAAAGGTATGACCTAGATAAGTGTCAGAATTCGAATATCCCAAATCGACTTGCTGGAGTTGTTGGCCTGAGACAAGCTTTTTATCCTCCCAATGGGGTCAAAGTCAGGTTTTGACTTGATTCAGGCTGCTGAGTCTCTGCTTCAAGACGCCAAGAAGCTCGTAGCTGCAACCCAATCCGGTCCTACCAGTAATGACGAAGAGATTATCTTAAGGCAGGGCATCGCGCAGGCCGCGAAGAAGATCGCATTCGAGACGGCACCGCCAATCGACGTTGTGAAGTCTGACTGGATTGTCGTACGCCTTCACACTTCCACCCACCACCACCACCTTCCCCTAGCTAACCCGCCTCTGCCCTAATTCCCAGCTCGCCGACGTCGCAGCATGGAACATCTTCATCGCCTGGAAGGCCTTCGACCACATCCCTCTCCCGCCAGGCCACATCTCCATCCGCGACCTGGCCCGCGCCATAGACGCGCAAGAATCCCTGGTTGCGCGAATCGCCAACCTCTTACTCTCCGTAGGCAAGCTCAACCCGGGCCCGGAACCGGGCACCGTGGCCCACTCGCGCGTCTCGCCGCTATACCGCTCCGCCAGCCCCGCCAGTGCTCTCGCCACGGTCGCCGTCGGCAACGGCATGAAGCCCTACGCCCACTGGCCCGAGTACTTCCGCACCTACGGCCGCCGCGAGCCGCCCGGCCAGACCCACACCCCGTTCAGCTTCGCCTGGAACCATCCCGAGCTGGCCCCCTGGGAGGTCAAAGCGCTTGATCCAGAGTACGCGGCTACCTTTGCTAGGTCCATGGAGAGTCGGCAGATTGTTGGGGGCAATATGCCCGTTGCCGGGCCCGAAGCGTTGTATGACCTGACTTGGGTCGGGGAGGAGGCAAGGATGAGGGGGGAGGGCGAGGCGGTCGTGGTTGATGTCGGAGGCGGCTTGGGGCAGTTGCTGCGGGATCTTATCGCGTCGGTGCCGGGGTTGAAGCCGGGGCAGTGTGTCCTGCAGGACCGGAAGGAGGTGATTGAGGAAGCCAGGGAGGCGGCGGGTGAGGGTTTGATGGGCGTGGTGATGATGGAGCATGATTTTCATGGGGAGCAGCCCGTTAAAGGTGAGAAAGGATGAGGTTTGGGTAGTGTACCCCAAAGGTTCCTGGCTAACGTGGCTGCAAGGCGCGGTGGTCTATCTCCTCCGCCGCATCCTCCTCGACTACCCCGACGAACTTGCGATTGGGATTCTTCGACAACTTGCCGAGGCCCTTCCGGTCGACAACCCCAAGGCACGCATCATCATCATGGAGGAGAGGTTGCTGGAGACGCCGACGCCCATGAATTGTATCGTGGACTTGGTCATGCTGAATATTGGGGGGAAGCTTCGCAACGAGGCAATGTTTGGCGAGCTTGCTGCCGCAGCAGGCTTGAGGATGGCCAAATACCATGCAAGACAGGGCGATCCGACCTGCGTTGTAGAATGCGCGAGAGCTTAATGGGCGCGAGGGATCACATCCATGATCCTGAAGTTTGCGGGGTATTTAAGTGAGAGTTTCCTGCGGATATCTAACATTACCTGGTATCGTGTCAATTTGGAGATCCAGCGTTTGTTCAAACAGCATCGCCACTTGGCGTTAAGTTACCCAGCTTGCCTCACAGGGTCATCCGAAGGTATCGCACCACAGCTGGCTGGGGCTTCCTCCCAACCTAATCCGGGAGCATTGAGAGCGCCAAGCAAACAAAAGGAAGCAACGCCAGCATGGCATAACGGCTGAAAGTCGGCAACTCATCGCAAGGCTCATAAAATGCTGCCCGTGGTTGCACGGCGTTGAACACACAAAGTCAAGGCCAGTAAGGTGCCGGAATCTGACCATGTGTACCCAGAGTCCTAGACGGCCCGCACTCCGCAGCCTCCCGCCGCAACCCTCCTCTTTGCAGCTGGAGCGGCAGCAAATGGGCCGTGGCTGCTGCGGTCGGGGAATTGCGGCCAAATGGACCGGCTCAAGCGCGGCAATTCGGGAGAGGAGAGCGAGATAATAAAAACAAGCGACCGACAAACGCAGGTCGAGCGAAGCAATGCGAAAATGGCGCAACTTTCTACCCTGTCTTGCGTGGTCTGCGTGGTCGGCGTGCCCTTTTCAGCCTGATGTTTACCATCAGAGTCATCGTTGAGGCTTGGAGCCGTTTGTAGGGGGACGGGAATCCTTTGCAAATGGCAATAAGGAAGTCGCTGTGGTAAAGTTATAGGCATCCAGAGGATCGAATTTTGAGGACTTGGCTAGGCAGAACAGCTGTCTCCTGGACCCACCTGACCACAGTTGCAACGATCTCTCGAGTCTTGACTGCAACAACAGCAGAAATGTGTGCCGTTCGGTTGTCGAGCAATATCAGTGCTGCTGGCCGCATCAAACAGATACACTGACAGCACAGCGTATGCCATTCATCTCAATTTCCCATGTATTTACTGCTAGCTGCCACCTTTCCACTCTTCATCCATCCGCTGGAGCCTAGTGGCACCACCGGCAATCTCGCCAAGACAATTCCACCACTTCGAAGGGTTGCGGACAAGGACACAGAAAGGTCCTCAGGGTAGAAACATCGGGATCAGCCTAGAAAAAACAAAAGATCAATAATCCAGGCAATGCCGTGTTCATATTGTACACAACTACAGTGTCAGAGTTATGAAACTCCATCGTTGGCGGAGTTTGTTGTATGCTTGCAGAACCAGGCCATCCTGTCGCTGCCTGCCCCGCTACCTCTACACTATCTGGGCACTGCTCACTGCTCTGCCGACCCTCGCCCTGCCCGTTAGCACATGCCGCCCAATCACACGGCGGGATCGTGAATAACCGGGTCGAATCGAGCAATCTGCTGCAAGCAATGCAGGGAACTCGCTCGAGAATGTCCGATGAGGAGCATACAGAGACAGGGGAGGTTCCAGGGAGGTTGGCAACCGGGAAAACCAAAGTGGACAACAGTGACGTTAGGTTCATCTTGAAAGTCCAGAACCCGTCTCACCCGTCCAGGGGCGGCCCCAAAGCGTGCCATTGACAGAGATTAGCTCTCGGGCTTGATACGATAACGCTAATTGCCCCACCATAGTGGGTTTCTTGCGACCCGAACCCCGCCGTGCCCGTCATAGCTGCCAATGCCGGGCCAAACCTGATGAATCCCCCGCTGGTTGCTTGCTCTTCTGCCCCGCTGAACGCGAGCTGTCATATCCCTCCTATCCTCAACAAGTGGAGGTGGCTTTCTGTACACATACTTAACTCGCACCTTTTCCCGCCCAGTTTTGGCTCTTGGCGCATTTTTGGTTCACCTGGCGAGCTCGACCATTCGACATCGCATCCTACGCAGATTCGCCGCCCCCCATGGAGCAGCAGAAAGCAGGCGCTCCCGACGACGCCTTAGGGACAACTGGAGGCGTGTTGCAGCCCTCGCCGTTGCGGCCTGGCGTTCCTGAACGCACTGAATCTTTCCTCCCGCCGCACCTCCGCGAATCCGTCACCTGCGTGCCCGTCACGCCAGACATCGAACGCAACACGTACGACGGGGACCTTTGGGATAGGGCCGCTAACGATGCCGAGCGCAACCGCGGGGACAGCAACGACTACTTCACAAGGCAGGAGATTGACCACGCCATTGCGGCGTCTCCAGTCCCGCATACGACAGATGTCGAGGGCCAATCTTTTGAGGCCAAGGTTGCTACGGGCGCCGAGGAAGGAAAGGGCTTCCTCCGGCGCGTGAGCGTCGCCGTCATGGGTGACGGAGCCCATCACAAAGAGTCCATGTCCGATATTCGAGCCATCAGCCCCGATCTTGCCCTCACAGGGAACATTATTTCAGCCACCTTCAACCTCCCGCACACGCTCAAGTACCGGAAGGGTGCCGACTGGGTAGGTTGGATATTTGCTTTACCTCTTTTTGGTTTTTGTTTCCGCTATTAGAGCCGCTCAGCCGTGTCTTGGTCAATGGCTGGCCTTGATTGTGCATGCAGAACTGGATTATGCCAAGCTCAGGATGGTGGGGCTGATGTCATCGTTTCGCTGCAGGAATTAGCTCCCCGCCGAGGCCAGTCGGCCCTTTTCGACGCTTTCTCGTACCTCTCGTCCGACGAGGCGCCTTGGAACCACACCGTCGTCGCCTGGACAGGCGAGATAGAGGTCCCTTCGGATGTGCTTTCGCCGCCGGGCACGCCGCCGTCGACGACGGTGCACCTCAGCTCGCTCAATGTTCTCTCCAAACCGGTGCCGATTGACGCCGGCCAAGCCCCGCCGACCCCGCCAACCGTCGACGGGCTGTGGATCCCAAAGGAGGACATGGAACGCCTGGAACATCAACTGTCCCACAGCACCAATATCAAGACCATTCCAGTGTGGTTGGCTGACGACACAGAGGGCCACGAAGATGGCATTCGGCTGAAGGACCAGGCCCGGTGGCGGCGCTACGCCGAGCACGATCTCTACACTCTCTTCCACTACAAGCAGCACGAGCCGACCGACGGGCGTGCCGAGCGGGTGCAGTGGGCCGACTACTTCCGCATGAACCAAAAGTTCGCCAACAAGATCCTCGAGGTCTACAAGCCTGGCGACATTGTCATTGTACACGACTACAACCTGATGCTTCTTCCGAGCATGCTCAGGCAGCGCGCTCCGCACATGTACATTGCCTTCTTCCTGCATTCGCCCTTTCCCAGCAGCGAGTTCCTGCGGTGTCTACCCCGGAGAAAGGAGGTCTTGGAAGGTGTCTTGGGCGCGAACCTGGTCGGCTTCCAGAGCTACAGCTACTCCAGGCACTTTGCCAGCTGTTGCACGCGCATCCTTGGCTTCCCGTCGGATAGTTCCGGCGTGGATGCCTACGGTTCGCGCGTCGAGGTTGGCGTCTTCCCCATCGGCATTGACGCGGCCAAAACGGCCAGCCTGGCTTGGTCAGATTCTGTCAACGAAAAGTATGCGGCCCTGAAAAAGTTGTATGCCGGCAAGAAGGTCATAGTGGGCCGCGACCGCCTGGATAGTGTCCGCGGGGTTGCGCAGAAGCTTATGGCGTTTGAGCGCTTCCTCGAAATGTACCCCGAGTGGCGCGACAAGGTAGTTTTGATCCAGGTCACGTCGCCAACCAACATCGAGGCGGAAAAGGAGGACCCGGAGAACAAGATATCCAGCCGGGTGAACGAGCTCGTCATGAAGATCAACGGGGCGTACGGGTCCATCAGCTTCTCCCCTGTCCAGCACTATCCGCAGTATATCAGCCAGGACGAGTACCTGGCTCTGCTTCGTGTAGCCGACATTGGCTTGATCACGTCGGTGAGGGATGGGATGAACACGACATCGCTCGAATACGTTATCTGCCAGCGTGAAACCGCTGGACCCTTGATTCTCTCGGAGTTCAGCGGCACGGCCGGCTCGCTTAAGGACGCGATCCATATCAACCCGTGGGACCTAACAGGTGTTGCCGAGCAGATCAACCATGCGCTCACGATGCCGGAATCCGACCGCCAGCGGATGCAGCAAAATCTCCTGGCGCATGTCACCAGTAAGAATGTGCAGTATTGGATTGCCGGCTTTCTTCGACGCCTGGTCAGTGTGCTCGGGAGCAGGAAGAATGCCACAGCTACTCCGCTGCTCGACCGCTCCGCGATGCTCAGGAAGTATCGCGCCGCGTCGAAGCGGCTGTTCATGTTTGACTACGACGGCACCCTGACGCCGATTGTCCGGGAGCCCAGCGCGGCGATCCCTTCGGAGCGCGTCATTACTAGTCTGAAGGCGCTGGCTTCTGACCCTAAGAATGCTGTTTGGATCATTTCGGGACGTGACCAAGAGTTTCTCACACAACATCTGGGCCACATTCCCGCACTGGGCTTCAGTGCTGAGCATGGTAGTTTCATGAAGCACCCTGGAGATACCGAGTGGGAGAATCTGGCCAAGAAGTTCGACATGGGATGGCAGCCTGAGGTTTTGGATGTGTTTCAGAAGTACACAGACAAAGTTCCTGGTAAGTTCGCGTTAGCCGTTGCATCGCAACTCTTCATCGCAACTCTTCATCGCCGCTAACACCGTTTGAAGGCTCGTTTATTGAACAGAAGCGGTGCGCTCTTACATGGCACTACCGCCTGGCTGATCCCGAACAAGGCCTGCACATGGCGCAGGAGTGCCAAAAAGAACTCGAGAGGACAACTGCGCGAAAGTGGGATGTCGAAGTCATGACAGGCAAGGCCAATCTCGAGGTGCGCCCAACGTTCATCAACAAGGGCGAGATGGCCAAGCGGCTGGTGACGACGTACAATGCCCAGCTCAAAGCGGACGAATCGTCAACCGCGGGCAAGCTGGAGTTTATACTCTGCATGGGCGACGACTTTACCGACGAGGACATGTTCCGCGCGCTGAACACTGTGTCCTCGCCAGAGGGCGACGCACCCGAGGTGGCCGCTGATAATGTCTTTACCGTCACGGTGGGCGCGAGCACAAAGGTCACGCTGGCCCACTGGCACCTCCTGGAGCCCGAGGACGTGATTGAGTGTGTGGCGCTGTTGGCTGGCGTGGGCGGATCGGGCACGGGAGCCACTGGCGGGGCGCTGAGCATGGGTGAGGTCAATCTCGCTGCGCTGAGCGCGGTCGAGGATCACATTCCTGGCCAGAAGTGACTACCTGGGCGGGAGGCGGAGGTGAAGAGTAAGCTCTGAGTCAGAGGGAGGGTGGTGTTCGTCATTATCCAGCGTTTTGCTTTCCTGCCTGTTTTTCCCGAGTTCCGACCCTCATGACTCATGCTCGCAGCCTCATTTAGCGATTGCATTTTTCCTGTCCCAGGGGTGCTACCTACTACTACTTATGTAGTGATGTGCCCGGGCTGATTTGGTCGATACATAAGGAAGTGGAGGTCAGCGTGGTGAAGTGATAGACGGCCGATACAGGGACTCGGGGAGTGTGTCGGCTTGCATTGACAGATGAATAGATTTTGGTGTAATGCTGACTGTTGATTTTGACTATGTGGGAGTACTTGCTGTTGACTGTATTGGAAGGTGTTGTGCAGATGCTCATGGGTTGGTCTTCTTATGCTGACCAAAACATCCGGCAATAGCTTAGCAAAATCGCGGCCTGTGGTATCTAACAGTATCATAAAGGCTCACGTGAATTTGTGAATCGCCCGAGCCGCCCGGCTTGGTTGCATCGGGATGATATCCGAACCAGATCCGGTCGAACCAGGTTTCAGGGGTGTTGCCAAGGTCGTGCCCGTGGCAGCATCGTGAAACATGACCAAGATCGGATCGCAATTCTCAAAGTGAGATGTCAGCTGTCACCGCACTCACATTCACGTCATCCGAGCTGATGACACTCAGATAACTCGGATTAGCTAAAACACATTTTGAATTCTGATCAGTTATTGCAGTGTACCATCACCATGCAGCTGCCAGCCGGGCTGCCAGTGGCTCTGCCGGCCCTGACCTCAACCCTCCCGCTGAGACCGCCGCTCAACGCGTGTCAGGCGCTTGAGGTCCAGCAGCACGCTGCTATATGCCCGGCGTATTCATACCCGTTTTTATGGACGGAGGACGAGAGCGGGGGCGTGTTGGGAGGGTTGGGCTTGAATTTGAACCTGAACTGGCACCGTCTACCGGACCCGGTGTTGGCGTATTTGGTTTTGAAGCAGAAACTGGAGGAACGGGAACGGCAGGCTGAGTTGGCGGGTGCGGAGGAGGTGTCAGAGTCGCGTGATCCGGGCCATCTGGCTCGGTCGGGGACGGTGCCGGTGACGGAAAGTTTAAATGACTCGGAAGATGGCTCGTCAGTGTCATTAGAGGAAGGGACACACTCCCAGGCAAAGGAGGAACCACGGAGATCAACTCACTCAGGCTCTGAATCTGAGTCTAAGTCGCCATGGACAGAACCCCCCGGTCCCGGATCGTCCTGTCGCCGTGCAGCTCGGGGTGTACCCTCCCAGTCCGAGCACTGCGTCTTCACACATACCGCCTTCAACAACCGGCTTGGTCTGGCCCTGGTCACGACGAGGGAAACGGTCCGGATGCTTGCCGCGCAGCCACCGCTGAACGGAGTGAACACATCGTCTTCGTCTGCACAACCACAACCTGGCCTTCACGGGTCTGCTACAAACCAGGGTGGTAGTAGTGGGAGTGGTGGTGGTGGTGGTGGCGCAGACGCGCTCTACACAGCCAAGGAAATACCCGGCAAGGGCCTCGGCTTGGTCGCTACACGGCCCATTCGCGCAGGGACTAAGATTATGGACGCAAGACCGGCGGTCATGGTGGATGACGAGGCGTGGCGCGGGATGAGGCGGGCGGAGTTGCAGGTGCTGGTTGGGATGGCTGTGGGGGGGTTGTCGGAGGGGTTAAAAAAGGAATTCGTGAGCTTGGACAGTTCCGGTTCTGATGACACTGGCAGTGGTCAGAACGGGAGTGGTAGTGATGGTGGTGGGAAGGGAATGGAGAATGGGCAGGGGAGGAGGGAGTATGGGGTCATGGTGACCAATGCGTTTCGGGTGACGGTCAAGTTCGCTGCTGGGGGTCATGATAATGGTGATGGGGTTGTACATGTAAGGGGCGGCGTTGGCGGAAAGGTTAAGGAGAAAGATTTCCACGCGGTGTTTCCGGAAGGTGAGTTGAGTGCCTGATGGAGGGGGACGTGAAAGTGAGTGGTGATGCTGAGCGAGTGCCATGGCAGTGTCGCGTCTGAACCACGACTGCGCGCCGAACCTGGGGTATTACTTCGACTCGGCCACCCTCTCGCAAAAGGTCTATGCCGTCAGGGATATCCTCCCCGGAGAGGAGCTTACCGTCAGCTACGTCGAGTATGGATCACGCCCTCCCTCACTAAACTTTCCCGATCCGTACTGTTGACTGCTGACGCTTGACATTTCTTTCCTACCCAGCGTCATCCAACCGCGCTCCATCCGCCAATCCCGCCTGCACTCCGGGTGGTCTTTTGCCTGCACCTGTCCGCGCTGTACGTTGGAACCGCACCTCCTTGCTGAATCGGACGACCGCGTCGCGCAGATGCAGCAGCTGCGTCGGGAGCTGGACGACTACTCCTCGACCTCGACCGCAGCAACGCCGGAAAGGGCCGAGCTGCTGGTCATCCTGTACGAGCTTGAGCACCTGCATGTGCGCATCTATGAGGCTTACTACCGCGCTGCGCTGGAATGGAACGGCGTTGGGGATGCGGCGCGCGCGGCCAAGTATGCGCGCTTGTGTTTGGATAAGGGGTTGTTGTTAAGGGGAGAGGACAGGCCGTTTGTAAAAAGTATGAGGGAGCTGTTGAAGGATGCGAAGGCGCATTGGAGTTGGCGGTTTAGGGTGAAGAAGAGGCAGCGGGAGAGCGAGGCAGAGGGAGGTTCCAGGGAGGGAGATACCAACAGGTAGGTAGGTATGGAAGTTACGAGATCTCGGCTTAGCTCTAAGTATGCACCACGCCACCATGCCTACGACCTAGAAACACCGGTCATTGTATGCTCATGCTGTCCTGCATCCTGGTCTGGGGCTCAGTTCATCCCACCGACCTTCAGTTTGCTATATCGTGCCGAAGACATCCGGCCGAGCTTCCTGGGAGTGCATTCGAGGCGACTTGCCTTGACGCATTCTCACCACCTGCGAACTCGCACCTGCACCCCCACCCTCAACTCCCATTCTGTTCCTCATCCCGACACGCCTCAGCAGCCCTCAACGCTCTCACAACCCGCTCCTCCAACCACGCCCAGTCCTCCAACCCGACACTAATCCTAACCAGATCCTCCACAACACCATACTCCGCCGCCCACTCCAGCTCCTTATAGTGCGCCAAGAGCGTGTAGGCACAGCACAGCGTGAAATTCGTCCCCAAGCTCGGCCCCTTAGCCACATCCAGCGCATCATAGAACGCCACCGCCCTCCCCGGCGACACAAACCGTATCGACAGCAGAAACCCATACCCGCCGCCCCCCGACACTCGGTACGCATCATACACCCCCTGCGTCGGGGATCCAGCGGGGTAATAGACCTCTCTAACAATTGCCGGTTGGTGCGCGCGCAGCAGTCCGGCCAGGGCCAGGGCGTTCCCGCTGGCCTTGCGCACGCGCTCGGTGAAATCGCGGCTGTTGCGCTCCATGACGAGCACGTCCTCCCAGTACCAGGCACTCTTTTCAGCCTCGTCGTCTTGCTGCTGGGCATGAAGGGACTCTTTAATATTCGCGGCGAAGGGTGACACGGGGGAGATGGCCACGGCCCCGCCCATGACGTTGCACCCGCCGCTGAACATCTTGGTCAGGCTTGTGCAGACGACGTCGCAGGAGCGTAGGACGTGCACGTTGGCGCTGGTTCCGACCGTGTCGTCGACTACGAGCACAAAGTTGTGCTTTCGTGAGAGGGTGTGGAGGCGGGATAGATCCGGGGATTGCAGGAGGGGGTTGCCGGGGAATTCGGTGAATACCGCGGCGATGTGGTGGCGAGGGGAGGTGGTCAGGAGGGATTCGAAGGTGTCTATGTCGGCGGGGGAGGATTTGTAGAGGATTGGGGTGTAGCCGAGGACGCGGTCGAGGGCTTTGTACGTGTCTACGTAGAGGAAGCTGTTTTGCGGGAGTAAGGTAAGTAAGTCTTTGCGTTCGTTGGAAAGGGGGTTGGTGATCTGGGCGAGGTGACAAACCCGAACACGGCAACCCGGGAGCGCGCGCCGGGAACTGAGAACCGGAGCAACGACTTGACTGCGGCTGCGGTCTCGACAATGGCGGTCATTCCCGTTTGATAGAGGAAGACGTCGTCTTCGGTGACACTGATGCCGTCAGACGGGGATGAATGGCCTGCAGCGATGCGTTGTTTCAGTGTTGTTCTGGCCAGGTCGAGCTGGTGGCGTGTCTCCGTATCGTCTATGACTTTAGGGTACCAGGGGTTTGGTGACAGGAATGGCGCGTGGTCCAGCCAGTGTCTCGCCCGCCTGCTGGATATTCCGTAACCCGTGTGCTGCCAGAAGGCTTTGGCTTCCGCAGCGAGCTCCGAGGGGTAGGACACGAGGATGATGTCCTCATTGCCGACGCCATTCATCCGGTCGGTGGCCTGGACGCCATTCATCCGGTCGGTGGCCTGGACGCCATTCACTCGGTCGTTCCAGCGAACGGTGCGTATGCTTATATCGGGATCAGAATGCAATGGACTCCATCTGCTCAGGACCTCTCTACAACGCCGAGCCTGGTTGCCTGTGGACAGGAGGAGGGCGAGCCTCGTGCCGGTATTCCTTCTGCTACCATAGTAGTTTGACTTGTGCCTTGATTCGTATATCTCCAACAGCCGCATAGCCAGATGGTCGACGACTCGAGGGATGAAGAAGCGCGGGTACCCTGTAGCCATCTCCTTCAGGACACGTGGTTCACGGGTGGCCCAACCGACCGTGTCGGCCCATTTGGGCAAGCTGACGCTAACGCCCTACAACTTGATTAGAAAGGTCACTTGAGGTATCTTGGTGTTTTGATTCTCACATGGGGGTCATTCGGAGGCAGTGGCTCGCCGAGTGCCAGCTGTTCTGGTGAGGGAATGATGCTCATCGTGCCCAGGTTTATGTCGTTCTTGACCTGGGCTGGGTTACAGCAGTGATTGTTTGCAGTTGACATCTGGACGTGGAGACGCTCATATACCGGTTGGATTCTCACCCTCACCGCTTCCACAAAAGCAGGGCAAGCTCCGCGGCGGCTTGCAGGTGGCGTCGGGTAGTGACAGGTCCCAAATCATTGATGTCTCAGATGGTTGGCCACTGAAGTCAGTTAGTTCCTGGGTTGTATGTACATACATAGGTACATAAGGTGAGTATGTACATGCCAAAACATGGTTACATTACCTCGGACTCTCTCATCGTCACTCAACTTTCCACCTCGGATTGTTCTCGCCAGTAGCTGATGGCATGAGCACTTAAGACCCAGGAACATGCTGAGAAAGGTAGCTTTGGCCTGGAAGAAATAAGACTGGAACGCACCTGATACTCCCTTGATGTGTTATTAATAATCTTGTTTGTATTCTATAGCTCTGGAAGTGTCAGTGTAGCCAACCCCTGGGCCCTTGTTCTCAGGGGCCGCAATAAGCCGAAACCTGAGCATGACATGTGCTCAAAGCCAACGCAGTGAACGTACTCTGAATCGTCCATCAGTAGGCGTGACTTGCCCCTGATACAAAACATTCAATGTAATTGGTATGTCTTTGAGCAGCCTGGGCGTATAAAGCCTCTTTGTGTGAGATGTCTGCCCATTCCAATCTCGCCGTCCAAGTGAGGCCACGAGAGGGAGCCTTCACAGTCATCATGATTCCACTTGGGCCATATCCTCGCCGCAAGTGACATGTTTGCGCAGAATCAGATTGTTGTCAGCCGGCAGAAACACGCAGAGATACAAAGATCGACTCGACGAGGGGTCGTCCGCCAAGACAGGTCATCGCCTCGACGATGATAGCTCACGCCTATTCAGGCGGGAGTGACCCGCGAGACCCGCGTCACGATGTGGGCTGCTCTCTTCCTTCCTCCTGCCTTGCTTTGCGAGTTTCTTCAGCTCACAGGCAGTCGATTCCTCTCGACCTTAACCTGCCCGAGAAATCTCTTCCTCTCCGGCTTCCACCCCTCTCTTCTGTTCTTCTTTTCCAGCTTCATAAAGCGACAGTTCCAGCGCGCAAACCAGACGGTCAAACCTCTGCCACAATGAGTACTCGGTACTCGCTGCGCGAAAGGAAGCGCGCGCTGAATTACGACGAAACCAAAGTTTATCGTGACTCGGATGAGACGGGTGATTCGGAGGACGACACGCCGCGCCAGAAAGGTCGAGGCGAGACTCTTTCTCGCGATAATAATGGGGGTGACACCACCGACACTTCTTCTCTGCCTGCCATTGAGGCCAAAGATTCAGAGCCCCAAGTGAAGACCGTTGAAGGCGAGGCCACGCGTAAAGGACCTGCTGGGGCCGGTTCCATGGTTGCATTTGCTTCTCGCAAGTCGAATGGCCTTCCCAATGCTAACCACACCGTCCCCACGCTGAGGCATCCTGTTGGAAACGGCCTCGGCAGCTGGCGGCCAGGAGCCATTGGCAGCTGGAAACAAGAGTCCAACTTTTGGGAGTCGAACTTGTTGACCAAAGATACGACCCAGCTGTTGAATAGGCCTGCTGCTGGTGTTATGAAAGAGGGTCCAGCCATGCCACGAGCAACAGGCTCTGGCCTTGGAGGTTCCCTGGCGAATGATGTTCCCGCTCAACAGAATGATTCCCTCTCCCAGTCAGGCGCTGTTGACAAATCTGAGAATAACCCAGGGGGATGGGATTCGGGCCAGCTAGTTTCCTCCGCTCTGGGTTCTTCCTCGAAGGATATTGCTGGAGAGGCACAGGCCAAGGACGACAACCATAAGGGTTCGGAGCAGTCACCGGCAGTGGAGGCGCAGGAGAGAGAGCCAGCGGTTCCTAGCCATCCTGGTTCTTCCATCTCATCGGGCGTGCATTTCCCAGAACAGCAGATGGTGAACACGGCAACACATGCAACCTCGCATTCGACCAACGGCCTGCCAATCGACCCCCGTGTCGACTCGATCGTTGCCCCGCCTGGCGGCCCCCTTTCAGCATCTTTCAATTCTGGGCTGTTGCCGTTTCGCCTTGACACATCTGTTCCCCTCGCAAGCCAGAAAACTACCCCAGGCTTCTTCGATCGGAATCTCTCTTCATACATTCTTGGCCTTCCCACCGTCCAGAAAAATCAAGCAATGGCCGACGGAAACGACAACGCGTCGGGCGACGCGCAGTGGAATCAACCCAACTACTTCGGCGACAATAACATCGGAATGCAGTCGGCACTCGGAAACGCCGCTTTGAATGCCGCCCAGGGGTCGGGAAATTCGAACGCCCTGAGCTTCGTCGCCGAATACGGAGAAGATCAAAACACCAACCCCGACAATTTCCGCAAGCAGCAGGGTGGTTTTGACAACAATCCACGCGACAGCATGAACCCCAACGCGCTCCAGAACTTCAACTTCGGCTCTGCCGTCGATGCCAACGATCCGAACGTCGACCCTGCTGCAGGCAATCAAGATCTTGTCCATCTGTTCCTCAATTTCAACGAGCAGGCAGGCCCTTTCGCGCCCATGGAGCACGGCGGTAACGGTCACGGCGACCATGATCACCACCACATGCACCCCGTCCACCCGTCCATGGGCCACGGCAACAGCGGTAACGGTCAACATCACGACAATCAGCACATCATGCACCCTGCCCACCCGCCCATGGACCACCGCCACAGCGGTAACGGTCACCCTCACCATGACAATGAGCACAACATGCTCCCCATTCACCCGCCCATGGACCACAACGGTGCCGGTGCCGGTAACGGTAACGGCCACCACGACGACCAGCACCCCGTCCATCCAGTCCACCCATGGTTCACCGGCAAATCCGAAGTCAACTACGATGACCCAGCCCTTCCCCGCTTGCCCACCACCGCAGACAAGCCGTACACCCCGCCGCAGCTCCCTCATCTGCCGCGCTTCCGCGCAGAGCGCGTCCACCGCGTGTTCCTCGCCCCGCGTCGTTTCCTACCCATCATCGGCCTGCTGTATCCCGACGCCGATTTCATCGTCGCACGCCACCCCGCCTCACAGCACGTGGCGCTGCGCATGGTCGGCCGCGCCATGGCCCGCGCTGCGGCGCTCGATCTCTGCCTGCACGACGCAGACGACGCTGGCAACAACAACTTGAATAACTGCAACAAGGAAGAGCAAGATGAGGCGCTGTTCGCCATCTGCCTCTGGCGGCGCGACTGGCCGTCTGGCGGAGCTGCACGCATCAAGAACACAGAGGAGGACAAGCAGAAGCTGAATGCCGTGCTGGGTACCTTTGGGAGCCTGCCGCGCCAGGGAGGCGAGGAGGTTGAGGTGTGGAATTACTGGCGCGACGGGGAGCATCACCTGCGCGTGGTGAGGGGATATCGGGCCAGAGGGGTCGATGGGCAGCGGTATGATGATCGGACTCTTGCTCTGTGGGCGGCGTCTAAGAAGGGGGTGGTGCTGGAGGATAAGCTGGGCAAGGAGATCCTGGCGTTCATGTGCGAGCCGCCGCAGCACGAGGAGATTCAGGGTGGTGCTGGTGGTTCGAGGGCGAAGGGTGTCAAGCGTAAGACTAAGCGCGGTCGGCAGGCGGGTGAGGAAGATGAGGAGGCCGAGGAGGAGGAGCAGGAGGAGGAGTGATGGAAGGTCCGTGGGAAGTCAGGAGGGGACTGCTAGATGGCGGTTTCTTCGCTCCAGACGTTCCTTGCGGATATTTACCCGGTTGCTGGGATTTGGGCTTCTCGTTTCTCATTATCCAATTTCGTTTCTGGTACTTGCCCCGCCTTACCCTTACCAACCCTGGTGCCACTCTGGCATATATATGGGTTGGGGTTTTTCAGGCGGCGGGCGGTTAGTTACAGGCTTGCTTCTGCGGGATGGACATATTACCTGGAGGCTGGAGCTTGGGAATGCTACTCCTACCTAGTCCAAGGTTCAGGTCTCCCATGTTCTCCATTCTGCCGTAGATAGATGCAAGGAACAAATCAACAGATGATCCCTCGTTTCCAGTGCAATCTGTGTTGATATGGTAATACTTGATCGTCGAGTTTGAGAGACATACGCTGAGGCACCAACACATGGTGAAGATTTGCAATTGCTCCTCGCTCCAACGGTCGTGACCACCCTGTGCATGAATCCCGAGGGGGTCATCACGATTGATGGAAGTCGCGAATCGGTCAGGTGCAATGACATCATTGGCCAATTCTGTCACCGCGGCTCGGCCACGGGCCCCGCAATCGCATTTCTCGGCGTCCCGAGAATCGGGCCAAGGGTTAAGTTAGGAAAAGGCTGTGGTGCCCAGACACTGCTTTGAGTCTTGACAACCACCGCACGCGACACCCAACACATCCAAGAATGTCGCGCGAGACGGCCAAAGACGATGCACATCCGGCGGTCAAGGGGCCCAGTGCCCTGAGGTCGATCATCGCCGGCTCTACGGCTGGCGCTGTCGAGATTGGTGAGCGTCATCGGCCTTGTCTTGCTGGTCAACCACTAACCAGGTTTCTACAGCAATTACATACCCGGCCGAATGTACGTTGCGCTCCGTCCTTGCGACATCCAACCTCCTCATCCAAACTGACCCTCTAATGCGCTCGACCAGTCGCCAAGACCCGGACGCAGCTCAATCGCAGGTTAGCCGAGGGGCAAAAGCTGCCATGGCCACCGTTCGGCAGGCAATGGTACGCCGGGTGCACGACTCTGATCATTGGCAACTCGCTCAAGGCGGGGATCCGTACGCTTCACCATGAGGATCTCATACACACACAAGAGTTTAAGACTTACCAGCTCGTACATTGCAGGATTCGTCGCATTTGACCAGTACAAAAAGCTCCTCGCCGATGCTGAGGGCAAGATGACCGGTCCACGGACCGTACTAGCAGGTTTCGGCGCCGGGGTGACCGAGTCGCTGCTCGCCGTCACGCCGACCGAGAGCATCAAGACGACTCTGTACGTTCGCACCACAAACCGCGAATACCCCCTCTATCTATCATGAAACTAAACCCCCATTACACAATACAGCATCGACGACCGCAAATCCGCCAAACCCCGCCTGCGCGGCTTTCTGCACGCCGTGCCCATCATCGCGCGCGAGCGGGGCATCCGCGGGTTTTTCCAAGGTTTCGTCCCAACAACGGCACGGCAGGCAGCCAACAGCGCGACGCGGTTCGGGTCGTACACGGCACTGAAACAGCTCGCTGAGGGGTACACGGCGCCGGGGGAGAAGCTGGGCGCGCTGAGCACGTTTGCCATGGGCGGCATCGCGGGGCTGATCACGGTGTACGTCACGCAGCCGCTCGACACGGTCAAGACGCGCATGCAGAGCATCGAGGCGAGGAATCTGTACGGGAATTCGTTCCGCTGTGCAAGTATCATTTTTCGTCAGGAGGGGTTGTTGACGTTTTGGAGCGGGGCGCTGCCGAGGTTGGCGAGGTTGATTATGAGTGGGGGGATTGTGTTTACGATGTATGAGAAGAGTATGGAGTTGATGGATCGGTTGGATCCGGAGAAGAGGTATCTTTGATGGGCTAGATGGGGGGAGGCGTTTGGGGTATCTTCTTCCGTTGGAGCGGGTTTGAGTATATGTATTTCGAGATGCATTGGTAGACAAAAGGTGTTTGTACACAGATCATGCTGTCATATGGTGGTAATACATAAGGTATATGCCTCCCCCAAAGGCTTTCCCAAAACTCCCGACGCCCAGTGATGCAGATGTTGTATTGTACAGTCGGGATCTGGCGCTCGTCACAACCGGATCATGCCGCCGAGCCTCTTTGCTAACCGCCCCCAAAACGATCGCTTCGGCGCCTCCTCGAGCTCCTTAACGAGGTCCTTGTAGTACGTGGGATTGCTCTGGGGTTCAAACAATTTGGTAGGAGCGCGGAACTGCAGACTGTCAGTTTGCGCCATGATCCTGGGGACAACTCAAGTGCGCCAACCTTGTTCTTGTACCGATCTTCGAGGAGCGAGTATAGGGCATTGACTTGTTTAAGATCGGCATGATCCTGTGTCGACCACTTTGTTGAGGGTGCTAACGCGCCTTTCTCCAATCGCTTTGCGAGGACATCCTGGAGCTGGCAGGTCGGACGGAGGGGGTCCTTGGGCCAGCGGCTCAGCACACCTTGAAAGTGCTTTGCGGCGGTCTAGAACTGCGTGTCAGTGAATCTCCGCGAGAATGGTAATGGATGAGATGAAACATACACTCCTTGCTACGCTAGACATGGCTGTATCTGGTGATTGTGCTGCTCGCGGAAGCAAGCACGAAGCTATCGACGCCAGTCAATGGACCCGACCTTGAACTTGTGGACTGTGGAGTGACGGAGTTGTGGATACCGGTGGGTCGCAAAGAAAGATTAGTAAGGTAGCAGCTGACTAGTACAGAAATGGCAGTATGTGGGTCAAGACCCTGAGGCAGCCGCTGGTTCTTCTGGTCAGGCGTTGCGCTTGGCTCAGTCAGCTGTGGTTGGTCCTGGAACTTGTTGGATGCTTCATCATCACCCTGCCCTGACAATGCCACGAGATACGTTCAGCTTGACGAGTCCATTCGCCCTAGAATAACTTACCGCCGCTTAATCTTCATTTCTGCGATTCCTTCGAGCGGTTCCTTTATGCTTGTAACTTTTCGCCTGCTTCGCGTCCCAGCGCTTGCTGCTGCCTTCCAGTGATTGCTCGCTCGTGAGGGGCTTTTCCAGCCAACGACATCGCAAACACCACCAGACCATCCAACCATGTCCGGCCGCTATGAGAGGGTATGCTTTCCTCCCCAATACAAGAGATCTAATGGGCCGCCTAACCACTGCATCAGGTAAACACCCACGACGACGAAGATCCCGAGACGCCAGCGGCCTCATTGCCACAGCCGACGTACCCGATTCCCAATTCGCCGCCGCCGTCATTCCACTCGATAGCGCCGTCTATCAGCTCGACGAGGCAAGAGAATGAAGTCCACCCAGACCTAGCGGATGCGTTTGACGCCGACGGAGACGATAGCGATGACGAGACGGACGACAGGCAGCGGCTAGTGCGCGGCAACTCGACGCCGTCTTTCACCAGCACCACACAGGCCGGAGAAGCCGCGTCACAGTCGCAGTCGCAAAGACCAGGCGCGCTACCGCAAAGACCTATCGGAGCGGCGCCGACAACATCCCGCGTCTATGGCAGCGGGATCCAGTCCGACGGTGTCTTTTCCAACCTTTCAGCAAAGCCGGAGACGGGCGATGGCGAGAAGGAGGAGCAGCCTCCGGTAAGTACAACCGTCGCTTGGCGCCCTACAGGTTTGTCCTAACCCGCTTGTAGTCCTACGAACAAGCCGCAGCCGACGCGGCGCCTCCCTACTGGGAAACGACCATCCTCGCGCCCGGCCTCGGCGGGCCCGACGACGTGTACATCGACGGCATGCCCGTGGGCTCCTTTTTCGGCTTCATCTGGAACGGCATGATTTCCATGGCCTTCCAGCTGGTCGGTTTCCTGCTCACATACCTCCTGCACTCAACCCACGCGGCTAAGAACGGTTCCCGCGCCGGCCTCGGCATTACTCTGATCCAGTACGGATTCTACATGAAGAGCACACCGCCCGGGGGCGCAGGGGAAATGAATCCGAATATGAGCGGCGACGGGTACGCGAATCCGGCAGACCCAAATTCGCACAACTTCAGCCCGAACGAGGTGAACCAGGGCGGTGGCGGCGGCGGAGCGTGGGATTTTACGACCAGCGACTGGGCGGCGTATCTTTTGATGATTGTTGGCTGGTTTATTCTGATTCGGGCGGTTAGCGACTATGTGAGGGTGCGGAGGCATGAGCAGCTGGTGTTGCAGAGCCCGGATCGCGGTCTGGGCATCCCCGTCATTGCTACGGGGGAAAGGCCGGACACGGTGGTATAAGCGTGGGTTTTCTTTTTCTCGGTCATTTCTCCTCACGGATTACTGTGCTCAAACTCTCCTTTTTCTCCTGGCGCGTGGCTGTATGGGTCTCTCAGTCTCTCACGGATTGTTCCTATTTACTTGAGCGTATTATACAGTCTCACGTATTACATCCCCTGAACTCTTGAAGTATGAGTTTGCTCCCGATGTTGAGGTCCGGCCTGATATGAGGATGAACCACAAAACAGATGACCACCATTAACTACATTGGACCGCTCAACAGCCAAATATCCATGTCGTACGTGGTCCAAAACCGTGACTCCAAGGGTCATTATCACTCTCTATGTCCTTCATGATGAGGCCCGTTGTCTCCTAGCTTTCGACATCATTCTGCCCGGACGCTTCAGGTCCGACTGTGTTCGGCAGCATCTCGGCCTTGATGTCTCCATCTCGAGTTTCTCCACGGCCCGTAGAATGTGAGATCAATACGAGAGACCCCTGTCGGATGGATAACTAGCGCTTATCAAGGAGACAAATGCCAAGACTTGCAAAGTTGCAACCTGTCCGAGATGATTCCCGGAACCTTTGACTCGAGACTCGAGGAACCCTTGGCAACAAACATCGCCATGCAACGCACATACCTAGCATTCCAGCACAACTGCCACCTGTCGACTCTCCAAGTCGCCGTCACGGCTGTCAAACGGGTCGCATCACTAGAGGAGACCAACAGAAGCCTCTTCAAGCAAGCCCAGGACGATGACCACGTCGTTATCACAGATTCAACCATCTTCCACCCGCAGGGCGGCGGCCAGCCCTCGGATGTCGGCGACATGACTACCGGAGGCCCGGGCGGCGCCAGGTTCGATGTGCAGATGGTACGGATGAGCTCGACCGCGCAGGGTGAGGTGCTGCATTTCGGGCGCTTCGCGGATGCGGCCGCGGCCGCGTCCGTCTTCAAGCCCGGAGACAAGGTCACGCAGCGGATTGATGTGGAGAAACGCCTGCTGTACTCGCGGTATCACACCGCGGGGCATGTGTTGGGTTCTGCGGTCAGGCATCTTTTGGAGGGGGAGGTTGAGGGGTTTGATGAGACCAAGGCGTCGCACTTTCCGGAGTCGGCGGCGTGTGAGTTTCAGGGGTTGATTGATTCTAAGTGGAAGGAGGTGATTCAGCGGAAGGTGGATGAGTATGTTGAGAGGGATATGCCGGTGGAGATTGACTGGTGGGATGAGGAGGATTTTAGGGTGAATGGGCTGGAGAGGTTGATACCGGACCGGGAGGGGTTGGGGATGGCGGAGGGGGAGAAGTTCAGGGTGGTGAAGATTGTGGGAGCGGAGGCGTATCCGTGTGGTGGTACGCATGTTGAGAGTACCAAGCAATGCGGCAAGACGATGGTCAAGAAGATTAGTCGGTCGAAGGGGATGAGCAAGGTTGGATATTTCTTGCCCTGAGCGGCCCTCTGGAACAAAAGGGTCTTCGCCATCATATGGGTGGAGAATGATGGTTGGGTGAGTGTTGTTGTGAGTCGATCATTCTGCAATCCGGGCACCTCATGCTAACGTCCGAACGCTGGCGCTAATTGATCCCAATCTCAAGAGCAAGCGGTGTGCGGTCAGGTAGTGACGTGGTTGAACACAGGCATGGCATAACGCTGCGAATACCGAGTTGAGAATGAGAGGATAGAATGCCTGAGTACCTCAGTGAGGCGAGATCGTTTTGTCATTCGGGGCCTGCGTATCTGGCTGGAGTGAGAGAAGGTTCATCTATAAACACCATCGACACAGTCCGTTCCTAGACCCTAGCTTTGACAGAGCTCTTTAGAGCCTATAACCCATAGATATTGGGCTTTCCAATCTCGTGCTCAATGCCCCCGAGTGATGTATGGAACTCCTGAGCGGGATTTCGATGCATCTTCGAGGATCATCTTCAGCGGGACGGTAACGTCGACAGCTGTCTCTGATCAAACACAGAGCATTCTATGGGTTTGCCTCGGAACATCCCCGCCTCACCAATCTGGGATGTATGTAATAGACATCCGCATTCCAAGAAGCGCGTTTGGTTGACTATTAAGCTCTTCTAGGAAAAGCATTTGGCCCTAGACATCAGAAGGGCTAATGATCACAGTCGAGAAGCGGGACGATGGGAAAGCTTGAACAACTCCCACCATGGAAGTGCTAGAGCAGGTGCCCCCCACATTTCATCAAGCAAATCGTTGCTTACAGGCAGGTACCGGTAGTGTAGGGTAAGGTGACTTTCACCCGTCCCGTCGCTGCTATGGCGCGGTGTGTCCAGAGAGACGAGGGGCAGGTGCGGGGAAGGAGTGCAGCATCCCGCGGCCTGATGCGTGACGTCCCCCCAGCTGCCCATTACATCACTTCACGTCAACTCACCATCACAAAATATCCGGACAACCTCACTATCTCACAGATATATCACACACAGCACACAGAATCCACCCACAGCAACCTAACGCAAGTTTTGCGAGGCAAACACGCTATCGCTACATGTAGTCACTTACGCCGTTCGTAGCTTCGACTTGGGTTGAAGACAGCAACGCTGGCGACGAGCAAGCTGCCGGCTTCGTGGATTCGGACAAGCCTGCCACTGTCCCGGTCATTAAGCCGCATAACAAACCATTCAAACTTGGAACCGGTCGCCATAAGCCACCGCAGCATCCGACCCAGCAGCTCAGCCTCATCCCCTTCACAGCGCCGTAGCCGCAGCCGCAAGCTCGACATCAACATGGCCTGGCGCAGTTCGGGAGTCACCAACAGGGACCTGGTGGAAAACCTCTGGCGGCACCAACTGATCACCCACCCGGACGTGAAAGCAGCCTTTCTCAAGGTCTGTCTGTCCCAAGTCCAACCACACCCCTCCCCCGTCTTTCCCCCATACACACATACCTAGGTAAGATACTGACAACCACCAGGTCGACCGCGCACACTACGCCCCTTCCTTCCCCTACGACGATTCCCCGCAACCAATCGGGCACGAAGCGACCATTTCCGCGCCGCACATGCACGCCGCCGCAGTGGAAAAACTCCTCCCCTTCATTGTGCCGTCCGAATCCAACCCGGCCCCGCGCGTGCTGGACATTGGGTCCGGGTCCGGCTACCTAACCCACGTCATGGCTGAACTAGTCGGCGACGCTGGCGGGACGGTCACGGGCGTCGAGCACATCGCACCGCTGCGGGATCTCGGCGAGAAGAATGTCGCCAAGTCGGCCAGGGGAAGGGAGTTTCTTGCGTCGGGCCGTGTGAGGTTTAGAGTGGGGGATGGGAGGAAGGGGTGGGTGGAGCCGGGCGAGGAGGGCAGGAAGTGGGATGCGATTCATGTCGGGGCGTCGGCGGCCGAGGTGCACCCGGCGTTGTTGGAGCAGTTGAACGCGCCGGGGAGGATGTTTATCCCTGTTGATGATGACGGGGCGGGGTGGGATCAGCATGTGTGGTGTGTTGAGAAGGATCGGGAGGGGAGGGTAAGGAGGGAGAAGTTGTTTGGGGTCAGGTATGTGCCGTTGACGGATCCTCCGAAGAAGTGAGCGGGGTGGGAGGCGGGTTTGTTTGTTTCTGGGGAGGTGGGAAATGGCTGAGCGAGGATTATTTGATTCAAGTTGATTGTCAGTGGCAACCTGGCAAAGGTTGGCGGATGAAATAGGTCTACACTACACGCTCTGTCTAGCCTGGATCGGAGCGTAAAAGTTGAATCTGCCTTGAGGGTCGTATTTCGCCTTCAGCCGTCGCAGCTTCTCCAGCCGCCAGGGCTCATGGCCGTACAACTCTGGCAAGCTTTCGTCACCGGAGGCGTAATTGACGTAGGCGTTGAGGCGCCCTTCTCCGCTCCCTTCCACTAGCACCCGCCTGACCTCCCTGGACGCGGCAATCATGTCGTTCGAGTACGATGGATCCCTGTAACTGAGCAACGGCGCACTGGCGACAGACTCAAGGTCAATGGTGGCTAGCCAGGAACAACACAACAGAGCTCACTTACAGGAGCAATGGGTAGTCCCGGAATGGCTTGGCGGTGGAATTCGCAGGCACCGAGGTCACGGCTTGCTGGGAATAGCCTTCAATGAGGACGGTTGAATCGGATGCAATGCTAGGATATCGGCTCGTGATATCGGTAAAGATGTCGTGGACTTTGCGCATAGCCGTGATGCTGTAGCTCTTGAGATAGACGGGCAACGCCTGCCGGTACATTCCCTTTGCACACGGGCTGCTGGACTCAGCTTGTCCGTTGAGGCGGAAGAGTTCAGGGTACGCAACGTTTGCATGGAGCTGCTCCTCGGATGGGCCCAGAGCTCGGAACGGTGCAGCGCACGACTCGAGTTGTGTTGGATCTCCGGCATGGATCAGGAGCACGGAGATGACCGCCTTTGGCTGTCAGCTGAGCTATCAAGGTAAATCGGTGCTAATACTTGGGAGGACTCCAATGTAAACTCACACTGTCAGGATCAATATCGGGCCGCCGAATAAAGGTTATCCATGTAGTGAGCTCGGCCGGATGGTCCTCTTCCTGAACGTAGTTGTTGGACAGAGCAAAGATCTGCTCGAGCTTGTCTTGGGTAAACGTCATTTGCACCTGGGACCACTCGCGGATGGGGTCGTAGATCTTGTACTTCAAGCTTGTCACAATGCCGAAGTTATGACCGGCGCCTCGGAGCGCCCAGAACAGGTCCTGGTTCGACTCGGGCGAGGCTACCACCGAGCTTCCATCTGCCAACACCACGCGAGCCTCCAAGAGTTGATCGGCAAGAAGGCCGTGAATGCCCTGCAGTAGGCCATGGCCGCCTCCGAGCATCACGCCCATGATGCCGGCACACATGCAATTGCCAGTTGCTACACCGGGGGGACGTGTGCATGTGAGCAGGGGTGATCTTGCGGTTGGGAAGTGTGATCAGGGTCTTACTTGTTTGCTTCCCCTGAGCCCAGAGACCTCGCAGGGCCTCGCCGCTCGTGAGACCGGGCTGGAACTCGGCATAGCGGCCGTTAGGGCTGATGTTAATGCCTTTCATCCTGGTGAAGGAGATGGCAAGACCATTTTGCATTCTGCCTAGGGTTGACGTCCACCCGTGTGCTCCATTCACTGCTAGGAACGGCAAGGAATGCTCGTTGGCGAATCGAACCTGTATGTGTTAGTTTTCCAACCTGGATACTAACATAACAGACATTGGGAGTTGAGATTGCTACCGTTTCTTTGACGTCTTCTTCGACGGCAACTTCAACTACGGCCGCATACGTCGGTGCCGAGTAAGCTTGCCATCTCTGGTGGTTTGACACCATCCGGGGGTCCCCGGGAAGAATGATGGAAGCATTTGGGGACAGTCGGGAAGCTAGGGCGGAGAATATCTCCGACTCGGATCGTATGCCAACAAAGAAGCCTGACTCACAGCTCGAGCCAGAGGTCAGGAGCGCTAGCACAACGAACACAACAACGCGAAAGAAACGAAGGACGGCCATCTTGACAACGTTGCATGAACGGTACCAGAACTGCAGCAAACAAGTCAAATTCGTTTGGGATTGATGGTTTAAGTACGTCATGGGCACGCGGCAAAGTCCGAGACAACAGACGCCTAGAGCAGTACGTGTCACCCCTGATTTGCTTGGTGGCTTTCCAAGCGGCATTCCCCGACGCCATTGCAGTGTTGTTTTCGTCCTCCGCATTTAGAATGTCTCGGATAACGACAAAGCTGCCCGAAATTCATCGAGTTGAGATCAAGCCTGAGCCCTCTCTCACCGTCGGTTGCCATGGGTCGCCCAAAATGTGAAAGCTCATGCGGTAAGCTTCAACCGCCACTAGACAAAGGCTCCTACTGATAGCATTCCTCAGTTTTGATTGTCTTGAACCATGGTCCAAATGCCACCATGTGTTTGAGCCTTCGCATGCCAGCTTTCTTTCGGTGGCATTCGGAAATGTCGCTGTCACGCCTGGGTAGCACGGCATCAGCCACAGGTCAACATGCCCGAGACCGCGGATAGTTCGAGGTATCCAGCGAGGGCTTGTGATACACTTCCCAGGGGTTTTTGAAGACTAAAATGATAAAATTCGGTCGCTCGACAAGGTGTATTAGATGGTGTAAAGTACTTGCAACGGCACCCGATCTTGATCATGACTAGAAGACTTCGCGAAACCGTTCTAGTGAGAAACCACCCCCAAGCCTAGCTGATATGTTCAAGATTAAGGTAAGTACCTACCTTACCTGACGCTTGCGCCACTAATAGGTGGTACCTTACTCAATCATCCCGCGATGCGTCGGACCACTCTCGGAAGGACTGTACGATTGTGTCAGTCTCGAAGCTGTCTTAAGAGGATTTCAAAGGAAAAAAAGAGAGCGACGGATATACTCCGTCTCTGTAAGTCATCTTAGAATTGATGATATTTTGGGGTCGTGATGTGATAGGTTTGTCAACAACCCCAGGGGCGACTGAACACAAAGAATCGTCATGTCGAAGAGGGAGCAATATGTCTACAGATCCGAGCGTCTGGAAACGCTATTGCTGTTGCTATAGCCTTTTTACTGGGTTTGCCGTTGGATGGAAGACGGTAGTCGAGAGGGCATATAGAAGGATAGGTAGAGAGGTGGAAATTGACCGTAACAGATATCACAATGACACAATGACTGCCCGCTTATGAGGCAAACTGGATGAATTGAAAACTAGGATGATCATGGATGTCAGTCCCAGCTGTTCGGAGATTAATATAAAAGAGGCTACAGTTCGCGGATGAAAAAGGGGCCACCTCAGGGACAGCAGCCATATATTTTGTACCTCCTATCTTTTCGATCAAGCTAGGTTCCTCTTATTAACGTTTCTTGAGCTACTAGTAGTAATCTGAGCTACTGAGGGTCGTGCTGTATTCTCGCCTGAGCAACCCAAACGACCGGCTAGTATGTAGGCTAAGCTTTCTCCAAGACTGGATTGAATTTATGCACGATGCTGCAGAGTGGTATGCAGCAGCGAGCTACAATGTTGCAAGGAATGTAGGGTATTCAAGGCCTTCTCCATCTGCTGCTAGAAAAGACTGCGGTTAGGATCAGGCTCGCTTCGGGCGTTGCCGTTATGATACCGCAAATACCTACTCGATAGAAGGAAACGCTAGAATCGGCGCTAATGCAGCCAAGCCTCCGACCATTTAGCGACAGCCAACCAAAGTACGCCCTTACCCACTTTTTATCGTCGTTGTCGAATTGAGACTGCGGGAGGATCTGAGAGCCGGAGAGAGCTTGGCAGAGCAGTGGCGCAGAATCCAAATGTCGCTAGCTGTAATAGGTTTAGCGTTTCCTTCTATCGAGTGAGTATTGACGGTATTCGCTTGTTCTCCATCGAGCTCAGGGGAAGGGATAGTACCAGAGCACTCTAGGAGCGCCATATACTTGAATGACTAACGCCACACACATCACTTCTTGTTCAATTCCCACTGTCTGACTGGTCCAGAATCCAGATAATCCCCTGCAGGTCGTATAGCAACCTCTGAAAGATGAGTTCTGCTTCTAGTCCCCGCAATGCGCAACCTTGATGGCCGCCAGTCTTGGCACATTCACCTTCTGGGACGAGATGCAACGTCCTCCTGCTTATAACGTGATCCTTCTCCTTGCCAAGATCCCAGTCAGGCATGTAGGCAATTGGCTCTAGACTATTGAGGAAGTGATGCTGATAGCGCGGCCATAGAGGTGCTCAGTGACCGAGCGGGATATCTGTCCATCTGAGTTCACAGCCGGGCGTCCGCTACGTCCAGCATCACGCAAAGCACCCAGTGTAGTTGGAAGCTCAGCTTTCTGGGGCATGGAGGTTACCTACTCGGCGCGTAGGATTAAGATGCTGGATGGGAACTTTCGGTGACTGGGTGAGGGAAGGGCTGTCACTGCCCGGGCATCGGTGACAGGTGCGGAGCCAAAGTGCTACAAGACCTTAGGCCGGTTGCTACCGTGACATGTAGCGGCTCATCAACTTGAAGTCCATGAGCTTGGCAGTATAAAGCCTCCAGGAGCTATCTACGGGAGCTTTGATACCCGACTTCAACCGTCCTGTGTGGTGGTGCTTGGACGCGCCAACAATACTGCCGACGACGAACCCTCTGCCGAAATACTAAAAGCAATCACGATGAAGGGAGCAGTCTACACCCTCGCAGCTTTGCTTGCGAACCACGCGGTCGCACTTCCGCAAGCTGCTTCTCCGAATCAGTGCATCACCAGGACGAGGACGCAACTAGGCATTGACACCTCGGTGACCAATTATGAGGAGTTCATTTCATCCCTGGATGCGCGTTACTCTACCCCAGACGTTTCCTTCACCGGAACCGAAACCGTCATCGTCCACACCTCCGTCCTGACCTACCCCGGTGGCAGCTTCACGGGATACTACACGTATGACGCGAACGCCCTGCGCTCGGCGGGATACAACATCATCACTGTCACCGAGCCCTACGTGACCTGCCCGCCAACGACGACACCCACTCTGCCGCCATCTCCCACTGCCTCTCTGTGCAGCCCGCACGGGGATCACTGTGAGTACCTTGATAATCTCAGCACACATGACAGAGCTAGGAAGAATACATGAATGATGGCTAACACCACGGTCCAAGGGCACTGCGAGCCCTACCCTTCAACAACCGGCACAGCGCCTCCGACCGAGTCCACAACCGGAACCTGCGAACCGCACGGAGACCACTGGCATTGCCCGTCCGGCGTTCCCGAGCCTACCACACCCCCGCTCACCGAGACCGAGACGGCCACGGCCACTGCTACGGGGGTGTGTGAGCCCCATGGTGACCACTGGCACTGTCCCTCGGGAGTTCTGGAGCCGACTACACCGCCGCCTCCCGCCGAGACTAGCACCGGGGGTCTTTCTGGCGGGGGACATGGAGGAGAGTGTGAGCCGCATGGCGACCATTGGCATTGCCCGTCTGGAGTTCCGGAGCCGACTACGCCCCCGCCGATGACACTCACGTCTGGCGCTACTACTGCTACTGCTACTGGGTCTCGTAGTACGGGTGCAACGACTAGGAGCGGTTCGGCGACGGCTCCTGTGGTTACGGCTGGTGCGGATGGGACACGGCCCGTGCATTATGGGGTACTGGGGTTGGCGTTGTTGCTGTTTGTTGTTGGGCTGGTGTAAGCAGGGCGGTGGCTCGAGGTGTCCTAGACGCTGGATTTGGAAGTCTGGTTTCACTGGCACTTTCTAGATATGGCTCACATGCAGTTCTGGCGTGCTACTAGTAGCTTACCTAGTATTGTTTACCTGCAGATACGAGTATTTCTTTTTCCTAGAAGGTGGTATATCAGTGAATATCATGTTCTATTTGACATCGACACCCTAACAATCTTGTCCCCGTCCAATCTCTCCAAGTCAACAATGATTATCATACTTACTCTGCTGCACAGGTGCTACTTAGGTCTCCAGTTGACTCACTTTGCTCTGATTTGAGTACCAATAGTTCAGCTGCATGCATTCCTGCAGAAACAATCCCAAGCGGGCCGGGGACCTGACGGGAAGGCGAGCAGAGTGACCCAGGTTAGCTCCAGAAGCTTCCCGCTCGATCTCATCACATGTGGCGGCTGGAAGCTGTAATCTCAAGAACGTGTAGCTCCGTATAGGGTAGGACACAAGCAGGGGCCATGCATGCAATTCGTAGGCCAAGATCATCTCTTGCAAGGTGGCTAGCAGTAGCTAGCAGGTTTTGCATCTTGGCGTGAGAACCTCGAGGGCTCTGTTTGCCCTCACGTCCTTCCACACAAGGCAGGCGGTTCGGTTGCCCCCCACGGAGCTGGTTTTTCATTCCTGGGTTGCTCCATTGTTGGGCAATTCTCATTAGTTGTTGGCGTTCTCGGCGGGCTCGGATCTTGGAACTCGGTCCGGAACCTGGCCATAATGATGCTCCAAGACTCCAGTTGAGGTGGGATGGTCTTCTCGTCACACCAGGAGCAGCACTAGCCCTGGGGGCCATCTGCAAGCCCGCCGAGGCATTTATAAGCTTCAAGCTGCACCTTGGGCTGGCTTGTCTGTTTTGTCTTTTGCTTTAGACTACGACCTACTCAGCTCCGGCCTTCGCTCGTTTAGGAGGGAACTCACGAGGACACCGCCCCTGGGACCTTCAGCATCACGCGACCCGCTCATTTTCAAGCAATCTCCATACCTCCTTTCACCGTCAAGCAGCAAACATGAAGTACCTTTCGGCTATCCTCGTCCTTGGACTTGGAGTTATCTCAGCCGTGGCTCAGGAGCTTGCCCCGTCTCCTACCGAGTCAGTCGGATGCGTGCCTCACGGTGATCACTGGTATGGTTCTCGCATCTAAACTAGGTACCTACCGTGACATATCATGAAAGTCTGACATTCTATCCTTAGGCATTGTGAAGGCCCTGCACCGGCGACATCCGCCGAACCGGTCGAGTCTCCCACCATCGCTCCGTCTCCAACCGAGTCGGTGGGCTGCGTTCCGCATGGTGATCACTGGTACGCTGTTCCATCCATTAGTACTTTGGAACTGTCTTCACCCAAGACCAAGTTTCTAACGTCGTCCATCACTGTTTAGGCACTGCGAAGGACCTCGCCCGACGGACGAGCCAGCCGTAACCACCAGCACGGTTCCCGTCATTACTACTCCTACTACTACCACCACCAGCCATGAAGAAGACCACGGCGACAGCGCCTCGCTGGCTCCCAGCCCGACCGAGTCCGTGGGCTGTGAGCCCCACGGAGACCACTGGCACTGCGACGGACCTGCCGTGACCATGGCCACTGTGACCACGACCACGAGTGGCGCTGCGGCCGGCACTGGCAGCCCAAGCAGCACTCGCTCGGCCCCTAGCTCTGTTGTCACCGCCGGCGCTGCCCTTCACCAACTTCATGGGGCTGTGGGTGTTGTGGGGTTGGCTGCGTTAGTCGTGGCGGGTATCTAAGTTGGTACCAGACTGGATTTGGGCTTGGTGCATGTACTGTACAACACCTCATGAGGGCATGGATACGGGTAGGGATGTCAATGGTCGTACTAAAGCCCTTGCTGGGACGCTTAATGAACAAACCGGTTGTGTCTTGTCTTCGTGTTGCATACTAGGTACCTTAGATTTTCAGTTCTTGTTCCTTTGGCTCACGTTCCTCAAGGGGCGTGAGCTTTTAATAAAAGTCTTAATCATCTCCAGCCTCTATATGTCTAGCACCAGACTGTCGTGTTGTGAGAAGAAGCGCGAACGTCCCGTCGGTTCGTTGCCGTTCGTTGCCGGGCGCAAGTCGCAAGAGACATGGACGCACGAGGATCTTGACCGCGGCGACTGATCAGAATTTGATCCCGACCGGGCCCGACGAGAGTGTTTTGACGTGGCTCTTATACCTAATGGACGGTTGGTCTGGCGGAGTTCGGCGAACGTCATCGTTGCCAAGCACGGCCGGTGACAAGGATCGTCTAGCGGATCCGAGTACTCCGGGCGAAAGGCCGCGATCGGTTAGGTCGTGACCGGCTGGTCCGTTTGGAACGTCGCATTCAACGTGGCACGCAAGGATATATCGTATGGATTTGCCGCTGCAGTCGATTACTCGGTTGGTGAGGTGCTTGGATGCCGCCGCCGCGCCGCGTTCTTTGCGGAATTTTGTCCCAACGGGCGAAAATGAGCTCAAATGTGGAACTTTTCGGCCACTATCTAACAGTCCACGCATCGCCCCGTAGGGCCGTAATCCTTCAGCTTCGCTCTGCAGATAATGTGTGCGATTAACTATCCCCTATTTGGTGTAAACTACTAATCTCGTCAAGGATTTTTACTCAGAGCAACGTCGGCGACCTCTGAAACTATCATCTGGCCAATCAAGACCCTCTACCTATCTAAGCAAGATGAAGGGTACGACGGGGAGAAGGGCTAGTGCCGAGTTCCCTCACTTGCTTGGTCCCGGAAACACCGAGAGTCGCCTGTCGGTTATCCAAGTATGAATATAGAATGGCCTTCTTCCGCAAGAATGACTCGGAGCGGTTGTCTTGTTCAGCACTCATTATTGCATTCTCGACCCCTTACTCCAAAATCCCCTACTTACCTCACTAAATATGTATCATGTATCGCCACAACGACAACATCAACCGGATCCTCTCGGGTGACTATAACATCAATAGCAAGGAGCGCAAGGTTTACATAGTACACCGCACTCTGGGGGGCGCAGTTGGCGGATGGGCAGGCAAAATCTGGCGTGCCATCTTCGCGGGACCGGGTGAATGGCCATTTCTCGACAACGACGTCGTCCCCGATCTTACTCATCACTGGGCCGTCCGGGTTGGCGACTGGTACCATCAGCTTCAAGTGAAGGGCGGCTGGAACTTCTACGAGAATGACAAGTATGACGCCTTCCTGGGCGCATGGGATCAATACGAAGTGGGCGTAACACGGTACAACGACGCGGCCATCGTGTCGGCTGGTACGTGGAGAACTTGAAGCTCCTCCCCAAATGCCATCACTGTGCTAACAATATACAAAACAGCTGTCCAGGCCATGAATGAGATGCCAGAGTCTTACCACCTCCTCAACAACAACTGCCAGACTTATGTCCTACGGTTGCTCGACAAGATCTGCCGGAACGGAAGCAAGAAGGTGCGGCTGAGCTGGTTACCATTCAGGCCCCAGATCGCCTTCGTTCCTGGTCAGGAGCTGGGCCGATATGATGCCGGGGTGGAGCCTGAAGTCGAGATAGCCTATGTTCTGGACGGCGCTGCCCACATGGAGCAGCTGCAGAGTGCCTTTGACATTATGGAGAAGCATACGCCGATGCTCAACCAGCAAGAGTTTGAGCAGGTGATTCAGCAAGCACAGGCTGAGACGCAAGCTGAGAAACGATGACCAGACAAGGACGACAAATTGACGAGTGGGAGCTTCATAATCCTACACCTCCAGTCTTAGTTGACCTTTATCCCTGTAGAATAGAGGCTTTGTGAAATACTTTGAAGCTAGAGGTGCTTTTCCGGCGTAAGGGTGAAGCGAAGAAGGTTCGACATGGCGAGCCTGCCCATCTTGAGCCTCTGCCATCACAAGTACGTACAGGTAGTAGGTAACGTACTCGAATAAACTCCAACACGCATCTGCCAAGCACTCGTCAGAATTTGGAGACTGCAGACGACGGTAATTCGGTAAACAAGTCAGCGGCGTTTGCCTTTTTCAAGGCGGCTGATAGCACAGCCACCACAAACGCAGCACAGCCCACTAGATATAAATGTAGCGCTTTGATGCCCCACCTCTTTCCTAGACTCCTAGAGCTCTATCCCGTTCAACTCAAAACTAGGGCGCTTTCGCGTTCTCTTCTCGTCCTGTTCCTTCACAAGACAAAGACTGTTCCTCGAGATTGTCAAATCCACCTTGAACAAGAGTCCTCGCAATCCAAATCCCTCCATGGACGCCACGTCACCCACCAGTCCCTACCTCTTTGACGGCAGCTTCACACTCCGCGGCTGTTCCGCATATGAAGGTTTCAGCAATGCCGATTTCTACCGTAGTTCTTTCCGCGTTGAGACTAGAGACGGCCACTGGAGGACGCTCACCAACGCCGAGCGCTTCGGGCTTGTCTCATCGCTCTACGGGCCGGGAAACTTATTGGGCTGGTTCTTTCTCATCCTCTCCGTCCTCATCAGCTGGACCGCCAACCCTGTGTCGCGAAGAAAAGACACCATTACCAATGACTTCATCGCTGTATTGACCATGCCCGTTGTAGCGGTTGTGCATTTCTTCTACATGGTGGCGCAGCAGAGAGGGAAAACCATCAAGGGATGGCTAGGGTGTCGGCAGGAACTGGATGTGATAGCTGTCGGCGCGCTCGAGGCGCCGCTGACTGTATGTGAAGACTTCATCGCCTGTGCGGCTGTGTTGTTTTCGGTAGCTGCGAGCAGGGGGCACCCGAGGAGGCTGGCTCTGGTGTTGTGCGTCGGGTTGCTCTGCCTGGCACCCGAGGTCCTGCTTCTGGTGGAATGGCTTCCTTACGGGTCGGGCTCCCTATTGAGGCCCTTTATTTTCCACAGTGCCTTCTTCTTCTGCTCCCTGATTTTGTGGGAGAGCCTTACATTATTGGTTTATCTCGCCGAGATCTTTTCGACTGTTTCTGTTGCTGCAGCTGAGAGATTGGGGATTAGGACCAGGGCGGACGCAGAGCGCGGGCATGGCGCCAAGTTTGGACTTAGGATGTTGTCGCCGGGCTATTTGGCAAGCCGCATGTCAGCAGTCTCAGCATTCGTTGCGGCTGCTGGGTCGATTTGGATCAAGTATGGGCTTTTGCTCCAGATGGGGGCTTTCAACTCTGTGAGGTTCATTCCAAGAAGTCCTTTCAATGTTTTGGATTTAGATCAGGCTATCGCGGCTGCGGGGGGGCTGGTTGCTTTAGGCTTCAGCGTTCAGGGTGCGTTTAAAGAGCGGAAAAAGGCCAGGGAAAGGCAACAGCGCCACGAAATGCCACCGTGGCAACGATGGGGGCGATAGAGCACGAAATCGTAAGAAAAAGTTGGTATGACCTTTAATGAAGTCGGTCAGCCTTCTAGCAGAAATTCATGTAAAGGGATGGTAGAGGGGGTGCTAGTGAAGCTAGGGCTTCAACGTTCAACGCGGCGTAGAGCCCAGATCACGGCTCGCGCTTAACTCTTGGGCCGATTTCTTGGCCCATGATGGGTGAATTAGATCGGAATGGTCTTAGGTTGTCCAAATTTGTAACTTCAGGTTGATAGCGCAAAACATGGACTGGAAAGTTTCGCTGCGGCCCAAAATTAGGACCGCGGGCATATACTGGTAGATGGTGTGGGATGGTACATGAGGTGACATTCTAGTTCAATCTGTAGCATAGTACATAGTATCCTAGCTCCAAAGCTGGGGTAGTATTCAATATATCAGTATATAATACAGTCTATTACATAGTATACAGGCTAACACAGCCGTTAAAACCTCGTTCATCGTCCCTCTCCCTGCATCCATCTCCTTCACCAAAGCCGCGACCTCGCATTCCTCCATCGGAACCACCGCTCAGATCCTGTATCAGATCCTCTCTGTCCTCCTCCCTAACATCTCCTCAATGTCCAAGGGGGAAAAATTAACCCTCCTACCCAGACTTGTTGGAGGGGCGAGTGTGCCTCTTTTTGCCTGGCCGAGCATGCAGCCTGAAAATCATTGTCGGCATTGGCTGATAGAGATGCATCATCCTGCCGTTGTCTCAGCCAATATGATTTCGCCAATTAGGTCGTCGTGGAGCTCGCGCGGACCGTAGACAAGACCGGCGTTCAAACCTTGGGCCCCATCACAAAGCCTGACACCCTAGCCGCCAAGTCTGAAAGTGAGGCACTACTATGATGCCCCGTATGTGACTGGTGAGACAAGATTCGATGCCTTCATATCGACCTTTCTCGTGGGACTGTCCGGCGTCAAATTCGAATACTTCAAACAGCGGTATAAGACACACATAACTATATAAAGATACAAAGCTAAATCCAGACAGCGAGAGGAGTTTGGCCCGGGAGTTGACAGACGGTCTTAAAGATCGTTTAGTTGATTTGCTTAGAAAACGGCGCTTTTCCGTCACCACCAGTGGGCTCTTCGCTCTCGTGCCAAAACAAGCAAGGCCGGGAGACACGATCGTAGTGCTAGTGGGAGGGATGGTGCCATTCGTGCTTCGAAAGAAGGAGGGGCTAGGGTCCGAGATGCAAGTAGGCAGATTGGAAGTAGTGGACACTGAGTCCCTGCCAGTGTCAAGCACTGATTCACATAGAGAAGCTGATTCGGAAGGCGAAACTTTTGAGGATCTGTGGCGCGAGGTGAGGGACAAGTATCAGAAAAGAGAAGCTGCCCTCCAGACATTCTTACTTGTTAGCACCAGAGAACGATCTGTTCCGAATGGCCCAAGGCCGTCACTTCGGTCCACCCAGTCTTCAGCCTCTAATATGCCAAACCCACATTCTCCCCCCCTATTTCTTCTCCCCATCATTGAACCGTAACCCGCTTCTCTAACACCGCCATCTCCCTCCCCTTTCCCCCCTCCTCATCACCCTCAACAATCACCGGCGGCTTAAAATCCTCCCCGCCGGTATTAATAACAAACTCCTCGTCATCAAGATGCCTAAACGTAAACCAAAACACCACCGTCAACACCGCCCCGACCAGCGTGGGCCCCGCAAAAGCCCAAATCAGCAACGGATCCCGGATCGCCGGCGCCGTAGCCAGCCCAATCGCCGCGGCAATAGCCGTGGTAAACAAATTCAGCGACGACACCAGACCCTTCATGTTCTTGGGCGAGCGGGTGTAGGCGATACCGTACGAGGTGACGTTGATGAAGATCTCGGAGATGGCTGTCAGGATGATGGGGATCGAGTAGTACGCGTATGACACGGCTGAAAGCGCGTCGGCGCCCTCGGGGAGGAGTTCTGCACATGTCGTTGAGTTGTAGCCGCAGGGCGAGGTCTGGTAGACGTAGTATTGCAGGACGATGAAGCCGACTGATCCGACGGTGCACAGCGCGAAACCGAAGGTCATGCGCGAGATGGCGCCCCAGCGGATGCCCCGCCGGAGGAGGAAGGGGTAGATGATGTGGTTCATGACGGGGACCACTGCATGTAGTAAGGGGCGTGAGTCTTATGGGAATGTGAGGAGAGTAGGAGGGGGGAGGACCGGGACTTACTGATGACGATGCTGACCGAGTTGAGGTTGTCAAGGAGGTCGTTTGGCAGGCCATTCGTGCGCATGCCCGCTGTAAGCGCATTCGCCGCGGCGCCGAGCCCGCCGTCGAGGATGGAGAAGATAGGCTGGAAAAGGAAGATGGCGCAGGCCTGGAATGTCCGACGAACATCATCCACAACTGGTCATCATTACTCATAAACCTTGCTACTACCAGCCGCCGCGCGCACGCTGGGCTTGCCCTCCTCCCAGAACCCCTTGCGGCCGATGCTCCGAGGGTTGCCGTGCCGGAAACAGTCCCCAAGCGCCTTAAACACATTTCCAAGATCGGAGCGCCCGGGCTTCTGTTTGACGAGCCGCGGGTCAAGGTACCACAGCAGCGGGGGCAGCATCGGATACAGGATGGTGGACACCAAGTACGCCGCCCAGTAGCCGACCATCTTGGCCAGGTACGTGATGGGGATGCCGAAGCACGCGCCGACGTTGACCAGAAGGTAGAACCACAGCATGACACCGTTGAGGGACTCTTCCGGGTCGACAATGACCCGCTCCCCGTTCAGCTCGATGACGTGCGCCACCTTGTGAGGGCTTCGGTCCATCACGGTGGGGGAGATGTTGGGCTTGAACTGGGCTGAACATATGCAGCTGAGTTAGCTCAATCATCAGAGATTCAGAATTCCCGCCAGTTCCATCATGATCACTTACACGCCCCAATACCCAGCATATACAACGAAATCGCAAACGGCGCCATGGCATTCCCCGACTGCAGAACCGGCGGCAAGGCCGAGATGATCATAATAACATGGGCCACGCCACAAATCGCAACCCCCCAGCAGATCATTCTAAACCGTCCATACTTCACATCCGCGAGCCACCCGAAAAAGACCGGCAACGCATATGCTAGAAAAATCAAAGCCTCAGTCATGGCCGTGGCTACGACGGGCCCTTCCCCAGGGCGCCGGCCGTGTATTGAGAACCCGGAGCCGACGCGCCGGCGCCGTTGCCGTCCGGGGGAAGCGGCGCGCGGATGAAGTTCTTGTACACCTGGTTGCATCCGTAGTACGAGGCCCGTTCGGCGAACTCGACTGCACACAGGTAGTAGCATGTTGCGGGCATCCGTCCGGCTACGCGACGGTAGGTGAGCTTTTCTTCTTCGGTCGGCAGGATCAGGCCGTTGTAGGTCTCGTGGACGTCGTACAGCTTGTCATCGGGTTGGGGGGGTGGTTCGGCATCGCGGAGGAATGTGATGTCCGTTGCTGGGGCCTTTTCGGTGGTAGGACCGGGTATATCGAGCTTGGTAGCTGGGGCAGTCTCAAGGGTCAGTTAGGTTCTTCATTGGTACCTCATTGCCTCATCAACGGGTATGTGCTCGAGTTCAAAGAGGAACCTGACATGATGGAAACCTAATGCTTACCCATATTGATAATCCTTGGGCGGGAAGATTGTCTGTACATGTACTCTGTAGCCCGCTGGAGGAGGTCGAGAAGCTCTCGTCTGCCTCAGTTAGACAGGGAGTAGAATGTCGAGTGAGGAGGAACTAGAACTGGTTTCTACGAGATTTGCAGCGGCCTGAGCTACATGATATGGTTATTCCCTGGGCCTCATGTGCTTTTGCCGGCCACAGCACGCTCACGGCGAGGATCATCTACAGTGTTACCTGCCATGCTTGACCCTCGTGACAATCAACGGTGTTACTTTTGAGGTGCCGATGTTACAGTGCCTATAATTTACCGGATTCATCCTCTCGGTCCTTTCGTGTACCACTCTTATCTCTCGGCCAGCAGCTGCAATAGGCCCGTGTATCGCTTATCCCTGTCCTCACAACCGGATAGGGATCGATTATTCGACGTGGGGCAAATGTGTTCCTTTCAGTCGCACTGTCAATCAAGAGAATGGCATGAGACTTGACCAAACACTTTCTGCAACGCAACACCTAGCATTCCAAATCACCGCACATCGCCACCTCGGCCATGCAGTTTCTGCGGTGTCCAGACGATTGGAACTACAAGCCTGCCAACGCCCTAACCGAGATGCAACATAAGCACGCGTTTTATCAGTGTTGCATGTGATGTGCTGCTTATCAGTGCCGGTCCCAAAGAGGAAGCCAGTTGGCTTGTTGCAAGTGTTCTTCCACCACTGCTAGGAGAGGGGGAGAGAATGGTTTTGCAAGCTCCATGATGGCGTCGGGATAGGTGATCGTGGTTTGCTCGGACGTTATGACGTGATCGGATCCCCGCGCCGGCTCAGCTGCGCGCACTTTGGGCTCGAGATTAAGTGGAAAAGAACGGGGTGTTTACGCAGGTGAATGACTTTGTTTTGCTATGTAAGGTACATATTCCCGCCTTATCCACGTTAGCCATCACCAAACATTAAGCCGTTGCCTCCTCCCGCAAGCGCCGGCATGCTTCCGGCCCCACCCCTCCGGGGTCCGGTAGCCGGTCCGCTGCGGGCACCCGGCGAACTGCCCAAATGGGAAGTCGACCAGAAAACTACGCGGAGCCACACAGCACGAACCAACTGAGGAGTTTTCAGCTGGCCCGTGCACAACGCGGTTGCAACGGTGGAGAAGGTGGACGCGAACTTCATTTCTGGCTCTGGCAACGCCCAAATCCGCCTAGATCAAAAAGTGTGGGCCCACCTCTCCAGCGCTATGGAACACAGTCAGCAGCTGAAAGAAAGCTTCCGCGAAACTCCCATTTATCATGCGCTTCGTGCAATAAGTCCTCACCCGAGGTCGCGCTGAAGCAATGTGCTAAATGCCTCGGCTCCTCAACAATCCGATACTGCTCGCGAGACTGCCAGAGGGCCGACTGGAAAGTCCACAAGAAAGTCTGCGGGAAACTGAAACCACCCTCAACCCAGCATGATCCTCCCAGCTACAACGCTGGCGGCCCCTACTCAGAGCCTAAAGACCTGGGAAGCCCGACCAATCAACCGCCCCGCGATACCACCATAAACAAGGCAGAATCTGTCCAGGGACTCCAGGGAGTTGTCACATCGCTTAACAACGAGGTCTTAGAGTCGGCTAGCAGGCCCTATACTATTAGAGCCATAGCTGGAAAGGGAAAAGGACTCGTTGCAACAAGGAAGATTGCCAAGGGCAAATGGATTCTATCAGAACTCCCAATCTTTACACTTCCCAAACGACTCGACATCAGGGCTTTGGAACACCAAGTTGCAAAGGAGGTGGAAAGCCTCAATGACGATCACCGACGCGCTTTCTTCGACTTGACCAACATTCACGGGAATGCTTACAGCCAACCGTTCGGCATCGCCAAGACCAACGCGCTTCCTCTCGGTTCCAACGCCAGTTCCGTCGGTCTGTTCCTCGATGCCTCTCGAATCAATCACTCTTGCCGGCACAATGCGCAAAACAACTGGAACGAGAATATCGGGCGGCTCACCATCCACGCGCTCCGAGACATTGAGGAGGGACAAGAAATCACAATCCACTATATGGGCAGCACGGGAGAATACGAGGAGCGGCAGCGTTTCCTGCGGGAAAAGTTCAGGTTCGACTGCAAATGCCAGCTCTGCTCGCTACCGCTCGCCCAGCGAAACCTTAGCGACGCTCGGCTGCGGGAAATTCAGGTGATTGACAGAGTGATCGGGGAATTTTGCCGGGGCGGTGACTTTAAGCCAGAGACGGCGCTCAAACTCTTGCACAGAATGTTCCGTTTGTTTGACGAGGAGAGCATCTGGGACGCGAGCATTGCTCGGGCGTACAAGGATGCATATGATATTGCCCGGTGCATCGAGAATGGGGGCGAATCGAGGGCTCGGGTTTTCGCCGAAAGAACATACGCCGCGCGATGTGTGGCCGAGGGGAACGATAGCCCAGTCGCGCAGAAGATGAAGCAGGCTGCTGAAGAACTCTCCTCCGCAAAGATGCCGCAAGGGATGAATGATGGCGAGTTTAAGAATTGGCTTTGGATGCTCGATGGTTAAACCAGGCGAGTCGATGGACCCCGATGTTGGTCAAAAGGTGTCGATTCCCCTACCCACCATGCCTTCCAACATTGTTGTTTAGGTGCCAGGTAGTATTCCTAACAAGAGCAGTTGCACTGCAGATTTGCTAATGGCTTCCGGAAACATCAACTCGCTACAGGCATAGTGTATGTGTTGTATGCCCGCTAAGAGCCACATGATGTCGTCATGCAATTGGCGTGTGGGCCCGAGGCTTCTATTTAACACCCTTTCATTGTGCGCTCTGCCAATTGTATGGGCAGGAGCAACAACCTGCGGTGATATTTCGTGGCGAGCACGGAGGAAGGTATGGTCACGCCTTCAACTGAGAGTTGAGACGCGGCTCTCAAAGTTACCCATCATTCTCTCACTGCATCCCTACTTCAACTCGGCGACCAAGCTGTGCATCCCAACTTAAATTGCAAAATGGCACTTCCCATGATTTGCTCGAGACAGACGCCGAGATTCTTGGGGAGTAAGGTTGGTTGGGGACAAACGGCCGGCCAATGGTGCGGGATTCGTGACGTCACTTACACCCCAATCCGTTCATCACCATCACCCGCCATAAATAATCTGGTCAGGAGCAACCGAGTCCTCCTCATCCAAACATCGCGCTATCACTCTCGGTCAAGCCCGCCGCCGTCCCAATCACACTTCTCAAGTCAAAACCAATACCGCTATCGGGCGTTTCCACAACACGGTCAACACCGGTAAAGCCCCATCCCCCACAGCCAATTCCTCCTATGCAATACCTACCCATGATGACAACTACTCACCATGTCAACAGCCCACTATCTACGACCACATCCAGCAAGATGGCCACAACCACCACAACCAACACAGCAACCCCATCCGACCCGGAGAAATTCATGCACACCTCCGGAGGCACCGACCCGGTGTGGGTGCACAAACAGCCCTACTCGGCGCTGCCGACCTTTCCCCCTTTAACCCAGGACCTATCGACGGAGGTTTGCGTCATTGGATGCGGGATCGCAGGGATCCACACGGCGTACGAGCTAGTGAAGCGCGGGAAGCAGGTAACCATGATCGAGGCGCGCGACGCGCTCTCGGGCGAATCCGGCCGCACCAGCGGCCACCTCACCAACGACCTCGACGACGGGTTCTTGGAGATTGCCAAGAAGCACGGCGAAAAGGGGGCCAAGCTCGCCGCAGAAAGCCATGCGTGGGCGAGGGATCGGATCGGGGAGATTAGTGCGCAGCTCGGGATTGAGTGTGAGTATCGCAAGTTGAAGGCGTATGATGTCAGTCAGTATGCGAGGGGGAGTAAGGAGTGGGAGGGGGAGGTGAAGGAGTTGAAGGAGGAGGCGGAGATGCAGGCTAAGTTGGGGATGAGGACTTGGTATGACGTGAGTCTACACCCACTGTCTCACTCGTTGAGGGGAGGTTTGGTGTGGAGGGTGTGCTGGCAGAGGAGAAGAGGCTGACAAGAGCAGGAAAATCTCACTGTCCGCGGTTGGAACGGCAAGCCAGACCAGCGGGGAGGCCTGGTTGCGGATAACCAGGCGACCTTCCACCCGACCAAGTATCTTGGCGGGGTGCTGGCCTGGCTGAAGCAGCAGCCCAATTTCCAGTGCTACACGCGCACGCGGGTCATGTCGGTTCATGAGAAGGGCGTCGAGCTGCTCGGCATGGGCCACAAGTCGGTCGAGATCAAGACCGAGACGGGACACACCATCAAGGCAGAGTACGCTGTCGAGGCCACGTGCGTCCCGCTGCAGAAGCTGTCGGTCATCACGGAGCTCGAGTACTACCGCACCTACTGCATCGCCGTCCGCGTGCCCCGCGGCAGCGTCGAGGACTGCCTGCTGTACGACAACGCCGACGAGTACAAGTACGTGCGGCTAACGGCGTGCGACGACAAGGACGACTACCTTGTCGTGGGCGGGTGTGATCACAAGGTTGGTCAGGAGGAGACGCTGCCGCGGTTTGGCGAGCTGGAGACGTGGACGCGCGAGCGCTTCCCCCAGGCCGGCGCCGTCGACTACCGCTGGAGCGGGCAGATCTTTGAGCCTGTCGACTACATGGCCTTTATCGGCAAGAACCAGGGCAATGACAAGATATACATCGTCACGGGCGACTCTGGTGATGGCTTGACGCACGGTGTGTTGGCCGGGCGGCTGATTGCCGACGAGATTGACGGCGTGCTGAATGACTGGGCCTCGCTCTACAGTCCTAAGCGGCTTGGGAGCATTTTGAAGAGCTTGCCTGGAATGGTGGCACACGATGTGCAGATCAATACCCAATACAAGCGGTTTTTGAAGAGCGATATTACCGACATTGAGGATCTTGTACCGGGCACTGGTGGCGTGTTGAATCCGGTAGGTTTATCAAGGTGCATCTCAAGGAGGTGGCTTAAAGCTGACAACTGTAAAACAGATGACTGGAAAGCCACTAGCGGTTTACAAGGACGAAAACGGCAATGTGAAGAAGTTCAGCGCTCTTTGCCCGCATCTCAAAGGCGTCGTTTGCTGGAACCACGCCGAAAAGAGCTTCGATTGCCCCGTTCACGGCAGCCGCTTCTCCAAGGAGGGCGTGTGTATCAATGGGCCGGCAAAAGCCAACCTTAGCCCGGCTGACAAGCCAGGCGAAATGGGCCAGGCGATTGCTACCGGGGCGGGTATGTAGTGCGGCTAGATGAGGGATGAGACGGCGGGCATTAGGTGCGGACTCTGGCGTTCTGTGGTGCCGGATATGGTGTTTAGGCAGTGTATTAATAATTGCAGTGATGTCTAATGATTTTCAAGTTGAGGTCTTGGTTCCTGAACTGTTATGGAAAGGAGCGCTGTAATGGCATATGTTACTCCCTGAACTAATACGACGACAGCATCACCCCGAGCCGTCCACCATCACACATCAGTACCATGCCGTTGCAGTACGCTCCCGCCCGGCTGGCAAGGTAGAGCACAGTGCCGGCCATCTCCTCGTCCCCGCCGAACCTGCGAGCGGGGATGAAGCGTTTATCCTCAAAGCTTTCGGTACCCGGGTCTCGGCCGCCGGTGAGAACCTGCGCCAGCTCTGTAGGGAACACTGATAGTGGCACAACGCCGTCAGCTTCGACATCTCTTTCCCCAACTCACAGCAACAACTGAAAGAGCAACCTACATCCGGGGGCCAACGCATTCGCCCGAATCCCGTACCTGGCCATATTCGAACTGGCATGCTTGGTCAGGTGCAGAATCGCCGCCTTGCTCGCCGCATACGCCGGAGCCGACATGGGCATGCGGCTGAAGGCAGCAATACTGCTGGTAACAATAACCTGGCTTTGAATCGATGGGACATCAGCGCTCCCGGTGCTGAGTGGCGCGCCAAACCCGCCTTGCTTGCAAGCCCTCTTGTTCCCTTCATCCAACAGCTCAAGAAACGCAACGATCGTAAAAAACGCGCCCGTGACGTTGACATGCATGGCCTGTGTCATGTCGTCCATGATACCTTGCTCAAACATGCTCGCGCGCACCTCGGACACGCTCAGCGACGGGTTCCACCCCTGCAGGGGGCCGGTGACACCAGAGTTGGCGACGAGCAGGTTGATGTAGCCTGTTTCGAGGGTGATTTTGTCCACGGCGGATTGGAGGGAGTCTTTGGAGGTCACGTCGCACGGCATGGGGACCATGATGGAGGGGAACTCGGCGGCTGCGGTGGTGAGGACGTCGTGGCGCCGGCCGAGCAGGTAGACCCTTTTGGCGCCGTTGGAAGCGAAGGCCCGGGCCATTACCAGGCCGATGCCTAAGTATCCATGATCAATCATCAATGTGTGTGCGGCACTGGGTCAGCGGGAGCGGCTGCAGTGGGGGGTGGGACTTGACTGAGAGGTGGTGGTGGTGGCCTGGTCGGGATGGCCGGCGTCTAGATACATGCAGTGGGGTCCGGGATCTCTGAAGAGAACTTACCGGTGCCGCCGCCGGTTATGACGGCCACCATGCCGTCGACTCGGAAGAGATTATCTGCAGAGAGATTGGGTGCCATTTTATGGTTTTTACTTTTAGGTTCAGTTTGCAGTTTGTCCGGTGGAGAAGATTGTGTGAAGATGGAGATTTCTCTGGGATGAAGAGTTGTGGTGTCCGGATAAGGGGAACTGCGTGGGGTGGGGATCCGGATCCGGTGTTTGATGTGAAGTCCGTTATTAGTACTACCTAGGTATCTACTTTGAGTTTGAGGTGTAGAATTAAGACTTAAAGTTCACCGGTCTTGACCGTCAACCGTTTATGAAGATGTACCGCATCTTACCTGTATCGTCAATCATGTCATCACACTTCACACTTCATGTTCCCGGCCATTCGATAGGCTACAACAGATCTTTTCCCCTTAGCTCTACATGCTGCCTGCCATCCTGCATGTGCGCTGTCATTCGCTTGTCGTTGTTGGCACCATGACGCACTTTGAGAACGGCGACAGCACCATTGATGGCTCAGGGGAATGGATTCTGAGCCCGGTATGCATTCTGAGCCCGCTCGTCGTTAGCATTGCCTGGACCGTACACGGATTATATCATAAGTGCACTCTCGGTTCTGAAGTACAACCAGATAACGGGTAATCGAAGTAGACTACCTACTCTGTAAAAATCGTGGTAGCGGTCTTGTTTCTTGAGATTCATTTGTTGCGCCCCTGTAGTGGAGAATTCGTGATATCTGTTCTAGCGGCGAATGGTATTTTCAGGGCATATGCATCTTTCTCTTTGAAATTGCTTGATGAGTTATAGGCTCTGCCAGCTTGTCATCTCTGTATCATCCAAAAGTAATATCCTGACTCCCGACTGGACACCGAGGGTTTTCGTAATTCCACCTGAAGGCCGACATTATGCCACAAAAGTGAACGACAGCTGAAAGGACCACAAAAATGTGAAAGACTTGGTGTGAGGCACCCCAGATATCGAACTTGCCGGGCTTCCAAGCTTCCGGGAAATGTGACTAGAGAGACGATTAGCAACCACTGCATACCAACACAAGAACAGGTTTGAGATTGACACGTACCATATAGTGGAAGGTTCCAATGAGCACCAAGACGCCTTCGATGTAATAATATCGAAGACCAGCCTGTTGATCGAGTTGATGGTAGGGAAAGATGATGGCCGCGTGAATTATTGGGGCGAAGGCTGAGAAGCCCGTCGCGACAAAGCTACAGACTCTAACTGGTCGCCATTTTCGGCTCTGGAATTTGGGGTTGAGCACGATGAATGCCGACAGCAACGACAAGGCTGCTATCTGAATGTAGTGTAAGCTGGATGAATCAGACTCAGGGGTAACCTGTTGATTGTTGACTCACCATTGACCAATAGAGTCTCTGTAGAGTGGGCTCACAGTAAAAGCCAATGTATATACCAGATATGAAGGAGCCGAGAATTTGGAAGAGGATGGCGGTGTAGTCATACCTGACCCAGAGGTCGCGGTATCGCTCGGAGTGGCAGAGGAGGGTGTGATAAAGGGCCGAGATGGTGAAACAGATGACGGATGTGGCCAGGTATAACTGGAAGACGATGCGATCCTGCCAAGAAGCCTCGGGGAAGTGATTGTTGAAGTACCAGGGGATAATGCCGACCAGTATCAGGGCTACAAGGGCTGGGATGAGATGGGAGAAAATGTTTACTGTTTCATTGTGGAGGTATGCGAGACTCCGAAAACAGAACTCAACCGAGTAGTTGATTGGGCGGTACCCCGTATAAATCAAAGGTTCGCTGTACCACGCCGGCACTTCCTTGTTGGAAAGGAGCCGCTTGTCACTGCTTGCGGTAGTTGGAGTAATAGGTGAGTCGCGCTGCGATCCCTCGATTTGCGGCTGCCGTTGTATGGGGACTGGTGTTCTCTTCCGCGCCGCCATCTCGTATGGGACGGCAATGGAGACTTGGTCAGCCGGGGTGAGAGACGGCGGCGGGCTGCGTTAGGATAGGCCAAGGATTTATTTTGCGGTTGTTCCGAGCAACCTTCAAGTCATGAAGAGGAAGTTTTGGGCAAATGCGGCGCTCTGCGCGGGATTTGGAAAATTGGCGTTATTTTGCCCACGTGAGGCCCTTTTTACTGGTTCGACAATCAGTATTATGCTGCCACCAACCGCGCGGCTAGCCTGTGCACGCCAAGCGTTGCAACACGGAAGAGCCCGACGAAAGTGGTGAGAACTCATGGCCTGCCATTGGTTGTTGGGCGATGAGCGCGCCAGAACCGTGCAGGACGCTCATTGCGCTGAAACCTGTGGCCAACACAACCCAAATGAGGGGCTCTTGCTGCAAGATGCCGTTGACATACTGGTATTGTCGCACCAAACCATTGCAGCCTTCCTGTCTGAATGTGTCCTCCCTTCCCCAGGTCACCCCGCCTCTTCCATGACCTACAACACCAACCTCGTCGACTGTTCAAGTCTTTCGTCCCGCCAACCGCGGCGCCAAGAACCCCAGGATGGGATCGGGTGAATCCACTATCATCACGACAACCTTGACTGTGTCCAGCAATGGCCGGGTCGAGGGCTGGAACGACCAGCCTAACAGTCGGGGAACCATGGACATTATATGGATCTGCCTCACCACAACTTTCTTCTGCACTTATGTGGTCCTCTCGGTCAACTGTCCCGCGAGGGGTGAACCGTGGTGGAAAGGAGAGGCTCGGAAGCTGCTATGGGTCGCAATCGGCATTTCCGGCCCAGAATTCATCCTCACCGCAGCTGCTGGGCAGCTAGCCCTCGCTCGAGATTCCGTCAAAACGTTTCGCAGTGCCGGTTACCAAGGCTGGACATATCGACGCGCATTTTTTGCCAACATGGGAGGCTTCGAGCTCATTCCGCCCGATTTCCCCCCTTTTCGAATCAACTCAAAACACATTCACTGGCTTGTTAGCCGAGACTATATCGATTTCCCCGAGGTATCCGACGAGGAGTTGTGGGACAAATCGAAGCAAGACACGCTTACCAAGGCCATCACATGTTTACAAGCTGGATATTTAGTCCTTCAGTGTATTGGCCGTGCCATTCAGGGGCTTGATGTCACAACTCTCGAACTCTCCACTGTGGCCATCGTCGTTTGTTCAATCATGACAAGCATCTGCTGGCTTCGGAAGCCACACGACGTCCGCTACCCAATACGCATTCCCTTGAAGAAACCGATGGCGCAGCTATTGCAAGAAGCGGGTCCAATCGCAGCTCATCCATACCGTCAAACCCCACTGGACTTTGTCGATGATTTCACGCCAAGCTGGGCTCTCAACATCCATCGCTTTATGCAGCTGCCCGTCGGCCGCAACAGCTCCATGCGCCCCATCACCCGAATCGGTGACAGCAGACTCCCTGCCATGACTTGGAAGGAGAGCAGTTGTCTCTGCCTCGCTACCTTTGCCTACGCTTCTGTTCATATGCTGGGGTGGAACTTTTCGTTTCCCACGCCTCTCGAGCAATTTCTCTGGCGCATATCCAGTTCTATTCTTGTCGGCACGACCGTTGCCTTCTGGATCATCGAGAGCTCTGCTAAGATGTATCGACGGCGACCCCTCCTAGGCAAGAAGAAATCCAAAACCACGGACATCTTGCCCGTTCAGGAGTCCTCACCCGAACCGAAGAACCCTGAGGAAGAGGTGAAAGCATTTGTGCCCAAGCAGCTCCCACTGGTGTGGGAATTCTGGGGTATCTTCCCGATTTCCATTATTTACGCCGCGGCGCGAGGTTATATTCTGATTGAGGCGTTCTATGGGTTGAGATCGGTACGTCCGTCCGCGTATCAGGAGATTGAGTGGCTTTCTGTTATACCCCATCTATAAAATTACACGTAGAGCAGGCTCATTATCCATACACAAACCCCCCCTCCCTTCCCCCCCACCCTTTCAACTGAACCATCTATGGTTCTCCCACCATTCTCAAAGTGCGTCATAGCGCCAGACAACGACAAGCGAGTGACGATCCACAATCCACATGCAGGATGACAGGCAGCATGTAGAGCTAAAGGCACAAGATCTGTTGTATCCTATCCAATGGCCGGAAACATGAAGTGTAACGATCTCATAATTACAATGCGGCGGTGTTTGTGTGTTGGATCATGATGGCAAGGCGTGTCTCCGTCTGCTTTAACGTTGTTTGTACCTACCTAATTGGAAGTGAACGGCTGATGAGTTTCAACGAGATAGCTACCTAGGTAGTGTCTTACCAGCGAGTTGTAAGATACCTTAAATGACTAGCTAGGTATGCTCCTCTAGACTCTTCATCTCCACAGCGCCGGTCCAGGGAACGGATACCCGCCCTCGTTAAACCCGTTATACACATTGATATGCAAGCCCGGCTCGCCCTGGGTGTAAAACGTCGTTGCCGACTCTCCCCCCGTAATCTCGGTCGACCCTCCGTCCGTCACATTAAGGTTGATGCACTGTGGATAGGCCTGAACACCCTCGACATCCCACGCCGAATGCAGCGCGATGATCTCATGACGCAGCACATACATCCCCGACTTCAAGTCCTTGGGCACCTGGAACGTCCATCTGAAGTTATCCTTGATGAGGTCGTCGGTGACCCACGCCTTGAGCCAGTCCGTGGCGGGCGTGACACCGCGCTTGAGACCGGCCTGTGCAACCTTGACAAACCTGAGCTCCTCCTTGCTGACTGTGGTGCAGCCTCCGCCGCTCGCGCTCGCCGCCGCCGGGCACGGAGCAAGGTAGTCCATGATGGGACCCACGTGGCTCTCGGGCCATGTGAACCACTGCAACGTGAGGTTAGACCCGGCGCTGACTTGCACGTAGTCCTGGCCGGGCGTGGCCGACTTGTGGCAGATTATGTCCGAGTTTTGAAAGCTCGACGGCGGCACGAAGCCGAGGTCTGGGTTGTCGGCGTACCAGCCGGGGACGCTGGGTGCTGGGTTCTGGAAACGGAAGCCCGGGTCGTAACCGCGGTACCGCACACCGCCGGCGTCGATGTATTGGATGAAGCCGTGGGCTGAGACGCCCTTGGCTGTGAGGAGGATGGAGGTTGCGGTGAGTAGGAGCATGATGGTGATGATGGCAACCGAAGAGGGATTAGTTGTTCATGAGAATACTAGTACTGGTGTCGGGTTGTCAGTTCACATATTATTTCAATCCCAGCCAACATCGCTTAGCCACGCGTGTTGATCAATATAGCAAGGTAATCATGTATGTGTAGAAGCGTTCCGGATTGATTCCGAATTCGTGGAGTTACTTCTTCCGCCTCGGAACTTGGAGCCGTCGGTACCGCGACCCGGTAAATGAGCTCGGTAGAGGACCACCCGCTCCCTCGATGTAGGTGCAGTGATTGTATGAGTGCGGGGGACAGGGATCACATGTTGACATTCCAAGCACCTATTGTCTTTTCCCCCAAGCGGACCAAAATAGAATACGGGCACACCTTTCCACGACACTTGACAACTTGAAGGAAGCAAAATCCCCATCTGGCATCTTCATTGAGCCCAACCAAGACAGCTGGAACCTCCAAGTCTTACTCAGTGAGAGAGCCGGGGCTAGTGTGCACAGTGGTGGATCTGGCCTGGCACTCAGTCTGAGTCAGATATGTATCCCGGCGTTTAGCTTCCGCTTCCTTCGCCTCCCGGTCGCCTCTTTTATCCCGTCGTGGCATGTGTTGGAATCCGCGGCCCGGGGGGGATTGGCGTCGGAGCGCGCCGCGTGAGCCTCCGGGCGAACCGAGTCCAAGCCGTCGTCGACAGGGTCATCAAGCCAGAGGGCCAGCCTCTTTAGGCTTGCGAGATCTCAGCTCTTGACCTGTGGGACGTGGGATCTCCGTTAGGTGTGGTTCAGGACTGTGGCCGTGCGGGGTTCGGCGTCTAGTAGTACGCATGTGTCAACATACAACCAGGGGAAAGCGATTCGGAGAGTCCAGTGGGTTGGTAGTATTCGCGCGCAGCCGCTAATTGTCTCCTACTTTAACAAGAGACGCAGGCCCTGGCAGGATCGAAGCCGACGGCTGGGCGACATGAGGTTGTTCACCGTCCGACACTGATGCAATATCCCGTGGTCTCCGAGTCGAGGAGAAAGCGGCAACGGAGCTACTGTTAAGATTCAAAGTTCAGGGTCGCGGTTTCGCACCTGAATATTGACACCTAGTATTACCTTCTCTACTAGGTACTAATACATGGTATTACAGAGTCGAATTCATGCTTTGACAGTTCAAGGTTCATCGCGAAGAATGTAAGAGATACCCTTTCCAGACCCCGGTCGTTCTATAAAACATAAAGAGGTATCATCAGATCAACATAAAACTTTAAAAACACAGCCCGGTATGATAGGGCCGTGGGTAACATAAAAAGGGATTCAAAAGAAGCCCAGCTCAGTCCTAGATAGCTTCTGCAGTCGCGACCATCGGCGTTTTCTTCATCAACCCCTGGGCTTCACCACCCGACATAGGACTTTGATACTCGCTGCTGCCAAACACATCAGTCTCTGCAGCGTCCTTCTTTGGCACAGCCTGGTATCTGTGCCGTTTGATCAAGAACCTGTTTGCAACACCAGTTAGCTCATCTGCCTATTCAACGCCAACGACGGTAATCACTGTGACTTACGCGATAGCCACGCCAACAGCAATCAAAAACGGCACGCCCAGCCCGACACTCAGCCCAATAATAAGCTTGTTATCCACCCCGCCGGTCTGGCCGTTAACAATCTCCTCGACTGAAGAACCGAAGCCCCCACCACCAGCACTGCTCGAAGCAGCCGCCGACGAGCTGCTGGTGGAGGTAGGCGGTGGCGGCGGCGGGACAAAGCTTGTCGGCAGGCCGCTCGTGGAGCTGATAGACTTGGCCTGGGTGCCAAAGGGGATGGTGCTAGCCACGCTTGATACGATCGACGCGGGGAAGGTGGCCGTGACGCCGGGCGGGACCGACGTCACCAGCGTCAGGGTGCTGGTTTGCACGCTGGTTGTCAATAGATTCTGCGGGCAGAGGGCTGCCAGGTCGGGCGACTTGCACCCCACGGCCGTGTATCTGTCGACCGTTGTAATGGTGGTCGTAACCAGGTTGTCCTGGCGGGCGGCCAGGCTTGCACTGGTGGTGGTGGCGGGTGCGGTGGTAGGGGAGGCGGACGCCTGGATGGCGCAAATGTCGGCAAGGGTGGTGTAGAAGACGGGGATGGTGGTCGTTGGTTGAGGGCCGAAGGTCTGGCCGAACACCTGCACGGTTGCGCCTGCCACGGCGCCCACGCCAAAGGTGTACTCCTCGACCACCTTCAGCGCGCAGTCCTCCTCGTCCTGGAGGATTGCGCCGGCAGTTACGTTGGTGATGAACTCGGCGAGATGGGCAAACACGCCCACCTCGACGCCGGCGCCGACTTGGAGCTTCTCTTCGACGGCGCTGGGCGTGTTCAGGTTAACGCCGGCGTGCATCCCCACGCGGAGGATGGCTTTGAGCACGGCGTTGGCTGTCAGGACCGTGACGGGAAGAAATTCGAACTCGCCGCCATTGCTGCAGACCGTGGCGTTAGTACGTGGTTGGGGAAGGAGGACAGGGAGGGGGGACTTGCAGGATAATCTCGGAAACGTTGTGGCTCAGGAATGCCAGACGGAAGGCTATGCCATCCTCCACCCTGAAATGGACGCCCGTGGTGAAGTCAATCTCGCCGTCAACGCTGAGGATTAGGTCCATCGTGACAAATACGCCAACCTCCAAGTCCTTCGTGGTCCCGATGCCCAAGGATTTGGACTTGTACAAGGGGATGTTGAGGGTGGCAGATCCGGTAATCTTGGTGCCGAGGAGCAGGTAAATGTCCAACTCATCGAGGGAGAAGCTCAACACCACTTCGGGAAGCGGTGGCAAATCGATATCAAAGTCGGTGTCGATCGTGAAGTTGTCGAAGTTGAAGGCCTCGCTGAAGTCGAAGTCTTTATCGTCGAATGGGTTGAGCGCTGAGAGATCAATGTCCCCAACGAAATTCTTGACTGAGTCGATCGCTGTACTGGTCATGTTCTCGAATTCTTCGCCGAGCTGGTCTGTAAGGTTGGCGATGGTATCTCCAAAGTCAAAAGTGCCATTGAGAAACAACTCGGCCGTGGCAGAGGCCTTGACGTAGCAGGTGGCACATCGTACTTCGATCCCTAACGAAACCGAGAGATTCTCGTTCTTCGTGTCAAACTCGTGGGTGCTGGATATTGTCAGAGCACCACGCGGGTGTTGTACAGGAAACGGCCTTGTTAGGCCCGCAGGTAGAGGAAGCCACTTACTGCTGAAAGAGCACCGCCTCTTCCCAGCTCTTATCGATACTTAATGTGTTTCGCAACGTCTGATTTGTCTCTTCCTGTCTTGCGAAGAGCGAGTACACACGACGGCGGATTTCATTCAACGTGTAGGCCTCTGATTTCCCTGGCAAGGGCGTTGTCCGAACCGCGACTAGTGGTGCTGGATTCGCGGACACGGTAGCGAACCTTGCCGCCGTGAGAAGGGCGGATATGAAACTAGAGGTCTTCATCTTGGAGACTGAGAGATGCTGGCTAACCCGTACTCCCACAGAGCCGGCAAGCAACATTCCATCACGGACGCCATCTCCTTTTAGTACTCGTCCAGCTCATGCCCCAGCTCCAAAGCTTGGGTATAACACTCCTCCGGGGCCAGGGCGGCCCAGACGAGACCAAGGACGATACTCAGCAGCTTGGCATCCTTCATCCAATAACAAATCTCAGAGTTTCGAGATAGGATGAAGCAGGGTCCTCCAAAAGTGTTTGGGTGCACATCAACAATCACGGTTTGCGCCGCATGGTCGCAGGCGTCGTTGGTAACAGAGTGGGCCCTGGGGGCTGTGGGCGGCTGCAGCCGCAGGAATTCAGGGGTCCACAGGAGGTCTGGGGATTGGCCGCCTTGTCTGGGGGTGCCTTGGTGGGCCCCGCTTTTTTCCATCCCGCAGGAAGCGAACCTGGACGACATCGCGACACTTCACTCGGTGGGGGCTGAACACACGCCGGAACATCGGTTGACATCGATGTAAACTTGAGTGCAGATAAGACGGTGCGGCTCAGCAGTCTCCACGTGTACTACCGACTCCTCGTTAGATTCGTCTAAACTCCGTGGGCTCGGACCTACTTACCTGGTAACCTGGCCCAGGGTGAACTTGGGAAACCCCAAGATAAGCCTGGGAGATCCAGTACTGGTTGAGTGCTCCTTCCCGTCGAGAAATGAATTAAGCAGATTTTTGGAGTGGCGATATCCGGATATGCCAAGCCATGACGAACTCTAAAGGATGCTTGCCAATTGTGCGCGAAACCTAGGGTGTTGGAGAACTGCATACCATGCAGGGGTTAGGAACATGGGGAGATGGTGCCGAGAGGACGGACTCTAGGCTGCCACAATCGAGCAGATGGCAGCGTGGCAGTCGTCCAGCCACTTGATACCAAGAATAGCCCTTTGCGCAGGACAAACTTTTCGCTATACTGCAACCTGGTAGGTTATGTAAGAGAATCTGGTAGGAATTGCAAAAGCCGGGTTGTATACCGGTGATGTCGGGTGCCTAAGGGTGGTGGAAAACTCCATGTCTGGGTTGAGTGATTGCTTGGGGGCCGTTGAAGAGGTTTCTGCCGCTGCAAATCATTTAGCAATGGATGAAACCAGTATCCGTAGGTACGAGATACGAATCTCATACCCAGCCACGGTGCAGGTTATCGCGAGAAGCAGAAAGCAATCTTGCAGAGCCTCTCAACTGCCGTGGCGGTGGAGGAAAGAGTTCTTGATGCACAGTCTTTCAAGTTCGTGTCACCATCTCGAATGCAAAACGGTTGGGTTGATCCCGACGAGTCAACAACTCTCTTGAAAAGTGTGGAGTCACTGTGGCCCCCTTGTCCTTGGCAAACTTGGCGCGTTTCCCAGGAATGGTTAGCGCGCTCGACGCCTTGGCCACCGGCCCCGCCACTTGGCTGAGCTGGGCGGGCGCTCTTCCATCTCCAAAACTTCCGTGCCTTCCGAAGTTCGGCTCAGAAAATTCAGACTGATGGCCTCGTGCCTCATGGCCACATTCCGAGGGCGAAGGCTGCATCCCAGGGCTTGCCCTGTACGACTCCATTCTTACCCTAGGGCTCTATAAGGAATTGATTCGATAACATTCAATGGCGGCCGCCGAAGGACAGTCAAGGACTATCAACGTTCGGACAACCAGGTTGCTCACCACCACCAATCTAGTACCAGACTATCAGTCCTACTCAAGGCGTTCGAGCGAAAAGAGCCGACCATCATAACGTCTGGTACTTATGAGCCTCCGTGAGGGTTCCCTAGCCTCATTGGGTACTTGGAACTGCCGATTCGTGGACTTACGCTGGCAAGGCCTGCAAGGCTGGGAGGCAAGATCACCCTGCAGTGCTGCACCTACTGAGGCAATTGAAGATCGCGATGTAATTCATCAATATGCAGATATCCACGACACCCTTGCGATTCTCTTCAGCACCTTTGATAAAGGAAGTGAGGAATACACCAGCTCTGTTTGGCGCTTGAGGATCGGGCATGCTTCCCTGGGACGGCAGCCACCCAACGAAAAATCCTACTGCTTTCCCATATATAAGGGGGCAAATTCGGTTCTCTAAATGGGATTGAAGGAGAACCGGCCCGGTCATCAAGGATCAGCACCATGATACTAGTAACGCCCCTTCACCCGCGCAGCATCGCCGCTCAACAAACGTACGAAGCCTCAGCCCGAAACTTCATGGACTTGGTGTACATGTTCGTTCTGGGATACATGCACAAGCAGCCCACATGCGTGTGGCAGGAGCAGACGAAGAGCCTGACTCCATCCACACACCGTCCAAACATGTGTTCCACCCACCTACCTTACTCATAAATATAACAAAACTTGCCGCCCAATCCACCCATGGTACTCATCAACTCCCTAACCTTGACATCCCCGGCCAGCACACCCAACCCACTCAAATCATCCAGCGTCCCGTTCGCACTCGGCGGGAAGTTGTTCATAGTCCTCGTCATGCTGACCTCTGCAAGCCTCTTCTCAAGATTCTGCATCTGCCAGATCCACCAGACCCGATCAATCTGGGCATGGTGCAGCCAAAAGACGGGATCCCCGGGGCTGACATAAAAGTCGCCCGCCGGGTCACCTCCTACTGTGTAGTGCCCGCCCGTGTGCACCCCCCACTTCCCCTGCGGGAACTGCCCCTCCATGACGGTCTGGAACCAGTAAATGTCCTTGTTGGACGTGATCAGGTCCAGCGTGTAGTTCGCCGTCGTCACGGCCGCCGCGTTGCGGTTCACGTCCCGCCGCAGGCACCGCGGGTTGTACCCCAGCCCGTCGGCGCGGGGGTTGCGCTGCACGTCCGTGAGGGAGGGTGCGATCGGGCCGATGTTGACCGTCATGCTTGAGGGGGCGTTAGTTTAGGGAGCCGATACGGATTGGTTGGATTTGGGGTAGAGAGGCATTACTTCTTGAACGGGCCAGTTGTGACGCAGCCGCCGCCGTCGCCGGGCGGAATCACGTTGTACGGCCGGGGAGCCATGGGAATGGGGATGCCTGCGTGCGCCTTCTTGGCGCCGTTGCCGCCCATGCTGCCCTCGCTGCCGTCAAAGAGCGGGGAGTTGACCGGGTCCTTGGCATATCGCCCCCAGTTCCAGTACTGATTTTGTTAGGCTGTGTTTCAAGTTGGGAATGGATGGGAAGTGTCAGGGCGGACTCACAGGCTGGTAGCCCTTGTAGCCACACTCTGTGCGGAGAGCTTGTTCGTAATGCCAGACGTAGTAGCGATGCCACGGTAAGAAGAAGGTCTACTACCGGTTAGCTGATGTTCCGCGTTGGCGATCATTGACAGCACAGCCTTACTGATCCGTGGTTCCTCGGCGTCTGCTGGATATGGACGACAATGTAATCGTCAAACCTGCTCTTTGCTCCTGGGGCTTGAGCGCTAGTCAGGGCAGGCTTGGACATGAGACACAATACGGCATTGGTGTAGTCCTTTCGTTCTTGGAGGGTGAGATCGCCCCTTTTCCACTGTCAGCTCTCTGCCAACCCGGCAAGCATTGTGCGATATTTACTAACCATTCTTTGCGCCTGACTGCGGTCTCGAGCGTGCAGTTGCCCTGCGGGTGCTTCTCTAGGTACTCCTTGAGCATTGGCAGGCTGGCGTCGACAAGCTTGTCGACATCATCCTTGGGGTAGGACTGAGCGGCCGCGAGACCAACAAACAAGAGCGTCAATCCCCTCATTGTGAAGTCAGGTATTCAGGATTGAAACACTTCTGCCGTACATGGCTTCAGGGAGGGAGAACGGCGGTTTAGTTGGGCCAACGGTCAACCCCCTTTTGTTTGCCGGCATCTCAGGTTCAGGCTTACACCCCAGTGCCAAGAATAATATGTAGCTGTTATGTTTACCAAAGAAATGACGATCTTCTTCATTTATTTGGAGCTCGGCCAGCTTAGTGAGGTGCCATCCTAACATATGTATATGTAGTTGCCAAGCGTAATCCCGGATGAAGCCGAACAATGCGGTCTTAGTTGTAGCACCGGTTGTCAGCACAATATTGCATTGCAGCCTTCGGCAGATGAGCCGAGTGCTGGTACCGATTCTATTGCCGCTGAACCAGGCGGTTCCGGATCACGGAGCTAAGGTAGGTATTTAATATACTCGGCGGGAAGTTCAACCCACGTGATTGCCTAGGACTCAGTAATACCCATCAACCTTGTGGAAGTGAGTGTATTCGGCTGTGGCTAGTTCGACAAGACTGGAACGGAGAAGACAGTTGCTATGTTCACAGTTGGATATACCAGTATGCAACACAACCCTGCTCTTGAAACAATTTGAAGCTCGTGACTCGGGTACGACACGTCCTCGTTATCTCTGCCTTTTCCCTTTGGCAAGGTATTCCTACATGTAGTTACGGAAAGTACTATATAGGCCTCCCGAAGTTTCGGAAGACAGTCTGGTCTCCGCAGTCCATTTTGGTTTATTAGAGGTCCGGGTTTTTGTCAGAACATTGACACAAGCCAATAGGCACATGCCATTCCAATGATGTCTTATGATCGCCCAGTCCTAGCCTTAATCATAATAACGTATTCACCCGGTATAGGGTAGTAATGTAGAAAGATGCAGGGATCGTCGCAGCAAAACTGTTTGCCCTTACCTCAGGTAGTTTAGTTGGTATGGTCATGAACCTAGGTGAACAACGTATCCGCAAGAGAATTAGGTAACCTGGAACTCAAGGCAATTCCATCCCAATTCCACGCCGGCCTCACCTACGCATCGACTCGCCCCTTTGTTAACATGCCCTACTCCGTGGGATCAAACCACGATGAGTGCTTGGATCATTGTGAACTCCTAGCAGGGAGATTGAAGGTCTCTGTCATCACTGCCAACATTGCAAATGGAATTACTCGACACCCAGAACTTCGCCAAGAACCTTGAGCTTGTGGACAAGGTCAAGGCAATCGCTGAGAAGAAGGGCGTTACGCCCGCGCAGCTCGCATTGGCTTGGATCAGGTCCTATGCCAACACGGGAGATGTCAATGGTCTGATCCCCATCCCGGGCGCTACGAGCGCGAGTCGTGTCGTTGAGAACTGTATGTAAGGTGGTGGAAATCAGTCAGTCGTTCCCCGTTGCTGGCCACCGCCAGATTCCTGGTGCTGACCACTTCATCTGGACTTAACTGTTCCCTCGTGGAGAGTATTAGACTTATTGAGTTGTTTTAGCACGAACTGGGTGTACATTCCAGCAAAATGTGACCAAGTTAGGTTCCTTATCACGTTTATTCGCGCTACATAATCTGCTTCCTCAAAGAACAGGATAGGAGGTTAATTCATGTTGGTTGAGTAGGTCGTCTGCCAGTTTGTGATCCAACTTCATAAGACCCGGCCCTAGAGGTCGACATGGTCAGTACAAGGGAGCACTTTTAATTCCGCTGAGTGAGAACACTTACGCCAATATCCTGTTCATGTCGTCTGTTCCGGAAGAACTGCAGAGTTCTCGTACAATCTTAATCCCATAGCCCGCCTTCTTCCACTCTGCAATAGTCCGACCGTGAACAATGACGTAAAAGATGATGCCAATAAGAGTGAGACACTTCAGATTGCCTCGAGAGATTGCGAATATGCAGCAGATCTCTCCTAGATCTTAGAGTTCGAAGCCTCCAAGATCTTGATCTCGGCCTCCTCTCTCATACGCGTGACCTCCGACTCGATAGCCAGGAATCTCTCTTCCTTGTCAAACTCGCTGACCAATGCCATTGCCTTCTCAACCAGAGTCTTGGAGGCATCGAAGTCTTCCATCCATTGCTTCGGGTTTTCTCGCTTGTCCGGCTTCCTAAGTCTGGTCCAAACGATAGCCGAAACTGTGACAAGGGCGTCGGTAATTTCTTTGGCCTTGTCGAGCAGTTTCTGGACGAATTCGGCCGAGTACTTCTCCCTGATGAAGGTAGGGATTCCAGCCGCGTCTTCGTAGGTGAGGCTGTGACGCAGGAGGATGAAGCGGAGATGGATAGCCGGCTTCTCGAAGCGGGCGGCTTGTTCGATCAGCTCAGGAGTGATGGGTGAGATGGCCATGATGGTTCAGTTGAGTTGATAAGTGCGTACTTTCTCTGGTCTGATGGAAGCAATGTTGTCGATGGAATGACTGGGTACAGGTTCAGCTGTTCTAAGCTTGCTTGCTTGTTGTGGTTTGGGGAAGAGAGGGTAAGAGAGGGAGAGAGAGGAAGAGAGAGAGTAAATAGCTGGTCTTATGAGTTTCTGGACTTGAACAGAAGGTCAGTGAAGGACCACTCTAGGCCAGGTGATCATCCCATCTGTTCTGGGATGGGATGGCATGACGTGGGTAACACAGTTTACTCGAACCTTCACTGCTCCAAGGACTGCCAGTGGAACAGTCGAGTTGCCCGTGCCTCCAAGCTACAAGGTAATGACATGAGATGAAACGCAGCCTTCAGCCAGCTGTCAACACCAGTAGATAATCGTTTGTTGCGGGTCGTGTTCCTCACTGTGTGTATTCTGGACCGAGGTACCTGAGGGACTTCTCCCGTAAGCTCAGAGCAGCCAACAGCCTAGCATTTGCCGTTCCAGCCACATCAGCAGGGTTGTTTGCACTCTAGATCTAGTACCCTAGTTGTTCACAATGTTCTCGTACAGTCCAATAAGTCGTACATGGACTAGAATCAGCAATGACGAGAGCTGTATTCCACCCAGTACTAGCAGGAGGAGAGAAAGAGGACAGTGAAACGCGGAACTGGAGAGGAACTATCAACCCGTGTCGTCATTTTGGAGTTCAGACTACTATTAGTATTGTTTACCTTGATATAAGCAATCTATAATGCCAGGAGGAGCACCCTAACTCTCTACATGTAATGCGTAAGTACCTTACCTTACCTACCTATGTTACCTGGTACCTTTGTCACTTTGAGAGAAGCTGTTCTAGCTACACTGCCAATTAAGGTACCTAGCAGGACTGCATGAAAGGGATTCCGTGACTTTTCAGGCGTGTACGTTCAATGACAGAATTGCTACGCTATTGGCCTTGCTCCTCGTGTGCACCAGACCGGAAATACAGGCCTTTCCCTCTTCCCAGTAGGTTTGGGTACGCTAAGAGGCAGGGCTCGAGGATTGCTGTCCTAATTCCCAGGTTACAATTGCGCTGTGGCCGGCCTGGGAGCAACCACTGTCGAGAAAATGATACAGGAGTTGGAGTATAAGGGGGTGGCCATGCCCAGAGCAAACTATTAGCTGATGACATGGAGAACTACCTACATGTATCACACCTGTCAGTTAACCCCGTGTTCGGATTCCTCAAACGATGGTTTTACACTATTCGAGCTCATACCAGACCAAGCAATCGTCAGGCCAGGTGGCTGCTACAACATGACAGCATCCCCAATACCTCGGACCCTGCACTTAGCCATCTGCGAGCCCGGCCGGCCTCCTGCCGAGCCTAGGAGACCGGCTACAGTCTGGAAGCAACCTTCAGATTGCAGCGAGTCACAATCTCGAATCACAACCTACCTCGGCCGGTTTTTAGCCCAGCCCTCGAAGGCTGGGTAGTTTTCCGACCGATATTTACGCCCCTTCTCGACCTTGGGAGAGCTCCAAAGCGGCGACGTGGGAAGCCTTAGGGTAGGAGCACGGAAGCGGGGATACGGGAATCCGGGTAGGATGTACTGGGCAGGTTGGGCCTTTGGATACGGGCCTCTATAATGGGAGTTGGAGGGTGGTATTCTTGACAGGCAGTCGTCACGCTGCCAAAATGTCCTCTGCACTCGATTTGCTGTATGGGCAGTACTTTGTATATAAGACCTAGACCAGCACGTCCCCACATGGCTTTGTATCGTTTGGGCCTACTCCCCGTTTAGAGGACTGGCCCCTGGACGTTAAGCGTAAACAACAACAACAACAACAGCCATCTGCGAGTAAAGTGAGAGACTCCATCAAGAAGGAGTACGTATACCTACATGAACGCGACCCTTGGAGTACTACAGCCACGCTGCTCCCATTCTGCTCCAAGAAGCGGGGCAACGGCTACTTAGCTGCTCAGGGGAAGTGAGCAGGACCTTGCCGCAGATCCTTTTCCGGAACTTGGGGTTACTCCACACCAGACGATATCGCACACATGCGAGTCCTCTTCTCCCATGCACGTAAGATATATCGTCAGAATTCGGAACATCTGCCGACAGGACGGGATAATGCGTCTTCCAACGTATTGGGGAAATTTAGCGAAGGGCTGATCTTTGGTTGAGTATATCATTGGGATATAGTATCCCCTCTTCCCCGCGATGTCCTAGGAACCCGACTTGCTTCTCTAGTCAACACATCCCCTTACTACCTCTATCGACAGTTGATCGTTCAGAAGTGGCTTGCATTGACACCCCAAGATGGAACAAGAACTTGCTGACCTCAAGAAGCAAGTGCAGGCGCTGCAAAAGGAGGTATCTCGTGTGTCAGGCAAGTTCAGGGTCCCAAGATTTGGCCAAGGTTCGCGTCTAACGTTCCGTGCCCGCACAGACGAAGCAGAAGTTCGCAAGACGCACTTCAAGTACGGCTACTACCTTGACAAGTGCTTGTACAATGAGGCAAGCCACCCACCCCCAGCAGCCAACTAAACACACAAAGACTGACACGCTTTGTCTCAGGTCGTCGACATGTTCGCCGACCACCCCGACGCCTACGTCGAGTTCCTCGGCTCACGCTACCGCGGCAAGGCGGGCATCAAGCGCCTATACCAAGGCCGCTTCCAGCAGAGCTTCGTCAAGGGCCGCAACGGGCCCGTGTACGGCTGGCTGCTGGACCACCTGATGGCGCAGGACATCATCGACGTCGACGCGACGGGGACGCACGCGTGGTGCCGGATGCGCGCGCTCATGTCGGCGGGCACGCACCAGAGCATCGAGGAGTACTACCCGCGCGGCCACCGGCAGTGGTGGGAGGGCGGCCTGTACGAGAACGAGTACATCAAGGAGAACGGCGTGTGGAAGCTGTTTCGGTATCGCTACTTCCCCTTTTGGCATGCCGAGCATGAAAAAGGATGGAGTCACACCAAGAAGAATTATATCCCCTGGCCGACGGTGACGTACCCGGAGGATCCCCTGGGTCCGGACGAGATCTTTGAGCAGAAGATGCTCTGGCCTGATACCCGCGTTGTGCCGTTCCATTACCCGCATCCCGTTACGGGCAAGCAGATAGCCCCGGATGACTTGCGCGCGCCGGAGTATGGCGCTGCTGTTAGCACGAGTGACCCGCCGCTTACGCTGGCCTTGCCCGAGGGCCAGAGCAGGCCTGGGGCGACTGATCGTGAGCCGAAGCCCGGGGACAAGGTGCTCCCTGAGCTGGTGCAGAACAAGGTGGAATAGGAGGCTTTTTCTGGCGGGTGGGGATGGCCGAGGTGAAGTAGGAGCAGCGTTGCGCGCGGTGCACAAGCGATGTATCTTACCACACAGTACCTCAGTGATAGTTGAAGTCAGGGACAGGTGTTATCTTGCACACAAATGATCCTATGTAGTAGTCTCGCAGTCAGGGGTCCTCATGGCATGTTAAGCATCCAGTCATAGACCGCAGTCATCAACCAGATCTCCCCCTTTTGCAATACCGCTCAGGGGAATTGCCATGATGCTGCTTCACTGCACCTGCTTCTCGGGAGCACAATGAGCTCCATTTCGCGCTTCAGTCCATGGATCCCAAGACAGTTCTCGAACCCTTTTTACTTTCCCAATGGACAACCCAAATTGTTGCCTCCCCTCACCACCACTTCACTGCCGCTGGACTGCCGAGAGTTGGGGAAGCTATGCCTACGTCCCAACTCGCGTGCCCCGCACGCACTTAACCGGCCGTTACCCCAGCCAAGGACTCCAACTGCAGGGCAGGCCATCAGATACGACGTCCAAGTATCGAACTTAACCACCCGATGATCCGAACTCCCGAGCATATATTGCCCTCGGATCTGGCGAGGCTGTTTGTGGGGTGCATCATCTCGCCTTCGGCACTACCACCGCCTTCTCGGTAGATGCTCATCACAAACCCATCCTCAACCAGAAACACCACTTTATCAGATGCTCTCATCCTCGACATACCAAACCTTCCACCCGGAATCAACACTTACCCGCTAAGTTGACCAAACTACCCCCCGTTAACCACCGACCGTAACCACCATCATCATGGCACACATCCACGACCTCGCCCCCGAAATCTCCAACTACGCCTCTGGACGCCTCACCTCCCCAGACCGGGTCAAGTTCCCCAACACGCCCGTCTTCGCCTCCATGAACAAACCCTCCCGTTTCGAAGGCGACATCATGGACCTGGAATTCACAGGCACCATCCCCGCCGACATCAACGGGACCTTCTACCGGGTACAACCCGACCACCGTTTTCCCCCTCTCTTCGAGGACGACATCCACTTCAACGGCGACGGGTCAGTCACCGCCATCCGCATCGCGGCCGGCCACGCCGACTTCAAGCAGCGCTATGTCCGCACCGACCGGTACAAGGCCGAGACGGCCGCGCGGAGGAGCTTGTTTGGGAGGTATCGTAATCCGTTTACCGATAATGAGAGTGTCAAGGGGGTTATCAGGACTGCGAGTAATACCAATGTGATTTTCTGGCGGGGGATGTTGTTGGCGACGAAGGAGGACGGCCCGCCGTTTGCCATGGACCCGGTCACGCTGGAGACGCTGGGGAGGTACGATTTTGAAGGGCAGATTTTGAGTCCGACGTTTACGGCGCATCCAAAGTTTGATCCGGACACGGGGGAGATGGTGTGTTTTGCGTATGAGGCCGGCGGGGATGGGGCGGATTGCAGTGTTGATGTGGCCGTGTGGACGATTGATGCGGATGGGAAGAAGACGGAGGAGTGCTGGTACAAGGCGCCCTTTGCTGGCATGATTCATGACTGTGGGATTACGAGGAATTGGGTCGTCCTGGCGCTGACGCCAATCAAGATGGATTATCAGCGCATGAAGAGGGGCGGGAATAAGTTTGCGTGGGATCCGAATGAGGATCAGTGGTATGCTGTTCTGCCGAGGAGAGGGGGGAGGAGTGAGGATATTACTTGGTTCAGGGCGGATAATGGTGAGTTGATGCCGTTTTACATGAGGAAAATGATTCGCTGACGGTCAGAAAGCCTTCCATGGCCACGTTGCTGGCTGCTACGAGCTGCCATCAGGAGAAGTCGTCTTCGACTTGACCGTCGCTGACGGCAATGTCTTCTTCTTCTTTCCCCCGGACGACAATATCACTCCCCCGGATGGCGTCGCCAAGCGGAACAAGCTCTCATCTCCTACCATGCGGTGGATCTTTGATCCCAAGGCGAAGAAGTCGCCCATTCGTACCAAAGATGCGGGCGACGCGGACGTCTGGGTTGCGGACGACCGTGTGAAGCCGGCAGTGGTGTGGCCCACCAACGGCGAGTTCTCCCGGATTGACGACCGCTTTGTCACCAAACCATACCGGCACTTCTGGCAGGCCGTCGTGGATGGGTCGAGACCGTATGACTTTGCCAAGTGTGGCCCTCCTGCGGGAGGATTGTTCAACTGCCTCGGGCATTATACCTGGTCCGAGGAGCACTATCACACTGCAGAGTCCGGTACCTCGGCGCAGAACGGCGCAGGGGATGTTGCCAAGGGCAAGTATGGCTTGGAGGATGTCTATTTTGCTGGTCCAACCATGACTTTCCAAGAGCCGACTTTTATTCCCCGCGAAGGGGGCAGCGAGGGCGAGGGATACTTGATCGCGCTGCTGAACCATCTGGACCAGCTCCGGAACGATATTGTCATCTTCGATGCGCAGAATCTGAGCAAGGGGCCCCTTGCTGTTATTCATCTGCCGCTGAAGTTGAAACTGGGCTTGCACGGAAACTGGGTTGACAATCGTGAAATCCAGGCGTGGCAGGAGCGGCGGGCTGAGGATGGAGATGTTGGGCCGGTGCAGGTTGCGAAGGAGCCGCTCCCGTGGCAGAAGCAACTTCAGGGGCAGAATGGACTTGGGACAAACGGCGTGTCCCATTGAATTTGCTCCAGTGCATTGGCGGGTATCGACAGGCAAACACATGTGGTTACCTTATTCAATGTTAGCACATTCGCCGTATTGAAGTAATTAAGATCCCTAAGGAAGTAGGCAAGAGCAGCCCGGCCCATCACCGTACTTGCCAGAGAGCAGACTTGAAGTCGAGCGCGTCGTTTCCTTCCATCCTATCGTCACAAAAATTCTTCCCTCAAACTTCCTCACCCACCTTCCCTTCCTCTGGCAAGGTTCTTTCTACAGCCTGATATCTGTCAATTCCAGACTTCAGTCGGTTTCGTCTTCGCTTTCGCGATTTCCAGCAATTCTATCACGAGGATTTTCATTCGTTTGCGTACCAGTTCAGCAATTCCGAGTCTTCTATTTTCCTCGTGAATCGCGCGATTTCTCTCCCATCAAACGCCTCAACTGAAAGTTGTAGCTCGCTGATCGAGAAAATCCATCCGCCGATCGAAACTCAATCAAGCAATTCTTCCCTTTTCGCCCATCTCACGATTCCTTCCTGGTACACGCTCCGATTGAAACATCCCGTTTCCCAACCGAAGAAGTATTCGTCCACCGACCAAGAGCCATCCTTCAATCCACTTTGCGCGACCTCCATAACGTCATTTCAGGATGCCTCCTCAGCCACGAAACAATTCGACAAGTTGATGGAAGACACCGACACGAGGAGTCTTCCAAGGATAGCACTGATAAGAACGACATAAGCGTCGATGAGCTGCAGCTGGCCGCCCAGCTAACACAAGGCCTTGCTACACAGGGCAAGCCCCACGAGCATATTGAGAAGCCGGAAGAGGATAATCCGGACAGCCACATAACAAATCTGAAGACGACAATGCATGACATCAACAAGAGAATTGACGGAATACAGGAGGACGTCATCAAGATCAAGGACCTGATCAACACCTTCTACCGGCAGCTTCATCAGCGCATCGAGGACGTGGAAATCATCGAGCGCTTCGTGGAGGGTCTGGATGGTTTTACGGCTGCGTTTGCGGACATTGACAAACCTAAGGATGATTCACTACAGAAGAAACGACGGCTCTCTGATTGATTCCCTCTTGGTACACACTCAGTCGTGGAGCAAAGCAAGGACGATTTGGGTCGCGCCCACTAGGCGGCGGGACATCCCAGGAATCATCCAATGGACTGGAATCTAACAGATTGAAGGGTACTTTAGCAATTGCAAAAACAACCACTTCATTGAATGGAGGATTAATCAGTCATGGGATGGCATGGAGGATGATCGCCTTCACGTTGCATTTCAGGGGGGATTGATCAACGAACATATTGATCACAGATGATTTGAAGGGTATCCCAGGGGATAGCCTGGAGGATAGCACTGAATTCATCACTCCTTTGTTCTTCTTCATAGATTGCCATGCGATTTCGGTGAGTAGTTGGTGGATAGAAGCCGATTGTGAAGGCCTGACCAGACGAGTACGAAGCTTGCCATCCCATCAATCCCAACGTCCCCATGCCGATGTGAGCTGGTCGAGAAACTACACGGATGACTCTCAAATGATATCACTGACAAAGGTTCCAGCTCCCAAAGGGTCGAGCAGTGCAGCAACCCATTCCCCTCCGCTCTGTACCATCTCCTCACCCCAGCCCCTAGAATGTCAACCCCGGATTTTTGAACGGAATCAACGCCAACACCACCGCCTCAACATAATACCCCCTCCGATCAATCACATCCCCCGTCAACAACCCCACACTCCCATTCTTCTGCTTGGAATTCCTCCCCCCAAAAACAACCTCATCCGCCTTGCCCAACTCCATGCCCCCCCTCACCAACTCGGCCGTCTCCTTCGGCAGATAATACGTCGCCGTCCTGGCCTTACCAATCCTCCCATCCTTAGCGATAACCACCACCCAGGCGAAATTGCGCAGCAAGCCCGTCTCGTCCTCGTCTATCCCGCCCTCGATGCCGACCCAGTAGTCCGCGTCCGGTTCCAGCGCCCGCGCGTTGGCCGCCCGGTTCTGCGCGCCAAGTAACGTGGTTGCGTCTGAGATGGGCTGGTCGGGCACACCTGATGGGACGGAGACGCCTCGGGAGGTGTGAACGGTGTTGCTGTTGGGGAACATGCGGGTGAAGCCTTGTTGGGCGGCGGAGATTTTGACGGGGTTGAGGGAGGCGGTGATTATTGTTTGGGTTTGGGTTTGTGAGGGCGTGGTTGTGGGGGGGTTGTGTTGTTGAGAGGCCATGGTGTAGTTGGTACAAGTACCTTACTCGGGAATGAGATTGGAATCTGAGTCTGGTGGCAATGGTGCTCGCAGGCTGATCGCTAAGATGGAAGTTGGAATATTGATCACTGTGGTGAGGCTGCAAACTGATCACGTCTGGTCAATGGTGTCGTGGTGGTCTTGATCACGTATCTTCGGCAAACTGAGATTTTTGTAGTTATTATAAGGCGGATATCAGCATTTTGGGCATGGAGCGCGGCCTGAGTCACTCCGGTATCGTCGCGCCAGTAACGTTACTAGCTCCCGTCTGGTGCAGCGGGACTACCGGTGGTGACTTACCCCTGAATGCCAAGCTTGGCCATGCTCAACATAAATCTTGCACGACAGCGAGCCTTCCCATCCTGCATGCTTCAATACAATCCTCTCACTCTTCTTGTCTTGCCATGTGCAAGATCCAATCAACCACCTCGCGCACCTTATTGACCATTGGCACATGTCCAGCCTGTACCGTAGTGACATCCACCTTCCTCCCACTCTCCCTTTCAATCATGGCTATCCCGTCCCTCTGTATGTCGGGTGGGATAACGCGGTCCTTTTCGCAGATGAGATAGGAAACCGAAACGTCGCTGTATCCGGGATGCGTCAGCTTGCCGGCAAAGCTAGCTGCCGAGTGCCGAGGGAACCTCCGGATCCAGGCCTCTCCCTCTTCCTGGGGAAAGCCCGAAAACGACAGCTGAGCTGCTGCCGAAACATTGGTGTGGTACAGCCAGCCGTTCTCCTGTTGTTCGTAGTGCTGTCAGTGAACTGTTGGCCATGAATGCTCATCCTGCAACTCGGCAACTTTGCGGTTCTCCAATTCAGGTTCTTCTTGAGCTCCCGGCTGGCTTCGCCCGGCAGGACGGGACAGGGTCTTGAAGTCGCGGAAGGGAAATAGTCCAACTTACATCAGCAGCCAGCTGATCTCGCCTGTCCGGCGGCACCTGGGCCAGCACATCGGCGGCTGACTCGCCCGCCACCGGCATCAAACACGTCACATATCCGATCCTTACGATGCCGCCCGGCCCCTTACCGTCGCGCTGCCTGTCCCGCTTGCTCAGCCCCTTGATACTCTCCGTAGCCGGGATCCCGCCGTATGAATGCGCCACAAGCATCACGTCCTTGCCCTCGTTCCCCACAAGCCGGCCAGCCTCGCCGGCTATCAGCGCCGCGTCGTCGTACATGGTCGGCGGCGGGACGCCAATGCCGGGCCGGCCCTGCCCCGTTGCGACGCCCACGCTGGGTAGGTGCAGAGCCTTGATCTCATAGCCTGCTTGCGCCACGGCCGAGATCACCGGCGCGTAGAATTCAGGCAGGCCAAAAGAACCGGGGATTAATAAGATTGAGGGTGGCATGACGGGCTTTCTCTGGGTCGTGACTGAGGGTGAGCTGGGATCTGATTTTGCTGGAGTCGACCACGGCTCCCGGAGGGTGATTTCAGGGCCTTCTGAGGTGGAATGGAGATGGGATAAGCCGGTCGACATGATGGCAGTCGTTTCGCAGCCCGTTTTTACATACTGCTTGACCGGCGAAGGATTGTTGGGTTTGGGACCTTGCAGCAGCCCTTGTGGCGGAGACTTGGATACCCGGCGGCCCCGGACAAATGCGCAGGATCATGTGCCAAGATCTGGTATCGCAGGAATACCACCTCGTGATTAAAGACCTATCCCACCAAAATAAAACCCAACGGAGAGATGTGCGAGAGAAGGCCGGTGTACGGAGAGCAGACAGGATGGTGGATGCATCACAAGGATGCTCCTGGGATCCCACGGATCCATGAATTTGGGCGTTGCAAGTTGCCGTTATACACGAATCTCGCGTGATCAATTTCATATGTGTTAGATTCAACTCGTCCTCGTAGTAAAGATGGTATGTTCTCGTCGGCCTCGCAGCGCCTAATGCGAAGTCCGCGTGCTGACCATGCATGCCTGATGACATTGCATTTGGCTTACAGATTGGCATGGTACGTTGAATGCAGGGTCAAGCTTGGCTCTTCGAACCCAATACAATGCGGAGTCACCCCTGGATGTGGATGATCAGTCGACAGACGTAATAAGAATGGAGAAACTTGTCTAGACACGTACATTGTAGGCATTGCACAGTACCTATGACACGGTTAAATTCTCAAATCAGTCTCATTTCCTTCTTGTCTGGAGGGCCAAAAGACGGTGCTTTCTCAACAATTACTCCGAGTCGGGTACATGTCGACTCCAACCATGGTTTCCGACGTTTCCATTGCCGAAACCCTTGCCACGGCCGGGCTCCAAGGCCAAGTCCTTCTCCCGGGCGACGCGGAGTACGTCGCCCGCCAGGACAGCTACTGGTCCAACAGCGTCAAGGGGCTCCAGCCGGCCGCCATCGTGCAGCCCAGGTCAGCCCAGGAGGTCTCGGCAACCCTTCGGGCCCTCGTGGCCACCAAGACCAAGTTCGCCATTCGCAGCGGCGGACACACGCAGTTCGCGGGGGCCAACAACATTGGCGCCGACGGTGTGACCATTGACTTAGGCAAGCTGAATTGGACGCGCTTCCACGCCGACCCCGGTGCCGAGAAGGCGGTCGACATCGGACCCGGAGCGCGCTGGCGCGACGTGTACACGGCACTTCAGGGCCTCGAGGGTGGCAGGTATGTGGTCGCGGGGGGGCGGGACGGCAACGTCGGGGTGGCGGGCCTGCTGCTCGGGGGCGGCAAGACGTACTTTACGGCCAAGCGCGGGTTTGCTTGCGACGATGTGGTGGCGTATGAGGTGGTGCTGGCCGATGGGCGCATCGTGACGGCCGAGGCCGGGACCGAGACGGAGGATCTGTTCCGGGCGCTCAAGGGCGGGTCAAACAACTTTGGCATCGTGACCAACTTTCGCATGAAGGCGTTCGAGCTGGGCGACATCTGGGGCGGCTTGACCTTCTACCCAAAGACGGCTATGGATGGGGCGACGAGGGCGCTGGTGGCCTTCACGGATAGGGTGCAAGAGGATGTCGAGAGCAATCTGTTGTGCTTTTATACGTATATGGGTAAGTACGCTCTATGCAACCTGCACCGCGCTCTTTCCAAGTTTCCCTTGGTCTCCATTTGGTGTGATGCACTAACAACCGTACAGTAAGTGGAAGCCCCGGTCACTCCTTCCTCTCCGGCGCCAACAGGTAGGACCAGTGAAGACGGTGAAACCCTCTTCGACCACACCTCCTGTTGGTACCTTCAAGGTTGCCGCGTCCTTACCCTCTCGTGGCAGCCCGAGTTCAAAGACGTGGTCATCGCCGCCGCCTTTGTCCAGGTCGCGGGTGTCGAAAATGCTCCCGCATATAACGATTGGCAGCAGCTACCTTCGATCATGACGACATGTAAGAAGACTACCCTGCTGGGAATTGCTGTCGAGTACAGCGTCGCGCCGCAAGGCTTCTAGTGAGTGTTGCCCCTTTTCGTCTTCTGTTTGCTTTACCGAACACCAAAGTGCTTCTAACACGCAGATACCTACCCTTGCATCACAACAGCGACACTTTTGCCACTGCATGTTTCAAGAACGATGAACGCATCGTCAGCAAGGCCGCCGAGCTCCACGACCAGCTCGTCCAAGAACTCAAGGCGTTTATCCCGGACGGTAACTTCATCACGCAATGCCTGTTCCAACCCTTGCCGCGGGTCATCGCCCAGCGGTCGGCCGCGGCTGGCGGCAACATGCTTGGGGTCGAAAAGCAGACTGCTAACGGCCTGCTTCTTGTGGCTGTGGGCATGGTGCGGACTGCTGAGCAGGAGGCGTTCCTGCAGCCGCGACTGAGGGCGTGGGTGCAGGCCGTCCGGGACTTTGCGGCGACGCTGCAGGTCGGTGACGGCGACGGGAACCTGGACTGGATCTACCTGAACTATGCCGATGCAAGCCAAGATCCGTTGGCGAGCTACGGCACGGAAAACGTGGAGAAGCTCAGGAGCGTGGCGGCCAAGTACGATCCGGACCAGGTCTTCCAGAGACTATGCCCAGGTGGGTTCAAGGTTTCTAAGGCGAAGAGTTGAGGTTGGTAGCGCACACTGGATCATCTTAATGGACGGAAGACAAGTATTCGTGGATACCTAATCTAACGAGAAGAATTAGCTTGCAAGACGCTCCTATTAGAAGCAAACAATGAGTGCATGCAATGATCCGAGACACGTCATCATGTCATGGCGATCGAGACATGGGGCAGCAAACATAACCACGGCAGTCGGAATTACTTGGCCATATGTTGAGGCAACCTGACCCCTACGTCCCTATCGAGATACGGACTTCGCAAACACGGGGAGTACGGGCTAGTGCCGAAGGCCACGCAGAGAATGATCTTTTGCGTGACACTGCGTGGGTTGCCAGCAAACGCCGTTTCCCCTCCCGCTCCTGTAGGCCTCACTTCAGTCTCTAGCTCAGTCATTGCTTGATTGAGAGATGTTCTTCCCATTCAATTTTCTTCGCTGCCTATTCAAGGACGCACTTCTCATGGTCAATCTACTACACAATAATTCCAACGCGACATCAAGTTCTCCACTTACCAACCAAGTCGATCTACTTGGCCAGCTGGTCACGATGACAACATCTTCAGAAAACATGCCCGCCTGTGCGAACGCGGCTCCTGATTCTACTGCCTGTACCAAGAAGGGCGTTTTCGCTTGCGGAAAATGCCACCTGGTTTCAGTATGATGCCCAGGATCACGATTCTCCAGAGAACCTGACAGCAGTGTCATAGCTAGCTTGCTGACGAATGCCAGTATTGTGGAAAGGAGTGCCAAACGGCGCATTGGCCTGTTCATAAGATAGTTCACAAATCTCCGGCCAGCAAATCGGACTGGCGTCCAGCTTGGGACACCGAAGGGCGTGAGCCTGCATGGGCGATAGGTGAAGCCCGGAACAACGCGCACAATCCGTTTGGAGGAAGCTTGTTCTTGTGGGGCAATGTTCCGGCTATCGACGTCCTGCGACTGTCAGAAAATGAAGGAGCTGGGTACAGCGATGATATTGAGCTGTTGTTTGCTGGTTAGTCAACGCCATCATGACCAGCCCAGAAACTTCTGCATATTGCGAACTTCCGAAGTCTGACAGGAGTCACAGCTTCAGGAGATTTGCGCAATGTCGTTAAGACCATTGTCGACCTCCCGGCCACCGTTACCCAGCCTGTTCACGCCACGATCAATGACCGAGAGTTCGCGGTTGTCGCCCGAAACGCCATCTGGCTGCTCTTTGCTCTCAGCACCCCAAGCGAGCCTACCGCAGACGACAACGGCCCGCTTGACACCGCAGAGATGCTGACACATCTCTGGTACTCTGCGTTCATGCCTCAAGAGGTGCTGTCGGCGGTGCAGAAAGCGGTCAAGCCACTTATTGCGGAGGTCTGCGCCAAAATCAAAGACAAACACTCTGCCAGTTGTCTAGGTAAAACGTGGCAGTTCCCATCTGGCAGGAACCTGCGTCTCGTGTTGAAGAAAGAACAATGGTTTGCCCTCGAGAAGATGCTTGACGTGCCAGAGGGCTTCACATTCGACAAGGCTACTAAGGTTCGTCATGGCGTTACCCTCGCGCCCGAGAGGGCGGATTACCGGGATCGATGGGACTTCAAGGAACCAACGGCTTCCATGCGCATTGCGAGGCGTCAGTTCCGCGAGGATGGCTTGCTCCTGCCGTTTGGACACCCCCGTGACCTTTACAAGACACCCAACATGTGAGGTCTGATGTTCCTTACGTCACTTCTGAAAGTAACACTAACCCTAGCATCACCAAGGACCCTCTTCCAGAACTCCGATGTCTGGCTGATGGACGACAAGGCCGACCCCTTGCAAGGCTGGCCCATCTGGGAGGTCTACCACCGTCCGTGGCCGGCAAAGCAAGACTGGTACGGGAAGCTACATGCCTATCTTCGTGGGGGTTTCGGAAAATTCGTCAAGTCCCTGACGACCATCCACGTGAGCTTCGAGATGCACTGCGTTGATGCTAGAGAATTGAAGGAACACCTCCACTGTGACCGATACACCCGGATCGAGGTAAGTGCCAGTGTCTCCACTCCGCCCATCGTATTACTTTGAAGTGAACAAGAAGGATGAGAAACAAAAAAGAGCACTCTCACAATCTCAACCTTACTGCCAGGTCTCCAACATCACAGACGACAGCCACCTCGGCCTCCGCAACACACTCACCAGCCTAATGCCTCTGCTTCAACCGCCGCAGCGCAACCCTCATGCAACGCTCATCAGCCTGTTTCTCAACGCCGTCATACAGATGGTCAAAGGACTTGGCCTAGAGGGGCCTGCCACGGAACAGGCTACTGGCAAGGTTCTAACATATCTGCCCGTCACGGACTTCGCCAGCTTCCTGAATCCGTCCGGGGCAGAAATGACACGCATGTGGGATGCTCGCAACTTGTTTCTGGACCTTGATACGTTCTTTAATCTGTGAGTCTCAGGCAACACGCTGGTGTCTCAATTCAAACTCACCCACTAGTACGTTGACTCTAATCGTGGTGTTTGATTGCTAGGTACCGCGCCCATCGAAACTTTGGAGCCATCGCGGCCGAGTCGGGAGCCGTGGAAAAGGGAAACAACACGATCGTGGAGAAATGGCCGCTGAGGTTGAAGCGCCAACTGGGTCAGGAGGGAGCGCAGGAAGAGTTTCGTGTCATGCTGGCCTCAAGTTACACCAGCATGGAGCGGTATATGGAATGGACCCGAGCTGTCCCGGAAACAATCACTGGCAATGAACCAAAAAGCGGGGATGGCGATCCTATCACCCAGGCGTGATACTCCTCTTCACAGGAATTGGATAACCAAATGCATTCTGCTAACAGCTTTAACACAAATTTACTCTGAGGCACTTGACCAGGCCGCCAGCCTTCGAGCCTGCTACCCCGACTGTTGTGCCACAGGCCCTACGCAGTACTTTGCGGTTTGCGCGGACTCCAGCGCCGATGCGAATAATGCGATCATGTCGAGCGCCGAGGGTAGTCAGGGTACGGCGCGGCACACGTACAGACTGGGCCTTACGATCTGGTTCTGGCTTCGCAGCTCCGTCCATACGTATCCACATGTTGATGCGCCTGAAGGGCAGCTAGAAGGAATTCGTCACGGTTGTCTCACGGCAGTTGTTTGGGTTGTCGAGGATTTTGTTGGATCTTGATCGATTGTTGTCGTGTGAGCCAGGACCCGTTCCACACTGCTTACCTCAGCCAGTCACACCGTCTTGTGGGTAGGGTGGGGCACCCCGCGCTAGGTACCGTAGGTAAGTCACGTGGCCTCGTGCCAACGCTCCACGCTCCATCCAGGTCTTCCAGGTTCCCACCATGTCCCATTGTCCCTGAGCTCTCTCAAGCTCTGTTGTCACACGCACTTGGGAATTGCTAATCCAAGCATTGTGAACTATGCATTGTTTATGAACTGTATATTCTAGAATTGTATCTATGATAAAAGACAGGAACGATAAACAGAATCATTTATCCTCCAAAGTCTGTTGGTTCGTTGGTGGAGTTGACCTTAAGTGGGCCCCACAGCGACGCCAACCCGGCCCGTGCCGGATTAGCTCCTTCCTCCCTCCAAGCGTCTCACATGCCCTGCCTTCTTCCCTCAACACCGACAAGGTTGAGGTTTCCACATAACATTAGCCCTAACACCTAACCAAGGCCTACTTGAGGGCTGCAAACTTTGTTCTGGAATTTTGCATCTTTATCCAATTCCTTTAATCCTCAACCCTATTTCGCCGCCTCAATTCCAGGCGACACCAGCTTGCCAACCAACTTCTCGCACAGGGCAATCAGCGAGCTCGCGTTGGTGATGTCGAGCGTGCTCAGCTCGGCGCCCAGCTTCTGGCGCACCCAGCCGCGGAGCTCGACGGCCGAGAGCGAGTCGAGACCGTAGGCCATGAGCGGCTTGCCGGGCTCCATCTCGGTCTCGAGCCGCAAAACCTTGGTGATCTGCGTCTGCAGCACGCCCACGGCGGCCTTGTTCAGCGCCGCGGGCTCGCCGCCAGACGCCTGCAACACCTTGAATGCCTTGATGGCCTGGTCGGCTGCATTGTTGTTGTCGCCGCTGCCACCGTCCGCATCGTTGCCATCGCCATTGCCGCCCGCCCCGTGGCGGTTGAACAGGTACCGGAACCGCGGCTCGCCCGCCAGGTCGTTGGATCCGTCGTCTGTTAGTGGGTATGCTAGGCCCGTGATGAGCTGTGCGCCGCTGGTGGGGTTGAGTGGGGCACCGCCGGTGCCGTCGTCCTGCTGGAACACGGAGTAGCTGATGATGCGCCGCAGCATGCCCTCGTCGATGGGCGTCCACTGCTTCTTGTCGAAGCGGGCCTCGAGGCCGTTGCCCTGCTCAGCGATGTAGCCCACGTCCTCGATGGCGCCCAAATCGACCGTGTTGGCGCGCAACCCTAGCGAGCGCCGGTAGGACGCGAAGGCGTCGAGGAAGGCATTGGCCGCGGCGTAGTTGGCCTGGCCCTTGTTGCCCACGACTCCCGAGATGGAGGAAAGCATGGTGAAAAAGTCCAGGGGTTGCTTCTGCTCCTGCTGCGCGGCGCTGTGCAGGTTCCACGTGCCCGCCACCTTGGCGTGGATTGCCGTATGGTAGTCGTCGTGCGTCATGGTCTCGAACGGCTTGTCCTGCATTCGGTGTGAGCACGGAAGCGCTCAGTAGGTACATGCTAACAAGAAGAGCGTAGGATGACATGACTTGGTGGGTTGGGAAAGAATTAGTAGGGCTGCTAAGTACTCACCCTCAAGACCATAGCACCTTGAATCACGCCGGCAATCCTCCTTGGTCGCGCCGATCGGAAGACGCTCCGGACAAAGTCAAGATCGCCCACGTCGCCCTTGGCGTCTGTCACCTCACAGCCATAGGCCGCGCAGTTCTGGATGACCCGGGCCGAGGCCTCGTCGTTTGTGCCGCTCCTGCTCAGGGCAATGATGTGGCGGGCTCCGTGGCGCGCCAGGTGCACGGCGACGCTGCCGCAGAGGCCCTTAAGGCCGCCGACAATGAGGTACGAGGCGCCCTCGGGCTGCAGACGCAGCTTACGGACGGCCGGGCGGATGGGCAGCTGGACGTCCTGCTCCCCGCTACTGACGACGATCTTGCCAATATGCTGGCCGCGGCGGATGTACGAGAGCGCATCTATGACCTTGTCGAAGCCGTACGTCGTGACGGGGTGGATGGGGCCGATGTGGCCGCCCTCGACAAGGTCGAAGATCTCATCCAGCAGGTCTCCGATGAGTTCGTTCGTGATCTCCTTGGTGTAGGAAAGGTCCACGGCCCGGAACGAGCAGTTCCTGTCGAAGGGCTCCATCGCTAGCGTGTTACGGTCGACAATATCGCGCTTGCCAATCTCGACCATGATACCGCCGTCGGCAGTCAGTCGCCACGACTCGTCGAGCAGCTCGCCGATCAGCGAGTTCAGGATTACGTCAACTCCGCGGCCACCCGTCTCGCGCCGGATCTCCTCGGCGAACTTGGTGTTGCGCGAAGAGAACATGCGGTTCGCGGGGATATCAAAGTTCTTGGCCAGGAACTCGCGCTTGTCATCGGTGCCGACCGTGACGAAAATCTGTTTTTGCGTGAGAAAGAGCATGTGCTAATAGGAACAGTGAGAGCTTACGTCCGCCTTCTTGTACTTGGCCAGCTGGATCGCGGCAATTCCCACGCCGCCGGCTGCGGAGTGGATGAGAACAGACTGCGAGAGATAATCGCATTAGGGTGAGTCCAGCGTGCTAGAAAAGCAGTGGTAGTACTCACCTGTCCCTCCCGCAGGTTTCCGAGATGGTACAGAGCATAGATGGCCGTCAGGTACACCAGTGGAATTGTCGCCGCATCCTCGAAGCTCATATTGTCCGGGATGACGTGCACGCGGTCCTGGGGACACTGGACGCGGTTGACGTAGGTGCCGCTCCGCATGGCGGCGACGCGGTCGCCCACCTTGAAGTTCCTGGTCACGCCCGGTCCGATGCGCTTGATGTAGCCGGCACACTCGCAGCCGATCATGTGTTCGTTTTCCGGAACGATACCCATAGTAGTAGCGACATCCTGGGGTTCGAGTTTATCAGCATGCTAATCTCACGGAAAGGGGCATGATTCCATTAGCGTTCATATTGAACTAACCTTGAAGTTGACGGCCACGGCCATGACCTCAATCTCCACCATGCCCGCTTCCATGGGCACTTCGCCCGTATCCGTCTCGCACCAGGTCAAGCTCTGTAGCGTGCCGATCTTCTCGGCCTGGAGGCGCACCTGGGCCTCGGTCGCGTGCAGGCCCTTAACCACGGGTTCCAGTCCCTTGCCGCTCTCGGCGGCCTTGAAGTCGTTGACGGGCGTGTCCGGAACCAGCCTTTGGACTAGCAGCACTCCATCGCGCTCGGCGTACTCGGTCTCGACGTCGGCAGAGTCACGGCCTGACGTGCGGATCTTGCGCAGCACTTGCTCAATGGCCCACGTCGTCGCGGGCGAGGTCGCGCTCTGCACGTCTAGCACGTGCAGCCGCGCCTGCGGGTCCTCACGCCGCGCGACCCGGAACAAGCCCAGCACGAGCGCATTGCCCGGGTGTGTGACGTGCGAAGTCTGCGCACCCTTGGTCACCCACAGCAGCGGGGTGGCCGTGGCGATGAGCGCCTTGAGCGCGTCCCATTGCGCCTCGGGAATACGGGCCAGAACGCCCGGCTTGGAAAGATCGTCCAGGATGAGTACAGCCGACTTGTCCTCGTCTTTGGCATGTTCCCGGCCCGCAAGCTTCGTGATCGGCGCAGTATTGACGGTCCAGCCAGAGGTTTCGAGCGCGGACCGCAAAGATGGTGTGAGTGGGGAGACCGTCTCCTCCTCGAAGAGGGCGATGGTGAGGTGCCAGGGCCCATCCTGGGCAGTCTTCACGTCAGTCGAGTTGTTGGTCAACAGATAGGCCGGACTGCTGCTGAGTAAAGTAGGGATCTCAAGGGCAGAGGCTAAGTCGCTGATACTATTCGCCTTTGCAAGCCTTTGCAGCTTGCGACGGGCTGAGAAGTAGTGATTGTCGCCGAATATTTTGCTGGTATCGCCAGGGGTGGTACCAAGAGAGCTTACGGGCGTGTCATCAGACGAGGGTGCGCCAGAAGAAGAGGAAGCTTCGGACGGCGTGCCGGGAGATTCGGGCGAGGCCGGGGACCCGGACTCCAAGCCTTCTTCTACATCGGAGCTCCCCGGCGCACCAGCAGCAAGGGCTCCGGCGACCCCGTCGCGCCCAGCCACCAGCAGAGCAAACGCGTCGGGCTTCAACAGGGGCTTCAGACTCGTCATAATCTCCCCGGCAGCGGCTTCCGACGGCCCCTTGACAATGGCGAGATCGTATGTCGGCTCGCTGACGGGCAGGCCGAGCCCCTCCTTTGCACGGGCGAGCAGGTGGAAGGCGGCATTCCTCTTGCCCTCGTGCCCCGCCTGCACCGTGACTAACGTCTTGGCATCGGGCGTGGCAAAGTCGTACTGCGTGTAGGCCTGCCGTGCCTGGGCCAAGCTCTCGGCCTGAAACCAGAGGCTAGAGGTGTCTGCACCGTCGAGGTTGATCTCGACCACCTTGAGCGCGGGTTTCTTGTGCGCAACCAGATCGATCACCGTCTCCAGCCTGCTCGCCGACTCGGACGAGAGGAATGTCAGCTGATGCTGGGTCAGCAGCGAGATATCGGGCTTCCAGGTGACGGTATGGAACACGTGCGGATCGGGCTTCTCATCGACGTCGAGGCGGACGTAGTTCAGCCCCCTAACGCGCAGGATCGGCGCGCCGGTCTGCGGGTCGTAAATGCCCACATTGGCGATCCAGCTCTTAGCGACGTCGCGCCGGCCACGGCCCGTGTAGACGGACTCGGCCACAGACAGGCCTTCGTACAGGTTGCGCGGCATCTTGTTGATGACCATGTCGTCGACTAGGGCTGGGATCATGGTATCCTTGATTAGGCTGCGCTCACCCGCGGCGTTGGCCGGCGTGGCCGTCTGCAGGCAGCTGTCGAGCACTGCCGGATGCAGCGGGTAATAGGATTGTGGGTCCCACTTGGATGGCGGTGGCTCGAGCGACACGATGGTCCTGCAGGTGCGGCTACCGGACACGGATTCGATGCTCTTGATGAGCTGGAAGGTCGGGCCAAAGCCCATGCCGACCTGGCGCTGCGCCTTGTACCACAGCTTGGCCGACTGCGGGTGCCTGAGGGGAGCAAGGTCGTCTCCCTTGAGCGTCTCGCTCTCGTCCAGGGGCTCCTGAACGCGGATCAGGCCTGCACAGTGCTCGTACACAACACCAGCCGCTGTGGTGCGGATACGGAACTCGTGCCAGTCCTTGCTGCCCGGCACGCGGGTCAAGGTGAGCATGATCGTGGTGGGTTTGCCTTCGTCGACCACGACGGCGCGGTCAAACTTGACGTTGCGGAACCGGTACGCCAGTTCGTTGGGTGAGCTGATATCAAGGTCCGGGTTCAGCGCCCGGTGCTTCTGGTACATGGCTTCGAGCGCCATGGTGGCGAGACCGGCTCCCGGGATGAGCACGTCGGGCCCCATCTTGTGATCGCGCAGCCACGGCACGTCGGCCAGGTTCAGATGCTTGCGCCAGGTCGGGCTCTCCCACGATGTGCCAGGGATCTTGCTGCCGAGCAGGTCGTGCGTGATGAACTGCTTGTACCGCCAGTCTTTGCTGGCGGCATTCTCGTGCCAGTACTTGACCGAGTGGTTCCACGAGTAGTTGGGCAGGTCGACAATGGTGCGAACTGTGTTTATATCATACTCGTTCACCCGCTCCAAGTCGATCGGGTGCCCCGTGGCGAAGAGGCGGCCGGCGACGTCAAAGAGGGACTTGCCGGCATTGGCGCCGCGGGACCACGAAGCGGTATAGGCGACGTCGGAGCCCGAGGGCAAGGACTTGAGCACCTGGGACACGGGTCCCGCCAGCGCACCCGAAGGGCCAATCTCGATGAGCAGGTCCGGAGAGTCCTTGGTGACGAGCTCTTTGAGCGCCTCGGCAAATCGCACAGGGGACACCATATTGGTCTTCCAGTACAGCGCATCGGCGGGGCTCTCCTTCTTGGACGCTGTGACGGACGAGAACATGCTGACTTGAGACAAGCTGCCGTCGCTAAGGGGCTGGAACGCCTGGTCGGTCCTCAGGAGACGATCGTACTCGTCGCCGATCACACTCATCAGCGCCGAGTGATAGGCAAGATCGACTTGCAGCAGCCGCGCGAAGTGACCAGCCGCCTTGAGTTCCTCAGCAAGCGCCTCGAGCGCAGGCTTCTTACCCGAAATGGTCAGGCTGCTGGGGCTGTTGAGGCAGGCAATCCACACCTTGCCGACGTATTCTGCCTTCTCAATGAAGGGCGCGACGCCCTCGACGCCAAGACCCACGGCGAGCATACCCACGTTGGGTTCGGCATCGGCTTTGCGGTTCACGGCGGCGCGCCCACGGTAGAAGGCGGCCTTGATGGCGCCGGCGCGGTCCAGCAGGCCGGCGGCGTACGCAGCGGCGATCTCGCCCGAAGAGTGGCCCACTACACTGCTGGGCTTGACGCCCCATGACTCCAGGATGGCCACAATCACGAGCTGCAGCGCGGTTACCAAAGGCTGGGAAAACTCGGGCTGGCGGAGGTGCTCTGCGCTTCTGGGCTCCGTCAGCTCCGTCAGCAGCGACCACTTGGGTGCCTCGGGTTGTGCCTGGAGCACGGCGTCAAGCTCTTCCAGGATGGAGCGTGTGATGGATGGGAAGAAGGCCAGCAGGTCTCGCCCCATTTGAGGCCACTGCGCGCCTTGGCCTGTAAAGACGAAACCGAGCTTGGGCGGCGAAGGGGCCTTTCTTGCCACCACAAAGTCGGACTCTTCAATTTCCGTGCTGGCCGTGCTAACATAGGCGCGGTGCCATAACCGCGTGCGTCGCTCGGAAAGGGTGTACGCCAGGTCGGACAGGCGCACCTTGACCCGCGGATTGACCAGGTGGTTGGTCAGTGCCTGCATGTTGCCCTTGAGTGAAGCGGCGTCGTTGGCCGACAGGACGAGGACAAACGGTCGCCGCGCCGCCGTATCCTCGATCTCCTCGTCGTCCTCGTCTTCCTCGTCGTCGGCGCTGCTATCCGTCTTGATCGAGAAGATGTGGTTTTCCCTTCCCTCAACCGGCGCCTGTTCGATGATGGCGTGTGCGTTGGAGCCCCCGTAACCGAACGAGTTGATGCTGGCGCGCCGTAGCGGGTAGCCTTCGTCGGGCCACGCGAGCGATACACGCGATGCCTTGACTTTGTTTCCGATAAAGTCGACTAGAAGAACGATACAAGGTGAGCATTATGGCCGAGGCAACTCGACATTTCCGTTCGGCTGCTCTGTCCCTTCCCCCCTTTTCCCTAAGATCGTCTAGACTGAAAAGGGACATGATACGTACTCTTGGGACTGGGCTTCATGAAGGTCGGAGTACCCGGGATCAATCCCTTCTCTATCGCCAGGACTGTCTTGATCAGTCCGGAGTTGCCTGCCGCGGGTTCCGAGTGCCCGACGTTGCTCTTGATCTGAATTGAGTGGCAGATAAGGTTAGTCTTCGGCAGCCCCCTTTCCGTCCTTCAGCGAGTCACCACTTACAGAGCCGATGATGAGTGGCTTGTCGGCCGGGCGCGTTGCCGCGAACACTGAGCCGGCGCCCGTGACTTCGGTAGGATCACCTGCCTGGGTGCCCGTACCGTGGCATTCAAGGTAGGCCGTGTCGTTGTAGTTTGTGATGCCCGCATTCGCATACGCTGCCCGAATGGCGGCTGCTTGATCCGTAGAACTAGGGCTGGCAATGCCTCCCGTTCGCCCGTTGCTAGTGTTGGTGAATCATCAGCCTTGACCGTCCGTGGGTTAAGCATTGACGAGCAAAACGAACCTGTTCGATGCTGTTCCCCTCACGACTGCTCGAATCGGATCCCGGTCTCGGATCGCATCCGCCAGCCTCTTGACGATGACACAGCTGACAGCCTCGGCTTTGACGTAGCCGTCGGCATCCGCATCGAACGTGTGGCACAGGGCCGAGGGCGAGTGCGCCTGGCCAACGTTGCCCGCGTCCATGACGTGGTCCGGATTCAGATACAGATTGGAGGTGGCGACAATGGCGGCATCGACCTCTCCCGACTGCAGTGAGCGGCAGGCCAGGTCCAGACCGACGAGACTGCCCGAGCAAGCCGTGTCGATGGTGACCGAGGGGCCCTTGATGTTGAGGAAGTAGCTCAGACGGTTCGCCATGATGGCCCGCCCGACGCCGATGGGGCAGTTGGCCGGCCGGTCCTCGGCGTCGCGATTTTGCATATCGCCGTAGTCTACCCCGTTGGCCATGTCAGCTTGCTTCAGGATGCTGGTGCGTATCATCTGTTCTCCCCGGAACACTCACCGCTGGCATAAGACCCTACAAAGCACGCGACCGGCGCGCCATCCAGCTTCTCTAGGGGTATACCTGCGTTCTCGAGGCCCTCAAAGACAACCTCGAGCATCTGGCGCTGGTTCGGATCCATGGCGATGGCCTCGGTCCCGGATATCTCGAAAAAAGAGGCATCAAAGTCGGCCAGGTCGACGTCGCCCAGGAACATGCCGCCCTTGGGCCGCATCGTGCCTGGCTTGTGCGACCCGTCATAATGGCCCTTGATGTCGAACCGCGTCAGGGGCACCGTGTTGGGCGCGATGCCCCCGCGCTCCAAAAAGTCCCATAGCTTCTGGGGCGAGTGGTTGCCGCCGGGCAGGCGGCAGGCGAAGCCCACGATGGCGACAGGCTCCTGTCGGAACTGCGGCTTGGCCATGGTTCGTTCCTACTGGGTTGGAACTGGAAACAAGGGTTGATGTGGACGGTATGACGGTGTAAGGACTCGGGAGGATGGGCTGATCTCGTCTAGCCTGAGATGTGCCCGGTCCGAGGAAGGCACGCGGGTTATCTTGATGTTTTGAAGAAAGACCCTGCCGTGCTCGGATCTGTTGTGCTGTGACAGCTTCCTTGATCGTATATGTGAGCCTAGCTACGTATCCATATATCCCTTTCCTTACCTTGCATCTAGAGATAGTTGATACTGATACCTGCCTTGGCCGACTGCCCAGCCCCCTTTGCTCACGGAGATAAGCTGCTCCTTCTGCATCTAGTCTAGAGTCTAGACCAAGTATACAGAGCGATTTGCTGCTGATAGGGTGCAGTGCACTTTTGATGATTACTGTTACAGTGAATCCTCGACATGGCGGCTCTGTCCTAACCTTTACCGCTCTTTTGCTGTTAGTAAATGGCGATTTTAGCCAGGAGTGAGGCCAGCGGTTGCGGTCAAGGCAACCGCCCAGGGGCAATCAGTGCTGTCTCTGATGTCTCGATGAGGCTATCCCCGAGTCCACGTTGATTATCTGCATCATCCATCGTTCTTGGCCTCGCTTGCGAATCGGCCCCCTGCTTACCATGTCAGCATTTTAATGTATGTACTGCTTATACCCAGGGTCGACGGTATTGTCATGCGTCTCGATGTAACCGTTGTGATTACCTCACACTTGATGTATCATCACTCGGAACCACCTATCATCTATTGCTGCGTCGAGTCTGGGCCGTCGCGGTGACAAGGGCGTGCTACTCCTTTCGTGACCGCATGTGATTGCGTTGATGCTGAGGCATCAGCATTGCAGCTTTCGACTTTTGTACATACGGCAAAGACTATTGTGGCGGGCAACTTTGGTTTTCATCAAACAGATCGTTCTAATTTCTAACCTGGACCAAAGTGCCGTCTCTGCTTCATTCTGGCTGTGCTTCCCTTCGAAACCCAAGTCACAACAGCCATTTTGGAGCAACCGCGTTGGCACAGCTTCACAGTTCATTCCCCTCGCGCCCACGCTCCCAAATCTCAATCGGCCGCCATGACGGTCCTTCCACGCCATCGACCGGTCGAGTGCAAAACCATTGACGGCACCACCATCGCAGGATGGCTCTACACCGTTGAGGGGCCCGCTCCGGCCATCATCATGTCCCACGGTGTAAGTTCGCGTAGCTCGGTGTACACTGTAACCCAATAACTCACATGAGCCGCCCGTAAATACAGTTCAACTGCGTCAAGGAAATGACGCTCCCAGAAGTCGCCGAGGCGTTCCATTCCTTGGGGTATAATGTGCTCCTGTATGATGCACGGAGTGTAGGGGCCAGCGGCGGGCAACCGCGGAACTTGCTTAACCCTCTGCAAATGGCCGAGGACCTTTCTGGTGAGTTGTTCAGCGAGCCCCTTGGTTGCGTGTTGGGCCCGAGAAGCAACGCTCGGAATGACCCTGCGTGCTAACGAGGGTCCGGATGCTTTTGCACCGTGTTTCTGGCAACTGTAGACATCTATACGTACGTCGCCGGCCTGCCGAGCGTCGACTCGCATCGCATCGTTCTGTGGGGAATGTCATTTGGCGGCGTCGTGTCGGCCTGCTGTGCTGCCATCGACCGACGGCCCAAGGCCCTGGTCATGGTCTGCCCGCTCTTCCACTACGTGGCGCCGCACAAGGCCGACAAGGCGTACGCACAGCTGATTAAGGACCGCGTCTCACAGCTGCGCGGCAACGAGCCGTACTCGCTTGCGCCGTTCAACGCCAAGGGTGACAATCCCATCGGGATGCCGGGGGGACTCGAGGCGTACACGCTGATGAAGGCGGCAACCGAGCTCGGGCATCCGGATTTTCGGGATCGCATCAGCTTGCAGACGTACCAAAAGCTGGCCATGTTCAGGCCGAAGGAGTACATGGACATGATCAAAGCGCCTACTATGATGATCATTCCCGAGCTTGATGGAATCTCGCCGCCTGAGGAGCAGAAAGAGGCTTTTGCGCGAATCACGGCGCCCAAGCGGGAATATTGGGCTAAGGGGAAAGGGCATTTGAACATTGCCACGGGTGACGGGTCAAAGGAGATGGTGGCGGCGACGGCTGCGTTTTTCAGGGATGCTTTGGAGGGCCAGATACAATGATGTAACTGAGACTGGATTCACATTTAGCTTGCGCGCACTAGACTGCTAGAGTAAAACCTGGTACTTACCTACATAAACATCAATTAGTGTTTCCAGTCGAGACTTGCTTGCATCTAGTGTTTCCAGCCATGGATTATCACGTCCTACCAGTAGTGGGCGAAACCCTCACATCCGAAGTCCTCTTCTCGTTGCAGAGAGTAAGGAGAGAATATAGAAAGATGTTGGCCATGAGATTCGGGCGGATTCGGTATCAGGCCAGACAACTAGGCTGGATTTCAGTTGGAGACGCCTGCTGGCGCGTCGATGGCAATGTTGGTCACTGCCACACACAGACGGCGTCCATTGAGTACGGTGTATGCAAGAGCTACGAGGTCAACTGGTGCAAGGTCAAATTGGAAGGCAGTTGCGAGACATGGAACTTGGTAGGTACCTAGGTACCTAGGCTGCTGTGCCACGTCGACTTATACGGGCCGTTCTCGTTCCTTCCTTTTCACTGTTTCTAGGTGTTCTTGAAAAGAGTGAAGCGGGAACTTAGGGCAAGCACGATGGACTATGGCATCGGGACACGTCTACTTTAGAGGGGAAGAAGTCTGTTAGTGCGGCCCGATTTTTTGTATGCAAAAATCATCCTCTCGACTACCCCTCTTAACAGAACTGCTAGGCTTCTGTTGTACTCTGCAACGTCCACTGCACCAAGAGATCCGTCCCTGGCAGCACCCTTGGATCGAGATTCCGACCTTCCAAAGTTGCCTACAAACACCGTGACATGCTGCAGGCCCACGTTTAGAGTCTAGGACCGTGACGGTTGTTCCCGCACACATCAAGCGACCGCTTCGAGGTTCCTTGCCCTGACCTTGATGCGCAAGTTCTTCGCGGGATGGACAATGACCCGATCGAGCCATACCATGGCCTCGTCGCTGCCGGGGGTCAACTCCAACTGGTACCGAGAGAAGAGATTCGCCAGAACGAGGTGCATCTCGGCATAGGCAAGACTGCAAGCAGCATCACGGTGTCAACATGAATACCAAGAGAGCCGCACAGCGCGACAACCGAATCACATAAATGGTCACGTACTTTTTTCCAATGCAATCAGTCCTGCCCTTAGAAAAGGACAACAGCCAATGGTTGAGCTCCTTGCCGGCTTCGCCTAGCCAGCGCCCGGGATCGAACTCGCTCGGACGCTCAAAGATATCCTGGTTCCAGTGCAGAGGCATGTGGTCTATGCCAACGACAGCGCCTTCGGGGATTGTGTCTCTCGCGGCAGGCACGTAGAGTCCGCCCTTGGGAACAACGCGCGGCAGACGGCCGGGGACAAGAGGTACATAACGAAGAGTCTCTCGCACGAAACCAGTCTGCGATACCCCGCCGTTCCCGGGGTCAGTGGCAATTCGATCAATCTGGATGTTTCTGAGAGGCAACCTAGATTTTCCGACTCACAAAGTATGGCAACGACTCCACTTTGACAAGCGGCAGCCGCCCTTTTTCGTCGCGTTGCACTGTGCTCAACTCCTTGAGGATCCGCTCCTGCACCTCGGGGTATCGGAGGAAAAAGTATGTCGCGTAGACCATCATGGTTGCCGTCGGCTCCGTGCCCGCGTTGAGGATGGCGACACTCTCATCCGCCAGTTCGCGGAAGGTCAGGGGGTGCGCCTCCTGGCCCTTTTGCCGGCGGCGGTCATTGTCGCTAAGGAGACGGTCGAAAATGGTCTCCTGGCCGGGCTTGGACAGCTTCTCGGAGGATTCCGCCGCGTCGAAGTTGGCGATGGCATTCTTGGCGAGGTCCTCGCAAAACTGTTGAGGAGTCCAGGGTCAGATCGGCTGATCGATATGAGGTACGAGAGCGAGAAGAAGCAGAGCATGAGAAACAACCTACCCAGAGGACCTTCACCCACGCGTCGTTGAGAAAAGACGTGATCCATCGCGGCATAGCCAGCATTGTGTCCCGGATAAACTGGAAGTGGATTGAAATCCAGACGCCTCTGGTGAAGGAACGCATCTGCTCCGCACGCTCGAGGAAGTCGGGGGCCGAGATTAGACCCAGGCTCTTGCCAAAGAGGTACCGAGAAATAATGTCGCCCTGCTCATTTTTTCATTATTTTTTGTCAGCATATCGTTTCAAGCTACCCCATGCATGCCTCTACTTGACAGGCAAACCTGATAGGAGCAGGGCCACGAATTTACCGTGTAGCAATAGTACAGCTCGGAGATGGGCACCTCCTCGTCCCTCTTCTCGTAGCCGTCTATCCGATCAAACACCTTTTCGAGCTCTTCGTAAAGACCGTCTTCCATCATGTTGACGCGTCGCTTGGAAAAGGCTGGGTCAAGGGCTTGCCTCTTCACTCTGTGCTTCTCCACGGGGCTGGTGAAGGCCATGGCCTGTGAGACGCCCAGCCCATAGGACTTGGGGTCCTTGGTAAACGGCGTGTTTTGCTTGTAGATCCTGGGCCGCGAACGTTAGTGGTGTTTTGGAATTCATCGGTTGTCGCCCGTGCTTCGCATTTTGTCGGGGGCACGCTCACTCATGGAAGACGGCTGGGTCGTCGATGTGGACTTCATTTGGGTTGATTCTGACAATAGGGCCTGAATTCAAGTTATTATTTCCATCATGTTTCAGCTACAGTTCTCGAATGTTGCAGTTACGGGTATATCATGGCGCGGCAAACCCACCATATTTGCGGTGGTATTTTGGCAGCTGCTCAATGAACTTCCCGTTCAAAATCGCTTCATAGTAGCATTGCTGGAGATCGCTGATCCGGCACAGAAAGGGACCCGGGAAGCGTGCGAGGGGGTGCAGAGTTAGACGGTAAATGATCAAACCCGTCCAATACACCAGAAGCGCAACGCTGGCGGCGGAGACAATGTTCCATGTCAATACTCGCGGCTCTTGTTCGGGAAGCCGCGAGATGTAGTCTACCAACCCGGCTCGCGCTTGGGCCAGTTGGGCATGGACTTGGGTAAAATCCATGGTGGGCAAATCAAAACAAACAAAAGGGGGAGGCAAACGGGGGAGGAGGCAAGGGATGTACGAAGCACGTGAGCCAATTCCAGGAAACGGGAGGCAGGTGGAATTCAGCAGGACAGGGACGGGAGATTTCGCGTTTCTCATGTGTAAGCTCTAGAATCTAGACGGCCGGGGCATAGTTATTGCAAGACCACCATCATGACGCTTACACCGCAGGCCCAAGACGCTGCTCCGGGCTATGCAGAGTTGCAAACTAGCAGCGCAACTACCTGGTGTAATTGTCCAGTGGTACCACCTATGCATGAGCAGTCTCTTCTGGCGTACCACCCGCCCCTGCACTGGATGATGCAAAGGGGGTTCATCTCTTACAACAGCCAGGGTTAGGGTTCATTGTAGGTTGAATACTCAGGGTTAGGGTAGGCCCTTATCCATGTGAGGTTTCGGGGGTTGCGTAAGCTTATGTGTTGGCGGTATAAGCCAACCGTGGATGCAACGGTAAGTGTAGTTTTTGCTCACCTTTCCTCGGCCCCTTCATCGTGAATCGTGATGGCCCGGGATATTGCTTACGGCACGCGGGCGGATTTGGAGGCCGACTGAACGGGCGAACCGTTGCCCGCCGGGTAAACATCCCTGTAAATCTGCAACCTAATGGATTACGGTACGTTGCTGTGGGTCTGATTAACGGCGCGCAAAAATACCGCTTCGAAGTTCGGACATGTCCATACGTGTAACCTTATGCATTATCTATTCACACAAGATACTTATACGAAGTACGAAGTACATGAGCGGTCTTTCCCGATCCTTCAAGTTCCGCCAAGGGGTTGTTCCCGGTGTAGTTCCATCTGCACAGCCCTACAGGGCTCTCTAGCGCTTGCTTACTTGCATTAGCGTACACGCCATCAAACGGACCGCCACGTCCGGGCGGATCGACCCGCGGCGTAACATTAGCTTGTTGCAAGTGCTGTGCATGAATGTTAGGGCAGATAAGGTAGTGTATGTAGTAGAACTACAGTAGATTATCACAGTGGACATCCACACGTCTGCGATAGGTAGGGAAACTCATAGGACCGCAAGTTCGCGCGACCGCAAGGGCCGGAACCCCCACGCGGATGCCTGTGGGCTATCGAGATCTTAGCGCCGATGACACCAGCCTTGGCACCGATTCTCTCCTCACTTGGACCCACTTGCCTATTCGAGTAATCTTTCTGCAAATTTAGCGAATCGCGACCGACTAATATGTAACCCAAATTCAACCCTCGCCTTGAATTCAAGCTACCTCGAGATAGCGGTCAGATATTCTTCACTCCACGCTGTTTAGATGTGAACTTGCTAGACTTTTCCAAACCTACACAAGGTGGACTTGTGCAAAATGGAAGGTGTCTCTTGTGGATTGACCGCTGAGGATGGGGCAGGTACGATGGTTTACTGTTTTGCTGGCAACAGATCGGATGTATCATAGGATGGCTTACCAAGGTGGGGTTAGACAAAGAAATAACGGGAAGGAAGCTCCGTAGCCATTCGACTCTGGAAGGAAGCTAACACTAACATTACTCAGTCTATCTTGCTTTACAGGCGGCCCTTCCCACCTCGCGCAGCCGCACAAAACACTGTCTGGGTTCATTGGTCGTGATGAGCGCGGACTTATAGCCCGAAAGTCCCGGCGGACACGCCAACAGCTCAAAGTTCCACACCACCAAAACGAGCACCATGCGCATCTCGACATAGACAAGCCTCTTGCCGTAGCATCCTCGCGTGCCCAGCCCAAAAGCCAGCTGCGGGCCCGCCGTGGGGTCAAACTCTTCAACTTCCTGGCCATCCTTAATGTTGTCCTTGCCCGTGCGGACAATCCAGCGGTCCGGGTTGAACAGTGCCATGTCCTGGGGGTCCCACGCCCGGACGCGGCCCTCCCCCTTGGCCGCGCGGCTCGTCGCGCTGCGCTGCGCGTCTGGGATCTCGAACCCAGGGCTCATCATGGTTGGACCCGTCACGAGGCAGGTCAGCATCGTTCCCTTTGAGATCTTGTATCCCAACAGTTCCGTGTCGTAGACGGCCTGGCGGTCGACAACGGGGGCGGTGCCCGCGCATCGCAGGATCTCCTCCATGGTGGCGTCGAGGTAGGGGATGTGCGACCCCGTGATCTCGTGCACGGCCGGGTCGCGGCCCTCGGCGTGCGCGGCTGCGAAGGTGGTTTGGAGGGCGTCGCGCAGCTTGGATTGGGCTTGGGGGTTGTCGGATAGGAACTTGAGCCCCCAGCACAGCGTGGTGCTGGTAGTTTCGTGGCCGGCGAAGACGAAACCGAAAATCTGTATGGAACCACCGCGTTAGCTGGGTGTCTTGCCGCCGAAAGAGAGATGTGATTTTCATGGGAAACGCGTCGTTGTTTACTTCATCAATCATGACGCGGGAGAAATAGTCCGGTGCGCGCCCGTCCTTTTGCGCCAGCTTCGTCTCGCTGACGACCATATGATCCACCGCCGAGCGCACCGCCTGCCCCTGGCCATCCGCCCCTGTCAAGCGCCGTACCGCACTTGTCAGCTCCTTCATGATGTAGGCCTCCTTAACCCGCACCGCCCTCTTGATCCGGGGCCGCCGCATCACCCACGCCCACGTCAGCGCGGGCCACGGGTTGCCCTGCACCTCGCCCACCGTCTCAGTCAGCTCCAGGATTGCCTCCAGCAACTCGCCCCCTTTTCCCGGCGGAAACTCGATTGGCGCATCCTTATCACCACCCCGCCGCACGGCCGCGATGCCCTCTGCATCCAGCGCCCGCAGCGTCTCAAGCGCCGGTCGGGTCGCGCTGTGGTCAAAGCCCTCGCCAAAGGCGAAGGCCGTCACGGCGTCCAGAGCCACATGGTTGATGTCGTCGGCGGCATGCCAGGGGCGGCCGTCGGCGATAAGGGCCTTCTCGCGCCAGAGATTGACCATGCGGGCGACATTGGCATGCAGCGCCGGGCCGGCCACCTTGTGCAGGAAGGTTGGCGTCATGAGATCCTGGACCAGGCGGCGCTGGCGCTTCCAGGCGTCGCCCGTCTTGAGGTGGATGTGGTGGTCCGGCGCGAGCCCCTTGACCAGGTCGCCCAGCGAGTCGGACCGGTCAAAGTCCTTGGACCGGTGGATCAGCACGTCGTGCGCTTCGTGGAAGTCGCCCATGACGACCAGAGGCTTGCTGAAGGGTCGGATGAAGACCTGGATGATGGGTGTGTTGAGCGATTGCATCAGATCGATGATGTAGGTGATGAAGGTGCCCTCGGTCGCGCGGATGTGCGATGTGATGGCGGGCACGTCGCCCAGAAGGTTACCAGCGGACGCAACATTGTGTGGGATGCCTGGGATGGGCTTTGGTTTGGCAGCGTGGTAGAGCAAGGTGAGTGCGAGAGAGATGATCAACCCTACGACGGTCACGGTGGTGAGCGAGGGGATCCCGAGATGCAGCAGATCCATTCCAGGAGAACGACAACAAACAATCAGAATTGGTACTGTACTGTACTCTACTGGGGCCAGCAATTGTTATCAGCAAATTTCGACTTACTACATCTTGCAGGACTCCCTACAACGTATTGGAGGAAAAGCCCAAAGGCGACTTCAAAAACCTGCAGCCAACTGTATGCTTATGCTTACTTTCATACAGGTAAGCACACGAAAAATGGCAGCGTTATCCTGATTACTGTACAGGACGGTACCCGCGCAACGCTCCGTCCAACCATTCTAAACATACCTACATGTCCCGCTGATAGCGTCCCCTTTCGATGCACTAGGACGTTGGGTGCAGAACGCACTCAAATAAGGCTCAGCGGCAAATACAGCCTTATAATCTCCTGCTTTGCCTATGCTGGCCGAACCTGAAGGGTGACAGGTCCTTGACCCAGGATCCCATCCATCATGTCGGACTCTGCCGTACCCATTTTCCGAAGCCTGCTCAAGGGCACGCAGTCAAATCTCCTTCGGTTGCAGCATGAATACCAGCAATATGACCTCAAAGACTGGGGGCGCACAGGGCTCTACCTCCTCCTAACCGTCTCCCTGGCCCACGCCATATCCGTCGGCTTCTATCGGTGTATGCCCCTAAACTCTAAACTGGTTCTTAAGAAGATGAAATGGCATGTTGATTGTATTGCTTTACACACAGTATATCTCTCCCCGCTTGCCAACATCCCAGGACCCAAGCTCGCAGGTGAGACAGACCTACATACGACTCGGCTTTGCCCCTAACAATACTCCGTCCGTCCCGTTGACGACGATGCCTCTGACCAAACTTGACAGCTCTGACCTATTTGTATGAGGCTTACTACGAAGTATGGCTCGGAGGCCAGTACTTCAAGAGAGTTGCGGAAATGCACAGGCAATATGGTTTGCATCCATGCTCCGTTTGGTTTTCGGTTTGCGTTCATGTTATCGGCCCGGTGCAGTCTGGTGGCTTACAACAAGGGGAATTTGTTTGTGTTGGCAGGCCCCATAATCCGCGTCACGCCAAATGAGGTGCACTGGAATGACCCCGAATTTCTCGACACGGTCTACCCGACAACGGGAAGGAAGACGGACAAGCCGGTCTGGTTCGCAAAGAGAACGGGCAGTAAGAAATCCGACCAAACTCAATGCCACCATGATCCCCTTTATCACTGGTGCTAATCAGCCGTGTGCTGCTTGCTCGCCAGCCCCTTACTCGATCGTCTCGACACCGAACCATGACCTGCACCGGCGGCGGCGCAACGCGCTCAACTCCTTCTTCTCGATTGCCAGTATCCGCCGCCTCAACGTGGTCATGAAGCAGTACGTCAACAAGATGCTCGCCCGCATGGAGGCCACGGCCAAGCACGCGAGCGACCCGGTCCTGCAGTTCCACCATATGTTCAAGGCCTGCGCGAGCGACGTCATCACCATCTACGCCTTTGGCGAGTGCTTTGGCTTCATGGAGTTGCCCGACTTTGGCTGGCCCTTCTTCGAATCGACCGATAAGTTCTTCTTTTTGACTCATCTGTTTTTCCTCATCCCAGGCTTGGTGAATTTGGCGCAGAACGCCCCCTCCTGGTTGGTCAGAGCGCTCCTCCCTGGCCTGGCGGAGCTGAGGGACCGGCAGGAAGTAAGCATTTTAATTCCATCCTTCGTGACTGGCTTATTTTGGTTCAATGGGCTGCATGTATTTGCATGTACAACTCCCACAAGAGCTGTTCTGACCCATCATGTTGTGGGAAACAGTGGTGGCTCCGGAAAGTGCGCGAGATCAGGAGCTCGCCAAACCCGGAGCGAGTCAAGAGCACAATCTTTGAGGGCATCCTCAACAGCACCCTCCCGCCGGAGGAAAAGACCGACGTCAGGCTGGCTAGCGAGGCCCAGCTGGTCATATTTGCGGGCGAGGGCACGACCGGTGAGGAGCTTGGCCCCTTTTTCTGATCATCCCAGAAGTAATACTCCAATGGGCGCTTAATAACTAATACACGGCATGACGCATGCAAATACCGACAGCCTACAGCTTGACATGCGCGCTCTACCACCTTCTCGCCAACCCTCCCGAACTAGCCAAGCTCAAGGAGGAGCTGGCCGCGTCGGGGCTCGATCCAAACGAAGTCCCGTCCATTGCCGACGTCGAGGCGCTCCCCTTCCTCAGCGCGGTCATCCAGGAGGCTGTGCGCCTGCACCCGGGCGTCATGGCACGCCAGGTGCGCATCTCGCCCGAGGTGCCCATCGTCTACGCCGACAAGAAGACAGGCAGGGAATACGTGATCCCGCCAGGGACCGTCACGAGCATGTCGCCCCTCGACACGCACATGAACGAGGACGCGTTCGAGGACGCGTATGAGTTCAAGCCTCAGCGCTGGATCGAAAACCCGAAATTGGCAAGGTACTTTCATGGCTTTGCGCGCGGGTCGAGGAACTGTGTTGGGTACGTGCGGTCCCCTTCCGCATTAGTCTGATGATATTTGTATTAATCCATCGTCCACTTAAACAGCATGACGCTTGCCCGCCGCGAGATGGCCATTATCCTGGCAGCCATCTTTCTCAAATACGATGTCTACCGCGGCCAGGAAGGGCCGACGCTAGAGCTGTATGAGACGGAGCGCGGAAGGGATATTGACGCGAATAGTGACTACATCATCCCGGCGCCGGCCAAAGGGAGCCACGGGTTGCGGGTCAGGATTCGGCATTAAGGCCATGGTGCATGTAGTTTTTGCGATCCCCGGAAAAAAAGAACGGCCAGATACTTGGCCGTAGACTAAAAGCACACTAGTAGCACGGGGAGTACAAGGCGGAGGACTCGGGATAGCATTTATGGCTTGGGGCGAACGACATATGCTGCGCAACGTACCAGGCTCCTTATATCCCTCCGAGTTCTTAGGTACCTACCTTACTAGGTAGCCTTTTACCAGACGGGATCAGTTGACAAACATGAAATCCACGAAACAGAAACCGAGATATTTCCAACCATCGCTAGTATGCTTAGAAGTGATGTACCCAGTACTGTATCTCGCCTCTTTCAGCTTCCGTAAGTACAAGTACCTAAGGTACATAGGGTGTATATAAATCGCGAAATGCCCATTCGACGTATTTGCATAGAAAACAGATTCCCACGCAGCCGGATCTCTCTAAACGCGGATAATCAGTAACCTAGGGTTGAGACGCCACAAATCTCGACGTCCCGTCCCCCGCTTTCCAGGTCCTTGGGTTCCCTTTCCCAGCTCCTCGGGTCCCCGTTCCCAGGCTACCGGGTCCTCGGGTTATCATGGGAGCGGGCTTCCCGTCTCTGCCTGAGGTTATAGGCAATATGCGAAACTGTTTTATACATTCGCCATCTATCTCGCTATGGTTGAAAACGCGGTAACGTGCATAACGTACGCCGCCTGGAGCCCTGGAGAGCGAGGAGAGATCATGAGACGAGTGGTCAGAAGAGCAAAAAGCCAGCCCCCCGCCCGCCTACGGCCAACCCGCCTTGAAATGCACATTCGCCCCGTACTGCAGCAAGACCTGCACTCCAGCCTCAAAACCCGTGTCGATGGCCGTGTGCAACGGCGTTTTGCCGTGTGTGTCGTAGCCGTCGATGACGCTGCGCTCGCCGATGCGGACCGAGTGCTTGAGCAGCAGCTTGAGCAGCGCCTCGCGCCGGTGCACGACGGCCCAGTGCAGTGCCGACCGGTGTTGGCTGTCGAGGCTGCCGAGGCGCGCCCCGTGCGCCAGCAACGAGCTTACGACGTCCTCGAACCCGCCGATTGTCGCGTGGATCAGGGGGGTCTATTGCCGTGGCAACGGTGTTGTCAGCAAACCGTCAATTCCCAATTTTTCCTTCTTCCCCTTCCCCTTATTTTACTCGACAGAAAGGAAAGTAGTTACGAACTAGACCCTCGCTGTCCTTCTCGTTGCAATCAATATTGTGTTGCAGTAGCACGCAAACAATCCGATTGTGCCCCTTCCGCGCCGCCATGTGCAGCGGGCTCTGCCACTTGTTCCCAGGTACTGACTCCTGCAGAGACGGCAGATCGTCCATGCTCGTCCCGAGGCCGCCGTCCCCCTGCCCCTGGGTGGTGGAGGCGGAAGGGCGCGAGGTGGTGTGGAATGCGCTGTAAACCGTGTGCTCGGCCGCTGTCTCGGCCGAGGATAATGAGGAGGGTACGACCGACATGGATGCCGGAGTCGCCGGATGGGTAGTGCCTGACGAGCCTATGCTGTTCAGTTCAAGTTCTAGCCCGGTAATGCTCTCGAGCATAATGTTGCCGCCATATCCCAGCCGGCAGAAGCCGATCTTGTCGTGGTGGATGGAGGCGCCGCTCGGGCTGAAGGCGGCATCTGGCGCGTCGTCGAAGCCGGCGGCAAGGAGATCGGATGGCGAGGTCGGATCGCCGCCTGGCGATATGTCCGGGGGATACGGGGCCCCTGATGAATTGCGCCGTCGTCCATTGTCCTCCTGATTCTCCGGTGGTTGCTGCGCGGCTTTCTGCTGGCTGTGTTTCTCTAGATGTGAGAAAATAGGCAAAAGGTCAGGAACGGCATCGCACTAATCACGGAAGGATGAGACCGCGGAAGGGGGCAGGCGTTAGGTAAGGTAGGTAGGTAAGGTAGGTGGTAGGTTAGCACTAACGACGGAACCTGCGCTGCGCCAAACGGTTCTGCAAACGGCGGCGCTGTATGTTTTTATCCCTGCTTGACTCCATGTTAAGTAGATCCATTATCCTTCGCAGAACCCTTAGCGTTTTTCTTTAGGTTTCGATCCCTTTCTCTATTCGCCCCCTTCTCCGCCCTGGGCTGCTTTCTGATTTTCTGTTTCAAGGTCTGTTCTCGAGACGCGGGGGAGGGGTTCAAGCTAGCGGTAGCGCGGCGGATCGGGACGCCTTTGCCAAGCGGGGACGGAGCAAAAATAGGTAAGCAACATATCACTGGACCGGAACGAGGCCTTTTTGACCGGCTGGCAAGGCTAGGAACCAATGCATGATGGTGGGGGGAGGGGCCATACCCATCCGTCTTGGAAGATGTACTGCGCCCCCAACAGAACACTACGGTAGCATCTGCGAATGCACGGATCTGCAACCACCACCGATGTCCATGGTGCATGTATATACACCACGGGGATGTTCAGGCCACAAGTAAATGTTAGGTCTAGACAAAAGGTATTGAAAGTACCTATAGTTGGCAGAGTTGTTTTGCCTGGCCCCTTACCGTGAGTCCGTGACCCTGCACTATAGTACTACTACCTCAGTACAATAGTGTTCAGCTCTATATATATGGTGTATACGATTTAGTAATGTAAAACAAAGATTAGGAACTGCCTCAGGAACTGTGTAACCTGATCTGTACTTTCATCGCTGTCTTGGAAGGCCGAAGGTAACAACCTACGTAACGAACCACTCCCCCATTTCCCATACGGGTATGTGTACTCCATTCTTCGCAGACCGCTTCCTTTGCGAGCCAATAACGACCTACCCAACATGCCATCGCCGTTATCTGGCAATTGCACGATTGGCCGGCGACGCGACTATAGGGCTCCTGCGTAACATCCGGGCTCACTGCATCTGATGTGCATCTGATGTGCGTTTACACCGGATCCTGTTAAAGTGACTGTTCTACTTCCGTGAAGCGACTGTGTCCTTCAGCCCAGGGGTGACGTCTATTGGGCTCTCGCCCGGCGAGGTGGGCCTAAAGGATGCGGGATCGGGCGGGTCTAACGCAGCAGTATTTCTCAACATAGTCTCTCTAGGGAGGTACTGTACACTAGGCCTCGGTTTACACTAATATCTAACATCTCGCATCAATCCAATAACACGAGCGTTTGAACAATTACCTAAGTAAGGTACCCGCTGGCTCTTCCTCAAGATAGTGTCCCTCAAATGCATATGAGGAAGAGCCAACGGGTATAGGTACGGTTAAGGCTGCAGATGGTGTGCTACCGTTGATGGTGTGGGGTGTTTGACCGCTCTAGCGCAGCTTTCAAGCTCCCGGTAAATCCCACCGTGATTCCGCAGTGGACGGTAATTACGGCGCTAATTCCGCATCTGCTAGGCAGGAGGTACGGAGTTCTGTCACACATGTCATCCTCGAGAAGCTCCCTGCTTCGATGATCGGCCTTGCAAAACCTAATCGCAGGTGGCATGGCTTGGCAGAAACTAGCCTGAATGTGGTTAGAGATCCCACATAGCTTTCTATATGGATACAACTGTCGTATTAACGTCAGCCGAACTTTGGGTTAGCAAAGCGAGCTGTATGTAGCTATGTACATACAGTACCTACAATACACAAGACACAAGCGAATCGTTTGCGACAACTGGTTTGCGAAGGGATTGATTGGACTCAAAAACTGAAAAGACAGCCGCCCAGGTAATTGGTAGCTTCACCGCCTGCCCCTCTCACCCAGGAACCTGGATGGGCAGGTCGTCGGCTGCAACCAGCCACCACTGGCTCTTGAGAATGCTGTGCCGCGGCGGATGAGCATTTGGGTCTGTGGTTGAATGCGGGTGATATAGGTGCCTATACCGTACCTGCCGGTGTTCATGCTGTTGGTTTTACCGACGTCGTAGTCGTCACTCGTCAATTGCACGGCGCTGGAGGGTTTGTCCTCGCCAGCTCTATTGACCCTGCCACGGTCATCTCTAGGTAAGGCACCTTCGTAACGTTAATGTGCCTTGGTTAATTCGTACTGTTCTATGCACGGGCACAAGAACCAACGCACAGGCTAGTTCAACGGGCGAAGAATTGCAACGCCTTTCTCCCTTTTTACTCCCAAGGCAACGTCATGTAATGATGTAGTATGCATTGCGCAAGTGCAGTACAGTTGGATTCTAATTGGTGGCAGCGGCCGAGCCCCGGCTATGGATTTGCCCGTAACTTCTGCCTACCCTACCGGTAGTCCCTCCAAATCAATATCTGGCATATCAGTATCTATGTACCTATCTGAAACGTTTGCCAAGGCTGAGCTTGCTCTGGTATGTTGGTTCTTGCATGTGGACGCTGGCAAGCCCTAGGTTAAGAGGCCATCTATGCGAAGGGAAAGGGTCACGTTTGTCACTTATCTCTACCTCTTCCCCACTCCATGCTCGAGGAATTCTTCATGGATGGGTTGTTGTAGATCGGTCATGTCCAGACAGCATATACGAAGGTTACCAACTAGTACGGGTCTGATTCTGTGACCGAGTCGATCTGGCTGTTCTGTACCTTATCAATCTGGGATAGGATAGATAAACTTAGTGGGAAAGAAACGGCAGCAGAAGAGGCGGATCAGGGGGTCATGGTGCTCGTACATGCACGTGGAGCGGAGGCGATGGCATAACGCGATCGCCAAGCGAAGGCATAATGCAACAAGGCCAGGGTATTTGTTACACTTGCTCTAAGATGCCCTATCACTTCCGGTAGTCGGCGAATCGGTGATGGCGAATCAAGCCGGCCCAGACACGGACATCGGAGGTCGGGGGCCGAGGGCCGGCGGGGAGCCAATGGAGCATAGCAGCCACTACGGCTTTTACTCGGATTCTTTCCTCCCTTTAAGATCAGATGCAGTTCGGTAATGCTTTAATGATTAGGACCTACAGTAGCAGCGTGATAGCGGAGGGCGCCTCATTGTGTCAACGGTAAATACGGCGCTCATCGTTGACGTTATCTCAGTTCCCTAAGCTACATACCTTGGTAAGGTAGGTACCTAGCTAGGATGACATCGACTATCTTCTCTACTGGTACTACTACTACTACTAGTGCTAACGCCACACCTTATGTTAACCCTCGTTTTATACCCATTTTAAGGGCCTCCGACAGTGTGACTCATCCAGCGTTCATGGATGTGAATACTATAGCCCCCACACCCTATCCGCGTCCGTTGCATCATGTTCGTCCGGGGCCCGCCTACCGGATGGTCGGGTCGAAGGGTGTAGCCGCGTTGGGCTTATTTGCAAGGATCATTGATTACATTGCAGCTTGGAATTGCTTACCTTGCATGATTCTCACTCACGGTTGTATGTCGACATTTCTGCTATTATGGTATTATAGGCAAGAGTTGCGGGCAAATTCTCTCTTTGGCGAGGTAGCATACTATGTAGGATGCTGAGCAGGAGATAGAGCAGAATGTGGACCGGGGGATTGCCACGGAAATAGAACAACTGGCGGTGATTCTTGCATGTACGTATCCAGTTCCGGTGACTCTGGGAAAGTTGAATATGGTACCTAAGTTCCTAACCATTTCAGTTACCAGGGAGATGATTCGTAAGATAAGGTAGGTCGGCATGTACGTTTAGCAAGCGCGTCGGCAGGATTCAGCTCAGCCTTACCCTAGCCGCATGAAAGATGTCGAGCTTATTCACACAAGCTGCGCCATTTGGGGCCACTATTGAATGGCTCTATTGGAAATGAAGCGATTGTGCGGTTGAGTTGACTGGATTGGGATGTCGCACGATAACGAAAGAGAGAATAGGGGTAAGTCAGGAGAGGCGAAGCACGGGCAGCTAAGGCAGCTAAGGTACTTGATTAAACGTCTGGCGATATAAGTATCTCTAAGGTCAAAGGAGTTGGTTCGATCAAGTTGCTGGAGTAGAGGCAACCGTCTCTCATTCCGTTTGTTTACTTTGCTGCTTGTTGTCTCTTCAAGTCGTTCCCTGATCATCGCAGCCGGGTTCATTTGTCGGTACTGTTTGTTTCATTCCGTGCTTATTTCACTGCAACACACAGATATATTCATCATGCACATCGAAGGGTCGTATTGCATCCGCATCTTGGCGGCTATACTGTCACTTTCCGCATGCAGCAGAGCCAGCTTCAAGTTTCCCCATGGCTTCCCGCAAGCGACCGGCGGTCTGGGCCCTACAATATCCATTGCCGCACGTTCTGATAATGCCGGTCTGGCAGTTGACCGCCCCGAAAACATGACAAATCCGGCAGGTGGTACGGATAGAGGTAGACGTCCTGCATGCCGTTACCTACCGGGAGACCGGGGATACCCTACGACCGCGGACTGGGACCGTCTGAACAGAACAGTCGGCGGTAGGCTCGTCAAGGTGGTTCCTCTGGCCCAAATCTGCTTTGGAAGTAACGTCAACGACGCAGCGTGTGCGGTGCTGAGGGAACAATGGGGTTCCGTGGATCCTTTGTAAGTTCCGGACCGAAAAGGAGTGAAAGACCAGTACTAACCATGGAATCTCCAAAGCCTACCGGACCCTGTACATGTCATGTCACCCTACTGGCTCAACAACTCGTGTAACCCATCTCTCGGTCCTACTGGGAGCTGTACGCTGGGCAACATGGCTCCTTACGCCATCCGGGTAACCGGCGCCAGCGACGTGATCGCGGGAATCCAGTTTGCCAGTGCCAAAAACATCCGCCTCACGATCAAGAACACGGGCCACGACTATCTCGGTCGGTCCACCGGTGAGGGGTCGCTAGCGTTGTGGATGCACAATCTCAAGGATACCGCTGCCCTCGACTACAAGAGCTCCTACTACAAGGGGCCGGCCCTGAAAGTCGGGGCCGGCATTCAAGTTCTTGAGGCCTACAAGGCTGCCAAGGACCACGGCCTGCGCGTCGTCGGCGGCGCCTGTCCGACCGTAGGTCTGGCGGGAGGCTGGCTCACGGGGGGCGGTCAGGGGCCCCTTACTTCCAAATACGGTCTGGGTGCCGACCAGGCGCTCGAGTACGAAGTCGTGACGGCGGTTGGCCGACGTCTGGTCGCTTCTCCAACCCAAAACTCGGATCTCTACTGGGCGTTGAGTGGCGGCGGTGCCGGCAACTATGCCGTGGTCCTCTCCATCACGGTCAAGGCGTACCGCGACGGGCCTGTGGCGGGCTACTCGATGCTCTTCACCAACACGAACCCGGAGTCATACTGGGCCGCCATCAAGGCCTGGATCCAGCGCCTCGTCGAAATCGACATCAAGTACCCGACCTTCAACAGCGCCGTCACCTTCACCAACGAGTTCTTCTCCCTCGACTTTGCCACCCTGGCCGACGCGACCGAGAGCGAGATCGAAACCGTCCTTGCCCCCTTTCTCTCCGACCTACAGCGCCTCCAAATCACACCGCTGAGAACCGACCGCCACGTCTCACCAACCTACTACGACCATTACCAGTACTTCACCACCAACCCCAGCGTCAACGGCACCAGCCTGACAGTCAGCAACCGGCTGATCCCACGCTCGCTCGCCCAACCAGACCGACTCCCCACACTGATCGACACAATCCGCGGCATCGCAACGACAGGGAGCAACAACTCAGCCGTGTTTGTCATCATCAACAACAACGTAACCCACGCCCACGTAGGCAACCGGCCGGGGGCCAACGCCGTGCTGCCGGCGTGGCGAGACTCGCTGTTTCTCCTCAACTTTGGCCTGCAGCTGCTGCCCGAGGGGAACGCGCCGTGGTCGCAGATCCGGGAGCACCAGGTGCTTGTTAATTCGTGGCTTGATGCCTTTCGCCGCCTGACCCCCGGTGGTGGGAGCTATCTTAATGAGGGTACCTTTGATTACCCGGCTTGGAAGACGGAGTACTATGGTGCAAACTATGGTCGGTTGGCAGCTATTAAGGCGAAGTATGACCCGGAGTATTTGTTCTTTGCTAATGCGGCTGTTGGGAGTGATGTTGCTTGGAGGGCGGGGCCTGATGGGAGTGGGAGGTTGTGCCGTCGTTGAGTTTGTTCCTACGCGGTGACTACTTAGCTTATTCTTTTTGTCTGCTTTTGCATCTCCTTTTCTTCCCTTCTCTTACATGTCTTACCATCACGATTATCGACGTTTTCACAATTTCCTTTGTATACTCGAGGTTGCTTATAGACCTGGGGCCTTGGGTTGTTGATTGCTGGTAGACCGGGGGAGAAGGGTTGTTTTCCTCGCGGAATGTCTGTGTACCGCTAGTGGTAAATAGATTTCATTAAGTTCCTTTCCATGGAAACTGGAACTCTGACGCCCTATCAATTCAGGTTCTATCCTTTACTGCCTTAGAGAAGCATGACCCGGTGCCGAAGTCTGCAGTACTCGGGAGTCGGTTGTTCGGTAATATTGGGTAAGGTACCTAGGCTTTAAGAAGAATCAAGCTAGGTAAGGTATATATACAAACAAAGACATACTTCTTGACTTGAAGTTAGGTCCAAATTGGTCATGACATGTAACTGTCCGGCTCTACTCAATCCGAGAGCAACTCAAATCTAGAGGACAGTATATTCAATGGTGTATATTGTACACCTTGAATCGAGCAACTATCCCTGAGCGAGTGAAACTGCCGAAATTCTCTCCCCCTACCTGTTGGATATGCGGTTGACTCTGTGTAGTATCTCAACAACTATAACATACTTACTAGCTACTACAAGCATGTGACTACAATAACAGAAAGCCGCGGTCTCGGCCTAACTACATGTAGCGACGGAAACCCTGAACGAGAATGAGGTATCATCGTAAGTGATTATCTTCCAACATGAAGGCGTTCTCCCGCCAATTTCCCCTGCGTCACCCCACTACAGCCTCCAGCCCTTATACGTTCCAACTCACAGCCCTACCTCCTTCAAAACCCCCGGCTTCCTCGCTTCCAAAATCTTAATAGTCTGGTCCCACGCCTTTCTCTGCGCTCTCTGGCCCACGTCGGTGAAAATCCAGGCCTCCACGTCCTGGTTCTTGCCGTCGCTCTGGAACTGGCCGTGCGAGCTTGCCGGCGCCGAGGCGGCAAGGACGTAGGTCCGCGAGCCCACTTCGGTCGAGCGGTCGAGGATGGCGCGGGCAATGCGGAGCAGCAGCGGCGTCTTTTCCTCGCGACCCAGGGTCGACCTGCAGAGACCCGGGTTCACCAGGTTGATGATGACGGGGGGGTTGCTGCTGGATGTTGAGGGGGAGGTGGAGGTGGCCTTGAGACGCGCCACTAGTTCTCGGACTAGGAGGATCTCGAGGAGTTTGGAGACTTGGTATCTAGGGTGGGAACGTGTTCGTTAGGAAAATGAAAATAGAAAACAAATAATGATAGTGAACGTACCTGGGCTGCTGGGAGTACGACTTCTCGTCATTCAGTTTGGCGTACAGATCTGGCTCGTTGATCTCCTCAAACTTGGTCAACCGATGGGCCTCGGAGCTGACGACGGTCAGGTGTGGCGTCGAATTCGGGAATCTGGCCTTGGTCTCATTCAACTTAGGGAGAAGCGCCAGGGCCAGCAGGAACGTATTCAGCACGTTCACCTGCGTGACCTGCTCGTAGCCCTCGGACAGCTGGAAGCTGACATTGTTGACGCCGGCGTTGAGCACGACGGCGTCGACCCGCGCGAGGTCTGTCTTGACGCGTTCGGCGAAGGCCAGCGTCGACTGAGTGCTCGCCTGGTCGAGCGGCCAGACCTCGATGGCGCTGGCACCATCATTCCGCGCCTTGACGCTCCTGACAATGTCCTCCTTGGCGACTTGGCCCTTGGACACCGTGCGGACGGCGAGAATCAGCTTCGCGGCGCCGAGCCGGTAAAAGTGGCGTGCCGCCTCGAGACCGAGACCGACGTTGGAGCCCGTGACAATGACGGTCTGGCCGGCAAACGAGGCTTTGGGGTAGGGAGGAGTGCCGAAGAACTGTGAGTACAAAAACATGCGAATTCCTTTGCCGATGTTGGGCTGGATCGGGAACTCGAGCTGCTGTCCGGCTGCCATTGTGCCGGTAGTGCCCAACGGGGAGGGCGGGAGTTACTGCGAGATAGAACAAGACGGATGGGCCTAGCGGGTAAGACGGGGCGTGGCCGACGTCGATGATATTACCGGTATTGATAAAGGTGTTGTTTGATGCAAGAGACAGTCACCCTTGATTAATCTCGTGCAGGTTGAAAGCTCTAAAGCTTGCATGTGATTGTTGATGTTGAAGGAACAACGTAGGCCGCACGCGATCGCGGTCTGCCTTTGCGTGCTACCGTGCTGGGTTTGCAAGAATGGGCTGGACTTGCCTCGGGCCGTTCTGCATGGTATTGAGCCGCCTCTCCCGTTTCGGGTCATCGCGGCCGGGGAATAATCAGGCCGACTTGGGGTCTGCATGGTAATCAAGCCGGGCCAATCAGAGCACAGGATGCGTATAAGTGGTAGGTAGGTGGTTGCACGTGTGACGTTGTACTTGTACCTATGTGTAGTACTGCATGTATGTATGTACACGAATCGGTAG